ACACTCACCTACCCCCCTCATGTAATACCCCATCATGACACTCACCTACCCACCTAATGTAATACCCCATCATGACACTCACCTACCCACCTAATGTAATACCCCATCATGACTCACCTACCCACCTAATGTAATACCCCATCATGACACTCACCTACCCACCTAATGTAATACCCCATCATGACACTCACCTACCCACCTAATGTAATACCCCATCATGACACTCACCTACCCACCTAATGTAATGCCCCATCACACTCACCTACCCACCTAATGTAATACCCCATCACACTCACCTACCCACCTAATGTAATACCCCATGACACTCACTTACCCACCTAATGTAATACCCCATGACACTCACTTACCCACCTAATGTAATACCCCATGACACTCACCTACCCACCTAATGTACCCCATGACACTCATCACCCACCTAATGTAATGCCCCATGACACCACCTACCCACCTAATGCCCTATGACACTCACCACCTACCCATCCCACGTAATACCCTATGACACTCACCTACCCACCTAATGTAATACCCCATGACACTCACCTACCCACCTAATGTAATACCCCATGACACTCACCTACCCACCTAATGTAATACCCCATGACACTCACCTACCCACCTAATATACTACCCCATGACACTCACCTACCCACCTAATATAATACCTCATGACACTTACCTACCCACCTGCTATAACCACCCACCTAATATAATACCACATGACACTCAACTACCCCCCTGCTATAGCTACCCCCCTGCTATAACTACCCCCCTAATATAATACCCCATGACACGTAACTACCCCCCTGCTGTAGCTACACACCTAATACCCCATGACACCCACCTGCTGTAACTACCCACCGGCTGTAGCTACCCCATGACACTCTCCTACCCACCTGCTATAATACCCTAGGACACTCGCCTACCCACCTGCTATAACTACCCACGTACTATAATACCCCATGACACTCACCTACGCATCTCATAACTACCCAACTAATATAATACCCCATGACACTCACCTACCCACCTGCAATAACTACCCACCTACTATTATACCACATGACACTCACCTACCCACCTGCTATAACTACCCACCTACTATAATACCCCATGACGCTCACCTACCCACCTCATAACTACCCAACTAATATAATACCCCATGACACTCACCTACCCACCTCATAACTACCCAACTAATATAATACCCCAGGACACTTACCTACTCACCTGCAATAAAACCCCACCTGCTATAACTACCCACCTACTATTATACCCAATGACACTCACCTACCCACCTGCTATAACTACCCACCTACTATTATACCCCATGACACTCACCTACCCACCTGCTATAACTACCCACCTACTATTATACCCCATGACACTCACCTACCCACCTGCTATAACTACCCACCTATTATACCCCATGACACTCACCTACCCACCTGCCATAACTACCCACCTGCTATAATACCCCAGGACACTCACCTACCCACCTGCCATAACTACCCACCTGCTATAATACCCCAGGACACTCACCTACCCACCTGCTTTAACTACCAACCTGCTATAATACCCAATTACACTAATCTACCCACCTGCAATAATACCACATGACTCTCACCTACCCACTTGCTATAACTACCTACTTGCTATAATACCCCATGACACTTACATACCCACCTGCTATAATACTCCATGATACTTTGCTACCCACCTGCTATAACTACCCACCTGTTATAATACTCCATGACACTCACCTACCCACCTGCTGTAATACCCCACCCAACTCTGCTAACCACCTGCTATAATGCTCAGAGCTCCCAGTCACTTGCTATGCCATGTCACTTCGCTACCCACCTGCCATAAAACCCCAGGTCCCTGTCACTGGCCATGTCACTCACCTACCCAACTGTCATAATACCCCATCTTCCTGTCACTGGCCATGTCACTCAGCTACCCAACTGTCATAATACCCCAGCTCCCTGTCACTGGTTATATCATATCACTCAACTACCCAGCTGCCACAATATTCCCTGCCCCTGGCCATGCCATATCACTAAGCTACCTAGCTCCCATAATAACCCCCCATCTCCCTTTCACTCACCATGTCTTGCTCACCCCAGTTCACTGTCACTCATCTATCCACCTGCCATACCTCCCCAGATCCCTGTCACTGGACATGCAATGACACTCATCTCTCCAACTGCCATGGTTCCTGCGATAGCTGTCACTGGCCATGCGATGGTGCTCATCTGTACAACTGCTCTGCCTCTGATTCCTGTCACTCGGCATGTGTATCCACCTGCAGTACCACAGATTCCTGTCACTGGTCATGCCACTGAGCTGATCCCTTGCCCCCTCTCACTGGCCATGCCGCGTCACTCCGCTGCCCACCTGCCATAATACCCCCAGATCCCTCACACTCACTCACAGGCCATGTCATTTCACTCCGCTAATCTCTTGCCATAATACCACCAGCTTTATGCCCCTCTCAGACACTAGTCCTGTCATGTCTCTAGACTGACCGCTGCCCCTCACAGGCACTGGCCATGTCTTGTCACCTGCCATAATGCCCCCAGCTCCTTGCCACTCACGGGCACTGGCCATGCTACATCACAGCTGAGCAACTGCTAGCTTGATGACTGCTCCTATTTCACATCTTCAACCGAAAAGAACATTCCTAAGCCTCTTGTAACTTTGCTTTAGCATCAGCTTCCCTAAATGCCCCCCTCCCCCCCCCTTCAACTTGGGTGAAAATAGACCTAAATGTCTGCTCTTGCTGCCATCTGGCCACAACATCATGGGTCGCTTTGCTAGTAGTCAGTTGTCATCCTCAGTGACTGTGGCTGCTGTGTTGTTTACCCCATCTTGCTATTTATCTCCATATATTATTGACCCATTGTACCATCATCTGTACTTCTCTCCAGTCACACGGTATGTTGTTTTTAATTAACCCTTTTTTTTCCTCTGTAATTTTGGGCCAGCTTTAGTTTGTCATCGGGCCCCTATAAGTGCTCCAAGCTCATTACGGCCACTTTATTTACACCGATTGGCTCATATGTCAGCACTGCTTATTTAATCTACCACAGATAAATAACCTCAGTCTGTGTGACATCTATAAGCTAGGCTAAGCCAAGTGTCATCACTTGCTTTGGTATTTATGTACTTAATGTACTCTTTTCGAGTCAAAATAGCTATGGTGGAAAAATAGGGTTGGAACTAAACAAAAAATCTGAATTTCAAGGTAAATTCTAATTATATGTGCAAATTGAAAGCTGTCACTTAATATTTTTGAGAAAAACATAGATTTTTTTTTTTTTAAGAAATGTCACTCGGTAGTTTTAATGGTTCAAAAAGACATCATGAAATTATTGGCAGACTGCTAAGAATTTCTGCTTTTATCTCTATTGGGTAGAGCAAACAGGGTAACACCTGTGAGTACAGAGCACGTGCCTGCCTTAATACTCTGTTACTTTATACAAACTGACATCTATTAGGAAAATGTTTAATGTCTTTTAATGTTTTTTTTTTTTTTTTCCTTTTTTTTTCTGTAATCAAAACTAATGTATTTTGTCCTCTGATGGGATCACTTTAAATTGCTTTTGATCAGACTTAATGTTGAATGTGGGATGGGTTATCTTTTTCCTTTTGTGAAAATTACACATTTAGACGACATGGGACAAAGGCATATCTCCACCCTATTATCTGTACATTCACAATTTCATACATTCTCAATGACATTCCCATTCATTTAGGTGGTGACTCAGCTGTACGGCTGGGACATGTTATTGACAAATGTCCCTGAGTTAAGCAGCTGTGTGTAGCTTTCAATGTCTTCACCGCCAGTTTCTTATTACAGGGGACACTGACTCTGGATAATGCCTCACTCACACACTTTGTGTCTGTATAGGGTAGGTCAGTTCAGCCATTTTTCTGTATTCCCTAAGTTCTGATTTTATATGAACATTGCCACATTTCTGGGGTATTCTCTATACTAAAGTTGGCAGTCATGGTATATCTTTGTTGGATATGATTGCTGACTCAGTATGGGAATCTTCCCTTCCGTAACCTTTTCTTCTATCATGATTACGTATGATTACTAGATTTGAATATAGCACAAATAAATATGTGGCATCAATTACTGTAAATAAAGCCTATTAGCAGAATTAGCTGACAAACACAAATCTGTGCAGTGGAGCTTTAACACATTGTGTCAGTCTGGATTCTTACAAGATTAACAAACTTCTGTTTGTGCAACACGTGCCTCAACTTTCACTTTCAGTTCCTGTTGGGTTCTCTTTGTATTGGCCTCTTGTAGATCCAGATATTTTAGCATTGTCTCTCCTTTTGGACGCTTGGTTTTTGTTTTTCTTTTCTACCAGCTTTTAATTTGTTTGCTTTTTGTTTTTTTTTATTTGTGTGATATGGTTTTCTGTTTGGCTAATATAGTATTGAGATAGGCATTTAAAATTGAACACATTCAGTATAGAGCTAATGTATTTGTCCTCAGTATCACACTGTGGGTCTAATAAGGGAGCTGTCTATAGTTTTGCTGATCTGTTTTTTAGTAGAATTATCTGCTTTGTGCTGTCAGTGACCTAAACTGCTTGTTTTATTTTCTTTCCAGAAGTGGAAGAGCTGGGCATGGAAGCAGATGGGCAGAACAATCAGCCGACATGCACCGAAGGCGAAAATCTAAGTTCTCAGGCTCCCAACATCAGCTCAGCTCCAGAAGAAACCGCTGACGCTGTCAGCAATGGTGGGGACTCTGAGACAAACCAGGAGCTTGTGGAAGTTAAAATTATTTGGAACAAGAATAAATATGATCTGAAGCTCCCTTTGGATAGCACAGGAGCCAGCCTTAAACAAAAGATCCATTCACTAACAGGTATCTTGTTGTATTATTATCTGGATGTTACCTGATCCTAATCTTGAAACTGGAGTATGGGTTTTGACACAAACACTTGTTGAACACAAGTCACACACTGCATTACAAACCTACAAACACTGATTCAGTACCTAGAGTATTTACTTTTTAAACGTGACCTTTCACCTGTTATAACTTCATATTAATCCATAGAGAATGGCCATGTTTGATAGAGCAGAATTTCCCTCCACCAATTAAATATTGTTTAGAGTAGCAGTGTCTGCTTTTTCAGCAGCTGTTGTTAAACAACAATTCCCATAATCCTTAGGCAGCTAGTTACCAATAAAATGTTTATTTAGGGTGTGAGAGGTATTTCTCGATCATGGATAAAACTATTGGCAATCTCTGACTTAGACATACTTGGAATGAAGGGGCTGTGGTCTCAGAATTGTGGCAAAGCACCAGAGTTTGTACCTTTTGAGGTGTTACGTACGGCAAGCAAAGTCTCATTGCTGAAGACTGCTTCCAAAATCTGAGCCACTGCTGGTTTTTAATTAGGAAAGATTTCAGAAGCATGAATTTTTTTTTGTAGTCCTTAATATTTATGTACTTTAAATTTAGTCCCATTAGTTTTCATGTGTACAAAAAAAAAACAAAAAAACAACTTTAAACCTGACCGAAACTTTGGTTTGTCAAACCAATTGTTAATAAATGTGAGAATGCAGACATTTGTCTGTATTGTGGAACACAACCTTCTCTGCTTATAAAAAGGAGAGAGATCTTATATGAACAATGTATTATTATCTGTACAAATCTATATGAAAATAATTCTGGTCTAATTGGTTTCATGCCTAGGCCCTCAAACAACAAAAAAGATGATTTAAAGCCATGACAGTGGTGTGACTCCGTCACATAGAGATATTTAACTCACCACTTGCCTATCCCTGAAATACATCCTGGCATTTCTTCCATGTAAATTCCAGTTGGCTTCAGATCTTAAAGGGTTATTTACTAAAGTATGTATTGTCTGGAATTCATGGTGAAGTTAAAGGACCACTATAGTGCCAAGAAAACATACTCGTTTTCCTGGCACTATAGTGCCCTGAGGGTTCCTCCACCCTCAGGGACCCCCTCCCGCCCGGCTCTGGAAGGGGGAAAGGGGTAATAACTTACCTTTTTCCAGCGCTGGGCGGGGAGCACTCCTCCTCCGATCCTCCTTCTCTCCTCCCCATCGGCTGCATGCGCGGCAAGAGCTGCGTGCGCATTCAGCCGGTCACATAGGAAAGCATTCATAATGCTTTCCTATGGACGCTGGCGTGCTCTCACTGTGAAAATCACAGTGAGAAGCACGCAAGCGCCTCTAGTGGCTGTCAATGAGACAGCCACTAGAGGCTTTGGGAAGGCTTAACCCATTAATAAACATAGCAGTTTCTCTGAAACTGCTATGTTTATAAAAAAAAATGGGTTAACCCTAGAAGGACCTGGCACCCAGACCACTTCATTAAGCTGAAGTGGTCTGGGTGCCTAGAGTGGTCCTTTAAGATTTAAGGTGAATTTAATCCGCCAACATCCTAGTCAACCGGCAAACACCTCAGCTCGCCCATGAGACATTAATAATGTTGTGCCATTCACTCAGAGACAAACAGCGGGACATGACTGATGGAATGTGTGGCTATAAAACGTTTCTCTGTGACTCCCTGTCGGCAGTCACAATGTCATATACAGTTATTTTGCATTTTTCTCTATTGTAGATTATTTTTAGTTTATCCATTATAATTTTATTTTACAGGGTTTCCCCTTCTTCACAATTGTGTTTGTTGTTTTTGGAATAAAAAAAAAAAAGATTAAACAAGATTTAAAAGTATCACTTTCATCCCTTTTTCTTCAGGTCTTCCACCAGCTATGCAGAAAGTTATGTTTAAGGGACTCGTTCCTGAAGATAAAACACTACGGGAGATCAAAATGACCAATGGTGCAAAAGTCATGGTTGTGGGGTCCACGATCAATGATGTACTGGCTGTGACGACCCCTAAAGAGACTATTCAGCAAGAAGTTAAAGAAGAGGAAACCAAGAAGGAGCCTTTGTGCAGACAGAAGGTACTTGCCATTTTCTACTGTTTCATCTGATGGCTAAAGAGTAGCGCAGTGAAAGAACACCTGTCTAATATCTTCATGGGCATTATTACTACATTCTTTAGTTGCCAGGATGTCACCTCCTGAAATGTACAATACAATAAAAAACCTTTTCATCTAATTGACGTGATCTGGGTGACCTGGCCCCTTAGCCCTGCAGCTGCAAACACTGCAGTGTTAGAGAAACTGCTGTTTACAATGCAGTGCTGAGACTGGCTCTAGTGCAGTGTTTCCCAACCTAGTACCCAGGGACCACGAACAGTCCAGGTTTTGTCAGTATCTCCATAGGAATAAAAAAGGGAAATGCATAAATCCTGGACTGTGTTGGGAAACACTGCTCTAGTGGATGTCTCCCAGACGTCTTCTAAAACGCCATTTAAAAAAAAAAAAAAAGCATTGTCAGTGCTTTCCTGTGGGGAAGGCCTAATATGCACATGTTGTTCACCACGCTTGCTTATTAGATTTCCCTCCTTCCCTCATCAGCCGACGTTGGAGGAGGAGGAGTCTGACCCATTGCTGGAATCAGGTGTTTAAGGGTTTTTTAGCACTTTACTTGCCACCGGGTGGGAGGTATGTGGGGGTGGGTAAAGAGGTAAATTTTAGTCTTAGAAATATATGTTTGTATTGCTAACACTAAAGTTTGCCTTTAATGTAATTGTTTCCCATTGATTTGCATAGATCCTTGGATCAATAATCTCTGATTTTTAACAAGCACAGCTTGTGTTCATGCAAGTCCTTCATTCATTTATCAGTTGGCATTGCCAATGTTGAAAATTTGATGACGATACAGAGGTTATTTTAATTTCATATGTATTGAAGCAATGGGAATCAAAGGGTGCATGAGCTGTAGACCTCTTCTTGCTCAAGTATAGAATCATTCCATAAAACAGTAATTTTGCACATCGTCATCACTCCATATGAACTATGATCAACCACTGATTTACAGTTGCAGACCCTTCAAACTGTAAGCCAAGAGTACCGAATGATACATTTAACTCTTTTTCTCCATTAACTGATCTTACGGTTTATTTTGTTCTTTTTATTATCTAATTGTACATCAGCTCTTTAAACATATGATTTAAAAAAATCTTGCCTGTTTTGCAGCAACATCGAAAGGTACTGGACAAAGGCAAGCCTGATGATGTGATGCCATCATTGAAAGGAGTGCAGGTAATTCCATCTGCTTGTTGCATATCCTGATTCTCAGCTAACCACCCAATAAAATATTTCAAGTGAAACTTTTTTCCTCTATGTTCTTCTTTGTTGGAATTTATAAATACAAAACATACATAGAAGATTATGAAATAATTTTGTGTAAAGGAACACAGGGTATCCTCTGTCAACAATTTATATTCCTAGACACATTAAACAACTAACTGCTATTTTAAACTAAAAGATAAAGACAATACAACATATTTTCTCCTTTTTCATATCTTACCTTTAAAGAGGTGAGCGATTCCAGAAGAACAATAATAGTACACAAAACAAAATTGCGGTGAGTCTACAAACCGATATACAGTGAGATCCAACAGGAGACATTGTGTCTCCTACATAGTCTCCATAACATTAGGAAAGAGCAGAGAAGAGGCGATCATGGGTTGTTCACAAAATGCGCAGGGAGAACCACCATAGAAACTTGCTCAGAGATGATCTAGTTTTTTTAATCCATTTGTCCCAAAGACCAGTGGAAAGCAGCTTTATATGAGAGGGAATTAAAATACCTTTTTCCATCTTGAGTTGGAAATTAAGTTGAGCTTTTATTATTTGCCACTCTGGTTTATTAAAGTTTTAATACTTTCTTGCGAAGAATAATTCACTGCTGTCAATGTGTGTATTAGTAATTTTAAATACATTTCATTAATGTGTGGTAGATTAAGGCACTATAGTGCCATTTCTGGTATGAAGACTAAATTATAATCCAGTAGTTTTAATTTCAGCAAAAACCTCCATTCAGGTCTCTTTGATGGTAGGGCAGGTCAACCGTATGTGGAGAAAACCCGCATCTTGGGCACCACATCTCCAGCAAACTTGCAAAGTGATTTTTTTGCTTTTTTAATTATTTTTTGTTTGTTTGTTTAGAAGCTTAAAATGAAGTTCATTCTGATTTAAGCAGTGGATGTTTCTATACTACAGGCAACAAATTACACCATTCATTAAATGAGATTGAAATTCACAAATCTTGTTCTCATATATAGATTGCAGATGGAATTGTTTGTTTTAGGAACAGAGAATTACAAGCAGAGATAATATTTTTGTTATATTTATTAATAATTTGATCAAAAAAACAAATGCTATCTGGTTCAACTTTTACATTTTTTTTTTTATTATTTTTTTTAAAGGAACACGATAGTCACCTAAATTACTTTAGCTAAATAAAGCAGTTTTGGTGTATAGATCATTCCCCTGCGATTTCACTGTCATTTAGGAGTTAAATCACTTTGTTTCTGTTTATGCAGCCCTAGCCACACCTCCCCTGGCTATGACTGACAGAGCCTGCATGAAAATATAACTGGTTTCACTTTCAACCAGATGTAATTTACCTTAAATAATTGTATCTCAATCTCTAAATTGAACTTTAATCACATACAGGAGGCAGGGTCTAGCAAGCTATTAAAGGACCACTATAGTGCCAGGAAAACATACTCGTTTTCCTGGCACTATAGTGCCCTGAGGGTGCCCCCTCCCGCCGGGCTGGATGGCGAGGAAAGGGTTAAATCTTACCTTTTTTCCAGCGCCGGGCAGGGAGCTCTCCTCCTCCGCCTCCTCTCCTCCTCTTCGGCTGAATGCGCGGCAGGAGCTGCACGCACATTCAGCCAGTCTCATAGGAAAGCATTCATAATGCTTTCCTATGGAAGCTGGCGTCTTCTCACTGTGATTTTCACAGTGAGAAGCACGCAGACGCCTCTAGCGGCTGTCAATGAGACAGCCACTAGAGGCTTTAGAGGCTGGATTAACCCATTTATAAACATAGCAGTTTCCCTGAAACTGCTATGTTTATATATATATATATATATATATATATATATATATATATATATATATATATATATATATATATATATATATATATATATATATATAAAAAAAATAAAGTTAATCCTAGAGGGACCTGGCACCCAGACCACTAAATTAAGCTGAAGTGGTCTGGGTGCCTAGAGTGGTCCTTTAACATAGCAGGGGATAAGGAAATCTTAATTAAACAGAACTTGCAATAAAGAAAGCCTAAATAGGGCTCTCTTTACAGGAAGTGTTTATGGAAGGCTGTGCAAGTCACATACAGGGAGGTGTGACTAGGGTTCATAAACAAAGGGATTTAACTCCTAAATGGCAGAGGATTGAGCAGTGAGGCTGCAGGGGCATGTTCTATACACCAAAACTGCTTCATTAAGCTAAAGTTGTTCAGGTGACTATAGTGTCCCTTTAACAAACTGTAATTCTAAGATTATTTTTTTTTTTTTTTTTTTTTAATCAGTGTTTGAAATTTTAAAGTAAGAATTTAATTCTTGAAATGTTTTAACTTTATACTTAATCGTAAGATAAGCCACAGTTTTTATGCCATTAGATATTCCCAAGGTTAAATCAATGTCCTTCAGTAAATCATTCAAAAAGTGTTTTGTTTTGGGGGGGCACCCTCAGCTGGAGTTTACTGAAGTTATACATAACACTTTGATAATAACTAATAGCGCATAACAATAAATCAGACAAAATATTAGAAGTCTCACAGGTTTAATAATTCATCGGTTGTGATGGCATAGTATCAGCACTAAATAAAGACAAACGGGGGGGAGGAGGGAGACTTCAGCATCAAAAGCAAACTTTGTGCAGAAGCAGATTCAATTGAGTCTCTTCGAATCCCCTTCGAGGGACAACCTCAGAGATTGCCCTCTTTAGGCCCACGACTTCTTATAGTCGCAGGCAAGCATCAACTGGCTACAGGTCCTGGTGCAGGCAATGGCACTGTGTTCTTCCGTCGGAGCACTCCTGGCATTCTGAGTCGTCCCTGGGGCTGTGTTGGGTTGATTCGATAGAATAGCTCAGCATTTCGTCCGTCTCTTCAGAATCCTCTGGTTGTGGGAGCTGTGCAGGGTTCTAAGGACCCGACTAGCCCGCAGCCTGAAGCCTCATGAATCCAGTGCTATTTTGTGTCACAGTCCGTGGGGACCCCATGACCATCCAAAACCTCCGACTCTTTGAAATAAGCTGCAGAGGGCTAGGGTGTTGAGGCACATTAGGTGCAGAGAAGGTAACCAGTTGCAGCCAAAAGGATCACCACAAACAGAATGTCTGCAGTATATCCAGCTCGGAATTAGCAAGCATATCAGCCATTTTGGGACATTCAGGTAGTGCTATGTTACGATGGTGTCTTCAAGAGTTGACCACATGAGAAACTTGATCGGTCAGTTTAGGCCAGGGGGGCACTGAGCCCAGATGATAGCAGGACACCTCCATACAAGGAATCTGTTGAGACAGAACTATCTCCTTCAGTAAGATCATCAAAAAGTTAGCTTATACGGCTATTTTTCAGAAATAGCTTGAGGAAATCTTGCGGCTTTCTCTCTTGGCAGTCAGGCTTCGCCTCCACAAAGAAATTTAGGGGTTTTTTTTAAATCTTGTACCAGATCAACAGGTTACAGCTCAATGATGAAATCTTCTTTAAGTACATTTTTTTTTTTTTTATTTTTTTTTTTTTAATAGTGATAGATGCCAAATTTCTGTAACAAAGTAATCTCTTTAGTTCAAGTCTGTACCAGCTTTCTTTTTTAGAAGATTCCTATAGATATTTAATGGCCTGTGCTAATAGAGGTTTTGGTGAGTTTACCCAAACAGGGTATCCCCAATCCTCCTCTCTTTTTTTTTTTTTTTTTCACAATAGTTTTAAACTAAATTTCTGGCTAGGGAAGAGACCTAGACGTACTAAACTTCGCAATTAACTCATGTTAATTTAGGCAAGACCAGGGTATTAATCCTGCCCCACCAGGAAAAATCTTTATTTTTCCAAATGTTTTAATTAATATTTGATTAATGGTAAGACCTCGATCTCTAGCCATTTTTGATGATTTGTAGATATCTTCATATCTTAATAAGTAAAACCTTCTTTGACCCAAAGAAAACCAAATCTTTTGGCGATGGCTAATCTCATCTGTGTATTCATAAACCTAGCAAGAGCTATTGATTTTAGAAGGGTTTAACTTATAATTAAAAGATTTACAATATTTGTCTATTACCCTCATTAGTTCCTCAGCAGAAGTTACAGGGCGTTTCATAATTATCAATATGTCATCTGCATACAATTACATTTTTATTTCTACATTGTCTTTTAAAGCCCTTTATTTTTTTCATTACATCTGATGTCTATAGCTAATGGCTCTATAGTTAAAATATGAAGCAGTGGCAATAGCAGACAGCTTTGCCTTGTTCCGTTTGCTCAATTGAACCAGTTTGAATCAATTCTGTAATTATTTTACCTGACTGGTTTGAGTACAAGGCCATAATAACTTTAAAAAATTCTTCCTGTAAAACCAAAGAACTTCAATATGTCTGCCATAAAATCCCATCTAACCCTGTCGAAGGCTTTTTCTGCATTCAATGATTGGGTCAGCAGGGGAATCCTCTACTTTATTTGACATTTTTAAATATGTTCATCAAAGTTCTAATAGGGCTATTGGAAGAGATAAAGCCTACTTGATCTATGTGATCAATCAGATATAACTGTCTTCATTCTGTTCACTATCACTGCTACATATATCTTTAGATCTACATTCAAAATGGGTCTTTAGCTCTAAATGTCTTCTGGGTTTTTATCTTGTTTTAGAATGGTGATAATGTTACCTCTTAGATCTTTAAGCAGCAGACCTTTATCGGCAAATTCATTAAAGGGTTCTAGCTAAAGCCTTACGCAAAATATTTCTCAAAGGCTTCAGCTATTTTATCAGGAGATAGACAGACAGATCTCATTGTCATAGACTATTTTAGATCTTGTTTTTGATTTGTTCATTTTCCTGAGTTCATTCGTCAAGAGGCTATTTGCTTTGTTGCATTTATTATACCATCTAAAAGATTATTATTTTTTTTTTTTTTTCTAGAGATCCGTTTATTTTAATTCTTAGCTAGTCGTTATTTTTCCTATATAAATCTTTTTATGCCTTCAGTTTCATTGTATTACTGGATGGTTTTGATTTATTAATTTTAGTATGTTTTGCAAGTTCAATATAAAGTTCTGAAATACTCTTTTCTCCAAAAGATTCATTTTGTGTTGCCAGTTTTATGAAATTACCCCTCGTGACACATTGTAAAGCTGCCCAGATAACTGATGGTGAAGAATCAAGTTTTAGATTTTCTTTGTATAACGATGTATTTTTCATTCTATATTTTGTGGCACCTCTAGTAAAAAATATTTTAATTGCCCCTGAGGTCTTGTTTGATTTGTTCATTGCAAACAGAGGGAAGTCTAAAGGAATTGTAAATTTTGGCAATAAATCAGATTTTCAATGGGGTCTGAATAATTTCGATTACAATTGAATTTTTGGGTATAACACAGTTAAAGTCAAATAACTGAGCCTTGTTTTATCTTAACCAACTTCTCGCAAAAACTTAGAAACCAAATTCATTGGTAAACTATTGGGTGCATATATGTCTTGCAATGTGTAGGCGATTTTAATTTATATCACAAATCACTGTTACGTCAACATTCCACATGTTTAATCTGTAACTCTAGATCCTTACGGAAGAAAATAGCAACACTTCTTTTCTTTTAGTCTTTCAAGGAAGCCGAAAGAACAACAGTGTCTTAATTGTAGAAGTATTAGTGAGTTCTATATAGAAATTATAAAAAAAAAAAAAAAAATTTTTAGAAAAATTACATATCAGAAAATTAGAAAAATAATCTACTCCCAACTTGAAAAAAACAAAACAAAACTTAAATATCATCAAAAAAAATTTGCTTACTTACACAAAAGTCTTAATGACATCATTGCTGTTTTATATTCTGTGAAGATTATAATCCAAGAGAAAACAAATCAATGATTAAATTCTATGTATATTCCAATGCCACTGCATCATTTTCTCTATCTAGAAGAAGTCCAAGTAAATGTTAACATTAAACTATATAAACATACATTGTGAGCTGAGCAGGCAGCTGATACACTCAGCCAATCACTGCTTCCCATTTCTGTTCAGGGTAATGCTGGGCAGACAGCTGATACACTGCGCCAATCACTGCTCCCCATTTCTGCTCAGGCTACTGCTGAGCAGGCAGCTGATACACTCGGCCAATCACTGCTTCCCATTTCTGCTCAGGCTACTGCTGAGCAGGCAGCTGATACACTCGGCCAATCACTGCTTCCCATTTCTGCTCAGGCTACTGCTGAGCAGGCAGCTGATACACTCGGCCAATCACTGCTTCCCATTTCTGCTCAGGCTACTGCTGAGCAGGCAGCTGATACACTCGGCCAATCACTGCTTCCCATTTCTGCTCAGGCTACTGCTGAGCAGGCAGTTGATACACTCTGCCAATCACTGCTTCCCATTTCTGTTCAGGATAATGCTGGGCAGGCAGCTGATACACTGCGCCAATCACTGCTCCCCATTTCTGCTCAAGCTACTACTGAGCAGGCAGCTGATACACTCGGCCAATCACTGCTTCCCATTTCTGCTCAGGCTAATATTCCTTCATTAGCTTGAGCTGACAAAGGGAATCTCACTTAGCATTTATTCATTAAAACTGTTGAACAATGAATAAAGGGTAGCCAGCGTAGCTATTTTGACAGTCCATTGCATTCCCATAGGGAAACATTGGAAAGCTAGTGCGCGTGTGCAGCAAATCGCTGCTCTGCGCCAATCATCATCTCCTCATAGATGTGTTGAATTAATGCATCTCTATGGGGAGTATTCAGCGTGTCCAAGCAAAGCCGAGTTCTGAGTGCAGAATCTGGGAATTCCTTTGCAGAATTTAAAGAAAACCATGGAGTCCTGAGATAAATCCAATTAATCAACTGTACTATTAGTTGCTCTAATAATCACTGGTGATTTTATTGTTACAGGAACGTCTTCCCACTACCCCAATATCCGGTATGTACAATAAGTCTGGGGGGAAAGTCAGACTGACGTTCAAATTGGAACAAGACCAGCTTTGGATTGGTACAAAAGGTTAGTGCTTTTTAGATCTTTACAAATGATTTCTTAATTCTCTGGCAGGGCTTGTAAGTGCAGAATGTAGATTTTATACGCGGTTTGTGTAGAATCAATTAATCTATGTCAGCCAGAATCCTAAAGGAACTAACAAGATTAGTTTACTGGCTTCACACTGGGAAACAAATGATTAGCGATTTAACTAAATAATAGATACAAGATGCATAGATAATGCGTCACAGCACCACAGAGAAAAAATAGGTATATCTAAATGCTGAAAGCCAATGTGCTTCCAATGCACGGATTCTCTCAAGACTCACCAAAGAGCCTGACCACTTAAAGGGACAATACAGAACACTTTAGATTGTTGAAGTACTTTAGTTGTGAACTGCAATCCAGGGGTTAACTGAAGCTGACGGCTAGAAGAGCATCATGGTTCTTTAGAGGGATACTCTAAGCAACTTTAACTGAACTAAATGCTGTTGGTGTATAATTCATTTCCCTGCTGTTTCACTAAACAACCTATGCTCATTAGATCAAGCAAAAAAATCTATCTACCTTGTTCTAGTAGTTTTGCTAGAAAAATGTTTAGATTAGGAGAAAAACCTCTTTAAAAATAGGCATTTCTGCCCGCTGTTAGTCAATGCCTCGGTGTGCCAAGGCATTGATTTGACAAGGGAAAGCAGAAAAGCCCTCTCACAGGAGGTCCTGCCACTCTCCTAAGCGTACGTCGCAAGTGCTGTGGTTGCACAGCTGAGCTGATAACCTCCTAAATTGTGTTGTGCATGGAAGAGGAAATGGAGCAGCACCTGGTCCAGGTTATTTTATGTACCCTTTGAAATAGTCTTACTTAATTTTTGTTTAAACGCAGAAAGGACAGAAAAAATCCCCATGGGTTCCATTAAGAATGTGATCACTGAGGCAATTGAAGATCACGACGATTATCACATGATGGTAAGGATTCTCCAATGAAATCTTTCTATTTCTCTGTTACTACTCACCAGTGCTAGATCAACTCTGGAAATTTAAGGGACACTCTGGGTACCATCACTGCTTTAATTCCTTTAGATTTCTCCTAATTAATATGATTTATTTTCTCCACGATCAATTCTTTATACACAAATAACATAAATGTTTTGCACAGTGCTGCACCATAAGCCAGACTCTTTAGCCACACCCTCTCACTTCAGAAAATAAACTTCCTTATCATATGTATGTACAGAGCTAAGCCACTGATGGATATGAACAACAAAACATGCATTAGAAGGAGAGGAAACTGAGGGAGTCATATAGTAAAGCTATCACAACCTGTTTGTAGATTCTCTGAATGTCTAAAGCCAGACTGTGATTTAAAGGCAGCTCACTCAGTTCTGTTTGAGCTGTGTACATAACACTGATAAAGTCTTTCTGGCGTGGGGGCTGAAGGCTTCTGGTGCAATATTCGGCATAACTGTTTTTCACGAAACACTGGTTGTTGGAGTAACCCTTCCTGTGTTGGTCCATCCCCTCCCCCTTATTTTTATTTATTTATTCCGCCAGAGCCTAGACCAAGTTCACCCCCAGCCTGATCTTCCTCAACTGATGTCATTCAATGTTATTGGAGGGGGAGGGAGTATGGAATGAGGGGAGAACAATGATGGCACAGGGAGGTGTTGTCTGCTCACACCCAACTCTCGCCTTTGCAAGTCAACATGTAAAATGTCCCATATGACAGACTGATACAAAGTCAAAAAGTTTTGCAACTATAGAAATGTGTGCTGGACAGATTACTAGCAAACCTATGCTTAAAATGGCATTTTGATGTAGATATTTCATGTCTGTACTGCCAACACTATTGGCATTTTTAGCATCACGCACTGGATAATTCACAAAAGTTTAAATTGTCAGGAATTCAAAGTGCATTTCAAATTGTAGTTCAAAATAGCAGAATGTGAATAATTATCCAAGTCATCTGCGTTTTCATATCAGGTATTTGAAATAAAATTTACCTTGAATCCCCTGCACGCCACAGTTTAGTGAATAACCTTGTCAGTGTATTTAACTAAATTCCCTGTTGTAAAATCACATATTTCAGTGTTCTTTGCCTTTATTCTGTACAGGCGTTCCAGCTGGGTCCTACTGAAGCATCTTACTATTGGGTTTACTGGGTTCCCGCACAGTATGTGGATGCCATCAAAGACACAGTGTTAGGGAAATGGCAGTATTTTTGAAGTTACGTTCACCTCTGGCATAGGACACAAGACGCTAGAAAGAGCTGCCATCAACCACGGCGTTTCCTAGCCCACATCTGGCCACCCATACCCATCCTTGCAATGATACCCCATTACCCTCCCTGCTCACAAGAAAGAAGCCTGGAACTTTTTAGCCAATTGAAAGAATCCTGTGGAGCAGAAAAGGCGACTTTTGAAGGAGCCAGAGGTGAACACCAAAATCTAGTTTACGTTTTTAACTTTTTGAAAGTTGCAGCTTCTTCTCTGCAACTGCGTCAGCCATATATCCAAAAAGCAAAAATGTTTGTTTGGTTTTTTTCATTTTTTTTTTTTCTTTGTGTTTTTGTTTTTTTCCTCTTGTCCCATGCATTTCCTGCCGGTATGACCACCAGGGGATCATTTCTATGTCACAAACGTTTCCCAATTTTCAAAACTGACAAGCCCGCAATATGGAAATCTGCATCTGCAGAGGCTACACAATATGCAGGCCACACTTCCAGGTCATACTGAAAAATCCCGGCTGTTTTTTCTTTGCTGTGTTTTTGTTTTTTATTATTTATAATAATCTTAATCTGGCAACTTGTATTTTATTTTTTTCTTTCCTCCTTCTTCCATCAGTTTTGCTTTCAGGGAGGGGTGTCAATTAAATCTGCTTCTTTCATTTGATCTTGTTTTTGGATGCTAACTGCGTACTGGAAATTAATTAAATTGGTGTAGAAAATGCCATACTATGTAGAATTCTGCCCCTGATTAAATGTGTGGCCGTAGTTTTGGGCTTGGAAGTGTATAGAAAATCAATGTATCATAACACCCTTTGCTGAAGAGTTGCATCCATATTTAGGAGTTGATTCATTATACACTAAACCGGATTGGAGAGTTCAGATTTGTGGTTATTCTTCAGAGAAGAAATGAGAAGGTATAAAAAAAAAAAAAAAAAGTTTCTAAACTTTTCTATGGTACCTAACACCTGGGATCCGGCACCGTTTGATGTGCAAAGAGCTTCAGCAACTATCAAATTGGCTCAATAGGGAGGGATTTGGGAGTCCCAATTGTAGTCATTAGAGTTCTAATAACGCAAACAATCAAACCTACATCTGATTAGTGCTTTTACCTAAAAAGACAGCAACAACAACAAAAACAAAAACGTTTTTTTGTTTTTTTTTTAAAGCGTTTAGTGAATCATCCCCTTAGAGCCCAATGTTGCCTCATTAGGGGTTTACGTTCCACATTACACCTCTTCTGTTATCTATTGATAGGACTCAAGTTCCAAATGAATCAGAGGTTTAATGGATTGTACTAGTTACTGTGATAAAGTGGTGTGTGTATATTTTAATATGCATGCATTTTATCCCAAACATAAGAATGTCTACTCATTGCTCCTTGCAGTGAGTGGCCTTTTTTTAATATACAGATTAAACAAAGTATTCACTGCTGATTTCCTGGATTGATGTAAACCCAAATGTACCTGCAGTGGAGCATGCTGTGCAAGCATCAGTGCTGTTTTACTTTTGCTAAAGAAACAAACATTTTAAAATGAAAGCTCTTTAAAATGGACGTCTTCCCTGGAAAACCTGATTTGATAAAATTAACATCAAAGCAATGTTTATCAATTTTATGGTATTTTCAAGAACATCTTTCTTCCCTATCTCGTGTATAGAGTAGATGTTGCACAGCATGCACTTTATCTCTCCTTGGCCAACCGCTTCATTTCTATGGCTATAAGTCTGGAACTGGTGGTGTGGGTGGATAAATAGTTGATCCCCAGCTAAAACTACACATCCCATGATGCCTTTCTGACCTTAAGGGTGGCAAAGTATTTTGGAATATGTTGTTTGCAGCTGGGGATTTGTCTTTTGACAACCCGTACATCAGGGAGGTATGGTCCACACCGTAATGTAATCGTTTCTTTTCTCTTTTGTTTAATGTGGAGACTTTTGGTGGAGGGAGGTGTTGTCTGACAGGTCCTTTAAAAAAAAAAAAAAGTGAAATGTGATCGCCTCCGCTGTGAAATGGGAGCAGAATCCTTGGATTGTTTTGAAATCTGTTGCAGAGAAGGTGGAGTTTCTACACCATGGCAAATACTAAAGAACAGAATATTAATAGATTGTGCTGACATGTTACACATAGAAAAAAAAAAAAAATACGCACTTCCTGTGGCAATTAAAGGACACTCCAAAAATCGCCCACACCCTCAACCAAATTACAGGCCGAAACAAAATTTCCCCCTTTATCTGTATGCCATGTGCCCACTGGCGCAGTCCACACTACACAAGTCCCATCTCACACAGCAGCTACTCCATAGCTTTATGTGAAGAAGCTGGTGCTGTTGCCACATGCATAGGTTCACTGATGAAAACCATGAATGGAGCTATTGACAAGCTGGGAGTAAGTGATCATTTTAAATCTATGAATGGCAATTCTGCTGAGTGCTAAAACAAAATGTTAACATACCGTAATCCATTGGTTTAACTGACAATAGTATAAATATACGATCAGCAAATTATTGTTTATATTTTTTTAAATATGTTTGGGATATTTTCTGCTGTCAAATGAACCATAGCATACATGCATTTTACTATTTAAAGGAACAATAGGGGAACTGGCACCTAGAGGGCTCCAGGTGAGATGTCTCAAGTCAGAGCTTACAGCTCTCCTGAAGACTGCAGAGCGGTGAGGAGTGCCTGGCTGACCCAGGGTAAGAAGTCAAACCTTTCTAAATAGCTTGACTACTTACTAAGATGGGCGCCAGACCTCTCCTTGCACCTTGACCTTATAGTGAACTGTAGTGTTTATAGTGCTAGGAGTGTCCCTTTAAAAAAATAAATAAATAAATCCCCTTAGAACTGTTTTATAGTACATGGAGACCTGAGTAGTCTATCCCCTGTGGGCTAATGAAGAATCATTAAAGGAAAATTAAGGACACCGTAACAACTTCATTGACATTAAGTTGTTATGTTGCCGTGAGGTACCAAGTGCTTTCTAAAGGTTTAACCCTAAAGTCTGCTCTGCAGCGCTATTTCTCTCTGTCCCCTTCCACGTTCAGAATCCCCATTCATAAAAACGGCCTAAGAGAGGAATATATGAATGAAGGACTTTTGGTTGGATTAGGGCATCAGCTGTCTGTTCTAAGTCAATCAGCTGAGTTCCTGCCCAACAGCAGTTCGAGATTTCCTTCACAAGAATTTTTGAATTTGTTTCCATAAATTTAAATATAATTTACAGTAGTGGCAAATCCCCTTGACGATTTAATGCAAAAATCCAACTCTTCCAATGGGAGATCGAAGTCCAAATACATGATGATAATGTTTCGACCACTCCATGTGGTCTTTATCAAGTCTTGACTTGGTTTGATAAAGACCACGTGACTTTGCTTTCCTATTTGGAGTGATCATGTCCGTCACTGATTTTCATTGTGACATGTAGATGGGGACCTTTTACCATACCCCCTAACGGCCCCGGATCCAAACACAGTCCAGCAAACAGGGGAAGTTCATGTAAAATAAACAGATATACCTATATACTTTTTTTCTCTGTTTATTTTACATGAATATCCCCTATTTGTTGTGAGGGGTAAGTGTACAGTGTATATTTCACTTTTTCTGATATCACACTCACAACGCTGCACTATTTACTGAATAGTGAGAAGGTCTTTTTGTACCCACTCACTGTTTAAGTATTTGTTTGCTTAGGTATTTTAATTACAATTAGCGGGACCTGCCTGACAACCCATGCCGAAAGTAAAGGGAATTTAATTTGCTAGCACTATATTTAACCCTATAACTTTCCAAGACACCATAAAAACCTGTACATGGGGGGTACTGTTCTACTCGGGAGACTTCGCTGAACACAAGTATTAGTGTTTCCAAACAGTAAAATGTATTAGAACGATGATATCGCCAGTAAAAGTGAAGTTTTTTGCATATTTCACACACAAACAGCACTTACACGGACGATATTATTGCTGTAATACTTTTTGAAACACAAATATCAGGTTTTATGGTGTTTTCAAAAGTTACAGTGCCAAATATAAGGCTTGTGTTTCATTTTTTTCACATACAAATTCGCCAGATTGGTTACGTTGCCTTTGAGACTGTATAGTAGCCCAAGAATGAAAACTACCCCCATAAAGGCATACCATTTGAAAAAGTAGACAACCCAAGGTATTGCAAATGGGGTATGTCCAGTCTTTTTTAGTAGCCACTTAGTCACAAACACTGGCCAAAATTGGCATTTTTTGCATTTTCACACACAAACAAATACTAACGCTAACTTTGGCCAGTGTTTGTGACCAAATGGCTACTAAAAAAGACTGGACATACCCCATTTGCAATACCTTGGGTTGTCTACTATTGCAAATGGTATGCCATTATGGGTGTAAATTTCATTCCCGGGCTACTATACAGTCTCAAAGGCAACGTAACCAATCTGGCGAATTTCAATTTCAAATGTAACGTGCTATATTTTACCCTGTAACTTCCCAAAACGCCATAAAACCTGTACATAGGGGGTACTGTTTTACACGTGAGACTTTGTTGAATACAAATATGTGTATTTTATTGCAGTAAAAGCAAACAGTATTAAGACATTGACAGTTAAAATGTCATGTAGAACTAAAAAAATCAAAAAAATCTTATTTTCTCCCATTTTTTCATATTAAATTATGTTTCATAGCTAAATATTTGATATTAAATGAAAGCCCTGAATAAAATGATATATAATAAGGGTGGGTGCATTTAATATGAAAGAGGTGTATTACGGTTGGACAGACATGTAGCGCAAATGCCAGGTTTTGTTTACATTTTGTTTTGTTCACAACGTGTACATTTGGCTCCGTCCTTAAGGGGTTAACATACCAGGAGTTTGGGCAGAGAACAACCCACCAGGACTGGCCCGCAATATTCCACCTATTAAAATCGAACTAAAACTTCGGGTTTATCCAGTAAGCCTGAGACAATATCATATTCCGCAGAAGGCTAAGAAGAACATCCAATCTTATCTGGATAAGTTCATACGGTATGGTATCCTAAAATTCTGTACTTCCCCCTGGAACACCCCATTGCTGCCTGTTCAAAAGCCCGGTACAGATGAGTATCGACCTGTGCAGGACTTGAGAGCAGTCAATGATGCGGTTGTTAGTATACATCCAGTCGTGCCCAATCCATATAACCTGCTTGCTTTAATTCCGGGCGGGCTACTTACTTTACAGTCTTAGATCTCAAAGATGCCTTCTTTTGCCTCCGAATTGCCGCAGAAAGCCAATGTATCTTCGCTTTCCAATGGGAAAATGCTGTAACGGGCTCGAAACGCCAAATGACCTGGACAAGATTGCCCCAGGGGTTTAAAAAATTCACCTACCCTATTTGGTTCAGCTCTAAGTCAAGATCTACTAGATTTCGAGTCTATCCCAGGAGAGTGTGTATTATTACAATATGTAGATGACTTGTTGATAGCAGCAGTTACAAAGGAAGTATGTCAGCAAGCAACGCATGATCTACTACACATCCTCTGGAAGGCAGGATACAAGGTGTCAAGAAGGAAGGCTCAGTTGTGTTTGCCAACTGTCAAATATCTGGGATTCCATATCTCTGAAGGTCAAAGAATTATGGGGCCAGAGAGAAAAGAAGCTGTGTGCCAAATACCCATACCCAGGAATAGAAGACAAGTGCGAGAATTCTTGGGGGCAGCAGGCTTCTGTAGGATATGGATTCCCAGCTACGCGATACTGGCAAAACCTCTGTATGCAGCTATCAAAAGTACAGAGCACGACCCCTTCTTATGGACTCAAGAACAGCAAACGGCATTCGAAGATGTGAAGAGGGCTTTGATGAGTGCCCCAGCATTAGGTCTACCTGACCACACACGGCCATTCTACCTGCATGTACATGAGCAAAGAAGAATGGCTGTGGGAGTATTGACACAGTACTTGGGATCATGGCAAAGACCTGTTGCCTACATGTCTAAGCAAATGGATGCAGTGGCCAGTGGACTTCCACCTTGTCTAAGAGCCGTAGCTGCAGCCGCCCTGCTAGTAGCTGAAGCCGATAAACTCACTCTGGGTCAAGAACTTTATGTACGAATTCCACATGCAGTACAGACGTTGTTGGATTACAAAGGAAATCATTGGTTTAGTAACAGCCGTATGACCAAGTATCAAGCAATGTTGTGTGAAAACCCAAGAGTGCATTTAGAGACTGTAAATACCTTAAATCCAGCTACCCTTTTGCCACAACCTACTGAAAGTCAACATGATTGTTTGGAAGTAATGGATGAAGTATTTTCAAGCAGACCAGATCTTCGTGATTTTCCCATCCAGAACCCTGATGTTCAATATTACACCGACGGCAGTAGTTATGTAAAAGAAGGGATCCGCTATGCAGGATATGCAGTAACAACAATAGACAAGGTGATAGAAGCTCAGCCACTGGCAAAAGGAACATCAGCACAAAAGGCAGAATTGATAGCACTGACACGAGCGTTACAATTGGCTGAAGGTTTAAGAGTGAACATCTACACGGACTCCAAGTATGCGCTTTTAACCACTCATGCCCACGGAGCTTTGTATAAAGAAAGAGGACTATTGAATTCAGAAGGCAAAGAAATCAAATACGCAGCTGAGATCCTACAACTATTGGAAGCAGTGTGGGAGCCGAAAGAAGTCGGTATTATACATTGTCGGGCGCATCTGAGAGGAGATGGTGATGTAACCAAAGGGAATCGGATGGCAGATAGTGCAGCTAAGCGCGCTGCTGAATCAGGAAGACAGGAATATGTGGGGCATATAGCTGCTCTTATACCAACTCCACTGTCTCAATGGACTCCAATTTATACAGCTCAAGAAGAGGAGTGGTTAAGGACTGAACCTGGAAAGTATTTGGAGAACAAATGGCATCAGTTAGAAGATGGAAGAATAGTTATTCCAGCATCACTAGCGGTAGAAATTGTCCAAAACTATCATAACGGGACACATTCTGGGAGAGACAGTACAGAAGAATCTCTCAGAAAACATTTCTACATACCAAGATTGTCCAACTTGACTCAGGCCATTGCACGTAGATGTGTAACGTGTGCTAAAAATAATGCAAGACAAGGACCAGTAAAGCCACCAGGAGTCCAGTTTATGGGGGGACTTCCCATGTCCGATTTACAAATTGACTATACAGTGATGCCTAAATCGGGTGGACATCGCTACCTGCTGGTAGTGGTGTGCACCTATTCAGGCTGGGTAGAAGCATGTCCTACTCGTACAGAGAAAGCAGGAGAAGTCGTGAGATTCCTGCTACGAGAAATAATACCCCGATATGGACTACCCTACTCTATAGGATCGGACAATGGTCCAGCTTTTGTTCATCAGTGCCTACAACAATTGACTCATATGCTTGGTATAAAGTGGAGGCTTCATACGGCATATAGATCCCAGAGTTCTGGTAAGGTAGAGAGAATGAATAGAACTATTAAGAATCAGTTGGCTAAAATGTGTCAGGAAACCCAACTTAAGTGGAACGTTCTCTTGCCCATAGCTCTATTGCGAATCCGTAGTACACCTACCAGAAGGATGGGCCTCTCTCCTTTTGAAATCATGCACGGGCGACCACCTCCCGTGCTTGGTAACTTAAGGGGGGATTTGAGTCAGTTGGGAGAAGGAATTACCCGGCAGCAGGTTGTAGAGTTGGGTAAGACTACGGAGGAGGTACAGAAATGGGTACAAGATAGATTACCTGTGAATATTTATCCCCCAATTCATAGTTACCACCCAGGCGACCAAGTGTGGATTAAAGAGTGGAATAATGTGCCGTTAGGGCCCAAGTGGAGAGGTCCCTATGTTGTTCTTCTGTCTACCCCTACAGCGATAAAAGTAGCCGAAGTGGCTCCGTGGATACATCACTCCAGGGTTAAACCAGCAGCAGCCGATTCCTGGCAAGTTACAGCAAATCCAGAGAATCCCTGCAAGATTCGGTTAAAACGCACGACTCGGAGTGACGAGGAACCTTGTAGATTACAAATTTTATTGTTTCAGAGACTTGGTAAGTGAGTGAGAAGGCCATAATAAAGCCTGTCCACTCACCAACGAGTGTATAAGTCAGGGAAAGTCTTGAGGGGACCCCTGTGAAGACGAGCAGAACTCCATTCCCTGCAGTCCTTACATCCTGGAAGCTGAGGTGCCTTCGCACGGACGAAGACTGAGGATGACGACTAAAGATGTATTTTTAATAATGTTTATTTATGTGTATTTTTATATTCAGGAAGGTAGAGGTACCAACACTCCTAGCTGTGAGGTATGCATTAAGACTACAAGAACAGGTAACCATATATCCCAGACCCTAATTTGGCATTCGCAATATGAGTGTAAAGGAGATGTATCAAGATGTAGATACTTAAATATAGAATATAGTGTGTGTCATTTAGGAGTAGGAGAACCTGAGTGCTTCAGTCCTGAGTATCAACCCCGTACAATTTGGTTGACTCTCAGAAATGGAGATCCTCAGGGGACCCTAATTAATAAGACGGTATTAAAATCCGTATATTCTTCAGGTACTCTGCTATTTGATGCGTGTAAAGTGTTCGTGTAGAACAAATATGAACACTCAGTCTACCTCTTACACTGAGTACTTCTCAATTAGCCACCCACCATCTGCCTGTACAATCCTCAGCGCTCCATCTTCTGACAGACCTTTAAAAAGTACTGATCACATCACATCACAGATCGTTCTCTTCTGGTTGCATCATTGTACAGTTATCTTTCCATTTGAGTAATAAACACATTGCTAAATGTAGTGTTACAACTTTCAGCATCTCTAATTGCGGAAGATGCAAATCTAGCTGTTATTGTGATTCAGAGCAATCCCTGATTAACATTTACTTGTATTCAGCATTTGTCAAATTCTATACAAACATAGGCTCAAGTAGCAAACCATTCCAATAAGCTTTCCTGTTTAATAGTTTCATGTGGGGAATTTTGGCTTTCACGCGAGTTCTGTGCCAAGTTCGCTTCAGATACAATCTGTACACTGTAGTAGGCAGCTAACTAGTGAATAGTACAGATCAAAAATTATATCTGATGATTGTTCTACTCCTGGCATGGCACACTAGACTGATATAGTGGTTGCACGTTTTATAGATAATTTTATGATTTTTAAAGAAACACGCCAAGAAACATAACCACCACTGCCCACTCTAGTGGTTATGGTGCCAGCAGCACGATGGCACTCACCCACTGTAAGTAGTCAAATGGATTGCCAATTTACCTGTGGTCTGTCTTCTCCTCGGGAACCCAGGAGCTCCTGGAAGGTGACTGCTGGTTCCACTTAGCTAAGACCTGCAGTAAAAGTGTAATCTGAGAGATTTTACCGAACTAAGCCCTGTGCTCTGGATGTAGATCCGTGGAGGAGGTTATCGTCACCCAGTGAACCCCAATTAAGTTGTCAAAATATTCACAATACACTGTGATGGTGCTCAGTGTTCCTTTAGGTAATACAAGACCTGATGGTGATGACAGGTGCACTACAAGTGCATCAAAGTGTTAAATGGATTGTGGGGTATAAACATTTTCCCGAATATTTTCAGTGTCATAGTAAATGTGTATGTTGGTTGTATACACCTGCTTCAGTTTGAGCAGGAATTTCTGTTCTGTTTGTTGGCACATGTTGGAGTCTGCTTGTTGGTTTTAATGTGTTTGGTGTGTTTAATGTTGCTGTTTGTGTGTACGTTTATAGCAATGTTCCCCTGCCTATCACTAACCAGATTTGGAGTAGAAGCATTATCAAAGTTGTAAATGTATTTGCTGTGGACATGCACGCACACTCTCTCTGTGGGCTCTTTATTAGGTACTGGGTTTAGTGCCGGTAAGATTCCTTTTTTTTTGTGTGTGAATAATTTACTTTAATTCTTGGGAAGAAATCAAGCAAGCACTCTGAAAGCCCCCTAGACCCTATTTCCACACGTATCTCCCTTTTTGTTTCTCTGGTTGCTCTCATCATTTGAGTCCCCTCTGCTCCCCATTTGTCCATCTATCTCAGTCACCAAATATTAGCACTCACTGTGATGAGTTGTTTGGTAACATCATGGTATATATAGAGCACGTTGTTTAATCACGCCTTTAAAGTTTGTGGCTGTCGTGTAGTATTAGGTAAGTGGTGCTGGTGACAAGTGTGCCATAGATTCACAATCGCTGCCCTGGAGGGTGTATTGAATGTTGCTTCTGTAGTATTACAGAGAGCCTGTTGGGTTTTTCAGGAATACGTTCATTTTTCACATCTCCAATTCCTCTCTTGGGATTGAGACCTCAGTATTTTATAATCCACTGGAGGATTTTGAAAGGTTGATTTTAGCCTTTGAGCTGTGATCGTTCCATTCTCACTCACCCCTGTAGGTAGTAATATTCAGGGGAGGCAAGTGTGTATCCCTTACTTACTATACTGGCACATCCACTACAATCTGGCATACATTGTCATTCACCGATATCCCATAATGCTCTGCACTTGCATGCTAGTCTGTGCCTTCAAAGATTCTAATATCCTGTTGTTCAAACCAATAGAAAAGTGCCAATATTTTCAGTGGAAAAGTGCAATCCATCGCGATTTGGTTGAGTCTAAACCTGACCACTGGCAAGTTATTGTTAAGTCCTAGTCCTGTATAGGGAGATAATGCTTACTGTGTGACATGGTGAATTGTCCTGCTAGAAGCATCACTTTGATAATGTATTGACGCTGGCTATAATGGATGCCCACTGTCAGCAATGCTCAGGTACACAGGTAATTTTCCAGTTCTGGAGATCACATTCCCATTGTAGCTAATTCACAGCTGATCAGAGCAGTGTCCTTTACAGCAGCCTGCTGTAGCTCAACCTAAGAATCGTTGTTCAATGTGTGCTGAATGCAATGCTGAACAGAGGGTTGTAATGTGTCATTATATGAGTTGGTTAACTGTGCGGTCTCCATCCTTGCTACTGTGTAAAACCTGGGGAGGGGGGGGGGCACTCCTACCATGATTAGTTACTTGTATCCCATGTCTTCTCTATAACAACAACTAAATCTCAACCATGTGTGCATGCTTTATACTTGGTACAGAGTTTAAAACGTCAAGTCCTATGATTATAGCCAGACCTTAAAAGTTACTAGCCACTGCATGCTTGGAGAATGCATAGCACAGTCAGTATGGATACATTTCTACCTGCTAAGACTGACTTGTCACTTGCCATTGGCAAGTAAAAATATAAACTCTGCTTTCTATAAGGCCCCTGGATATGTTTAAAATGGTTTTATAATCTCATGCTGGCATTTCTTAAATAACCTGAAGAGGTCAAGTTCTAATAATGCTTTTAAATGTTGTTGTGTTCGTTTCTTCAATATAATTATATCATTATGGTTTGATAAATAGCAGGTTTGTTTGTTTTTGGAAGCTATGACAAAAAATTTATTTTATAGGGAATGGGGGGGGGAGGGGGAAATCTACAAATCCTCATGAGACCTCACTAGGCAGCTCTATAGCCAACACAATTCTTTGTTGAAGAAACACAATTTTTTTTTCACATAATGTAATATATATATTTTTTTTTTTAAATGGCTGATCCCCTTTGTTTTGTCTGTCAGTGGCAGGTGTAGATGCCGAGCCTCTTCCTCAAGGAAGGGCGAATTGCACCCCCCCCCAAACTCCAAAACAATCAGAGCCAGGTCATGCATTTAAATGAGTATCCATTCATTTTCGCCTTGGCCCGTGGGTTTTCAATGAATATTAAACTTGTTCCATAGGGATTGGATAATGTTTTACCCCTTACTGTTGCTTTACTTTCATTGTGCTGAATAAATCCTCTTTTTCCGCTGCCTCTGTGCGCCTTTGAAGGGGTTAACCAGCAGGCCCATCTGCTTGTGTTGTGCTCCTTATGCAAATCATTGTGTAATCCTTTCTCCTGCCAAGGAGTGGTTCTCCCTAAATCACTACGGAGCAGGCTAGCCTTTCCTTCCTTCCATCGTTGTACGGGAAAAAATTGCGACTTGTGCTTGTTAGCATCCATCCTTGCACTGCAGCTGTGTAAAGAGGGACAGAAGATGAACAAGCCTGCCAGCATTCGCATTTAAAGCTTTCAACAAATGTATACCGTAAATAATTTAATATCGCTAAGACTGGTGTTCTAATCTCTCATGTCATGTAGTATATACAGATCCCATTATGTGGTGTGGTGTGTTCTTTTGATATTTTTAGTCTATCCCATGTTTACAGTTGAATATCTGTAATATATGTTCTATACAGGATTGTGTAAATGTATTCTGTGCTATATTTTAAACTTTGTGCAGCGTATCTCATTCTCTCTCCCATTGTATGTATTATGCAGGATTTAATGAAGAGTTAGTCCCACAGGGATCGCAGAAGGAGAGAGATCAGCTTATAGAAGCACAGAAAAACCTTATCCTCTGTCTTCACAGAAGCCTTTACGGGAGCTGCCCTGCAAGAAAAAGGAATCTCCATCATACATCTTACTCCTGTCACGGGGGTCTCTGCAGACTGACATGAAGGTTGCCCTAGTAGCCTCCTAGGAGGGAGAATGGGGACTCAGGGTAGCCCGGTAAAGAGCTATGACTACCTATTGAAATTCCTGCTGGTTGGAGACAGCGACGTGGGGAAGGGAGAAATCTTAGAGAGTTTACAGGATGGAGCATCGGAATCTCCTTACTCTTACAGTAACGGTAAGCGGAGTGGTCTATCAAAGGCAGAACCTGTTCTGTCACTTCACATCTGGCTGTTTGTCTTTTTTTTTTTTTTAAACCCTTAATGAGTGTAGCGTTGGTCTAGGCTTTGTTGTGCCACATTGTCCATTCCTTACCTACAATGTCCTACAGCAAATAGTGCTACGGGATTTGTGTTTCCAGTTGTTTTTAACTCTAGGAAGCTCATCTATTTCTAAACTTAGGAACTAACATGAATTGATTTTAGGACCTAGTAAGGGTGGCATCCATTGGTCTATATAAAGATTTTGATTTTGGGTCTTGTTCGCAGCTATGCTTTGCTTTTCAGCTTGAGCCACGTTGTGTTGGATTGATATCGGATGTGTCCAAGAAGTTTATTCTGAATTTTGGATCATTGCAGTAAGATGTGTTGGAAAAGCTATGAGGGTTAGAGGTTCCTTAAATTCCAGTTTTATGTTTATTGGATGAAACACGAGCTGCTCTGAGACAATGGGACAGGATGCTGTGGCTGCATCCAAACATTCCACCATTTGGGTTTGTATAGCAGTTAATTCAGATTTACTAATAGGAGTTCAGCTCTGTGCTTTGTTTGTTGCAGAGTTGTTTGTTTGTTTTTCTGAAAATGGAATTGTTTTGTAAAGCAAATTTTTCTGAAATCTAATTTGGCAACTGGTATTAGGGGCTTGATGAGTTAATCATAACAGTGGAAGCTGTGTGTGTTGTGCAGGGGTATTTAGTTTTTTTGTTTTGTTTTTTGTGTGTGTTTTATTTTTCTCTTCTGATCTTTGAAATAATTCGTTATCAGTGTATAATGAATATGGTGTTTTGGTCATTAAATTATTTTAATGAACATTCACATTTTATATAAACCAACTTTATACCATTTTAAGATTTTTCTTAGCTATTCGGGTGTTTTTTGTTTCCAAACATTTCACTCTTTTGTATGTTTATTGTTTTTTACACAAATGTAACACCGAGGATGTCTCCTTTTTGCCTGACCCACCTCTCGTGATTTAGCACGAAGTGCTGTTTAACTGCTTGCCAAATCTGGGCTGCTAGACTTTCCCAGAAGGCTCCATGGCTTTGTTCGGCTGAGACTCTGTCACTGTAAGCCAAACACCTCTTACACCCGTTTGCAGCAAAGTGTTTAAACAGATTCCTGGTGAATGCCTGATGGTCCAGGAAGTAAAGCCTCACTGTCTCATCCCTGCTTCCTTAACAAAGATTTCCTGCCCTCACTTCCTGTCTGCCCGGGATCATAACCTTCCACCCACTCTCCGTCCGGATTGTTCACTAAATCTACAAATATCAGGGCAAAATAGCTAAGCCAGAAACATGGCTAACTTGGATCATTTTCCTTGTTCATCTGTTTTGATCTGACATTTAGAATTCTCTTAATACCAGACCATCCATTGTGTGGTGGATATCCCTGGATATATTTGTGTGTAGAATAGTGACTGCTCTGTGACGTATCAACAGGACTCCCTTATTCACTATTTGCTGTAGAATGTGTTTCAGTGCAGATATTCCCCTTTGACATGGAGGGTAGAGACGTGTCTCTGGACCCCCTATAATTATTAATGCTGTCTTTCTCCATGAATGTTAAATACATTTCTCAAACCCAAACCTGTAATATATCTAAAAATAGGCAGTAAATGTATATGTCCAAGAGGAATATCCGCTGTTAGAATTAGAGTAAATAGCTATACTGTATTCATGAAATCAGATAGTTACTTGAGAGAGTGAGTGTGTGTGTGTCTGTCTGTCTCAGTAACAAGAGGTATCTTTCCAAAATCCGACTTGAGATCTGCAGGTGTCATTCGCAACAGTAATATTTTGATTTGCACTGTGGGTGTTTTATTATGACTTGCCGTTGGGAGTAACTTATAAGGCCTGGCTAGTGGCATAGGACTACAAGTTTTATACGTGTAATATTCGCCATAAATGGACAGCACTCCTAGGACTTCTCCATATTAAAACGTAACTTATATTTACATGTTTGTTTTTAAATAAACACTTTAAAACTCTTCTGAAATTATAATTTATTTATTTTTATTGGGGGAGAGATATAGCGAACTCAGACCGTTTAATTCAATATTTGTATGGCTGTTTGTGATCCCTGTGAGTTGTTAAAGGGACACTATAGACACCCAGAATACATCTCATTGAAGTGGTCTGGGTGCAGTGTCCTTGTTCCCTTTAATCATGCAATCTAAAAACCTTGCCGTTCCAGAGAAACTGCAATGTTTATAGTGCAGGGTTAAGATTGACTGTGTACCAGACAGCCACTAGAGACGCTTCCTTCATTTACAAGGAGTTTAACCACGCTGGACCATCTTCACACTTTGCATGAGAACATACAGGTTTGCAAATCCCATTAGGTTCCCCTTGTGCTGCTGTAAGAGGCGGAGCCAGCGCTGAGAGACTTCATGACTGGAATAAGGTTTTTTAACTCTTTAACAGCCTTAAGGTATGGTGAAGGGGAGGGGAGCTGAGGGGCACTATAGTGTTAAGGATACAGCTTTGTATTCCTAACACTGTTTCTTTAAATTCCATCCCACCCTGTTCAATCATGTAACGCTCCACATGGGACATGAGCCAGACAAGGCTGTCCAGATCATAGAGTGAGAGAAAAGTAACTTTTTAGATTTAAATTTAATCACCAATATTACCAGCATTGGATACATTTGTGATGCACATCCCCTGTGTATATTGGGAAACTCACTAAAGACGGACTGTCAAGGTTTAGCGATCTCTTCTGTAAAAGCTAATAATTAAATTACAGAACCGGATGAGCAAGCCTTGTTACTAATGGCTTTTTATACCGGGTGTGCCTCGTCAGACATTTACTAGATCTGCTGGAATATAGTTTTTGCGTGATTTTGCATTCTTACAACTTTTGTTAAGCGCCAACATGAGCTCTGAGCTGTTACTATTACTATATAATAATATTCTTCACTAAAATGTGACTTGTCTGGAATTCAAAGTGAATTTCGCATTTTATAATAATTTCACATTTTATTCTTACTTTAACTGATAACCCTGTGTTTGTGTTCAAATTGTGCTTTTATTTATTCGAGTCTAAAAGCAATCAATCACTACTCTTGGTCCTGGTCCCACTGCTGAGCCTTTTAATGGATTAAATCCTCCTTTTTTCTGCCCTGGTTTTTGCAGGATTGTCTTACAACACACACAGGGGTTCTGCGGAAAGAGCTATTTTCTTGATTGGAAAACCAAATTTGACTTCTGGGAAATTGCTCAGCTATTTTATTTCATCGTAGGAGAGGTTTTATTTTATTTTTGTCTGTTGAGGCTGTATTTCTGAGACATTCATCCTTTCCTGGGATCAGACAAAAACTGTTTGATATCTTTTCCCACAAATTGAGAATTTGGGTAATGGGGATAGTAGAGCATATTAACAAATCTTTTTTATAAGCGGTTTGTATCATATACTCTGCTTAATGTGATTGTCCAGGATCCCATTGCTGGTCTGATTCTTCCAGCACTATTGGCCCATGATGGACTGGATGCTAGAAGACTGATGAATTGTGTAACAGACCAAAAGGAAATAAATGCAATCAGGAAATTTTATATAAAGTGTTATTCAGCTGTACAGAGCAATCCAAAACGGCACACACTAGGTAAAGTAATGGCTGTGCTGGACCCCTGCAGGGGAGCACCATAATTGGTGGTAAAGAGTGGGATTTAGATGCAAATTGCAAGGCTAAATCCTAGGGTTTCTATATAAATGTTGCTGGCTCTTTTATAGCGATGATATTAAAGTGGCACAGTGTCGGGCTGCAAGGATAGATAATTACATTATTCCTGAGCAGTATGAAATTCTATCCACCGTCTGTTCATCTCTGTAAAATTTGGTCGCTTTGATTAAATTTCTTTTTGTTGTACATTAAAATGTGGACAAATTGTGGCGAGTTTGCACTTAATAATTTAATGCCTTTTCTAATGTAAGAAAGCACTCAGACACAGAACTGAAGGATGCAATCTTTTGAACACATTTTATGGCCGTGTTCCAAGAACTGTATTTCAGTAGAATTTAACTGTGCTATTCTGGGCACTTAACTTTGATTCATTGTATAGAATTTAAAATGACACAATAAAGGGGATTGCTCTGTGTGTGTTTATTGTTTTTTTTTGTTTTGTTTATTTCTGTATAGAATACATTTAATAGTTCTTTAAAGGAACTCTAAAACCATAACATTAAAAAAAATACACCATTCTTGCCTTTAAATTTCTTCAAGCTGCAGTACTTGTTCAGACATTCTGGCATGTGTAAGGCCACAGCTCCCGCTCTCTCCAGCGGAGGAGATGGACAGATTGGTGTCAACGGCTTTTCCAAAAGGCTCATACAGTCATAATGCTCAGGGGGATGTAGTCCACAACATATGAAGTGCAGAAGGTGGCTTAGCATCTGGAGAAATGTAATTCAGAACTAGTAAATAATTTTAAGTATTTTGTCACTATAGGGTTATGGCTGGTAATGATCTTGTTACTTTGTGTTCTATATTAAATTTCTATTTTTAATTCTAGGTATTGACTACAAAACCACTACCATCCTGCTAGATGGCCGACGGGTCAAATTAGAGCTCTGGTAAGGCTGTTTGCTAATGAATCAGTCTGCCTACACCTGTCTCTGGCTCAGAACCTGCCAACACCTGTGTCATTGAGGTTATTTAATGACACATTCTCCTTGCCATCCCACTTATTCTGAAAATTATATCTAATTGCAAATTACTTTTAACCACAAATTATATTGGTTATGTTGATCCTTTGAATTAAACATTTGTTTTTTTGGGGGGAGGGGAGTTTTCTACAGCTTTTTCTTGCCCATGTTATTTAACCGGTTCCACATGGCTTAAATTCAGCCCCTTGTTCCCCCTGTACCTTCCTAACGCATGTTCTGCTTCTCTCCACAGGGACACCTCTGGCCAAGGCAGGTTCTGCACCATATTCCGCTCTTACTCCAGGGGGGCACAGGTAAAACCTTTTTTTAGTCTCTCACCTGCGTTAACAAGTTCACAGCAGCTGGATTCCTCCCTGTGATTTTGTAAAAAATATATAAAACAGCTGCTGCTATTTAGTGTCAATTTATATTCTCTGTATTGTTCTTATACCTTGAATTAAATGGACACACCCGGCAAAAATGTATGTGGGTGCAATGTGTGAGCTGGTTTCCCTGTGTGGATTCCATTTACATAATCAAATGAAGTTTTGCTCCGTATAATCCGTAAACCCACCATTTCTGCCCATCCCAACCTGCACAGTTTCCCTCTTTCTTCGCACAATAGATAGAGCTTCCGGATCTCGCTGGGCAGTTGTGCAGGCTGTTTGTCTTTGTTTTTAAATCAGTTTAACTTCTTGTGGTGGGCACCAGGGTTCTCCTGTCACAAGCCAGAGTTGTTATGGTGCTTGTAGTGTTCATTTTAAATAAGTATTGCACCTGTTTCTTACATTTTGGTTCTTAACCAAGGGTATTGAAGGACATACACTCTGAATTCAAGTGGAGTTTTGGTAAAATACAGCATTTCATTACGAGTGAAAGTCTATAGAAAGCCACGTGTGTGCCGTGTGAAAGTGTTTTTAGTGGGCGCTTTCATGCCACTAGTTCGAAAGCTAGAAAGATCCTCCTAATGGGTAAATAAAGAGAAATGATAATCCCGGTATCTTGACTGTCAACCATGGGGTAATTTCCATTTTCATGGATGGGAGGTACATCCCTACAGGAGTACAATGTCATTAGTGTCCCACACCCCTTAGGGCATTACTGGTCCGCCTTCTAGCATTAATAACTTATGGTTTTATTTTAGGCATAAGTATGGTTAGTTCTTCGCATACCTTGTGTTGCACCTAATATGCAATAGTCTGTGCCTTTACACATTATCAATATACACCCGTGCTCACTTATCTTGACTTCTATCATTTGTCAAAACGTGCAGTACTCTCCAATGTCACGTCTCTGTTTTACTATTCTTGTATACGCTTGCTGCTGCTGTCGTGGCGCTGCAAGCTCATTGTTACTCTAAGCACAACAAAAAAGAAAGCATTTACAAATAAAAATGATAAAATAATTTTACTTTCCTCGATCTTTGTGCAGAGAGACATTTGCTGCTTCTTCCCTGACCTTTAAATAATGAATTAAATAAAACTTCAATAAGTGGTCACAAGCTGTTCGCTAGCAGCATGTCCGTCTATGGTTTTAAAATCGGTGTAGATGAACCCCTATTGTTGCTTGGCTGTGAATCCTGTCCAGGAGTTGCTATACAGCTAGTTGCTCACGGTGTTCCAGCTTTGAATGATGAATGATTTGAGCTGTGTAGTGCTGCAGTTTGTACATTTCATATAAACAGTCTAAAAGTGTGTCCTTGTGTTCTAATGTTATGCAAATGAAAGTACAAAAATACATGTGACCAAATGCAATATTTTATCTCTTTGCTTTCTATTTCAAAGCACACGACCTTAGGGAAATGAATGAAAAGATGAATTTTAATGTCATGAAAACATTGCTGGGTCAGTCAGGGGTCTTGGACATGTGCAAGGCATTATAGTGAATAGTGTTATCTTTGCAAATCAGTCAGCTGCTGGAAAGGTTAATTGCTGTGAGCTGTGTTGTCTGGGATCTCTAGGGAATCTGATCCAGATGGCATGATTCCCACAAGGCCTGATATGCAACCTGCGGGCCTGCTAAACCCATCTTTCTGCCTGTGCATGGAAGGCTCATCACTATCTCACTATGTAAATGAAAGCCTGAGTGTCTGCAAACTGACCGATCATTTCTGGTTTTATTGTCTTACAGGGCATTCTATTAGTCTACGACATCACCAACAGATGGTCCTTCGATGGAATAGACCGGTGGATCAAAGAAATAGACGAGGTAATGGCTAGAGTAGAAGTTGGCTTTTAGGAATTATGTCCCAGAACTTGGGGTTGCAATCACATGCAATCTAATAGCACCATAACCACTATAACATCATGAAGTGGTTATGGTGCATACGTAGCCCCTTTAACTGTGTGGCGCTTTTTTTTTTTTTTTTTTTAACCAATTTAAAATGTAGTCAATTTCCACTGCTTTTAAGCCCTCCTTTTTAGTTTAAAAAGTTTTAACTAGTATGTTGGACAACCTCACCCAAAACTTTAGGTGGATGTGGAAGCCAATTAAAATCCTGAAATTGCTAGCAGGAAGTTGAACGGATTATTTTAATTGCTACCGCTTACAAGATCTAATCCAGCATCTGTTATGTATTAGAAATGTTAATATTTTTCAACAGACTGCTTTTGACATATGTATTTAGGGAAAGGTCACAAGGGTATATTTTCAATATACACCTTCCCACCAATTCGTACTAACCATTTTTTCAATAACCAATTCAGAAGCTTTTGAAATGATCTCTTGTGATTTTTAACTGATGTGTAATCTTTGACATTTTCTTTTTATCTGTAACTGTTTACAGCATGCTCCTGGAGTACCTCGAATATTGGTGGGAAATAGACTGCATTTGGCTTTCAAAAGACAAGTCCCCACTGAGCAAGCGCGGGCGTATGCTGAGAAAAATGGGATGACGTTCTTTGAAGTTAGTCCCCTCTGCAACTTCAACGTGACTGAATCTTTCACAGAGCTGTCTCGTATCGTCCTCATGCGGCACGGAATGGAAAAAATATGGAGGCCAAACAGGGGTAAGAGCCTTCAGTGAGGCCGTTGTGGAGCATTGTGATATGTAGGTAGTTTAACAAGATCATCGTTTGTATAGAGCAAGAAAACCAAAGTTTCATAAAGTAAAAGGTTAAAATATATATATTTTTTCCCTTTTCCAGATTTAATATAAACTTTATAAATTAACCTTGTTACACCCCCTGGCTGTCAATTCTATAGTAGGTCCTGTTACGTCCTGATTTGTTTAGGTCTGTGGAGCAGATGCTCAGGAAACAGCAGTTACCTTGAGCATCTGCATTGTATAGATTTCTCATTGAGCTGCATTGAGAAGTCTGGGATTGGACAGCCATGGGAAGTCAGGGTGGGTTTAGATGGGAAGTTTTTGTTTTTTTGTTTATTTATTTGTATACCACCATTGACAAAAATCCACTCCTAAATAACTGTATGTGTATACAGTGAGGGGGAAAAAGTATTTTATCTCCTGCTGATTTTGAACGTTTGCCCACTGACAAAGAAATGATCAGTCTATAATTGTAATGGTAGGTGTATTTTAACAGTGAGAGACAGAATAACAAAAAAATGCATGTCAAAAAAAATATACAGATAAATTGATTTGCATGTCAATGAGTGAAATAAGTATTTGATCCCCTATCAATCATCAAGATTTCTGGCTCCCGAGCTGAGATTAGGAGCACTCTCTCTTAAAGGAACACTATAGTCACCTAAATTAAATTAGCTAAATAAAGCAGTTTTAGTGTATAGATCATTCCCCTGCAATTTCACTGCTCAATTCACTGTCATTTAGGAATTAAATCACTTTGTTTCTGTTTATGCAGCCCTAGCCACACCTCCCCTGGCTATGATTGACAGAGCCTTCACTCAAACAGATGTAATTTACCTTAAATAATTGTATCTCAATCTCTAAATTGAACTTTAATCACATACAGGAGCCTCTTGCAGGGTCTAGCAAGCTATTAACATAGCAGGGGATAAGAAAATCTTAATTAAACAGAACTTGCAATAAAGAAAGCCTAAATAGGGCTCTCTTTACAGGAAGTGTTTATGGAAGGCTGTGCAAGTCACATGCAGGGAGGTGTGACTAGGGTTCATAAACAAAGGTATTTAACTCCTAAATGGCAGAGGATTGAGCAGTGAGGCTCCAGGGGCATGTTCTATACACCAAAACTGCTTCATTGAGCTAAAGTTGTTCAGGTGACATAGTGTCCCTTTAAAGGGAGTGTTCCTAATCTCACTCATTGCTTGTATAAAAGACACCTGTCCACAGAAGAAACCAGATTCCAAACTCTCCACCATGGCCAAGACCAAAGAGCTGTCCAAGGATGTCGGGGACAAGATTGTAGACCTACACAAGGGTGGAATGTGCTACAAGACAATCGCCAAGCAGCTTGGTGAGAAGGTGACAACAGTTGGTGTGATTATTCGCAAATGGAAGAAATACAAAATAACTGCCAGTCTACCTCAGTCTGGTGCTCCGTGCAAGATCTTACCTCATAGAGTTTCAATGATCATGAGAATGGTGAGGAATCAGCCCAGAACTACACGGGAGGATCTTGTTAATCTCAAGGCAGATCTCCATCAAACATGAAGGTGGAAATATTATGCTTTGGAGGGTTTTTTCCTGCTAAGGGGACAGGACAACTGCTTCGAATCAAAAGGCGATGGACGTGGCCATGTACCGTCAAATCTTGGAGGAGAACCTCCTTCCCTCAGCCAGGGCATTGAAAATGGGTCGTGGATGGGTATTCCGGCATGACAATAACCCAAAACACACAGCCAAGGCAACAAAGGAGTGGCTCAAGAAGAAGCACATTAATGTCCTAGAGTGGCCTAGCCAGTCTCCAGACCTTAATCCCATAGAAAATCTGTGGAGGGACCTGAAGGTTTGAGTTGCCAAACGTCAGCCGTGAAACCTTAATGACTTGGAGAGGGACAAAATCCCTCCTGAGATGTGTGCAAACCTGGTGGCCAACTACAAGAAACGTCTGACCTCTGTGATTGCCAATAAGGGTTTTGCCACAAAGTACTAAATCAAAGGGGTCAAATACTTATTTCACTCATTGACATGGACACCAGTTGATAACTTTTCTGGATTTATATTTTGTTGTTCTGTCTCTTACTGTTAAAATACACCTACCATTACAATTATAGACTGATCATTTCTTTGTCAGTGTGCAAAAGTTCAAAATCAGGAGGGGATCAAATACTCTTTTCCCTCACTGTGTGTATGTATGTGTGTGTATTTTTTTTTTTTTTTTTGCATTTGGCTGTGCCCAGGGCCGGCCTTAGGCAATTAGGCGCCCTGTGCAAAAAGTCTTCACGGCGCACCTCCCACCAAGTTGCCTGAATACAGTAACACACACAGGCACCGGGACGTGTGTATCACGAGGCAAACAAGGCATCTGCCTTGGGCGCCACTTTGCAGGGGGCGGCAAAAAAAAGCATCCCTCCAAACCCCCAGGCAGATCCCTTGCTTGCTTCGCATCCTGGGGGGCTCAAGAGCTGACCGGCTGGCCACTTTTGAGCCCCCCCAAGGCTGGCAGCGGGCAGCGAAGGAGCATACTCACCTGAGCTCTTCCTGCTCAGCTTCCTCTGCGCCGCTTAATGAAGCCGGGAGCCAGAATATGACGCCAGTCCGGCTCCCGGCATCACTAAGCGCTGCTTACTCAGCCTGTGCGCCCCCTGCCTGCCTGCCCAGCAGCCACACTGGACTGCTGGTAAGAAATCCACTCCAGCTTTCCCAGGGAGGCTGGGTGGATTTAAAATAAATGTAAAAAATATTAGTTTGTGAGTGTTAGTGGAAATGTCTGTGTGTGTGTCTGTGAGTGTTTATTTGGAAGTGAATGTGTGTGTGTGTGTGTGTGTGTGTGTCTGTAAGTGTGTAATTGTGTGTGTCTGTAAGTGAATGTGTGTGTGTCTGTGAGTGAATGTGTGTGTGTGTTGGTCAGTGAGTGTATATGTGTCAGTCAGTGAGTGTGTATGTGTCGTCAGTGAGTGTGTATGTGTCGTCAGTGAGTGTGCGTCTGTCAGTGAGTGAGCGTCTGTCAGTCAAAGTGCGGCCTTGACAGGAAGGGGTGGGGGAAATTTAACCTCGGTTACAGGCATGTACACACACACTCAGTTAAAGGCAGTCACACATACAGGCACAGGCACAAACAATGGCACAGCTACAGCGACACACACAGACAGACAGTCACATAGGCAGTCACACACACAGACAGACACACAGTAACACACACATAGACAGTTATACACACACAGGCAGGCAGTCACACACAGACAGATAGTTACAGACAGACACACACAGGCAGGCAGTCACACACACAGACAGACAGTCACACACACAGACAGACAGTCTCACACACACAGACAGTCTCACACACACAGACAGTCTCACACACACAGACAGTCTCACACACACAGGCAGTCTCACACACACAGGCAGTCTCACACACACAGGCAGTCTCACACACACAGGCAGTCTCACACACACAGGCAGTCTCACACACACAGGCAGTCACACACACAGACAGTCACACAGACAGTCACATACACGGGCAGTCACACAGACAGACAGTCACACACACAGACTGTCACACACAGGCAGGCAGTCACACACACACACAGAGACAGACAGTCACACACACACACACACACACACACACAAGGACAGGCAGTCACACAGACAGTCACACACATACACACACACACACACACACGCACACAGGCAGGCAGTCACACAGACAGACAGTCACACACACACAGACAGACAGTCACACAAACAGGCAAACAGGCAAACAGTCACACACACACACTTACCTCTTTCCAGTGGATGCAGTTGGCTGATGGGGAAGCATCTTTCCCTCTTCCTGTACAGCAGGGGCTTCGGGAGGTATTAGCCCCGTCTCCGCCTCTCGATAAGCCCCACCTCCGCCACTCGGTAAACCCCGCCCCCTCTGCCGCGATTTTTTTTTTTTTTTTTTTAAATAGACCCGGGTGGAGAATAATTAATCCTCCAGCCAGGTACCTCTTTTGGCTCCCCTGCACTCCGGCCATGAGTGAGCTGTGTCGGCCACAGGGCGCCCCCTGTTCCATGGCGCCCTGTGCGGTCGCACAGCTCGCACACCCCTAAGGCCGGCCCTGGCTGTGCCCCTGCATCTTGCGGAGCATCACAGAGTAAATGTAGTTCAGAAAGAATTTTGATGGAAAGGTTGGCTATTGCTGCTCTAGAGACTCTAGATCAACCTCTGTGTGGGTCATTTTTCGAGAGACTATTCTTTTATACGCTTTATTTTTTTTATTTTTTTATTAAATCTGTTGGGGTACCTGAAATTTGCACTGGCTTTACTGAAAGAAGATCTACGTTAACATTTTTGTTTAAACTAAGAATTGTTTTAGGAGAATACGTTTTAAAAGATTAGAAATTTTATAGTCCACACTGTTGCTTTTGATCTTATTGATACTTTCTTGGCTGCTTAGTAATTTTATTTTTAAAATGTTCTTTTGTTTCCCCACAGTGTTCAGTCTGCAAGACCTATGTTGCCGTGCCATTGTCTCCTGTACCCCTGTGCATCTTATTGACAAGCTGCCACTTCCAGTGGCCATCAAGAGCCACCTTAAGTCCTTCTCCATGGCCAACGGCATGAATGCTGTTATGATGCACGGACGTTCGTACTCTGTGGCCGGGGGTAGTGGTGGAGCCACAGGAAGTGGTGGGGGAAGCAAAGGCAACAGCCTTAAACGCTCAAAGTCAATACGACCTCCACAGAGTCCACCGCAGAACTGTTCTAGAAGCAACTGTAAAATATCTTAGCATGAGAATCTGGTGTACGTGATGCCTTCCAAGGGCACCCACCACCCTAGAGCCATAGCTTGGATCGTTTGGAGAGTCCACTTAGCAGCCAACACATTTTGCATGGACCTAGACCCAATTCCTAAATCTTGCCAACTTGGTATCCAAAGCGAACAAGAGCAGATAGAACAACTTGCATTTCCATTCCTTACCTTCCAAGGTTCACTTCCAGAGGTGACCTAGGTCATCTCCAAACTTCCATGGGTCCCTACCGCATGATGGTCCTACCTAATGTCTCCTAACCCAAAGGCTGCATCGAGCACACAGCACAGTGCTAAACTAAATTCTCCTTTTATTTATATATCTGTGTATATTCTCTAATGCCTCACCTCATTTTGTTTTTATAGATAAAAATACTGTATAATACTCCTTTTCATTAATTTGTAAATATGAATTGTTCTCGCAAACCCTCTCCACAGTGGCATGGAAGGAATAAGGGAAAAGCCTTTGTTGTGTTCAGGTCATGGGCACAGTACTTGCTGCCTTGTCAGAGAGCGATCGGAAAGTATTTTTATATACTTTGAGGTAGTAGGAAGGTTTTCATTCCCCCTGATCTGAAATCTAGAGACTTGTTTAACCAAAGCTGGCCAGGCCAGTCAGCTCTAAGTTGGATTGTTCTTTTAAGAGAGCCTTGCCAACAAAGATGGCTTATTTGTCGTTCCAGGTTTTCTAGGTCTCCCATCCCACTTGCTTAAAGTCCTTAATAAGACACTCCCTATGGGAGCTGTGTACCAACACTAGGCAGAGTAGTGACTGCAGGCCCTGATTATTGTGACCTAGAAGGAACAAAAAAAAAGTTCTACCTCAGTATATCGTTTTTGGTTAAAACCTGCTACGATGATCAGTCATTGCAAAATGCATACAAATCCCCAGGCTCAAGTGTAGAGTCAACATCTTTATTTATTCTTCACTTTCTCACCTTGCACCTGTGAGCCTTTTAAACGCTCTGCAATCATTGTATGATGGAGGGTATCGTCCCCGGTCTGTCTATGAAGCAAATTGCTGAGACTTCCCATTGCATTTGCAGAGTCATCAGCCTCACAAATACAGCTCTCAGCCTTTCCCACGTATTTAATATGCTTTATGTATATATTGCATCCTATAACGCAACCAGCACATTGGGGCTATTGAATCACCCCCAAAAATCTCTTATTGTATTGAGGTTACCTATTAGTGTCAACACACAATGAGTAAAAACATTCAAATGTTTTACATCCCATAAAAAGTGTGGGGGGAGGGCAATCACCAGTTTGTTTGTTTTTATGGCTGAGTTATTCAGCAAAGTGTCTTTCATTGTAAGATTGTTTTAATTTTGTTTTTAAAATGCACCTGACATTGGGTTTTTTTTTGTTTGTTTGTTTTTTTGTTTTTTTTTGGTTTTAATTCATGTTAAGGGTTAACAGATTGGTTTGGTTGGAACCTTCAGCTGTTGGTGTTTATGCCCAAATCTTTAATCTGCTAAAAACAATATTAACAGGTGATTTGTACATTTGAGCTCAAATAGCAGAATTTGAATAACTTTCCAATGTTGGAGTTATTTTTACAACTCTGCTGTTTTTTGCCTGCCATATACAACTCTTTGCCAATTCTGACATTTTGAATTAGTCATTCAAACTTTGCATCTGTTAATCATATATTTATAATGAAAATCTTTCACCTAGATATGCAGATAATCTCTAAATTGACAACTCTGCTCACTTACAAGTAATTTGGATAACTCAGGGTCTGTACCTAGAATATATTTTCAATTTTAAAGCCATAGGGTAAGGTATGGGTTAAATTATCTAGTGCATCCAGAGCTAGCGCGGTAGCTGAGCTTTGTAGTCCTAGTCCAGTGGTAGATACAAACTTGTACAGTACTAGCGTTGAACATAAACTTCTCTACTGTTTTTTTAATAACAATCCCCTAAAACTGTTATTTCAGAGGTCCCTAATTTTGCAGTTCAGTTTTAAATGCCATGGACTTCAGTCTAAAATTAGCAATAGATATATGTATTGATATTCCAATTTATGTCTCTGTTGGTGGGAGTAGCCATCTTCCCTAGTTGTCAAGGCTTTTGCATGTAATGCCTCACCTACAAATGACCCTCCACTCTGGTAAAAGTGTATTCGTTCTTGCAGTTTCAAAACAGGGGTGAAAATGAGGAAATTGAGTTTGTCATGGGCACATTTCATTTAGCAAAAAGTATGCACAACGTGGAAGTGGATGTAATGCACTAGCTCAAAAACACCTGTAAAGTGGTATCCCCTACACCACTTAAAACATAGAATTATACATACATAAAACAAGTGGAGCTTTTAAATTTCAGCAGGCTTTCTGTGAAAATAAAATACAAACAGAAAATAGTGCAATATGTCTGTAACACACTATATCAACAATAGATTGGAAGATATGTCAAACTCACAAGCCTGGAGTCATACCCTCATATGACTCTGGTGGTATAAGCCTCTGGACCATTTGGGGGTTGTCCAGACCCTTCTTTGGCAGCGTGTTGAATGTTGAGTGGTTCCTTTTGTGCCCTTCTAACTGGTTAACCAATGCACCCAGAGGACAGTTCCTTTCCTCAATCTCTTCCTCTTCTCCCCCTCTCTCAGGATCTGTTATTCTTTTCAAAAAGAAAAGAATAACAGATCCTGAGAGAGGGGGAGAAGAGGAAGAGATTGAGGAAAGGAACTGTCCTCTGGGTGCATTGGTTAACCAGTTAGAAGGGCACAAAAGGAACCACTCAACATTCAACACGCTGCCAAAGAAGGGTCTGGACAACCCCCAAATGGTCCAGAGGCTTATACCACCAGAGTCATATGAGGGTATGACTCCAGGCTTGTGAGTTTGACATATCTTCCAATCTATTGTTGATATAGTGTGTTACAGACATATTGCACTATTTTCTGTTTGTATTTTATTTTCACAGAAAGCCTGCTGAAATTTAAAAGCTCCACTTGTTTTATGTATGTACATTTCATTTAGCAAATTTTGTGCACCCAAGACCACAAACCACAGTTTTGTCTAGGTTGGTGACTAATGTTTAACCCCGTAAGGACCAAACTTCTGGAATAAAAGACAATCATGACATGTCACACATGTCATGTGTCCTTAAGGGGTTTAACCATAATTATGCAAAAAAGTAACGATTTTAAACTTCAAAAAGCACAAATGAACGTTAAAGTAATTAAATCTTCTTACTCATGCAAACTGCCTATTTAACACTAATGTGGGCAATCTTTTTCTGAATAATCAGGAGCTATGTCACCATCCCTGTGGCTACTGAGGGTTAAATCCACCTTTCTCCAGAAAATGTTTAACTTTGTTATAGCTCATTGGCATACTTTGGTTTGCTCATTCCCTGTGGCAATTCTCCTTTGCAATTGGAAGAGAAGTGCTAACTGGCAAATGTTGTGTGACGACCTATGGTTGGCGGCAGGGTAACAGTCTTTGCTTCTATGACTTCTCAGGACTATGATACCAAACCGAATGAAAGATTGCCAAGTCCGACAATCGGAGTCTTGCACTTTGAAAGGGGAAAATAATTTTTTGGATGGAACCTTTTGAAAATGTAATTAGCATTCCTACCTTGACTTCAGTTGAATGGTATTGGGTTAAATCTGTTAACTGTGAAATCCTGATTATTTTATTTAATTTTTTTTTTTTCTTTATAAATAAAAATCCTTTTTGGTTATTTTTTTTCCACCTAGTGATTGTGTTTTTATTGGGATCTGATCATTCAAAATCAGATTCAAATGTCCAGGATTGTTCTTTTTAAAAGGACACCCTACCCCTAAAATAGTTCAACTTGCTCAAGTGCTTTGTGTGTAGTGTGACCACTTTTTTTTTTTTTTTTTCATTTTACAAAGTGCAGCCTTCAATAGAAATTGGCACTTTTATAAATCAACCTGGTTACAACCCATTGCTATCAATCCGGTAACAGGTTCTGTTCCTGATTTATTTAGATCAGTGGAGCTAAACTCAAGAGGCAGCAATTGCCGAGAGCACCTGCCTTGCAAAGACTTTCTCATTGAGCTTCATTGGCAAGTCTGATTAGACAGGCACATAAAGGGTAGGGTTTGCAAAGGCTGCAGATCAGAGATCTGCAATGTTTTTGCATGTGTTTACATTTTTTATTTTTTTTTATTTTTTATTATATATATCTATCACCAATCATTAAATGCATCCATATATTCAGTATATAATCTACTAAATAGTTGGGAGATAAAAATATATATATTTTATGTCAATCTTTCTTTTATTAAGGCATTTGATTTGGGTGGTGAAGAATAAAAGGGGATGAACGCCTTGTACACAAGATAGGGTTATTACAGGATTGTTTAACATCTCCTAGATATGACTGCCTCATTTTATATTAAGTAAGATTTGAACTCGATAAACTGTTGCATCAAGGTTATAAACAAAATAAAAGGATTATCAAATAATTGAGGGTTAAGAGAACAATAGTAAGCCACAGATAAATTGACTAGGTCAGTGATGGCTAACCTTGACACCATAAATTGTTTCTGGACTACATATACCATGATCCTCAGCTAGCTTTTAGACTCCATTTATGGTGTCAAGGTTAGCCATCACGGAGTTAGGTCATGCATTCAGTACCATATTGGTGTGTTAGCGAGGCTAACTAGACATCTATATGACGAAGGGTTCTCAGGGCAAATCAGGCTTCACGTTACACTATGCTTTGATTGTCAGGCTAAGCATTATAGTAGTATTGATAATACTGTGTTTAAGTAAGAGAGTGCACGCCTTATACCTTGCTAGGTATTCACGATAGGATAACCACTGTCTCTCCTCGTTTTGGTACTGTAAAGAGCAATGCTTGGTAAATTCTAATAATCATGAGGACTGCGCTAGCGTGGGGACATAGCCTAACTATGGCTGCACACTCACTACGTAACTCTCTTACAGATTCGGCATTAGTAAGCTGTGTATAAGACATATTTCAACATAAATGCAGGATTGTGTCGGTAGGAAGTGAAATTGTCTGGCAGCGTGTTGTCAGTCCTGGATCCAGGTTTATATGCACAGCCCACACCGAGATTTGGAAACGGGCGAGGGGCAGTCCTGAGGTGACTTGGCAAGACAAAATGAGAGTAGATAAAGTAGCTTGAAGGTGGATTGGGAGCATAACTGAAAATAGTAAGTCGGATGGTTCAGGTGTAATCCCCTGGTTATACGGAAGCTCTCGTTTGGGAGCGCTTGTTAATGGGGTCCGTGGACCAGAAAGTCTACGTTCCACCTATAGCCTTACTTCAACTAAGACCCTTCGGCCTTTGGTGGCAGTGGCTCTGAGGGATTTGCCCAAGAGAAGCCCCTCCGTCTCCACCCTCCATCTCCTCCTCCGGGTTGTGCCTGTCTGCTATGGTGCTCCAGATGCTCCCATAATCATTGGAGTATGGTGTCCTGTTGCGTGAAGTAGTGCTCTGATGGCTTTTGGCCCTAGACGCCAGGCTGTGTTTGTGTAGGTGAAGGTCGCTGGTGTGCTTCCGCCATCTTGTGGTGCCTGCTGTCCCTAACGCTTAGGCTAGATAGTGCAGCCAGGGCCAGCTTTGCTGTTCACCGGGGGCTGGTGGGGACCGGGATGATTCCTGCCAGTCCATAGAGGGGGGGCCCGGTCTGAAGGATGCCACATGTTGCGGCCGTCTCTCCAGCGCTATCCGTGCGTGTCACACTTCAGGCTAGGCCGGACTGCGGTTCCGTTGGGGTTAATTACAAGATTCTGGTACTGTTGTGTGCCCAATTGGGTGCTGTTCACGGAAAGTCGTTTCCGGCAAGGTAATGCAAGGTTCAGTTTCTGCCCGGAGCTGTTATCAAGTAAGTCCGGCCATCTTGGCTGTCAGGCCCCCCCCCCCCTAAGTTATATTTTCATTAGGGAAGAGGAGAGCCATTTTTAAAGGAATGCTTTACTGTCAAGAACACAAACTTATTCCTTACACTATAGTATTCAAACTACCATTTAGGCTATCAGCTCCCCCCTCCCCAATTAAAATTAGGTCTCTTGTGGCTAGCTCCGCCTCCTTGGCTGAGATCATTAAGATTGATTCTCAGCCAATCCAATGCTTTTCCATTGTGCATGCATGGCAAAACACTGCTCTGCACCAATCAGCATCTCGTAGAGATGGTTTAAATCAATGCATCTCTATGAGGAACGTTCAGCGCTTCCATGCTTTGTGCAGCACTGACCCAGGAAGCCCATCTAGTGGCTGTTTGAGTGACTGCCACTAGAGGTGTTAATGGTCAGTAAACACTACCTTAGAAATCCTGCAGGACAGGAAGTAGACACCAGAACACCCACATTAAGCTACACTTATTCTGGTGAGTATAGTGTCCCTTTTAAGGGTATAATTCAGAATAGTGGGTTTTCTTCTAGGTATAAACTGACCATTGGGTTAACTATTCGTTAAAAAAAAATTCTATTTCTGTTTGAGACCTGCGGGTGTGGCATAGTATCAAGTGGTATTTCTACAGCAACTGGGTATCTGCCTTAGTCCCCTTCCATAGATCAAAAAGATCTTAATTTGTTCAAAACAGTTAAAATGCATTTTTACACAGGTCTAATGTCATGCATTCGTGTGTTACTGCTGGTAAAATACTGGGAATATTCACAAACACTTCTATTTCAATAGTTCCGCTTATTTGAAAGAAAACTGCAAAAATGAAAAGGACATTCTAATGTGAAAGTAACTCTTTTAGTTTATTATTTAATTATTTGTGTCCGTCTTTTTTCCTTTTCCATTGAGCCATGCCCAGCAAAGCAGACAATACAGTAACTGTCAAAGAGCCATACTCTGTATACGTAGAACGATAGGACCATCGTTGTGTAGGCTCTTGGATGTCACAGGATACAGATTTAGCACACACTGACTATTCCCTGGTTACTAAGAGAGCTGGAATAGAGAGACCGGGTCCCAGCAGTTAGTGCCAAAACAAATGGTGAAAAGGTTACTCCATTGGCGCCAGGTAAGAAATGAAGCCCACACTCTGCACCCACAAATCTGGCATATCTTGATGCCAAAATTGGAATCTTTAATGTCTCGTAGGGCGCACACCACACTGGCAGCAGCAAAGGGAGTACTCGCCATGAGGCTCACAGCTTGGGAAATGGATGGTAAGAGCTAGGAAACAAGCATGCTTCCTTGAATCAGGTGAAATCACGGTGTGATCCAGCATGGCTGTTACTTCCTGGTTATTCGATTTCAGTGGAGCCAAACTCAAGAGTCGGCAATTGCGCAGAGAGTAAGTCTGCAGCCTTTGCAAACTTTCCCATTCTTCACCAGCCCCAATATTCGATCTGCAGCTATTACAAACCGGGCTTTCATATACCCATCAGAACACAGATAACAGGCTCTTTAGGAGTATTTATCCTAAATTATTCTTTTTGCTACTGTACTTTTCGTTTAAAATAGTAATGCTTGATTCAATAAGAAGGAGTTGCATTACTGTTTTTGTTGATTTAAGAAATACCTTTCAGGAGACCAGTGTCTTTTAAAGGGACATTATAGGCACTATAACCATTCCAGCCTATTGTAGTAGTTATGGTGCTCAGCGGTTTGACATAACTGGGCTGTCCTGGCACTGGAAGCCCCGACCTTCTACTACAGTTGTGCAAATGTAAAAATAAGTGTCTGCATTGTTCATCCTGCTTTGAAAGATAATGATAGGCTGGAACCTCCCCCTGTGGAAATGCTAAAAAACAAACAAAAAAAAACTGTGTATCATAATTACTGCAATTAGCTGTAGTGGTTAGTGTGCCCTATTACACTTCTTGTAGTTCTGTGCAAAGTGAAAAAACTGCGCCATAACGATCCCACCCACAAAACTCACTACGAATTTACACAATGTAAAAACATAATAGAGCTCCACAGCAATAAACCCTGTGTGCTGTGCATGAGTGTATCACAGAGCTCCACAGCAATAAACACTGTGTGCTGCGCATGAGTGTATCACAGCTCCACAGCAAAACAAACCTGTGTGCTGTGCATGAGTGTATCACAGAGCTCCACAGCTATAAACCCTGTGTGCTGTGTATGAGTGTATCACAGAGCTCCACAGCTATAAACCCTGTGTGCTGTGCATGAGTGTATCACAGCTCCACAGCAAAACAAACCTGTGTGCCGTGCATGAGTGTATCACAGAGTTCCACAGCAATAAAACCTGTGTGCTGTGCATGAGTGTATCACAGAGCTCCACGGCATTAAACCCTGTGTGCTATGCGTGAGTGTATCCCAGAGCTCCACAGCCATCTAGCTGTGCCCCTGCCCTCTTCTCTCAGACTCAGGAAGCCATGGATCATGGAGCCTCATTGACTGAGAGCGTAAACCACCACGAGGGACCACCCGGCACTATAATACCTTAATTCAGATTAAGTTGTTATGGTACCCGGCCGGAGTGTTCCTTTAAGCATGGTTATTGTGTTGTGTTGGTGAAAGACACAGTGGTCTGAGTGTAGTTACAGTGAAATCCCTATTTTATTTTATTTTCCCTCTCAACAAAGGGTATCAAATATATTCATGTAGTAGGTACCGCATGTGTATGAAATATATTATTATTATTATTTTATTATTTATATAGCGCCATCAGATTCCGTAGCGCTGTACAATATATCCATCCATCCCCAGGCTTGCAGGGAGGCACTCACACACTATAGGGATCTAGCGGTATCTATGTTTTTATTCTAACTATTCTTGTACCACGATGCTCGGTACAGTTATCACAGACCATTCTGTTGTTTCTCTTTTCACTCCCATTTCTCTGCTGGCAAAATAATTATTTTCCCCATTCAGTTCGACCTCTGTGATCCCAAATTCCCAGGCTGGGGAGAGCCCCCTCCTTGTTCCAGTGTCAGAGTGGCCCAACACGTGTATGTAGTTTGTGATATGATGTCCTGTCCCCTCTGGACCATTCTCCATGCACAGATATGAAGGCACAGCTGGGATGGGAGTTTTGCTAATGGAGATAGGCAAGCCTTTTAAATGAATAATCCGGATTTCGGGAAGGATAGAACACATTTCTGTTCATCCATCACCCTGCAGGGGACAGACTTCATGGGACATAGGGGCTGCGTTAACACACCAGATGGCACCCCAGATGTAAAAAAGGCAAAGTGGGATATAAATCCTTTTCCTTTGTCACTAAGCAGGGACACGTTAAAATACAGATCTTTGCAATACAATGGCATCTGCTGATTATCCAAGACAAGGCAGAAATACAGGCGGCCCATAATAAACGTGCATAAACCGACTGATCTATTTTATAGCAATTCATATAATTCAATTCTGAATCATTATATCTGTGATCATTTAATCATTTGGTAGATTAACGGTTCCGTTGGCATCTGCAAATAAAGCCAAGAAGGTGGTGTTTATCTCTAAACCCCCAGCCACCGCTGTTAGTGGATACATGGGTTCATTTGTTCTTACCTACCACTCAAAACCCATTCACTGCTGTGCTGTATGTGATTGGGTTTAGAGTACCTACACAGAATCCTGATCTGGGCCAAGACAATCACGGATCCTCTAAATTAGAATTGTCAAAGTGATTAAAGGAAGCAATACGACAGGTAACTTATAATGGGTGTTGTAGTTCTGAAACGGCTGGGTGAGTCTACCATCACTGTGTCTATAAGTGACGTCACTGTGCATGCATGAGTGATGTCACGCTATGATAGGGTACGAGAACCAGGAAGTAGCAGTCCCACCTCTCATACCTAGAGGGATTAGAGGTGTGGCTTAAATCCATACTTCCAACCCTTGTAATTACTTAAATATTGAAATTTGGGGCAATAAGGAGGGAAGAATAACAATACGCACTATAACAACTTCTTATAGAGTAAATTGTTATAGTGAGTACGGTGTTTCTTTAAAATAACATTTTAAGCTGAATTTGCAATTCTCAAATTTACGAAAGGTAAACACGATAGAAATTAGATTTTTGCAACTAAAACATAACAGGGGATTCAGTACCATCTAGTGTCTGCTTTGCAATCTGTGATACTAAAAACCTCCAGTTATGTAAATATGCATAGGGATTTGGGATAGAGCGCATGTAACTCTTTTCTTTGGTTTTATTACATGTATTGGGGCTGATGTGTACTATGGACATTGCTGCTGCCCAGGAGTAGTGGGAGTGTGAGCGCAAGACATATTTTTGTGTATTTGTATTTACTTTTGTATCACATATTTGTCGGGGTTTAGAAAAATACCCCTCTCTGTCTCAGATTTATTTTCCTGAAGCTGAAGGAAGCAAGGTGAATAGTCAGGGTAGAGGTTTGCCTTGACGTGGCAGGGGGGCATCCTTCTAATGGTCATTAGAGTGATACTAAAAACCTTCAGTTATGTAACTAGGGATTTGGGATAGAGCGCAAGTAACTTTTCTTTGTTTTTTTTTTTAATCAAATATACCTGTCTGTCTGTCTCTCTTGAATTTAACACATCTAACAATCCATACTTCATGACTCTTTGATAAACATTAAATACAAAAATATAGACATCCCCAATTTACATTAGAATCTGTCAGCCATAATATAATTAAGCGTTAATGACAGATGATAAGGGAAGATTCCAACCCGAAGCTGTGATTCGCCTCTTTTTTGATGTTTGTTGCAATCAGGAAGAGACTCAGGACATCTCAGCCAATCCCTGTTCACCAATTTAAACCAGCATGAGCCACCACTTTGTATCCCATCTGACAACTCCCCACAAAGCACTGCTTAGTGAATAGGCCCCCTGTTGTTTTTATTGCTACAAATTTACCATCTAAGACGTAATACCCCAAAAAATAACCTTAAATATTTTTTGTAGTCTGTGTGAGCCTGTCAGAGCCCTGTCTGATATTCTAGGGCCTTTGTAAGGCTGCATCTGTTTGTGTTTTCCTCTGTTAGTTATATTTATCATATTTTTCATGATTACTCTTTACATCCCTCGTTACTCACTAATGTGACCCCAGTGCATTATGGTCATTGTAGTTCTGGGAGTCTATGAATTGGAGTGATGCTATTGCTCGTGCTGGGTATCTGTTAAAGGGTTAAATGTCTGAGGCCTTTGATCCCCTCATAGTGTATGGAGAGAGGAGGGATTTACAGGGAGAAAGCCACCATCTCTGAATGGAGATGGAATTTGTTACCTCCCCATCACCCTCCCCTATCCTATGGAGGCACTGGGCTGCCCCCTCCTCCTCTACTTCACTCTGTGCACCTCTTGGCACTCACTTCAAAACACCTCTACACACAGACTCCCTCTGTTTATCACACATTACCTCTCTGTTACACACAGGAACCTGGGGGCCACACATTACCTCTGCTTCACAACAGACAGACACACGACACACAAACACACTACACACAATACATTTTACACAAAAAGGGCTACACAATTGGGTTTAACATAACACATAAGCTGAATTTCGGGCACTGACAAACCATCAGGATAGCCTTCCTTATTTCTTTCATGCACATCTCTCCTTACACACAGACAGAGACACACACACACACACAGAGTACGAGCTGGTATTAGGTATAATTAGACTGGTTCTAATTGTTAGATGATGCTGTCTTTTAGCTTAGCAGTGTACCCAAACCTTTATTCCTCTTAAGAATAAAAACGACACAATGCATTGACAAAAACATCCAGTCCTGTCCCATGCAAACACAGACACACGCCTGATACTTAGTTTCACACACACCTTTTTTAATGCATTCAGACACATTTTAACTGTTACCTGTCAGTTCACTAGCAAAGCCTCTCCACAGCTTTCTTCTACTCCCCATTACTGAAAAGCAGAAAACTACCCCCACCTCGCACATAGTCAGAGACACAGGGCCTATCCCCCTCCCTCCCTCTCTGGTTAGGAAGTTATCCTGTCCCAGACCAGGGGCGGGAGAGAGGGTGGACAGGAGAGAAAGACACAGACACACTGTGATAGTTTTGGCACTTCAGACATCTCTCTACACACTGTGCCCACAAGATACCTTGCCACCTTTCCATGGGTCACACCACAAGGGTACGATGACATCCTGATATGGAGTCACCCCTAGAACACCTATACCATCTCCGAAATTATACCCACGGCAGGTCAGATCCTTCACCTACATACACGCACACATACAGCACATAACCCAGCATGCTATATACCTGTGCCCGCTAAAAAAGCACACACCCAATGCACAGTCCTGCCGTCTCTGCATGTACACAGGTATTTCTGTATAAGCAGCGCGTATATTGCACACACAAAAATTATTACATATCTTCGTAGAGTAAACATAGATGATCTGCAAAACGTAAGAAAAACCCATTCACGTAGCGTTCATACAGCATTCAATACACAACAAGACAAGTAATACGTTTAAGTTATGCATGCACATAGAAGTGTTTAGACAGAAATTATAGCATGTATACAATGCACACAAACATTTACAGTTGCACGTAGACGCCAGCACAGGAAGAGTATTGAACAATACACAGTGTAAAATATATATCTTTGATATATACTCGGGAAATGCTGGTCACACTCTGGGTTTTGCTGCTGTGCCTATTGGCACAGAATACCTTGCCAAACCCCAATAAGGACCATTTCGGCATCTGCCCCAACCAACTGAATGCCAATCTTTGGGTGGACGCTCAAAGCACCTGCGAGAGGGAGTGCAAGTCCGACCAGGTAAGAAAGGCATTACTGAAAGCCAAGTACATTTAAGAGGGTGTCTGTTTGGATTTAAAGCAAAGGTGTCAAACTGCAGCTGGTCAGACGTTGTTGGACTATGAGTCCCATAAGGCTTTACAACCCTATGACTAGCCTGGGAGTACTTGTAGCCCAGCTGGTAGTTGTGGTTTAAGGGTTAAGGACACGTGGGGGATGAACTGCATAGGGGAGTAGAATACAGCCGTCAAATTAGAAATACTCTACTGTCTTTTCCCCAGTTGTACAGCGCTGCGGAAAGCGTTGGCGCTTCTTATAAATTCATTCAGGATTGTGTTACTCACCCTAATCCAAAAATAAAATTAGAAAGTTTAATAATAAAAAAAAAAAATTTCAAACGTAGATAACAAAAGCATTGCAGAAATTTTTCAGTTGACAGAATTTAGCAATTCATTTTGTTACACTTCTGACATCATAAGTGTTAAAAGATTTGCTTTGTGCAAATGACTCAAATACACACGTATGTGTCGATCCGGGTTATTCACTATATTGGGAACTGCTGAAAATTGACAATAAAATGTCAAATTATAGACAGAGGCCCCCTGTGGGGGTGAAATGTTGCTGAGTCCTCAGTGGTGGAATAAACTCCCCATGCACTTTGATTGGTGTGTTGTAAGTCTGCCTCCTCTGAATACTGCTATTGGGAGCTGACTCCCAGCATCCTCACACACAGTCCTGACGTCCTCATTGAATAATTCTCCTATCTTCAGATTCTGGAGGTTTCATGTGCCTGGGAGTCAGTGTCACCGTATGCACAAACCAGTACAAACCAGGGGTGCATGAGATATTCTGCAATACCGCAGGATTGTCCATTGATCATTTTACGCATGTGCAATAAGATGCTGCTATAACACATTGCGCAAGAAAATATATGCTAGATCATTATTGTAAAATGAAAAGAAAACAGAGCATCGCATGAAAAAGGATTGAAGGACTGGGTGCCAGGTCCCCTAGTTTTAACCCTGCAGCTAAAAACATAGCAGTTTCAGAGAAACTGCTATGTTTATACTAGGGTTAATCCAGCCTCTAATGGCTGTCTCTCTGACAGCCACTAGAAGCGCTTCCGCGATTTACACCAAGAAAATCGCACTTATTTGACGCTGGACATCCTCATAGGAAAGCATTGAGTAATGCTTTCCTATGGGCGGGTTTGAATGCGCGTGCGTCTCTGGCCACGAATGCGCATTCGGCTCCACTCGGGAGATGATGTCGATGGAGGAGGAGAGGTCATCAGTGCAGAGAGTGCCCGGCGCTGGATTAATGTTAGCAAATAAATGGTTAATTAACCATTTATTTGCAACGTAACAGGCGTTTTATTCCTAACGCTATAGTGTTCCTTTAACAGAAATTATTATATATGTTTTATTCAAAGGCGTGATTTCAAGAGAAGTGACAGTTCCCCTTTAAGAGGAAAATGTTAAATGGCCCTTTGGGAATAGTCACTATTGAGCTACGTCGAGAAAACATATACTCGGTTTATGAGGCAGAAGGTGGATGGATTTTTCTTGTCAATATTTATTTGTGATTACTTTTTTCTGAAACTTGGTTCCTGATTAAATTTACAGTTTTTTCCCCCAAATAGGACTGCGAGGCGTTTGAGAAATGTTGCACTAATGTGTGCGGACAGCAGAGTTGCGTGGCTGCACGGTACCCAGATTCGGGAATGCCAGCTCCAGGTACTTTTCATCCAGCTACTTGTGCTGGGTTTATTTGCACCCAGCAAGGCTCAGACTGCGAAATGTGGGAAGGGCGGCCCATTTGCCGTTGCCTAGAGCGCTGCGGAAAACAGCCAAGTTTTACTTGTGCCTCTGATGGTCTTACCTACTATAACCGCTGTTACATGGATGCAGAGGCCTGTGCCAGGGGTATTAGCCTGGCAGAAGTTCCCTGTAAGTTTGTCTCATCGTGGCCCCTGACAAGCGCAGCCCCATCTGAGACTACACAACAGCCTACTCCTCCTTCAACTCCAGTGGAACTACCAATGCCACCTGCCTTGTACCATGCACCAGCACCTCAGTCTGTGACCATGGGGGGCACTGTGGGTCTGCAGTGTGAGTGTAGTGGGAGGCCCCAGCCTGAGATTTTTTGGGAAAAGATGGGTGATGGTCCATCTGTTCCTCTAATGCGGCCAGACCAAATGTATGGAAATCTAGTGGTCACAAACTCTGGACAGCTAGTCATTTACAATGCCCGACCTGAAGATGCTGGAATCTATGTGTGCATGGCCCGTAACTCTGCAGGAATTCTCCACGCTAATTTCCCTCTCTCTGTCCTGAGGAAAGACACAAATCCCACAAATCTTCCCCAAATACATTTAGGACACCTGTCTGAATGCCAAAAACTACCAGAACGCAATGACTGCCAGGGACCTCATGTCCTGCATTGGACGTATTATGCCCAAAGTGGTGACTGCAAGACTTTCCTTCATAGATGGTGTCCTGGTATGTCCAATAGTTTTCAGACGTATGAAGAGTGCAGGACAATGTGCCAGGTGGCACCTTCTGACCCTTGTACACTGCCACCTGTCAGAGGTCCATGCAAAACACCAGAGGTGAGATGGGCATACAGTGCCCTAATGCGCCAGTGTTTTTCCTTCATTTATGGTGGATGCCAGAGCAATCAGAACAACTTTGAAAGCAAAGATGCCTGTGAAGATCACTGCCCCCTTCCAAGAGCCAAGCAGTGCCAAGGATGCCATCTGCGAGGAAGGTTGGTGCCCAGCTTGTGCCGTAGTGACTTTGTGATTGTTGGCAGGTTGGAGGATTCAGGTGAAGAACATGTGCTCAAAGTTGCCATAAATGAGGTGCTGAAGGATGACTACATGGGTCTTCATCTGTTTCATACAAACTATCTGGAAGTAACCCTTGGAGATAGTGGAGGAGACTGTCCGTGTGCTGGTCTTGTCGGGGATGGACAGCTTTTAATCATGGGGGAGGTCCAGGATGGTATGGCCTTACTGGGAACTTCTAGCTACGTCCGTCCAGCCAATGACAAAAGGCTGAAGAAGGTGCGAGAGATGTTGGAGAAAGGAACATGTCAAATGCTTAATAGATTTCAAGACTGATATACAGTGTACAGTGGAGTACACCCTCTTCTTAAATAATTCATGAATATCATCTTATTTCAGGCCTACAATCTGAAAACACAATAGCAGATTCCCTTTTTTTTTTACAAAATCTGAAAGGTTTTCTGTTTTTTCTTCCAATATGCTCTGGGTTTTTAATGATTATAAATTGTTTATCCTGTTTGTTTAAATTATGGAAATAAAACAGTGCTTCCTTTAAATCTCTGATTACTACGGCCTAGAAACCTATTTGGATAATATTGCTTTGATCACTGTCATTAAATTTTCACTTCTTTGTTTTCGCAAAACAATAATATATATTTTAAATTATGTATATAGATTTTTTGTCAAAATGACTTTTTTTTGTAAATATCTGTTTATTGAAAATGTCACCAGTGTCAAGAAAACATCAATGGCAATAAAACAAAATGGGACTCACAGGTCTCAACTTTAGAAAAGAGAGACCCTCAGATCTCAACAGAAAGGAAGTACGGTCGTTGCATTTTTATCTAAACTCCAGTAACAGCCAGTTGATATATGCAGGTACCTATTGTAACGGGTAATCGTAGCAATAAGAGGGAATACGGAGGTCCCAAAGTAGGTCAGGCGGGGATAGGAGTTCTGAGACCAGAACTCATCACGTCCTTGAACTCAGAGAGGGACGAGCACCCAATGGCTGTGGAGTGGAAAGAGGAGCAAAACAAAAAAGGGCGATAAGAGAAAAAGGGAGAGAAAGAGAGAGAAAAAAAGAGGTGAGGGAACTACCGCTAATGCCACCATTCAACTGGTTACTTAACTCCAAGGGATGCCTGAGTGAGGGGTTTCTATGTTATTCTTAACATTCCAAGGGACAAACTAATCGTGTAGTCCCTTACTGAGTGTAATTATTATTTATTATTATTATTATAAATTTATAAAGAGCCAACAAGTTCTGTAGCGCTGTACAATGGGTGGACTAACAGACACATATTTGTAACCAGATGAGTTGGACGCACAGGAACAGAAGGGTTGAGGGCCCTTTTCAATGCGCTTACATGCTAGAGGGAGTGGGGTATAGTGACACAAAAAGTAAGGGTAGGGTAGAAAGGTAGGTTGCTAGGATAGTGTTCATTGAGGGCTTAGTGTATTGTTTTGATGACGGTTTCAGGAGAGGAATCAGGGTGCGGGGAGGGAAAGCTGTTCACAGTTTAATTGATATACTTTCCTAAAGAAGTAAGTTTTCAAAGATTGTTTTGAAGGAGTCGAGATTGGTGATGTAGGATGGTTGGCATGTATCTGTGGTAAAATCCCTCATAGTACCCTCCCCACATCTCCCAAGGCTCCCTATTCATTGAGTTAAATTCTGAAATCGTAAAATGTAATGGAGGTTGTCCTTTCAAGGGACACACCAAATGTAAACAATGCACAAAAATGTGCAGAATAATACGAATTAAAAAAACTAAAGAAACTATTTATAAAATAAAAAAGTATTGTCTGTTTTTTACAAAAATGAACAAATTAGACTACTTAAACATTTTTTCAAAAAGTATTTACCTGTATACATACCACCAATGACGAAATAAAGTTACTTACATTACACTATTTTTTAGACAAAAATGTAGACAGCGAGGAAACAATGCAAGTGTTGTAAAAATTAACTTCCATTAGTAGGAGGAAAATTCTAGAATAAAATTAATTTAAAAAAAATTGCTTTAGAATAGCTGCAAATCAACTGTAGCTATTGGAAGCCCCGTGTTGCAATGCTGAACTTCAACCACTGGAGGGAGTATATCTCCATGAATGCTAAAAGGACACTGGTCATCAAGTTTTCACTTCTCATTTTTGAAATGATATTAACGTGACTGCCAAGACAAGTCTAAACTACAACACCCCACCAAGCTTAACTTTTCCTAAATCATAATAAAGACACTGATACCAGATTAAGGGGAAGGGCATGGCCACGGCTTTAATTAAATCAAACCGTATAATTTAACTTGAAATCCTTAAAGGACTCCGGCACACAGGTAGGTCTCTTACACCCAGAGATCAGTTCCTGGCAAATACCATTAACAGAAACCCACTCTCACATTGGGGTAACTTCTGCCACCATTTACCCAGGCGCTGGCCAGGACAATCTTCCCCACCGCAATCCCCTCCACCAAATTAAAGACATCTAGACCAATAACCGTAAGGAGGACCCCATCCATCCTCATATTATCGCTATTATCGCCCTTCATCTCCACATATCACACTACAACCCCGACCAATCTACTCACAAATTTGAGACACTATGTATTTTAGCTTGCGCCTCACCAGTTCTAAAGCCCTATAATCACCATTTGTTGTGCAGTGAAGCAGAGGAACAACCTCTGACCAGAGAGAGAGAGAACATATCGAGACAACTTGCTAAGTCTTGCTTTATAGCCCTAATCAAACCTACAGTGCACCATTAAGCCAGATTGAAACCTCTTCCTTGCACTACTAAAATAGAAGGGCTAGGGACAACTCAATGCAATGCGCTCATCTTTATGAATAACTAATCCCAACAAAGCCTGTGAATTCCACGCCAACGAAGACAAGCTACGAGGAAAACTAAAATTCATCCCGTAACTCTGCTCTTCAACCCAACAACTAGTCCAACAGATATACAAGTGATCAAGAAACCAATCCATGGCCGGCAAAACATCTAAAAAAAATAATTCCAAGAGATGAGGACAAACGTACAACAAAGCCCTATTAGATTTCCACCTCCCCACTCTGCTCACCCAAAAAACCTTAGCCATGTGACAACTTTGCCTATCTGGAAATCCAAAACCATTGAAACCAATTGTCTTAAAAAAGCCTGACAAAACATGGCAAGCTGTGAAGTAAAAAGGAAACCCCCAATCGACAAGCAGCAATTGTTTTAAGAGACAAAGGCAACTGGACAAAAAGGGCTCCTTACCGAAAGTATCATACCTCCATGCCAATTCTTTATTTTTGCTGTGCAGGTGGGTACAAGAAAACAGGCGCCACAACAGCGTAGTGCAAGATATACAATGGTTAAACAATGGCATGAGAGTCTGCACAATTTTATATTTTTAGCAAGCTTGCCTAACTATTTGTATCATTAGCATGAAGTTAAACGAAATACAGCAAGATAATTGATGCTTAACTTGTCGAATTCGGCATATGTGTGAGAACCAAAACAGTGAGCTTATTTTTGCCTTTAAAACAGGAGCAATGGTCAGCATCAAGACCCGATGTCTATAGGCTTAATTAAGTTTAACCACCAGGGGGCAGCAGAGCGTCAGACATACATGCAGGCTCAAACATTTTAATTGCTTTCTAACTGCAGGAAGAATCTGCTATAAAAACACACATCAATATGGTAGATGAGATACTAGACCAAGAGGTACACCACAGTCTATTATAGCTTTAGGCATAAATAGTTAGAAGCCGCTTGGTCCCTCCTGCAGCTGTGCGTTTAGCTGGTTATTTCACTGTGTGGGGGCTTGACAGTCAGGAGTGGAGCTTATTCCCCATTTACGTTGTTCCCTTGTATTCAGGCAGGGTCAGGGTTCAGACAGAGTCCCCTTATATCCACTCGTGTTAATGAGAGGTGATGCCTCTGTTGGTGTGAGTGCTATAATGCTGAGCTGAGCTGTGCTTGGCTTGCGGAGTATATCCCTTATACAGGTATCCTGTGGGTGAAAGGAGCACTCCGTCTGTCTGCTGTTGCCTCCCTTTGTCTTACAATGAGCGCGGCGGCCATCTTAGTTTTTCCCCCATGCGGTCCCCGGTCAGTCTTCCTGCCGCTTAGATGCCCTGAACGAGCGCTGCGTCCCCGATGGGGTCCGGGATAACCCCCCCGGCCCACAGGGGGGGGTAACGGGGCCCTTTGCAGGCGGCGGGAGGTCCTGCCGGACCAAGCACGAGAGATCGGCCGCTTCTCCCGCCAGGGCCTCACAGCAGGCCGCAATCCCCCTCGCCTACCAGACCGCATCGCCAGCGGAGCGGGGGCTAATACTTGCCCCGAAGGCTGTTGGTCGGGTCCCCTTTGCCCTCTCACGGCAGCTGAGGGGTTTCCAGGTAAAGAAGGGCATATTTAAGCTGGTCTCTGCGATTTTAGCAGGGAGCCGAGGTGCTCCACGTCTACCCCGCTCGGCGGCCAGGCCCCGCCCCCCTAAATAATTTTTTTACTTGCACTATATTGCTTCATTTCATTTCTCTCTGATTCATGTTCCCTCATTGCTGGGTAATGAATACAAATCATGGAGGTGAGAAAATTTGACCTATAGTAGACACATCAATGTACTGGGAAATACGGTATTTACTTGAATCTAAAGCGCACCTTTATTGGCAAAATAAAGTCTCCAAAATTTGAATGTGCAGTAGATTCGATGGCGCATTAGATTTGAGTAAATAAGGTATTTACAAGCTATACTAAGTGTGAATTGCCAATTGAAAAATATATTATTATATTTTGTTATACAGAGTTAATTTCCCCTATATTTCTTGTAATTTGTCTGATGGCAGATTACATACATTTGTCAGAGTTTAATTCTGTCCAATCCATTCCACGAGGTAGTGACTGACAGAGACCCGGTGTTAACATCAAGGGTTGGAAAGGACAAAGTTTAACGTAATCAATTCAATAATTTTACTTAATTTAGCGGATTTTTGGGAGTATTATGCATATATACCCATGTATATTAATCTATGCATACTATGTTCAAATTTACATGTATATATATTATAAGCATAATTGTCTATATTATAACAGGTTCACCTTCGCGGCCCCACACAATGTCTTGGAGAGAAATTACTACTAACTAACTCATGCTAGTGCATGAAACTCCAATATTTTGTGTGTAGGAAATCAGTCTATTCTGTTATAAAACAAGAATGAGCAACTACACACAAACAAAGCCAACAAACAAATAATAGTGAACAGCGCACACAATTGATGTATAATTGTGGATAATATCTTCATTAGTCCATAAGTGTCTTAACATGCACACATCTTAAATGTGTATACAGATATGGTAAAAAATATAATAAAAGCACACAGATACCTCAAAGTCTGGTATAATTATCCCTGCAGAGAATGAGAAAACAGAAAAACTCTTATAAAAACATAGAATGTGACGGCAGATAAGAACCATTCGGCCCATCTAGTCTGCCCAATTTTCGAAATACTTTCATTAGTCTCTGGCCTTATCTTATAGTTAGGATAGCCTTATGCCTATCCCACCACACATGCTTAAACTCCCTCACTGTGTTACCCTCATAGCATAGTATAGCAGTCACAGATAATCCCCTTGAAGTATCACACTCACATTGTTTAGTAGAGATACACCAAACAATAACATGCATGCATTTAATTATGCATTTTTTCTATGGAGGTATGTCTAAAAACAGTAAAAATATATATAGCAACTGTGGAAAAATAGAGAATAAAAGGCTTTAAAATATAACTTTTACTTATTATATTAAGAAAGGGAGGGGGGGATCTATGGCCAGTAATTTCTAGTCATCATAGTTTATTTGTACACCCATTGTACAGCGCTATGGAATTTGCTGGCGCTACATAAATAATAAAATAATAATAAAAAAATAATTTGTGATAAGAAAAAAAAATCTCCAGATTTTTTTCCAAGTATAATGTAGATTTGGTATCCTCTTGTAGTACCTAAAAGACACCATTAGGGGTCATACTCTTGCATGTCATTGTTCCAGCTGCCAAGATTAATTCACACTTTAGCTACAAGGAGAAAATGTATCAATAGAGGTGCATTACCCAAATGTCAACACCAGGGGACACTGCACTTAAACGTTCGTGCTAGTATTGGATAGTCACAGACTCAATACACAGTCAAGGAAATGCTGTTCCCTACAAACACCTTGCTGAACTACAACTCCCATGATTCTCTGGATATCTATTTAATTCAGAGAATTATGGGAGTTGTAGTCCAGCAAAATCTTGAGGGCCAGAGTTTTGAGAACCCTGGCGTAGATTAATAGCTATGTATTCTCTGTTGCCGTCTTTTCCCCTCTGAGACATACCGTAGTTTTATTAAGGAGGGAAAAGTGTGTGAAAAATAAAGTAACACACTCAATGGTTATTTCAACCGAAAAAACTGAAAAAAATTAATGAAAAATTCTAAAATTCAGTTATAAACTTTACACTTTCGCATAACCAGAGAAGTTAACACTTTAAAAAAAAAAAAAATCTTTATTTAACATTGTAGAGTGAACACGGTATACAATCAGTAACATGAATCGTTACATACAGCTATAAAGCTGATTCTTAAGTCAAATACCTCAGACTTAAGTTATTCAACAATGCATATTTTATATTTAGAATAAAATAAAACACCCCCCCAAAAAAAGAGAGCAGGAGTTGTTTTTTTTGTTTTTAATAGCTGGTCTTGCCTAGAGTGCAAAATAGTCTATACCGGCCCTGCATACATCACTAGCCTTTTACCCACTGTTGTGGTCGTGACCTAAATATGAATATTAATCTCTTAATACATAATAATTAAGCAATACGGAACAACATTAATATTTTTATAATTCATGGTATTATGGTCGAATATGTGGATAGAAAATACACAAAACATTGTAATATTAAATGTATATTTAATATAACTATAATAAATAAACAGATGCTAGCAGAATGTCAATTTACTACAATTATGATACAATACAAAACTACAACATATTACTTACAAGGCCCCAGCCCTTTGGCTGGGGTTAAGTCAGAGCTGGTACTACATCTTAGGTTCAGTCAGGTACAGGCAAAGGGGCAGAGTTTTCTCCTCCATCTGGTTTTATTCAGTGTAAGTAGGCTGGCCTGTGATGTCACTGCCAGAAGCACATGTCTTCCTACACACTCCCCCTAGTGGTGCCCCCAAAGCATTACACTAAATATGCTTTCTTTATGATGTAAAGTCATTAATTAATAAATACCATTACACCCACCCTCCAATACCCTAACCCTAGGAAAACTCAGACACATTAATATTGGCCATAGCTTTATTTAGAATCAAATCAACATCATAACAGAACTATTAAAGGACGACTGTAACCTTAAATATATTTTAATATAAAAATCATTTCATCAAATATTAAAAGGATACAGATTTTTTTACATTTACCGTGCTTACTTTAAAAAAATATACATATTTCCTTTCAATATTTTTTTTTTTTTTAAATATCGTTTTATTAAAGTGTTTGCGAGGTGAACAATTCGCAGTGAGGTTATGAGCAGTGCGTAACACGTAGGTTTCAATCAGTTAGAATCTCGTTTGAGGTCTTGAGATGCGCAGATCTCTGAGGATGCAAAAGTGATTGAGACTCGCAGGTCTCCTGACACAATAAATCTCTATTTACGATATTCACTTAACATGTTGTAGATTGATTAATTACAGTCTGTCAGGTGCGTTAGCTATGGTCCTGTGGTTTGAGATCGCTCACTCTGCGTTATGATATTATTTGTTGTTTTAGGTCTTGTCGTTCGCTTGTCCTTGCAGGTTGTAATCATCTCTCAGTCTTTAATGTCGTTCGTCTGTAATGTGTCTAGAGTGTGGATGATGGGATGGGTGGGGGGTGGTCGGTGAGCATGTTGTGTCTTTCAGTCACCTTCTTCCCGCCTGTATCTTCTATGGCCCCGTCTCACAGTGCCTATTGGCATGAGTGTGGGGTTGTGGGGGGGTGTCCTTGCGTCTTAGTGTAGTCCTGTTTAGGGTTTGATCCCTAGTGTCAGTGTGTCTGTTAGTTCGTTTGATAAGTTCCCCTCTCAGTCTCCTCCATCCTCTATTTGCATTAATGTTTCAGTGTCGCTGGGGTAGGTGCAGTGTGTTGTTTCCTCCTAGCGTGGCTCCCCCAACCTCTGGTTCTTGTTTAGCGTGCCCCCTGGCCGTGTAGATTTCATTTGTAACTAGTGTGATTCTGCCACTCAGGGGTCCTAGTGTGATTCCCCGGGTATTGGGCTCATCCGCAGGGGCTCTGAGGCAGGGTGGGGGTGTGGGAGGGCTGGAGGGGGGGGGTTTTACTTGGGTTTTGGGACGTCGTGCGTATCTCGGTTCCCTATGTGTCTTGTCTCCCTCCTTCCCTTGTCGGTGGTCCTTTCAATATTTAAAGAAAGGATTATTAGGATAAAAATAGTTTTGAGGTGTCAGTTGTCATTCAAGATCATCCTACAACTGCAGTACCATAAGAGCAGGTATTCCCCCAAAATACTTGGTATGATGTGTGTGAGTATCTAGCTCAGTTTGTTCCCAGACCCACAGGACTTATCTCTCCAAATACCTACCTGATGGGTGACTTCCAAAACCTCTTCATCCTGGCGCTGGCGAGGCTCATCTGCAGCTGTCACAATAAAACCAGAAAAAAATAACAACGGGGAATGAGGGGAAAAAAGGAAAGGAGAAGGGAGTCAATTTTGAAATACGGTCTCAATAACATTGAGTTGGAGGGGACATAATTGGCTGACAGGCACTGCTCTGCAATTCATGAAGCCATTCCCAAACTGGCCTAGGGGTTTTCATCAAATTGCTGTTAATCACTAGAATCATGTGCTAGCTACGTATCCCACATGTCACATAAACCAGAGAGATGGAATGGGGGAGATGACAAGACAAAAACATAGGAATATATAGCACCAAGAGAGGAATGACAAACAGAGAGACAGACAGACAGAGAGACAGACAGACAGACAGACAGAGAGACAGACAGACAGAGAGACAGACAGACAGACAAACAGAGAGACAGACAGACAGACAGAGAGACAGACAGACAGAGAGGAGCGATAGATAACAAAGATTGAAGAGAGATGTAACAAAGATTGCGAAGTGTGTCAGGAATTGGTCAACATGATGGGAGCATTAAGTCTACGTTGGGGGAGGACCATTTGACAGAAGGTTAGGGTAATATACCAGAAGATGGAATGCCTGTGGTTCTTACCATCTTTTTCTTGCAGGCCTTTAAACGTCTTCCACCAGGATTTCTTAATGGCCAAATTTGCAACCATGGTGACCAAGTCTCCACAGACTTAACATTTCAATTCTAAGCTACAAACACAATGAGATACAATAGACAGTGTGGGGATATTTATGGGATAATAATAGTAACAGTGAGAATTGCCCACTAATTCAATTCTCAGATCCCAAAGAACGTTTATCGTGTTAAGTGGAAAGTATTTCATATAAATAATCACAATGTATAAAAATAGATTTTTATTTATGATAACCAATAATTAACAAATAATATTATGCAACATGCATGACAATAATCAATGAATATCCAGTATAAAATGGTATGCAATACAAAGAAATGGGTATTACGTTACAATGGCTAAATAGCATTTCCTGTCAAGAATTCTGAGGATTTATAAGGTATCCTTAACACAGACTTAAGTGAAACTTTTCACACAGAGAACAGAATTCCTCAGAGTGCAGCGTAAGGTCGTAAAGTTTAGCAGACAGTTAGAATAACCCTTTCAATGCTGGCTAGATCTCCTAGGTAGTTAAGATCTATTCTTATGTAATTTTTAAATAAAAATAACATTTAAACCAGTTCATTAGTCATTTCCTGAAAACCATCCAATAAGAGAATCTAACATATTATATCAGCAGATTTTTAATTTGTCTAAAAGATATCTATCTTAATTTAGAGCAAATCAATACACCTGGATAAAAACAGCGGTATGCTAACACGTGATAACTATCACATTAATATATATAATTATTCTTAATTCCACCTGCAGAATGGAATGGTTATAACTATATATTCTTTAGTTAACTAAGATTTCTTAATATGGAAATCTGACCGTGCTTTATCCAGTCATATATAATGCTATTAATAAATGTTAATTAATTTAATTAATTAAATGAAACCAGTATAATTACCAGTTGAGTAGATATTTCATCCGATTGGTAGTCTCAGGAACTTATTTGGATGTCTCTCTGCATGGAGGTTGGAGTCCCCAAACTTCCAATTCCTCTCTCCTCTTTTCCTTTCTCCTTTGCATCTCTTGCATACCCTGCCCCCTTTATCTTCCCTTTGTCTTAACTTTTAAAGGGCCAGACTCTCTGTACGTCATCAGTTGATAACCCAATAGAAGCACTAGAGGTGTGGTTATCTTCCAGATCGCAATTTAGGTATTTAGTCTATAGAGGGCAGTCTTGTCCCACTAAACATACCTATCCAGTAAAGAGTTAACTTTTCCTGGTGGCTATTTTGACGTCATTTTGCGTTATCTTTATAGTGCCATAATTTAAAATTTCAAAGGGTTTCTTAAATTTTGTCCAGACTTAGCGTCTGCAATTCCTGCCATAATTTCTGATATGACAGATCATGAACTAAGTTTACCCTTTCCATACAATGGTACCTTATATATATAGACAGTTAAATATTAAATTATTTAATCTTCTCTGTCACAATTGTCTGGGTTTAGATTTGATTATATTCTTCTTATCACTTGTTTATACTATGCATTCCTTAGCTCTGGCAAAGAGGCCAGTCTTACAGAAAGAATTTTGTGTCTTTTTGTTAATTTGAAAATAACAAAATGGGGTCTGGTCTGTTCAGAGTGACTCAGAATATACACTTTTAGTTTCTATCATAGCACAAAATGTCTGCCGATATAAATACTCTGACAACAGTTACAGAGTTTCTCTATTTGCACACAGTTTTTTCTCTGTCCTCTTGGTCACATGACAATCTGGCTCTGTCACCCAGTGTTGGGAGCACTAAGGGAAAGTCCACCACGAGCGCATATTAAATTGTGCTTGTGATTTAATAGTTACATTTCCTTGGTGCGTAGGGAAAATAACGTAAATTTAAAAACATTAATTTCTTACCAGCTCCTCCTCCAACGTAGACTTAATGCTCCCATAATGTTGACCAATTCCTGACACACTTCGCAATCTTTGTTACATCTCTCTTCAATCTTTTCATTCAAGTTCTTCCCTAAACTGAATACACAGTAAGGCTGAATGAGCAGATTACAAACTAGAATCTCATAATGCACAAAGCCTACAAGCACACATTTAAAGATATGGGGAGAGCAAATAATGTATCCATATATACTTCTTTATCACTTGCCCAGAGATGAGGAGATTTGAGATTTCATGAGATGTCACTGGAGATCTGATGAACATTTGACCAGAGTCTTGTAAATATGACACCTAACGTGTTGTGATAAGGTGAATGGGGTGGTCTGTGAGGGAGTTTATATTTCATCTACATTGTTCAGAGAGGCATATGATCTTTAACCCCAGGGGGAATGTATGTATGTATGTGACTTAAATGCATATTTAGTTATGGGCCCCTGGGGTGGAGCATTTGGAGAGAAGGGTGGGCCAGTGCTCCACTCCACTATTTACGGTTTTCTCTTGGGAGACTAGGTCCAGACCAGGCTTTGGACTGTCTCCAACCCACTGCTCAGCTGCAGGTAATCAGCTGTAGCAGTGGGAATAAATCCCTCCCTGCTAGGCAGGTAGAGGAGAATGGTTATTTCTCTCTGGAAAGGGCTGGAAGCAGCAAGTTGTCCAAAACACTGGAATGCTGAGAGCTGAAAAAGACACTAGGTTGGTGAAATCCCTTCTTGTTTTGTTCTAGATTAAACCCTTGAGAGAGAGGGAACTTGATGTCAGTTAGAGCTCAGATCGAGCTAGGTTTTTGTTTATAGGATTTTGTTACATTTTGTTTTCATTTACTGCTGTATCCTGTGTTGATTTACAAAATAAAGTGCCTGGAGTATATGCAATTATAAGGACTGTGCATGTTTTTGCCCTAGAGGACCGTGCTACCTGCTGACAAGGATCACAGTGTCCTTTAATGATGAAATTGTTTTTTTACAGACACTGGGACCTTTCAGTCAACTGGATGGAAGAGTTTATGACAATAGAACATGTTTATACTTGTAACTTCTTTCCATTTGGCCTTAGAGTCACATTTACTGTTTCATCAATTCAGTTATTGTACCCATAACTGAAAGGAGGCATGGCAATCTAACCAGTTCAAACGATCTTTTCATGTAGAGATCTGGAACTTCAAGGGCTGAAGTGAGTTTGTCAATGTCCCCTTCGTGACTCGGGATGTATAAGGTACGTCACCATCATTAGATTCTTTACTGAAGCTATTAATAATCCTTATGTCGCCTGTTTGAGATCATCTGGACATGTTGTTCTTACCCGTGGCTAGACTAGGCTTTTACGCGATGCCTCACAAGTAAGACTGTCCAGTCATGTCTACTGGTTGTTGTCCCTCAATGTGAAATCTGTACAATAGGAACAATTATATCCCAGTGTTTTTAATACTATGTTCACTTATCCCCTATATTTAACAAATGGATTTGTGAGGTATAAAAAATATTAATTACAGGTGATACTCGAAAAATTAGAATATCGTGCAAAAGTTAATTTATTTCAGTAATGCAACGTAAAAGGGGAAACTAATATATGATATAGACGCATTACATGCAAAGCAAGATAGTACAAGCCGTGATTTGTCATAAATGCGATGATTATGGCTTACAGCTCATGAAAACCCCAAATCGACAATCACAGTAAATTATAATATTACATGCAATCAATAAAACAAGGAGTGTACATAGAACAATATCGGACCTCTGAAACGTATAAGCATACATATGGACTCAGTACCTTGTTTGGGCCCCTTTTGCAGCAATTACTGCCTCAATGCTGCGTGGCATGGAAGTTATCAGCCTGTGGCACTGCTAAGGTGTTATGGAAGACCAGGATGCTTCAATAGCGGCCTTCAGCTCTTCTGCATTGTTCGGTCTGATGTTTCTCATCTTTCTCTTGGCAATGCCCCATAGATTCTCTATGGGGTTCAGGTCAGGCAAGTTTGCTGGCCAATCAAGCACAGTAATCCCACGGTCATTGAACCAGGCTTTGGTGCTTTTGGCAGTGTGGGCAGGTGCCAAGTCCTGCTGGAAAATGAAGTCAGCATCCCCATAAAGCTCGTCTGCGGAAGGAAGCATGAAGTGCTCCAAAATCTCCTGGTAGATGGCTACGTTGACCCTGGACTTAATGAAGCACAGTGGACCAACACCAGCAGATGACATGGCTCCCCAAATCAGCACAGACTGTGGAAACTTCACACTGGACCTCAAGCATCTTGCAGTGTGTACCTCTTCATTCTTCCTCCAGACTCTGGGTCTTTGGTTTCCAAATGAGATGCAAAAGTTGCTCTCATCAGAAAAGAGGACTTTGGACCACTGAGCAACAGACCAGGTCTGTTTTTCTTTAGCTCAGGTAACACGCTTCTGACGTTGTTTGTTGTTCAGGAGCGGCTTGACAAGAGGAATACGACATCTGAAGCCCATGTCCAGGATCCGTCTGTGTGTGGTGGCTCTTGATGCACTGACTCCAGCCTCAGTCCACTCCTTGTGAAAGTCCCCAACACTTTTGAATGGCCTTTTCCTGACAATCCTCTCCAGGTTGCGGTCATCCCTGCTGCTTGTGCACCTTTTTCTTCCACATAACTTTCTATTAATGTGCTTTGATACAGCACTTTGGGAACATCCAACTTCCTTCGCAATTACCTTTTGAGGCTTTCCCTTCTTATGGAGGGTGTCAATGATGGTTTTCTGCACAACTATCAGGTCAGCAGTCTTCCCCATGATTGTGATTCCTACTGAACCAGATTGAGAGACCATTTAAAGGCTCAGAAACCCTTTGCTGGTGTTATGGCTTACTTAGCTGATTAGTCGGACACTGTGAGCCTAGAATATTGCACCTTTTCACAATATTCTTATTTACTGAGATTGTGGATTTGGGGTTTTCATGAGCTGTAAGCCATAATCATCGCACTTATGACAAATCAGGGCTTGAACTATCTTGCTTTGCATGTAATGCCTCTATCTCATATATTAGTTTCCCCTTTTGCGTTGCTTTACTGAAATAAATGAACTTTTTCATGATATTCTAACTTTTCGAGTATCCCCTGCAAATGTAGAAATCCTGACTGCAATAGTAAGCTCTATCTATCATGTAACTGGGCGACTCCATCTTACTTCCCTGCCCTCTTCTTTGCACCACACATTCAGTATAGAGAAAGTATATGGAGAAACAGAAATAGCAGATTTATCAAAGTGTTACGTTGTAAAAAGTTATCTAAAGTAAAAGTGGGGCAATCACCGTGGTAAACAGCAGGCATATTCCATTGGTGACGCCTTCCCTTTTACAGTTTGGCAAAACTTTTTTAACAGAACACTCTGAAAAATCTCCTTCATTGTGTCTGTTCTGCTTGTGCCCTGGCTGTGCCAGGACTGACATAGATTAAAATGCCAGTTACTTCATTGTTAACATACATTTACAGCAAAATGGAGCATCACATGAAAATTTTAACCAATGATGTAATTTTTGGAGACGTGACAGTTTCTCATTAGCCAAGATCCTGACCTGTTTCTTTTCGTCTTTCTCTCGTGCTTTGTTGAATTTGGTTTATGACTATTTTTTATCAGAGGTTGATATAAGGTCATCCTTTGCCGTTTTGTATCTCCCGTGTTTAAAATCATTAAAAATGACTGGTTAACACAAACAGCAGTGCCGTGTGATGTCACGGTAAACTCAGATGACATCATAATGTGTGTCTTTTCTTCGTGAGAAACATTATTCTGGCAAACTAAGGCTTTTTGCAAATGTTCCTCTTCGTCAGGGATGTGAAAGTCTGCCTCCTTCCACCCAGGATGTTGATGGCTTGCAACTCCAACAATTCTTTGAATGCGCTCCAAGCACCATAACTGCTACAGCTCACTGTATTAAAGTGAGCACTTTATGATGAAGAGCACTGGCACCCCACACTAAAAAGTGTCAATCCACTTTTGAATAGTTTGACTTCTTACCAAAACTCTGCCAGGCACCATTCCCTGCCTCCACTACTAAAGCTAGAAAGTCGGAAGTTCCTAAGCAAGAGCTTAAGTTATCTCTCAGCCATTGAGCTCAGCCCTGCACTGCTAAGCCCTGTTTAGGAACTCTGGCACTATTAGTGGAGGTAAATTTATTCTAATAAATTCCCAAATGACAACAGGAGCCAGATATCAGACACACACTTTATTAATACAGCTAATAATTACAGAGCATCGTTAACAAAACAGGATAATGTATCCAACTAAAGACTCCTGGAAGACCTTGCAAAGTGTTTTTATATTTCACGTGTGATCAAAGACACTACCTGCTATGAAATGTCAGATTTAAAACACTTGTCCTAAGTCCTAAGATTTCTGATCCAGTTCATAAAATATTCCTATGACGTTTTGCTTTTATTTTATATATATATATATATATATATATTTTTTTTTTTATCTCCTAATGCTGACACAATAATGAGTAAGTGTGTGTTTGGTTTTACGTATGGGAAAAAGGAATATATCTAACTATGAAATAGGACATATTTTTAACTGACAACAATGTTTTACTTAAATAAGAAAAAAAAATATTCTGACATTTTTCAAATTTTTGGCAACATTAATAGTCAGATTTTTAAAAAGCCAATCATTGCAAGGTTTTTTCCTCCGGACATTAAAAACATTTATAAAATATTTTGTCAGTAACAGTAAAATGTATAGACTAATTTATGGGTATATAAGCCAGAGAGAGATGAGGAAGGAAGGTTTTTTAAAGGGACACTACATTGCCCACATATAAAAACAGTTTGCAAAAGCTGCAGATCTCTTGTCTGCAGCCTTTGCAAGCCCTCCCCTTCTAATCCCGCCCAGACTTTCTGTGACTGTCCAATCACAGACTTCCCAATGCAGCTCAACCAGAAGTCTTTGCAAAATAGGTGCTCTAGGCAATTGCTGCCTCTTGAGTTACACTCCAATGAGCTAAATAACCAGGAAGTAACAGGACCAGCTGGTGTGTGTAACAAGGTACATTTATAAAAGTGTCAGTTTCTAGCAAAATCTGCACTTTTTCTAAAATGAAAAAAAAAGAGGACAAACTTTTTATACATTAAGCACTTCAGCAAGCTAAGGTGCTTTAGTGGTCGTGAATGTCCCTTTAAGGGAAAGAGAAGGAAACAGCTGTATCAGGAATGGGATTTGTTGGACAAATTTAGAGATCTATTTGCAATAGAAGAGCTGGGAGAGAGATGGAGAACAGGCAAACTAACAAAATAGAGTGCAGTCAGCAGGAGAGCTAGATTAGAGATTGGGACACATTAGGAGAACTGTGAGCATTAGTACAACAAACATAACACTGCACAAAATGGGGCAGAAACAGAGCAAACTAGGAACAATCTATGCAAACAGGAGAGTAAAGTAAAAAAAGGACACAAAATGTACACAGCACGTGGCATTGCTGGGTCACAGAAAGGTGTCTGATAAACTTCTACACTATGCAATTAGTAAGATAGTAGGGTCTGAGTCAGGTAAACTATCAAAGCTGAGTACAACCAATAGCAGAATCTAGTAAGAGATCTGATAATATGTGAAGACAGTGTGCAGCCAATAGGAGAGCTGAGTAAGAGATCTGGTAATATGTGAAGACAGTGTGCAACCAATAGGAGAGCTGAGTAAGAGATCTGGTAATCTGTGAAGACAGTGTGCAGCCAATAGGAGAGCTGAGTAAGAGATCTGATAATATGTGAAGACAGTGTGCAACCAATAGGAGAGCTGAGTAAGAGATCTGATAATATGTGAAGACAGTGTGCAACCAATAGGAGAGCTGAGTAAGAGATCTGGTAATATGTGAAGACAGTGTGCAACCAATAGGAGAGCTGAGTAAGAGATCTGGTAATCTGTGAAGACAGTGTGCAGCCAATAGGAGAGCTGAGTAAGAGATCTGATAATATGTGAAGACAGTGTGCAACCAATAGGAGAGCTGAGTAAGAGATCTGGTAATCTGTGAAGACAGTGTGCAGCCAATAGGAGAGCTGAGTAAGAGATCTGGTAATCTGTGAGGACAGTGTGCAACCAATAGGAGAGCTGAGTAAGAGATCTGGTAATCTGTGAAGACAGTGTGCAACCAATAGGAGAGCTGAGTAAGAGATCTGATAATATGTGAGGACAGTGTGCAGCCAATAGGAGAGCTGAGTAAGAGATCTGGTAATCTGTGAGGAAAGTGTGCAACCAATAGGAGAGCTGAGTAAGAGATCTGGTAATCTGTGAGGAAAGTGTGCAGCCAATAGGAGAGCTGAGTAAGAGATCTGGTAATCTGTGAGGACAGTGTGCAGCCAATAGGAGAGCTGAGTAAGAGATCTGGTAATCTGTGAGGACAGTGTGCAACCAATAGGAGAGCTGAGTAAGAGATCTGGTAATCTGTGAGGACAGTGTGCAGCCAATAGGAGAGCTGAGTAAGAGATCTGGTAATCAGTGAGGACAGTGTGCAACCAATAGGAGAGCTGAGTAAGAGATCTGGTAATCTGTGAGTACAGTGTGCAACCAATAGGAGAGCTGAGTAAGAGATCTGGTAATCTGTGAAGACAGTGTGCAGCCAATAGGAGAGCTGAGTAAGAGATCTGGTAATCAGTGAGGACAGTGTGCAACCAATAGGAGAGCTGAGTAAGAGATCTGGTAATCTGTGAGTACAGTGTGCAACCAATAGGAGAGCTGAGTAAGAGATCTGGTAATCTGTGAGTACAGTGTGCAACCAATAGGAGAATCTAGTAAGAGATCTGATAATATATGAAGACAGTGTGCAGCCAAGAGGAGAGCTGAGTAAGAGATCTGATAATCTGACAGAACTGTGTGCAGCCAATAGGACAGCTGAGTAAGAGATCTGACAGAACTGTTTGCAGCCAATAGGAGAGAAGGTAAACAAAAGTTTTACAGCCAATAGGATATCAGGGTCTGGTAAACTAACAGAACCGAGTATAGCCAATAGAAAAGCTGGGTAACAGACAGGAAACAGAACTGTGCAGAATTCCAATGTGATACTTTATAATGAAACTAATAATGGGGTTTGCATGCAGGTGATATTAAAATTGCGCTGCTTTTTTTTAAACAAACATTAACTCATAAATGAAAAAAAGTGAGAGAGACAAATAGGATTAGTATGAAACTATTCTGAGACATGGTGTGCACTTTAGCTGTCAGGGCTTTACATAAAATGTTTTGTGAAACACAAAATATTCTATTGAAATAACCTTTCCATATCACTAGTGGAATATGTAACCAGACTCGGACTCTTCTAAGGTTTATATTTAACTTCTTTTAGACAAAAAATAAAACCTTGTCTTATGAAATAACAACTTTTGATGTATTGTAGAATATTTGGCAATATGTTACTTTGCAGAGTTAAATTGGCCATAGCCATTCAGTATAAAACATACTGCGGTATTTGGTTAATTGCTCTCCCTCCAACGTGAGTCTCTGTGTACCCCGAATATTCTACAGGCAGCTGAATGGTCTGCACTACTTACAGGAGGGTCGCTGACCTGTAACCCCTAACTGTGATGTCAAAAAAAAAACAATCCAGAGGAGCAAATAAAAATAACTATTTTTTTGGTCAGCACAACTCTACAACGAAACATATATTAAAATATACTGCAACATAGCAAACGTTTTATTTTCATGGCAAACTGTTTATTGTTTCATTATAAAAATCTGTCCCAAATAGTACATATACTGTTTTGTAATTACCTAATTAACTGGAGCAAGTGTTTACAAGCAAATCCTTTAACATCCCCGTCCACTGATTGATCCACGTTTTACAAATATCTCCAGTGGAACAGAAATCCTTAATGTCGACCCGCCGGGGAGGATGGGTGCACGAGAATTGATTTTGGGCTTAATAAAATAGTGTATTGAGAAATGAACTGGTACAAAAGGAGAATGTAACACTTTCGCAATTATGCTCTGTCAAAAAATAAACCCTTTGATAATACAATACCCCAAATTACACAGGTCTTTTCCAAGTAGAAGCATTTAGTTACCTAATAGAAGAATTGGTATAAGTGCTATCAACCGAGCAATGAAGCTGCTTCATTGTACACATTGACCATTTTCGAGACTATATCTACTGTCTTCAACTAAGATCTATACATATTCTAATAATTACATAACATATTGGTTAAACGTATGAAAATATGCATCTATCTGCCTACGGAACTTTGGCATATGATGTTACATAAACGGATAACAAACATGTCAAATGTTGTGATGTCTAATGTCTTGTGACGTATCGCTATTAATGCTTTGCTAAACACGAAAGTAAAAAAAAATCACAGACAAAATGGCGCCTTAATATACAAACAACAATGTTAGTGTGAAATCTGCTTGGTAAAGGGGAATTCACTGTTTGAAAATATATAAAGTGCAATTCTGGGCCAAAATTCTTTAAAGTGATGCACATTTGGTTGCCATGGTGCCTGCTCAAGTTTTAAAACTTTCTCCCAGAATGTGTCTTTATATATAACCTCCACTGTTTCTATCGTCTACAAATAACACTACAGATTCTGACCGTGGGACATGGCTTTGTGTTACAGTTAAACTATTAATGTCACCATAAAATTTATTTCTATACCTCAAAATCAAATACTCATTGCGATATTATTTTAACTTTCTTGGCACATTGCTCTGGGTTTACCCAGTCTTGGCTTTTTGGTATTTTAGAAAAATTACCCTCTGTATTTGAAGTTTACGACATTGTAATAAAAAAAGAGTGTTTCGTAGTTTAAAAAAAACTAAAACTGATCCACTTCGCCAGCACGCACATGGGATAAATAAAAATATAGCTAGCTATATGTAGCCCAAGTGGAGGAAACAACTGCATTCTCCTTATTTTATGGTACTTCTGTCCTTGTTATTAATATGCATATTGGATTTTTCCTCTCTTAATAATAAAATGCACACACTCTAAACATTCACTCTCCTGCTTGAATTTTTCCTGGCGAGATATCTCCCATAATTCCGCTAATAGTTTCAGGTCTGTGAATTGTCTCGTGTATATCGAGATCGGATTTACTAGTGAAACATTTTCCACATTCATGGCACACAAAAGATTTTTCTCCTGTGTGAATTCTCTGGTGTCTGGCAAGGTAAAGGTTTTTGGTAAAACATTTGCCACACTCGGAACATGCAAATGACTTCTTTCCTTTATGGTTCCTCTGATGAGTCAGAAGGTTGGCCTTCTGGCTGAAACATTTGCCGCATTCTGAACATACAAACGACTTTTCCACAGTGTGGATTGTCTCGTGAATATCCAGGTCAGACTTACTGGTAAAACACTTCCCACACTCAGAACACAAAAAGGATTTGTCGTCGGAGTGACTTCTCTGATGCCGAACCAGATACAAGTTCTTAGTGAAACATTTTCCACAGTCAAAACATGCAAATGATCTTTCTCCTCTGTGGTGCATTTGGTGGGTTACCAGATTGGAGATGTCACTGAAGCATTTCCCACATTCTGAGCAAATAAAAGACTTCTCCACAACATGACTTGTCTCATGTGTGGCCAGATCATTCATGCTAGAAAAACTTTCTCCACACTGGGAACATATAAATGATTTCTCTTCTTTTTCGGGGATCAGGTGTTTATCAAGATGCTTGAGAAGAAAGGTGTTTTTGGAAAAACTTTTTCCGCATTCTGAACATTTAAATGGTTTATCAATGGAGTGTGTTTTATAATGTCTCACGACATCCGAGTTCTTGATGAATCCTTTTCCGCATATCGTGCACTGGTATGGTTTCTCCCCTGTGTGTGTTCTCTGGTGGACTACAAGGTGAGAATGCCTACTAAACGTTTTATCACATTGAGAACATGTGTACAGTTTCTCTCCAGTATGACTTTTGTGGTGCGAGAGGAGATCTGATTTCCGTTTAAAACATTTCCCACATTCTGAACACGCATATGGTTTCTCTCCTGTATGAAGCCGCTGGTGTCTGATGAGCTCTGATTTTCGCGTGAAAGTGTCCCCACACTCTGGACAAACAAACTGAACCATCCCAACATGGACTTTATGATGGACAACCAAATGCGACATGCTGATAAACCCTTCACCACATTCCGAGCATAAAAATGGTTTCTCTCCTGTATGAGTTCTTTGATGGATAGTGAGGTAAGACTTTGATTTGAAACATTTTCCGCATTCCGTACAAGAAAACTGCCCAGCGCCTTCGTGAATCTTCTGATGCTTTACACGCTGTGTCACTGTAGCAAACATCTTCCCGCATTCCAGGCAAGGGAATGATCTTTTACCTGGAGGAATTCTCTCTTGCTTGGCAAGATTATGTTGATCAGAAAATGGCTTTTCCCGCTTAATAAAGCTCAAATCTAGGGCTGTGTTGGGGTTTACGTGAGGATTAGCAAGTCCTGATTTGGGAGCAAAGCCTTTCCTTTCCCGAGAGCGTTTATAGAGGCTATCTTCATAACTCTGTATTGCCCCCCAGTCTGTTGAGATACAAGGATTAAAAATGTATAATAATCATAAATAAATTAAATTGGTCATAATATACATAACAAGTCATATTTTCCCTGTTCTACAAGGGAAGCTCTATGAACGAGGGTCAATGGGATGATGTACCTCCTTCACAAAGCTTTATAATTATATATTGGTGAATAATGGGGCTACTTGCATTGTACACAGATTGATTGATTCAATGCTTTCCTATGGGGAGGTCTAATGCGCGCAGCATCTGCGCGCATACGCATTAGAGCTTCGACCCAGCACCGAGGGACATCGTGCTGGGATCAGGTAAGTAAATAAAAGGTGAGGAAGGGGTCAGGCAGAGGAATCAGTAGTGCCAGGAATTTTTAAGTAAGAGATTAATATTCATTACATACCAATTTTTGGAGATTCCTCCTCTGACTTCCAGCAATCCGTTACGTAGGACTCATCTACAAGCTCAGCCTTTGGAATTATTGAAGGCTTTATATGAGCCCATCCTTTATTTGGAAATAAGAAGGGAATGCAGTGATTAATAAATTCTGAAACAAGTACGTTCAAACAATAACCAAACTAAGACAATGAAATCTATGGAGAATCCCGCAAGGCCATCCAAAGACAATACCTTTCCGCCCCTCACCTGTCACAGGTGACAACTGGAGGAAATGACAAAACTTGACAAACATAGCCCAACCTTTTGTCAGGCATAGAAAAAATACATAAGACCAAGCAGCCCCTACTTTGTAATATGTATTTTAAGAAAAGAATCATGGAATGAGAGACAGGAAGAAAAGAAGAATTCAGTGAAGTAAGGTAATATTCTATGGCAGAGATGCTTTAAATACAAATTTAAGGGGCAGCAGTCACTTCCAAGGATATTTAATATATTATTTAGTTATTCCATTTATTTAACAGATATGTGCTTGTGAGGTCTGAAAAATAAAATCAAATGTACAAATCCACATTGCTACAGTTATTTGTTTCCTGGAACAGAGCGCATCCATCTTGGCTTACTGTCAATCACTGTTTAAGCTCCACCCTTTGTAGCTGTCAGTCAGCATCGAGAGAAAAGGAGAAACTAACGTTCAGTTTCTTCCTTCAATACAATCTGTGCCCTGCCTGTGCCAGGACCAAACTGTATTGTGATTTTAATATTTAAATCTTTATCTAAAAGGAACAAAAAAAATCAGCAAGGGGGAAACAAGCAAGATAACACATTCTGCTAAATTGTATTTTATTCAATCATGGAACTTTCACTCACCTATACTGTTAATCAGTGGAGGTATATCTTCAGTCTGCCATAGATCAGTTCCATATGGCTCCTGCCCTTGTTCTATCTTTGATATAATAGTTGGCTTTATATTTGCACATCCTGTCCAGAGAAGTATGACACTTTAGTATATTATCTTCTTAGCACAATTCATTTCACTCTAGCTGAGTACTTAAACCAAGGGGATTAAGTTCTTACCCAGAGAGCAGAGGATATGGTAATTGTCCATCATCACCTCCTTATACAGCTCCTTCTCTTCTTTCATTAGATAGTCCCATTCCTCCTTGGAAAAGTAAACGGCAACTTTATCGAACTCAGATTGTTTCTAAAAGGCAATATCACGGTTAGTAAATCTTTCTGCAGGATAGATCAATGACCTACATAGTTACATAGGCTGAAAATAGATGTGTCCATCAAGTTCCAAAGGAAGGCAAAAAAAAACACAGTTTGAAGCATTTTGCAACAAATTAGGGGGGTAGGGGGGGAGAATCCTTCTTGACCCCAAAATGGCAGTCAGATGTATCCTTGGATGAAGAAGCATTTACCCAATAATTTAAAAATGATATCCTTGAATATTATGTTTTTGCGAGTATGCATCCAGTTGCTGTTTAAACATCTGTACAGATTCTGATAAAACCACCTCTTTAGGCAGAGAATTCCACATCCTTATTGTTTTTACTGTAAAAAGCCCTTTCCTTTGCCTTAGACTAAAGCTCCTTTCTTCCAGTCTAATCGGGTGACCTTGTGTCCTATGTATAGTCCTGTTATGAATAGATTTCCTGACAATGGTTTGTACTGGCCCGGGATATATTAGTATAATGATATCATAAAAACCTAAAAACTTTCCATAACAGGGTTAGCCAAAAAGTATATATCCGATTGCCGAAGGCCAACAACCCTGTGACATTTTACCATTGTTTAGGTCTGCAAAGCATCATGGCAGCTGGGTATCTACCTCTTGGACATCCCTGCTCCAGAACACAGTTACATTAAAGTAAGCGGCACATTTCTGAACCAAAAAAACTAAACACATAAACAGGTAAATACAAAGACAGAAGATGGGCATTATGGGATATTTTTGGCAAGAAGGAGAATAATTAGGCATGGACAGAAAAGGTGCATAAAAAGAGAAAGAAGCACATTTGATACATAACCCTATATATAAATATGTTCTAATCACTGGAAACAGGAAATGGAAGTGTAAATGTATCAAACTAATATTAAATGCTACGGAGCACTAAAAAACAAACAAAAATAAACACAATTGTATGCTCTAAGGATTAATAATTGGGTTTTCTTTAGAAGGCATGTCCATTTTAGTGTAACCAGCATAATCTAGGAGCCTAAGAGATGGAAACCATTTATAAAACAAATGGGATTGAGGAAGACTGTTTATTCCCAATTCCCCTTTCCCAAGATAACATAAAAAAAAAGAAGGTTTGTAGGTCAAAAACATTTAAAATTCATCTTACCGGTTCGTACTTGAGGTCGTGTTCTAGTTTAATTCCTTTGCCCATGTAACTAGAGAGGTACTCTGCACCATTGTACATGGATCTCTTGTACATGGACATGTAGTCTACAATGGACTCTGCACTGGGCTTCTGTGAGGCCCAAGAACGGAGAGAATGCTTGTAGTTGGAGGCATGGGGCAATGTGTAGTTTATAGGGTTGAAATAAGGAGCTCCGTAGTACTGGTCATGGTGAATATTCCAAGGATCCCTTCCAAAATTTAGCTCATTCTCGGGCCACTGAAAACACTTGTCTGCTGTGGTGGGCAATGGTTCGGTAGATGTGCAAGCATCAGCCATCTGTACAGGTGTCGATGTGTATGGGCTAGAGCTCTCCTGGAAAGCATCACTACTCATGCTGGCATCTTGATGCCCAGGACCGTTATTTGGGCAGAACTCTTCCTCCTCAACAGTAACCAACATTAATGGGCTTCCATCAATTAAGCTGCTGTCTGAATGAGTCTGTTCTGTGTCTTGGTCTGAGCTATGGTATTCATCTAATACATCTTCATCAAGTCCGTTAGATGATGGGGGAATGTCACTCTCCATGGCAGAAGACGTTTCTCGACTTGGGAAGACAACTGGCAAAGCTTCAGTTCTGAGAATTATTCTACTTCCACTACTGATGTAACTTTCTGGAAGAAAATCGGCTTAGCATAGGCGAAACGCGTCAGTCTTCTTTCCATCTACGATCTGTTGTACAAAGGAATCAATGTCATCAAGATTATAACCAGTCCGCAGCAGCTACAGATTTATCCTTTCCAAATAACAGGGAAACCTATACATTACAATAGCTTTGTTACTAGTTTCCTTCCGGGTTGTATTCTTTGAAACCGGACACAATGCATTTTGTCTTGATATACGCCTGCAAAAGCATAAGTAGATAGTTAACTAAAAACTAAAAATTCATGGCAGCTGCTGGTTGCAGGTTATGGAAAGTGAAGTTTAATAGTACCTGGTGGGTCAAGATTTGGGTACTCAAGTTCTAATGCATGCCAAGTGACGTTAGCAAGCCATGCACATACACTGATCAGACACAACATTAAAGCCACAGACAAGTGAAGTGAATAACATTGATTAAATTGCTACAATAGCACCTGTCAAGGGGTGGGGTATATTGAGCATTAAATAAACAGTCAGTTTTTGAATTTTATGTGTTGGAAGCAGCAAAATGGGCAAGTGAAAAGATATGAGTGACTTTAACAAGAGCCAAATAGTGATGGCTAGACAACTGGGTCGGAGCATCTCCAAAACGTTAAGTCTTGTGGGGTGTTCCAGGTATGCAGTGGTTAGTACCTACCAAAAGTGGTGCAAGGAAGAACAGCCGGTGTAAGGGTATTGAGCACTCAAAGCACGAGAGGGACCTACATGGTATTGTTGGTGTGTCTGAGTGTATAACAGTGCTCCACAGCAGTAATACTCACAGTAATGTGTCTTTAAAGGACCACTCTAGGCACCCAGACCACTTCAGCTTAATGAAGTGGTCTGGGTGCCAGGTCCAGCTAGGGTTAACCCATTTTTTTATAAACATAGCAGTTTCAGAGAAGCCTTCCCCCTAATCCTCTAGTGGCTGTCTCATTGACAGCCACTAGAGGCACTTGCGTGCTTCTCAGTGTGATTTTCACAGTGAGAGCACGCAAGCGTCCATAGGAAAGCACTGTAAATGCTTTCCTATGCGACGGGCTGAATGCGCGCGCAGCTCTTGCCGCGCATTCAGCCCAGGAGGAGGAACGGAGGAGGAGAGAAGGAGGAGAGCTCCCCGCCCAGCGCTGGAAAAAGGTAAGTTTTTAACCCTTTCCAGAGCCGGGCGGGAGGTGGTCACTGAGGGTGGGGGCACCCTCAGGGCACTATAGTGCCAGGAAAACGAGTATGTTTTCCTGGCACTATAGTGGTCCTTTAATCCCTTAAGGACGGCGGGCAAACTATGCTGTCCTTAGGGACCTGGTCCTAAACGCCAGTGGGTGGCATAGTACGTCCCCGCCATCCTGTCCACTTACCTGATCTCCGCCAATCACGACTGGGAGGGGTGAGGGGAAGGAGCAAGGGCTTTTCCCACTGCTGCTGACCAGCCCTCCCGGGCCATGTGATCACGGGAGGCGAAGGACTGGGGGTGGGTTGAAAGTACTAAATAAATTTTAAAAATGGCCGATTCAAAAAAAATAAAATAAAAAGGGAAATCGAGGCTTAAAAGTGCTTGTAAATGTAGAAGCCGGTCATGTCTGTTGTCAGTGTAGAATTTTTGCACGGATTTAATATTAGGCAGTCCGGGATCAAGTTCTCGACTGCCAAAATCATATGTGCTGGTCTAACTAGCCCTCTGCACCAAAATGCAGATCTCTCTGTATGTACAGGGTTTCAAGCACAAACGTTGCACATACAGATTCCTACCACCATAACCACTACTAAAAGCAGAAGTGGTCATAGTGGTTGGAGTAACCCTTTAAAGATTTAGAAAATTACATCGTAATCCAGTTCCGACTAGGTAAAGCCAGGGCAAGCATTGCAAATGAAGTGGAGGATACCATTGTTTAATTTCTCCTCTTCACTATATGCTCAGTCTATGCTGAGTGCCAGGTACAAAGGACAGAGCTTGTAACAATGACTGATGACAGGGAGCCAAGATGGAGGCACTTATTTGCAGGATAAAGAGGTGTGGATGTCTACATTTAGTTTTATTTTTCAAACCTGACAAACATAATTTGTGAAATACAGGGATAGGTAAGCATAATATATAATATAATAAAAAAAGATATTCAGAAAAAATTCCTGGGAGATGATATTTCACCTTTAAACACTTTATATGCCATGCCAGGCATAAGTAAATTAACTGTGTGGGGCCATACAAACTGCGCATGGACGTGCTCAAGTACATGGGGCGCTAAAGTAGCCCATAATGCTCACTGAGAGAAACATTACATACTCAACGTGTGATAGGCTGATAGGCAGAGTGATTAGCTGACACTGTCAGCCTATCAGTGACCCCTTGCTAAACCTTCCTCATAGTAAACCGCAGAAAGGAACGAAGATGGGGGGCAGAGATGCAATGTGCCAGAGACCCAACTTCTGGGTTAAACCTTTGTATAACCATTTAACCCCTGAAGTTAAAGGACCACTCTAGACACCCAGACCACTTCAGCTTAATGAAGTGGTCTGGGTGCCAGGTCCCTCTAGGATTAACCCTTTTTTTATAAACATAGCAGTTTCAGAGAAACTTCTATGTTTATAAATGGGTTAATCCAGCCTCTAAAGCCTCTAGTGGCTGTCTCATTGACAGCTGCTAGAGACGCTTGCGTGCTTCTCACTGTGAAAATCACAGTGAGAAGACGCAAGCATCCATAGGAAAGCATTATGAATGATTTCCTATGAGACTGGCTGAATGCGCGCGCAGCTCCTGCCGCGCATGTGCAGCTCCTGCCGCGCATGCGCAGCCAGCCGAAGAGGAGGAGGAGAGCTCCCGCCCGGCGCTGGAAAAAAGGTAAGTTTAACCCCTTTCCTTGCCATCCAGCCCGGCGGGAGGGGGACTCTGAGGGTGGGGGCACCCTCAGGGCACTATAGTGCCAGGAAAACGAGTATGTTTTCCTGGCACTACAGTGGTCCTTTAAGACCACCATGACACGATATTAAGTTGTTATGTGGTCTACTTGAACTGTTGACTAACACTAATCAAATGCATGTTTTGGTCTTAGTTGGAGCCATCTATTGGCCATTTTTAATTACTACAAGTTATTATTTTTCAAGTATAGATAGACAGATGGACAGACAGGCAGAAAATTCAAAGTATACTATATTATTTACTAAACTGAGCACTGACTGGTGAACTGCTGGTGCATCAGATACAATTTGAATTTTAAATCGATTCTCGATTTATTTATTACTAGACTGGGACTGAGCTTTCACCTTGACAACGTGTAAAGGAAAAATGCAATCAATGTTTATAATTGGAAATAAAAGATCATATTCAATGTATACTCTTTGCGTATTATTTTGTGGTGCTTCCCTCCAAAGAAGGCTTACAGATGGCTGCCACCATAATGCAAAAATAAACCAGGAAAGGTCTTTATGTATGCAACCCAAAACGCAATCTTTTAATTTCAATAGTAATAATAAATTATGCCTTTTATTTTTAAATCTCAAATGATGGCTGTAGGGAAACAAAGCTTGTTCTATGGAGGGTCTCGTGGTTTAGCAGGATCCTCCATAGACCTCAATCCTGTTCTCTTACGCATGAACTAGACTACGGCGCTGACATCAGCTCCTGGTAGCTGTAGTGCCTGGAGCTGAAGACATTGCAGTAGACAAAGATGGCGGAGCCCGCGATGAACAAGTTAACGTAAGTAAATCTCACCTTAACCTACTCCGCCCCCCTCATGGCCACCAGACCCCCAGACTCCAGAAGGTGGCAGAGATGCTATTAAAGCAATAGGTCTATTGCTGCAAGTGGAAATTACACCATTTTAGTGCTATTCATTAAGCTGGGAATTAACCATGAAAACACACATTTTAGGCCAAAGAAGCATTAAAAAAAAAATCTTCAACTCTGCTATGTTTCCATACTGGCTGTTTTGGCCAATATTTGCAGTTCCTTGGTGAATTCCTGATGATCCCAGGTTTACTGAATAATCTGACGATTTTGTTTACATATGTCTACAGAGTTTATTTTTAACTTTTCTAACTATTACATTAGATCAAAAGCGGCCAAACTGTGCCCACTGCAATGAGACCAGCACGGGCATGTACCAGCACGCCCACACAAATCGGGGGTTTATTCTCTAAACTGCAAATTCATGCAAATTGACATTTCAATGGCAACATTTGGACCAACACAGTCACAGCTTGACTATCTTAGTCTACATTTTGCAATTTGGATCTCAATTTTCTGTTAATTGAATAAACCCCTAAGGCTTTTGAATGCAACTAGAATTATACAGAAATGCAAACTTTATATAGCTGTACCTGCTTTGAAGCAATGGAATTTTGTGAACGTTAGCAAGCCATGTCAATTTTATTCTAAGTACGTTTTGTGACATTCCAAGAGATATTAAGAAATGAGCATTTATATTAAACGAACAAAAATGTCATAAAAAGTTAAAACTGACCTCGATCCAGCACCGAGGGCAAGTTTCCTCTGCGGCCCAACCCTCCACAGCTGATGTCACTCCCATCACCGGAGGGCCAAGCAGGTCAGGTTGGGAAAACTGAGGGCAGCACAGAGAGGGCCATTCCACCATTGGCTGACTGACACTACTAGCATGCTGCACATAATGGCGTCAGATGACAAATTTCTATCAGACGCACATCGGAATACTTTTTACGCCCATGACATCGCTGGAGATGGAGTTACACCTCCAGCAAATGGTTTCATTTTCAATTAGATGTAACTTACTTTAACCCCTTAAGGACACATGACATGTGTGACATGTCATGATTCCCTTTTATTCCAGAAGTTTGGTTCTTAAGGGGTTAAAAGTTCTTATTGCCTGCTCTCTAAAGTGAGCTTTAATCATACACAGAATGCTTCTGTGGGGTCTAGCAAGCTATCAACAGTGCAGGGGATAATACATTTTAAATGAAAAAGAATTTGCAATGAAGGAAGTATAAACATTAGCTAACTCTTTACAGGAAGTGTTTATGAAAGGCTGTGCAAGTCACATGCAGAGAGGTGTGATTAGGGTGCATAAATAAAGCGATTTAACTCCTTAATGGCAGAGAATTGAGCAGCGACACTGCAGAGAAATGATCTATACACCAAAACTCCTTCAATAAGCTAAAGTTGTTTTTGTGACTATAGTGTCCCTTTAACCTCCAGAGCTGTTGTAGGACTACAATTCCCACAATGCTTTGTTAATTGTTCTACATGATAGCTAATCTTGATTGACTTGAATGTTTAGCATCCACACTTAGTGTGTTATCTTATTGAAGTTATTGCCACTCCTAAGGCCATCATTGCCTCAAGTATGCTTCATATCCTTTTTATCATAAAACAATATTACATTTAGTAAATAAACCGCTAGTCAATTCAAGGAACTCGGTGGGGAGTATGCATCGTCAAAATCCGACAGATATTTTATTCTATTTCTTCTATTATATTTTATATTAGGTGGAACGTTTGAGATTAAGAATCATTGAACGCAGAGATAAATTCAATGACAAGTCAATCATTTAGCGAGATATTTTCAAGTCATACCAAAAATTACACACTATTTTGAACGTTTGAATATAAAGGATAATTCTCAAAATCTGAAGAAAAAAAAAACACAACTATCAACTCATATTTGATAATATTAGTTTGGTCTCATTCAAAAAACTTTTGTTCTGTACAATTCCTAATCTATCTAACCAGTGACTATTTTTAAGTAGAAAACACGCAAAAACCACGCATAACTGAAAATAACCTACAGTCTTTTTTTGTGTGTGTTATTTTAAATCAAGAATTTTCAGACTTTTTTTTTTTTACAAGTTTAAATTTAACCCAAAAATCTAAACGTTGAAAGAGGCACAAGACAACAAGAACAAATAAAAAAAAAAATATTAAAAAAAATGACACTCTGGCACTTTAAGTGTTACATTAAATAGAGTATAAAAGACAGGTAGGTAGGAAGGTAGGTGCACTTTATCATTTTTTTTTTATCATCTTCATATATAGGCCAGGATATGGTAAGTTCCCCCTTTTTAAGTTTCTCTTCCTTTCTGAGAATTTAACATCACATGTAGTGTGCAACTGAATGAAATATTATATATACATATGTTGCATGCATTGAACATTCTATACAGGTTTAAATATTTGATATGTGATGGATAAAATATTGTGATAAAATCATGCTTTGTTGCAGATGAGTCAATAAACCTACAGGAAATACAGGTAGGGCTGGAAGGTGCCCTTTAAATGCAGATGTGCATGGACAAGGTGATGTCTGGCAATGGACATCACCCACATCTCCCTTAGAATGGCTTTAAAGTGAAATAGAATCGTTCAAGTCACACCATACCTTTCTGGAAACACCACTAAGTCGAGAAAGCAAAGTCAGCACTGATTGGCTGATTTGTGGTTCCAATCATAACTATGCAACTGAGGCATTCTGGGACAAGTAGTTCCTTTTTCATTTCCCTGCCATAATCAGAGACTAATAAGAACTACATATCCCAGTACAGCCTGGAAAAGGACACCTGATTGATATCAGCTTAGCCAATGAAAGGAGAGCTTTGATAGCACCCATTCCCTCCCCTTCTCTCCTGCTGTATTCTATGAGATGTGCTTTGTTACTTTGTGTGATGATTGATGGGTTGTCTCAGTGTTATACACAATAAATATTAGCAGGTATCAGTGCCCCATTAATGAGCTATGAGGGGACAGGTTTTCTGTGAGGCTGCCTCTGATTAAACTAATAGTTCTCAGGTCTATTACATTTAATTAGCAATCAGTGGGGGCTTAAGAAACTTTGTATATTTTAAATAAGGAAAGCGGAACACAGAGAATTAATACAAAATTAACTTTCAGTGTAGATTTGGCTGAGCCAATAAGAAAAGGGACTTGGTCTGCTTTAACTGACATTATTAAAACGTCAATGCATCGCACGGATGGCTATATGTTGTAAATACTAATGATCATGCGGATTTTTAATATTCTAGAAAAACCATCAAAATTATGTTTGTTTAGCTTTTGATAAATGGCATTTGTATGCGAAGATTTGTAATAAAGCAGTCCCGTGTACATAAATCGTATACAATAAGACAGGTACTACAAAAAAGGGTTAATGGGGTTTAAAGGGTTGACGTGCAACTGAATCCGGCTCACAAGTACAAATATTTTGTACGCATAGAGGTCAAGGTGTCCCCCATCTGACATCTGAAAGGGTGGGCTTTATGTGCTGGGAAGTCAACAGTCTTTTATCACAATAGTTACACATTGCTATCCACTCACCTACCCCACCAGTCATACACCACCATTCACTTAACCCACCTAGTCGTATACAGTCAGTCATCCACCCCACCAGTCGTATACCACCATTCACTTAACCCACCTAGTCATTTACAGTCATTCATCCACCCCACCAGTCGTACACCACCATTCACTTAACCCACCTAGTCGTATACAGTCATTCATCCACCCCACCAGTCGTACACCACCATTTACTTAACCCACCTAGTCGTATACAGTCATCCACCCCACCAGTCATACACCATCAGTCATACCCTACCTAGTCATATACCACCAATCACCTAACCCCAATGCAGTCCTGTATCAAACAATCAATCTCTTCAGACTCCAATCTAATTGACATTTAAATATAGTGCAGAAAGCATTGAATTTCTGGACCTTCAGATTGGACTGGTGAATGGTATACTTTAATATAATATTTTTACAAAACACACTGACAATACCATGCTACATACGACAAGTTGAAACTTCGAAAACGCTGAAAAAGTCTTTAGCTATCTTGTAATATTTGAGAGTCAACATGTGTAACAATTCAAGCCCCCAGTTGTGTGAAGTACAAATAAAACATAATGGGCAGATTTCATGAGCAGGTATACAGGTTTGATATATTGGAAGCTGGCTCTCCAGGACAAAGTTTGAATATTCTGGGGACAAAATGGATAGGATCGTATTTCTGCAGAGGTTTAATGCAAAGTCTCGTTGAATTTCAAAAGCCATTATGCAAAATTTTGACATGGGATAACCATTCCCAAGACTATCCTTGATTAGTTACTAGAGGGGTGTCAGTCTTAGAGGCATATTTAGTACTTTCAGTTTTTTACAATTCCCACTGGTAGGGAATATAAGATCCGACATTGAATAACATGTACTACTGAGCTTGTAATCTATAAAATTGAATGCTGTGCGGACTTTCTCACGTGGGTAGGACAACAAATAACCTGAGAGAAAGACGACAGAATCACAGTTCCTCTATAAGTAATGCAGCCAGAGACTCACAAAATACCCCACCTGTAGCAAGACATTTTAAAGGGACTATAGTGTAAGGAATTAAAACCTCCCCCCTCCCTCGCTTCCCACCCTTATTTACTTATTCGATCCCAGCGCTGATGCCCCTCGGCAAAGATTTCACGTTTTGTGATAACCCTAAGTGTAGTCTCTCACTTTGTCATAGTGTGTGTACTGGCTGCATGTAATGTGTGTGTGCTGCCTGCATGTAATGCAAGGGTTAATTTAAATTATATTTCCAAAAAGCCAAAGAAACGCCATGTCAATTTTATATAATAAAAACTACTGAGAAAAAGAAAAGCACACATCCCACTCTTAACTTTATATTTTCTATCATTTTGTGCATAAATATCACAAGTGACAGTTCCATGAAAAAAATAACTATATGAAGACAATACAAGATTTTAGTTAATTTGCCCGTCTGTCTCAAAAAACAGAAAATATGGACGTTGCATTTCCTAATACGATACTGCTGTAAAGACCAAAATATATACATAATACAGACTTTTTAAACTTTATTTTTAGTGCTAAAAAATACCCCAGGGATCTAAATCTTACAAAAATACTTAAAATTGTTCATCAGTGGTGCTGCTGTGAAGACCAAAAATAATATACAAAATGCACGTTAATATATGCCTTGCACTGTCTTCAAGAAATACACATTACACGCGTTTAAAGTGTGTAATTTGACAACTTGATTTACAATACAATTACACGATAGCAACTTTTTCTATATTTCTATTTTTCTGTTTAGCGACAAGCATGATCATGCATAAATGTAATTTCTACTTTATCCATATAAATACATTTACTTTTGCTGCAGCAGAGGAGCCTGGGAGGCATTATACACCAGGTTTTCCTCTAACTGCTCGAAAACTGGGAATGTATTGCATAGCTCATGAGCCACATGCATCTCGTTGAGCCTTTACTGGCGGCTAACAATAAACTGTACTAGGCATTTGATACAATGGCCCTATATGTAGAACGTCATGCCCCCAACTACCAGAAGCAAAACATTCTGCCTCCTGGTTCTTTCCGTGGTCTGTGGTATTATTGGTACTATTATTGGGAGCGATAATAGTGACTCTCCAGTTAGTAACACAGTGAGCAAGCCCAGGAGTCATTTCTCTAATGATTGACGCCCAACCATCGAGTTGGTAGAGTGATGATATACAAGGTGTGCCAGATATTCCCTCTACGAAGCACCGTGTGACAATCTGGTGTGCTGACTCCTATCAATATTCCAGCCTACCTATGGATTAAAGGACCACGAAAGTCACACATCATCTAATCTTAATCCAGTAACCTATGAGCAGGGGTCCTTAGCATTGTTATATATATATATTTTTTTTAAACTGCAATGTTAACATAATGACAGCCACTAGAGCTGACAAAGTAAAACTTGGGGAAGTGACACGTGAGTCTCTATAGGAAAGCATTAATTCAATGCTTTTCTATAGGGTAGCTTGGATGCATGTGTGAAGCTCACTGCGCACCAGGTCCCCCCATGGTCCTTCGTGGATTAGACTAACAATAGAGGAGGCCATGTCTGCCCTGTGACAGTGACGTAGAGGTGAGCACAGTGGAGGAGGCCATGCCTGCTCTGTGACGGTGCAGAAGGCAGAGAGATGAGCACAATGGAGGAGGACATGTCTGCTCTGTGATAGCGCAGTAGGCAGAGAGGTGAGCACAGTGGAGGAGGCCATGCCTGCTCTGTGACGGTGCAGAAGGCAGAGAGATAAGCACAATGGAGGAGGAAATGTCTGCTCTGTGATGGTGCAGTAGGCAAAGAGGTGAGCACAGTGGAGGAGGCCATGCCTGCTCTGTGACGGAGAGGTGAGCACAGTGGAGGAGGCCATGTCTGCTTTGTGACGGCGCAGAGGTGAGCACAGTGTAGGAGGCCATGCCTGCTCTGTGACGAAGAGGTGAGCACAATGGAGGAGGCCATGTCTGCTCTGTGACGGAGAGGTGAGCACAGTGGAGGAGGCCATGCCTGCTCTGTGACGGAGGGGTGAGCACAATGGAGGAGGCCATGCCTGCTCTGTGACAGAGAGGTGAGCACAGTGGAGGAGGCCATGCCTGCTCTGTGACGGAGAGGTGAGCACAATGGGGGAGGCCATGCCTGCTCTGTGACGGAGCGGTGAGCACAGTGGAGGAAACCATGCCTGCTCTGTGACGGAGAGGTGAGCACAATGGAGGAGGCCATGCCTGCTCTGTGACGGAGAGGTGAGCACAGTGGAGGAGGCCATGCCTGCTCTGTGACAGAGAGGTGAGCACAGTGGAGGAGGCCATGCCTGCTCTGTGATGGAGAGGTGAGCACAATGGAGGAGGCCATGCCTGCTCTGTGACGGAGCGGTGAGCACAGTGGAGGAGACCATGCCTGCTCTGTGACAGAGAGGTGAGCACAATGGAGGAGGCCATGCCTGCTCTGTGACGTTGCAGGTGGCGGAGAGATAAGAAGCAGCCGAGGGCTGGTATGTTACTAAGAATAGGGTCACTATAGCGCTAGTTCAGGTTTGTATGCCTAACGCCTCTGTGTTCCCTTAACTCCAATCTCACTCAGCCATGTTCCCAGCTACACACTCCCACTTTATATATCCTTGAAAACCAAAGTAAGCTGCAGTGGTTGTGGTGCTTGGAATGTTCCTTTGGAGGTCATTTATTTATTTATTTTTCAGTGTGTTATTTTATAATGCATCCCCCCTATAGTTTGAGATGACCTGTAAACGTGTTATGAATTACAGTTAACTAAATAAATACAAACAACAACCATTTAGCACAGACTGCTAACACAGGATATAACCACAGCCGGCTTTTGCACGGCCCGTGAACTACACTTCCCTTGATGCATTTCCAGCCAAAGCATCATGGGAGAAGGAATCCACAACCTCCAACAACGGTATACCGCCTGTCATTGGCTGCCACCGGACGTCATAGTAGAGGCCGCCTGCGGCGTTTGGAATGCCGGACTTTGTAGTTCTTTTCGGCACAGACAACCATCATCCTCGCCAAAAGAAAACTACAACTCCCTGCAATCCTCTGAAGAGAGCATGTGACCGAGGCATCCAATCAGAGCAGAGCTTGTTAAACCTTTTAGCTGTGTATTTCCTGTGGCTCCCTCAGTAAGGTAGGGCCTTGCATGGAATGTTGGTTATTATTCTCGGATACATTGTATATTGTGATATTCTAATATGTTTCTATAGAGGGACAGCATAGTGCAGGGCTCAGTTACTGGGGGGAGGGTTATTATTATTATTATTCTACAATATAAGATAAATAGCCATGGGAGCATTGTTGGCAGACTCTTATTTAAGTTATATTGTGTTAGCTTTACAGTTTGGAGGAAGAACATCTGGAGCCTCAGTTATGGAATAAAAACCTATAAAATATTGATTTATAATCAGCAGCCAGCAGAGGGATATGTTAGTGGAATCTATTACTGAAGGTAATAAAGCAGCAGTTTATCCACTCCCATTATAATACATTGAGAAATGACTGGGTGCAAAGGAAGGGTTAAATGTATAAATGTCTCAACTCTATCCCTGGGTGTTAATGAGTTAAATACCTCAAAGGTTAAGGTCCGGGAACGAAAGCGTTAAATGTAGTAATAGTCTATTAAGCCCCCCCTGATGTGTGCCATAGTACTGTCAATAAAGAGGTTAAATGGCACTAGTAGGGTTTATTGATATCTGGCAGAAAGAGGTCCACATTCACACAGGTAGAGAGATGTCCCTCTGACTGCTGCTTTTGTTAATTGATGCACTGCATAGCATTATATCAGCTGTAAGAGGGATAACCAAAAAAACAGACTCCTAACTATTGTGGAGCTACTTTTAGCAGGGTTTACATGTCCCACTCTGAGTCTTTAACAATTTATGACAGTATACAATCACACGCATTGGTAAACAATCCAGTCCTAAAGTCACATTAATAGCCCAGGAATTCCTAGTATCCATAATGAGAAAATACCTGAACTTTTGGAGAGCCTTGATGACTTGGTTAGGGGCCACTGGTATAGACTGTGGATACAGTATTTGCATCTTCCCCCCAATATTACTCCTACCACTGAATATGCATCAAGGGGCATGGGCATTATAAACGAAGATCACTTCATATTTTGTTATAGTCTAGAAAAAAAAAATACTCTTGCCTCCACCCTGTATCAATGTATTACTTTTATTCTAAGAGCAAGTGTTATACTTTCTTGCAGGTGATGTGTGGGTGCCAAATCCACAGTGTTTTACTGTTAACACGTCTATGCGCTGCCCATCAGCATAACTACTTCCCCGCAGTATGTGGAAGGAAACCGTTTACCAGTCTAGTAGAGACCAGGGCTGTGTGGGTGGCACACGATACCTTCAACTCAGACTCCACAGCACTGTAATTATCTCAGTCGATGGGACCACAAATTGAGGAGTCTGGATGAAAGGTTTTGTGCACTGATTCTAGTCCTGTTAGGGAACGAGAACAAATGCCATGACTATTGACTATTTTAATGTAGTTTCCACTGCTCAAATACAAAAAAAAAATAAGAATAATAAAAAAAGCTATTTAGTAGATATAACCCCAATGAAAACATACATGCATTTAATTATGCAATTTTTCATTATTGTATATGTAAAAAATTTTCGCAAATGCTGCAGGTCACTTATCTGCAGCCTTTGCAAGCCCTCACCTTTTTCCCCAGCACAGAATTACAGTCTGTCCTTGGAAATTACCAATTTGAGGCTAATCAACGAGCCATGCATGCGCAGCGAGCCAAGGAGGATGTAGAGGTTACCTGAACTCTGTGGACGTGTGCATGCTCACTGTAACTTTGAGGAGAAGGTGGGTGTGCTCTAATAGAGTTCTATGGAGCTAGCAAAATCGGGAAGAAAACCTCCATGTTTCTGAAATTATTTTAAAAGTGATGATTTCAAATAAAAATTAGCACTTTGATAAGCTGCGATTACAATGAACATATCCTGAAACTTTATGTGTGGAGTGTTCCTTTAACTAATATCCCTCCTGCAACAAATGAATGCAACGTGTGGTAGTACGTTTCTCAACTGCCTATAGATTGAGGGAGTGATATGTGTCTAGGAAAACATAGTGAATTTGACAACCTTAGTCCCAGCTGTGAGCTGCGCATGCATCTATGTACTGTTCATTGTGGGGGTTCACGGACTGCACGCCCTTGTAACCACCATGTTTGCAGTTTATATCACTAGGTCATTGACACAAAACTATAAGATAAAAAAGGGGCAGGGCTAAAGGTAGATTTCCCCAAATATACAATTACAACTGCTGTGATGCTTTGCCCACCTTTAGAATACAAAGCATCATGAATATTGCAGTTCTACAACATCTAGGGATCTACCTCTTCCCACCCATGGGCTAAAATCTTTCATCCAAATAATACTGCATCTATGTATGTACTTTGATAACAATTCATAAGAATTAAATATTTTCTCTGTAAATTGCCAACATGTTATACTGGCATGATAATTGCACTTAAAAATATTGTAGCACTTTTTCATACATATATATGTTATTTTTAACAGGTTTCCATAAAGCTAAAGATTGGCTGCTGTAGCACTGGACAGATCATAAACGTTCAATAGTAAGTGATTGGCTATAAATCTGTTATACAAATTAAAAATTGCATTATATTTTGTTTAGGGATAAAGACACCAGATTTTCCCGACTTATATAATTAGTCATATTGCATAGAGTTCAGTAGTGGGCTAATTAACCCTCCACTTATTCACATGCACATTAATGCCGATATTGAAACATCATACATGAACACTACATTGACACTGCCCAAGAATATGTAAGAATAAACAATACTGATATCCCCTTGGTATAGATTTCAGATTTAAATGTTTCATAGTTTAGTCAAATCATTTATAAACATTTTGATGCAAACCCAAGAAAGGTTTATAATTTAGGGCTGCTAAAATTAGCTTTAGTGGTTATGGTGTTTTATACCACCCCCTTTCGTATATTAAAAAAACATATTTAAATATGTATGTGTGAGTGTGTGTGTGTATATATATATATATATGTATATGTATATATATATATATATATATATATATATATATATATATATATATATATATATATATATATATATATATATATGGAACAAATTGAGAGCACTCATTGGATTTAGCTGTTAAGATCCTGATGAAAGCCATGAAGTTTGGCTGAAACGTCGATCATATCAAGTTTTAACCTATGAAATAAAGAACAACTTTTTAAAGAGACCAGAAAAGACCGTGAGTGCTTGCCTTTTGTACCTTATATTTTTGTATATATATATATATATATATATTTATATATATATATATATATATATATATATATATATAATATTATCCATAGACTTCATGGAGTGTTCTAAATAGATTTATAGTCTTGGACAGGGCCGGATTAACATAGGGGCTGATGGAGCTCCAGGCCCATTTAAAAAAAAAAAATAATATATATATATATATTTTTTTTTTACAAACTACTCTTGGGTTTGCCACCTGACTGGTATTTTATCAGCACAGCCGGTATTTGGGGGTGCCTGGCCATGCCGGTATTGCAGTAATACCAGCAATACAAATGCAGATATTTTTCTCATTAAATGGAGATTACTCTGCAATACCAGCACCAGCCAGTAGGGGTCACTGTGTGTAGAGAGAGGCAGGGATAGGAAGTTACAGCATATCCCTCCCTGTCTCTCTTTACTCACTGATCCGCGGGGGAGCAGCTACACAGCACAGAGAGTTCAGACAGCAGCTCCCAGCTCCCCAAATAGGTCTCCCAGTGTCCACATGTCTCCCAGCCATTGTCCCTAGTGTCTCAATGTCCCCATGTCTCCCAGTGTCCCAAATTCTTTCAGTGTCCCCATGTCTCCCAGCCAATGTCCCTAGTGTCTCAGTGTCCTCTAGTCTCCCAGTATGTGTCCCCATGTCTCTCAGTGTCCCCAAATATGTCTCCCACTGTCCACATGTCTCCCAGCCAGTGTCCCCATGTTTCCCAGCCAGTGTCCCTAGTGTCTCAGTGTCCCCATGTCTATGTCCACAAGTGCCCCTATTACTCCCAGTGTCTGTGTCCCCATTTCTCCCAGTGTCTCTGTCCCCATGTCTCCCAGTGTCCCCATGTCTGTATCCACAAGTACCTCATGTGTCCCCTAGTGTCTCACTGTGTCCACGTCTCTGTGTCCCCTAGTATCCTAGTGACAAGGGAAACACTAAGACATGCGGACATGGGGAGAAATGAGGACACTGAGACACTGGCAGACTAGGGGACTGGGTGACATGGGGACACTGACACTTTGATACATAGGGACACTGATACCAGGCTGGCCTTCCAATTCTTTAGACTGACATGCCCCCTTTTGGTAGTTCTGGTCACGTGATTCGCGTCAGTGGCCCACCCTTTTACCTCGCTCATTGACTTCCTGCTTCACTGTACACTGCTGTTAGGGGGTATGGATTTACTTGAAAGATGAATTAGAGAGAGACTAGCATAGAGTATGTGTTTTCTTATAGTTGCATTCTTTAAGTTTCCCTCCATCAGATACATGACGCTTGGGAGGTATGACTGTTTTAGCGTTTTTGGTTGATAAGATTCTGCAATTAGGCCCCATCATAATTGTTAGCACCAGGCCTACTGGGCACTTAATCTGGCCCTGATGTTGGCTTTGGGGCATGTTTTAAATTTTATTGTGATATATAGATTTTGCACGTCAATACTTTTGAAAATACAAACGGAAAAGGCTTTAAAGTGTCCACAAGGAACATGGAGTAAGGCAGACATTTAAATTAATTGGTGGCAGTAATAAAATGGTAAAATATAGTATTTTGTAAAATGTTTAATGTTGAAACTCCTAGTGTGAAGCTGGTGGGTAGCACACTCAGAGTGAAGAAATGTTACTGAAAAGGTAGTGTATTTATGAAATGGGCTTCCAGCTGAATTGTTAAAAGCACAACAGAGTTTAGAAAGATCTTTAATGTACATGAGGCTATCCTGAAGAACACAAAACAATCATTTTATTTGTCTCTCATTTGATAAAGCTATGAGGTTTATAAGGTTCTGCTGAATTTGTTTGCGCTTTATGAATAATAAGGGTGAAAACCATTTGATCTATAAAATGCAAGATATATAAACCCATATCTACATGGCTATAGGTGACAAGGACCTACAAATACAGGGAAATGTTTTCATCAGTTTTCATATTGAACACTCCCGGATCACTGCCCCAACACACAGATTCTAGCATTCAAATTTAGTTTCATATTTAGGGGAAAAAATACAACCTTTTCCTGTTAGGTAGTAGCCACAACTATTCCTGCTTTTAGCTTAGTTCCAATACTTGATATACTTCCTCCTCATTTCTACTCTTTATTGTATAGTGTCTCTCATAACTCCTGATTCTAGGTGTTTTTCATTTTTGTGAACTCCAATATAACGCTTTGTGTTTCTCAGGTCATGGGCAAGAAGCATAAGAAACATAGGTCGGAGTGGAGGTCCTACGATGCAGAGTATGAAGATAAGCCCCTTCAAAAACCGTTAAAGCTGGTCCTTAAAGTGGGAGGAAGCGAAGTGACGGAACTCTCTGGGTCGGGACACGACTCAAGCTACTATGACGATCGGTCGGATCACGAGCAACGAGACCGTCATAAGGAAAAGAAGAAAAAAAAGAAAAAGAAATCTGAAAAAGAGAAAGATAAACATTTGGATGATGAAGAGAGGAGCAGACGGAAGGAAGAGAAGAAAAGAAAGCGAGAAAAGGAACTCAATGATTCTCATGGCGAAACAGAGTACTTTGAGCCAGGGAAAAAAGTTGAGGTTGAATCCCCAACGGAACATCCAGTCAGAACAGGAAGTTCTGAAAGCAGTCCAATTCAGCAGCTCCTGGAATATTTCCTCAACCAGCTCCAACAGAAAGACCCACATGGGTTTTTTGCCTTTCCAGTCACTGATCAAATTGCCCCCGGCTATTTCATGATTATAAAGCATCCTATGGATTTTAGCACTATGAGAGAGAAAATTACCACAAACGAATACAAATCGATCACGGAGTTTAAGGCAGACTTTAAGCTCATGTGTGAAAATGCAATGACTTACAACAGTCCAGAAACTGTATACTACAAGCTAGCCAAGAAGCTTCTTCACACTGGCTTTAAAATGATGAGTAAACAGGCTGTTGTTTTAGGGGATGAGGAAACACAAGTTGAGGAACTTGTTCCTGAGAACATCGCACCGGTACCCGTTGAGACTACAAAGAAGCACAAAAAGCCAACAAAGGAAGTAATAACGTGTATATTTGAGCCTGAAGGTAATGCATGTAGTTTAACAGACAGCACTGCTGAGGAACACGTTTTGGCTCTTGTTGAACACGCAGCTGATGAGGCACGGGATAAGATCAACCGAGAACTACCAAACTCCAAAATTGGCTTCCTCAAAAAGAATGCCGATGGGACACTTCTCTATTCCGTTGTCAACCCAGATCCAGACAACGTAGAAGAAGAAACCCATCCAGTGGATTTCAGCTCTCTCTCTAGCAAATTATTACCTAGTTTTACAACACTTGGGTTCAAAGATGACCGTAGCCATAAAGTCACATTTCTTAACAGTGCGAGCACCTCGCTATCTTTACAAAACAACACGCTCTTCACTGACCTAAAGCCAGATGAAATGGAGTTAATGTATGCTGGTTATGGCGATGAGACCGGAATACAGTGTGCATTGAGTCTTCAGGAGTTTGTGAAAGACTGTGGTGGTTATGCAAAGAAGATCGTAAATGACCTTCTGGACCAGATAACTGGAGGCGATCACTCCCAAACTATTTATCAAATAAAGCAGAGGAGTAGTCTCCAGGGACGACTTCAAGAAGATATGAAAATGCCACTTGTAATGATCAAAGAGGAGCCTAGAATGCATCCACTATGTCCAGAATCTAACTCTAAGCACATGATGATGGGAGACCCTTTGAGGGATGGCAGCCACTCTGTCCCAGACTTTATAGCTATCAAGCAGTACTCTGATATGTCTCTTGATATGATAAACAGTTTGGGTAAAGTCAAGAAAGAGCTTGACCACGATGATACTCATTTAAATTTAGATGACACAGCCAAACTCTTGCATGAGTTTCATGATGTACACCCAGAACGAATTGGCTCTAGGTTATCTTCTAATATAATTTCTCTGTCCAACAATTCCGATCGAGATCACCACCACCACCACCACCATCATCATCTTGGAAGTCCTCAACTCAGCATTGGGGAACAGCAAGACATTCCCGACCCATATGAATTCCTTGAATCTCCAGACCCTGATAGTACAAATTAAACTGTGTACATTTTTGTAAAATAATTGTGCATATTTTCCTGAGCTTTTTTTTTAATAATTATTTTTGTGACGCTGGAATCATTACATTTTTCTAACATTGCTATATGTAGGTTTCCCAAATTAGGTAAGGGTATTCCAGAAAGTTGTAAAAACACATCTGCGGAACTTAATAATGAAGTTCATTAAGTCACACAGTTTATCTGTTCAGTTTGCTTTTTTTATACTCCCTAACCAGGTTTGAGTTTTCTTGCTTTAAAGCAGCACTGTCACTTCTGTTATTTCAGCGTTTACTGGATAAATGATGCAGCGCAATTCAAAAAACAAAACTCACCTCTGATGCACCAATCTGTAATGCCTCTGATGTCTAACAGAGAAATGCCATAAGCATGCACGGTTGTTATTTTCGCAGTCATTATGGTACGTGTGTATGCTGTGCATCAGACCCTGCAATGGTTAACTAATTTACATACTTTGCCAGCTAAGGCGTGTAAATTAAAATATAAATTATTTGGGGGAAAAAACTTTGATTTTTACTTAGCTATTAGATTGTGCCAAAGTCGAAGAAGTGACAGTTTTTCTTTAAGGCCTTCAGAATCAACTATTTGTAGATATTGGCTATCTGTATTAAAAGTGTACAGATTGGCAAGTTGTATGGTATATTTGTTTTATATATCTTTCTTTTGTAAAAAAAATTAAAAAATAAATAAATCACGAAATGATAAAAGAAAACCAAAAGGTATAAGTATCCTTTCTCATTCTTAAATGGACACTATAGTCACCAGAACCACTCCAGCTTATTGAATTTGTTCTGGTGAGTAGAATCATTCCCTTCAGGCTTTTTGCTGTAAGCACTGTCTTTCCAGAGAAAATGCAGTGTTTACATAACAGCCTAGTGATAACTTCACTGGCCACTCCTCCGATAGCTGCTATAGATCCTTGCTGGGTCATGGCTGCCTAAAATGCATCCAAACATTCAGTATCTCCTCAATTATTTTCCATTTCCTTTACTCACGTGGCAGTCTTGGTGCAGTTTTACACTGGGACTGGTAGTTGATTTTGGTTGCCAAAAACAATAGCAAATTTGTTGTCACACTAATGCCACAACATATAGACATAATGAGGTTAAAAATGCAAAAACACTACATTTTACCCATCCCAACGAATAACTGCTTGTTAATAGCCTATATTTAACGCACCTTCTCTGACTCTTGCATAGTTTGAATCTAGTTTTATCTCTCTCTTTATGTGTGGAGTCTTTAAATGCAAGACTACAAATAAATCGTACAGTCAGTTAAACATCTGACGAAGACCCCTTTTTAACTGCAGAATTTGTGAACAATTTCCTTCCATAACGTCACATAGCTTCCATTACGGTTCCACCATTCCAAACGAAATCAATGCATCAATGAACACACTGTATCTAGCTCATATGGTATAAACATGTCAATTTACCAAGTCCCATGTGGGAAGAAGAATGAGGTTTGAGGTGCAGATTATGTTTTCTGGGCACTTTGGATCATCATGTGTGAATTAATTTCCAAGAGATAAGTGTATGGCTAGTGTGTGGGATTCCACAAATATGGATAATAAACACTGTAGGCAATAACCTGGGCCTGAAATCTAGGTCTGGTCTGACATTGGTCTGTTTCCATATGCTTCTTGCAGCAGGTAAGAAATGTGAAGAAAAAGCTGCTGGAGCAAATGGCGTGATCTTCGTCTTGCTGAAAAACCTAATAATGGACAAGACAAGTATGTTGATTGGTTTGACCAGATTTGTCACTTAATATTCATGGACACTTTGATAAATTATTTAGAAGGCTGGTAAGTTTGTAGTGATCTGAACAACTCTTTTAGATCCAACTACCTCTGTAAGGAAGGAACCTTGGTAAACCAACTCACAAGCAGCAATGGTACAGAAAAAGTAGCAGAAACCTATCTTCCAATTATTTAACATGACTCGGTTTTCTCCTATTTTATGTTTGGTTTTAATGTAAATAACTGTACTTCACTTTGAGAAGCTTCTTGTCTGTGTTTGTGTGCTTAAAAGGTTAAACTATAGTATACCCAAAATTACTGTCAAAATTTTGGAAAACGCTGGACTCCATTGGAAGTTTCTGTTACAGAACTTGTTACAAAGTTGATTTTTCTTTCGATAGTATCTTACAAACTATTTGAAGTGGTAAAGAGGTGTAAATTTTGGCAGTGTCTTTAGCCAGCTTGGAATAAGAGTTCAAGCCCGGCTTGTTTTAATTGGCATAACATGCTGGTGTCAGATCACCAATGGCAGCACCCCCCCAGTCCTCCACTCAGCTTACGCCCTGCTACATCCCTTAACCGACGCTCTTAAAGGAAAACTATAGTGTTAGAAATACAAAGCTGTATTCCAGCAATATATGCCCCCAACCCTGGCAATGTAAAAGGTTTAAAAAAAAAAAAAAAAAAAACTTGATTCCATTGCTGATGTTTCTCGGCACTGGGTCAGGCTCCCCCTACACTGATGTCTGCAGATGGGGGGAGACTAATGCCCATAAGAAAGAATTTGTTTATTCAATGCTTTCCTATGGGATTTTTCAAGACTATGGACATCCTCATGCAAAACGTGAGGACGTCCAGTATCGTTTTGCGAAGTCAATCTCAGTGAAACTGTAAGAAGGAACTCTAGTGCCTGTCTGGTACACAGCCACTATAGACGGTCTTTAGCCTAGTTTAGTTTTTTTTAAACTGCAATGTTTTAGGTTGCAGGGTTAAGGAAACAGGGTCACTGCACCCAGACTATTTCAATGACTATTCTTCTTTTAAGCTATAGAGCTAAGACCTGGTAATCTTAGGAACGTCTGACTCACCAGCATTTGTAGTGAAGGTAGGAATTGGAACCCGAAGGACTCCGGGTTAGAAGTCAAGAATAAAAACTATTAAGATACAAATCTGAATAGAGCTCTAATATTATACAACAAGCAAGCAAAAAATTAAGCACGTCAGTAAAAATAAAAATTAGTTTTGCTCTGCTTAATTGAAAAATATATACACGTCCGTATAGGAAGATCCATTTACTTTAGAAGAATGTAAACCATAGTAGTTCTGCACAAGGGCTTTAATGTCTGTGTGCACCATGAAATTATCAAAAAACACAATTTGAGTGGATTAGCTATGATTTCTCCTAGGACGTAACCTCTTCTGCTCACAGCACAGAAATGCTTTAAATGGAAATATCAAATGTACATCCAGATGTTTCCACGCTGATAAAAGGGACCTTTTTGGATGTAAAATATTCAGCAACGTCCCTCTTTTATGGTGAGGCTTGGCTAGATGATTTGGTCAGATGGTCAGTGCTGCCTTCTCTAGGATTAACTTGGCAATGCTGGTAAGGGCTGGGTAGGCTGCACTATTGGGAAACTCCTGGATAAAGTCTTTACCCTCCTCCGCGCTTTTGCTCAGAAGTGGATCAATTGGGACACATCCTGTAAAACAGAAACGTGATGTTTAATTAGAAAGAAGCTTCCCCGGAGAAAATAACTATACAGTACATGAACTCTTCATGTGTCATTTAAGCATCTACTATCAGGAAAATAAATTCAGTTCTGTCTTCTTGCATTAGAAGTACATACAGAAGAGGCAACGGATTTCTTCTCCTTAAATATGTAAAGAGAGGTTCTACATTGTTTATTGTGCATTAGGATGAGAGATGAAACAAACCTGCAGTCTCACTGCTCAATTCTCTGCTATGTAGAAATCAAAGTGACAGTCTAAGCACAAATTTTTTTTAGCATAATGGTAACATAAGTACCTCACACTAACTTTACCTTTACTTCCCTTGGCGAGACACAGCCACTCTACATGTTCCTAAAAAGAGTCTATTTTTTTTAAACTACTTACTGTATAGTGTATTGAATTTAGATGTTATCTGCTGGTCTGTTAATTGCTTGATGGACACTGCAGCAGCCTGCCATGATTAAAGATCTATTAACAGAGCAGGAGATAAGAAGTAAACACACAGTGCTGTAAGATCAGTTGTGTGACCAACAGCCAGGGAACGTATGACAGGCAATGCAAAAACAAAGTGATTTAACTCCGACATGGCAGAGAATTGGGCATTGACATTGCAGGGCGATGATTTATAAACCCAAACTATTGCATTAAGCTAAAGTTGTGTTGATGCTTAGTGTGCCCCTCTGTCAGTTATCACCAGAGAACTGAATCTATTGTCTCATTAACCGTGGAACATAAGTACATATGTCTCAATCACTCCAGGGAATAAAACACTAGCAATTTCAGAATTAAAAAAAAAAAAAAATCTAAATGAACAAAAATAACCACAAAACACACATATGCAGGCAACTATGTGACAGAAGTAAGAGGAACTATGGTGTATGATTTGTTTTTGTAAGAAACAATCATGCAACATGTAAAATAAAAATAATAAAAAAATAAATCCGAGTGATGAAGTGACTGAGGCTTTATCACAGTGTGTTTCAATCGGTGTGTCGTGGCACACTTGTATAGCTCAGTGCCACGAATACACTGACTTGAGGGCAGCAATAGGTTAAATGCAGTCCTTAAAATGTGTTCTTATCAATTTGCCTAGGAGCATGCATACTGCTCTAGTAAGGCTTTAAGTAAATGTAATATTTCTACACTGATGGTGAAGGTTAAACGAAAACAGTAATCTACCATTGACATTTTCTTTCATTAATGTCCGCCTTGGTCCAAACAAGGCTGTGAACCATTGTGCTATCAGACGCATGGTTGTAGTTTAGGTGGAGTGTTACCCAGTGTTATACCTCGCTACAGACTGGGAGGATTTCTCTTATCATGGGGAAGCCAAGAGGTCAGACTATGTATCTGATAGATCAACATTGGCAAGTTTTTTCTCTTTATTCCTTATTTCAGTTTCAATTACCTAGAAAGGGCACTCCAGCGTACTTCGCCAATTCCTCACCGCCACCCTTGGAAAAGATGTTACTGCATTCCTAGAATGATACACAGACAATTCTCACTATTACTGTGAAACACGACGGGGTGAATTCTGCAATTTGTGCCGATGTGGCAGATTATCCTCATCTAACACTTTACTGATGTGAACACATTAAGAATTTGATTTAAAAATAAATAACCATCATATTGCCTAATTATGTTCCAGACTGTTGACAAACAGGTGTTTGTGCAAAGATTCTAAAGCCTGTATGATTGATATTCGAGAGATCCCTTAAAGAAGGATACAAATAGCAAACTCAAGAAAAACTGATATTGTATTATTGAAATTAAGAAATAGCCTTTATGAATATTAATTTATAATGCTTAGATGGGCAGGGTTAATATATATAACACATAAAGGCTACAATACAAGTTATCTTAATTTTTATAATAAATAATGGTAAACATGTTCCTTTAAAGGTAATTGGAAGACTGATTAGGAAGAAAGCTTCTCACTCCTACCTAGAAACTGTAGCAAGATTAAATAGGAAGATAGCTTACCGAGCAGTATGGACAAACAAATCCACTCATGTTTTCCACTATGCCAATCACTGCCAAGCCGGTCTTCTTGCAAAATGTCAGCTCCCGTCTAACATCTCCAACAGCCACAGCCTGTAAAATGAAACATTTCATCTGATCAGCAATGCCTTCACAATATCACATCGGCTATTATAGAAAATGTAAGATACTGGAAACAGGGGGAGTAAATCCCTTTTTCTTATTTCCATTTAGGGAGCCCTGACCCTAAGTAGTGAGTAGAACTCGATGATGCTAGGAATACAGGTTTGAATTTGTAATGGTCATACTTACTAAAGATCAGTTTGGTTGTTTGTTTATTTTAAGTTAATGAGCACATCTCACTTGGGACCAAACAGTGTCAGCTTTAAAATCAGTGATCCATACATACAAATACTATAAAAAAAAAAATATATGGGATTTGGATATTTATCAAACACCGATTTTCAACCAGAACATCTATAAACTAGAAAAGCTACAATTTCTGGGGAAATTGTGTGAAGTGTTCTTGCCTCCACCTGTAGTCTACAACTGGAGTGGGCGGAGTAACTGTTATCATTTATATAGCACATTTAATTGCAACGTTGTTGCACAGTTACATTAAACCATACATTTATAAAAACATTAGCAGGTGTTCAAAAGGCCCTGTCTATGACATCACTTGCTGCTGCAGCCTGGCACAGGTCAGAGTATTTTGGCGGTTGCCATCTTCAAACGGTCGTATTTTAAAAACTATAAATCCTACAGCAAAGAGCTTTATATTGTGAGAATCACAAGACCCAGACCTACATTTTGATGCATAGTATGTCTCTGAAGTATTAAAAATGAAGGCACAGTCGCAGTTTAGAAATTGCACTTCAAATTTGAGCTTTGTAGAGTGAAGTTTCAATGAATGTCAATGGATGGCGTTAGTTGCAAACAAATGATTATATTGTGAAAACTATCAGGACTATGGCTTAGCCGTTGACATGTTTAGTGGCAGCAGGGATAGCTGAACGTTTTGATATAAGATTTGTGTAGGTGGGCCTGAAAATAAGGGAGTGGTGGCAGTTTAGAAATCATGTCCTGATTTTTCAGCTTTTGCCAGCTCCCACTCTAGCTTTGCCATTCATTCCTATGGGACAAATTTCGCCACAAGAACGACGATATTCCATGAACCATTCGGCGAAACGTTCCACAAAGTAATAGCAATCCGATCGGGAACAATCTGCACGTTTTGGTAAATTTTTGTCTATGTAGTGTAAAAACTGTGGGAGGAGTTAGGGTGGCAAAGTTGGCTATAATAATAATAATAATAACTAGAAAAGCTACAATTTCTGGGGAAATTGTGTGAAGTGTTCTTGCCTCCACCAGTAGTCTAGCACATTCAATTGCAACGTTGTTGCACAGTTACATTAAACCATATATTTATAAAAACATTAGCAGGTGTTCAAAAGGCCCTGTCTATGACATCACTTGCTGCTGCAGCTTGACACAGGTCAGAATATTTTGGTGGTTGCCATCTTCAAACGGCCGTATTTAAAAACTATAACTCCTACAGTGAAGAGCTTTATATTGTGAGAATCACAAGACCCAGACCTACGTTTTGATGCATAGTATGTCTCTGAAGTATTAAAATTGAAGGCACAGTCGCAGTTTAGAAATTGCACTTCAAATTTGAGCTTTGCAGAGTGAAGTTTCAATGAAAGTCAATGGACGGCTTGTTGCAAACAAATGATTATATTGTGAAAACTATCAGGACTATGGCTTAGCCGTTGACATGTTTAGTGGCAGCAGGGATAGCTGAACGTTTTGATATAAGATTTGTGTAGGTGGGCCTGAAAATAAGGGAGTGGTGGCAGTTTAGAAATCATGTCCTGATTTTTCAGCTTTTGCCAGCTCCCACTCTAGCTTTGCCATTCATTCCTATGGGACAAATTGCGCCACAAGAACGACGATATTCCGTGAACCATTCGGCGAAACGTTCCACAAAGTAATAGCAATCCGATCGGGAACAATCTGCACGTTTTGGTAAATTTTTGTCTATGTAGTGTAAAAACTGTGGGAGGAGTTAGGGTGGCAAATTTTGCTATAATAATAATAATAATAACTAGAAAAGCTACAATTTCTGGGGAAATTGTGTGAAGTGTTCTTGCCTCCACCAGTAGTCTACAACTGGAGTGGGCGGAGTAACTGTTATCATTTACATAGCACATTTAATTGCAACGTTGTTGCACAGTTACATTAAACCATACATTTATAAAAACATTAGCAGGTGTTCAAAAGGCCCTGTCTATGACATCACTTGCTGCTGCAGCTTGACACAGGTCAGAGTATTTTGGTGGTTGCCATCTTCAAACGGTCGTATCTTAAAAACTATAACTCCTACAGCGAAGAGCTTTATATTGTGAGAATCACAAGACCCAGACCTACATTTTGATGCATAGTATGTCTCTGAAGTATTAAAATTGAAGGCACAGTCGCAGTTTAGAAATTGCACTTCACATTTGAGCTTTGTAGAGTGAAGTTTCAATGAATGTCAATGGACGGCGTTAGTTGCAAACAAATGATTATATTGTGAAAACTATCAGGACTATGGCTTAGCCGTTGACATGTCTAGTGGCAGCAGGGATAGCTGAACGTTTTGATATAAGATTTGTGTAGGTGGGCCCGAAAATAAGGGAGTGGTGGCAGTTTAGAAATCATGTCCTGATTTTTCAGCTTTTGCCAGCTCCCACTCTAGCTTTGCCATTCATTCCTATGGGACAAATTTCGCCACAAGAACGACGATATTCCGTGAACCATTCGGCGAAACGTTCCACAAAGTAATAGCAATCCGATCGGGAACAATCTGCACGTTTTGGTAAATTTTTGTCTATGTAGTGTAAAAACTGTGGGAGGAGTTAGGGTGGCAAATTTTGCTATAATAATATAATAATATATATGTGAGATAACATTAAGTGGTCTTGCTATGCAAGAACACTTAATAATAATAATATATATGTGAGATAACATTAAGTGGTCTTGCTATGCAAGAACACTTAATAATATATATGTGAGATAACATTAAGTGGTCTTGCTATGCAAGAACACTTAATAATAATAATAATAAGAATAATAATATATATGTGAGATAACAATAAGTGGTCTTGCTATGCAAGAACACTTAAAAAATGTATTTCAATAAAAAGCTAATTTGCAAATGTTCATCTGCTTTTTGCAGGTGAATCTTTGGAAATCTGTATTTCTGCAGGCAGTAGGCAAAAGTATAATAAATAATATGAATGTAAAAATATGGTGCAAAAAATATTATTGCCCCGCGACTTCTCAATGTGCAGGTAGTCCACGGCAAGCTCTGTCTAATTATAACTATATGAGCATTAGGTTGCGTGTTTCACCCGGCTGTATACAGACACGCTGAAATCTGATCTCTGTAACTTGGAGGCTGTGTTGCAAAATGCAGGCATTGGTACCTTTCGAGAACAATGCCCAGATTTTAAAGTCTAAATGCCTAGGAATATTTTTGCTAATCTAGACTGGGGAGGAGGGGACAAGGGGTATAAGGTCCTTCCTGAATAATTGTGGCAATGCCTGAAAACATGGAATGTATGTGTGGGGAAGGAGGAGAGGGCTTTCAAAGGCAGCGGAGAAGAGAGCTGCAGCTTTTGCAAGCTGTTTTTAGATATACTCAAATGAAAAAATGCAAGCATTTTTTCATTTAGGTATATCTACTAAATATATATCTTGGTAAAAAAAAAAATAGTTTCCATTGGAATTATTTCTTTACTAGATTTGAAGATTAAGTGGTTTAAAGGAGGCAGTATGTTTTTAAGCTCTGTAAGAAGATGAACAAGTTAAGAGTTTGAAAGTTTGCAATTCAGTTTACTGAACAAACCTCTGATCATACAGTGAAATTACAAAGTGTATCATTTGAAACATTTACAGACAAGACAGCACCTGTGGTGTGGTGACCATAACGGCACCCATGGGTTTGAAGGGGCGTAGGGCTTGTACGGTGGAAATGTGTTCATCTGATGTTCCTGGAGGTGTGTCGACAATGAGAAAATCTAGCTCACCCCATGCCACATCGTTGATAAACTGATTTATCATTGCTGTTAGGAAGGAGAAAATAGGTTTCTTATACTGTAACTGTGATACCAACAAAGAGAACACAGATATTACTCATTTTGTGTGAAAAGACAAAAAAGATATCCTTTGTTATTCCTGTTCAAAATACAAACTGACTTTACTCATGTTTGTTCTCTCTCCCATCTACTTTCACAATCTATTCCCTTGAGTGAAACGGAAGAAAATTGCTACAAAATTCTCCAAATTTTAAGAGTCACTGCTGGAAAAAAATGCAAGTGGCTAATTCTGCTCTGTGCAGCAATAATTACAGCAATAATTACGTGTTCTTAGATTGGTCTTCTGAGCCAAGTCTCTTAAATTAGTCCTGCTGGAACTTTGTGGTTTTGATAATTTTATAAAAGGATCTATGATTCTATGCCTCCCAGAATTGCTACATGAATACAAAAATGATTGCGTCATAAATTTGCTTTTAGAGTCTACAAAATATTACCCTCTGTTGGATGGTCATATAGTTCAGGTCACCCAGAACCTAAATGTATGTAAAAATGCACACAGACTATTAATCAACACACTAACCTTACTGTCTCCTTTACATACCGTTCTTTTTGGGGCCCCTCCATACAACTGCATCATCTTGACCATCTAACAAGAAGCCAATGGACATCAGAGAAATGGTCTTTTCTTGATCTACATACACAGGTACCCAGCCACTGTCACACTGATGGACCTCTTTACCCACAGCATTAAGCATGCGTGGAATGCTAGGTCCACACAGGTCCACATCAAGAATTCCAACCTGCAAAAATGGACACAGTGAGACAGTACTCAAGCACCAGCAGATTGTTCGCCTTTTGGGAAATGTATGGTAGAACTTAATATTAGCAAGCCTGGTTAATGACGCTACCAGAGGTGGAGTTACACCTGCACATACAGGCTCCACGTACCATGACCACTTTAAGAAACATTTCTTCCCTTGTATTATATATTGCATTGTAATCAGATTTCTTATACAGTTTCCTTACATCGCCTTGGCAAACCTCTCTTCTATTCACCAACTTTCTTCCAATCTGTGTCAACATTTAGCTACAACTTGCATTTCCACTCACCCTTTTCCCTGCATGACGCAGAGCCAGAGCAATCTGAGTAGATAATGTGCTCTTTCCAACACCTCCTTTCCCCGACATCACCAGAATAATGTGGCGGACATTTGCAAGATTTCCATTGTCTGAAACAAGATATCAACAATGCAATAAGTTACAGTGACAACTTCAAACCAACATACTAAACAATGCAATGATACATGATCTCAAAAATGGGAAACTCTCAAATGGCCATCAGTCAATACCGGACTCATAAAAATGTAAGACTCAAAATATAAATTCTATTTAAATTCAAAATATATCCCAAGATACGGAGAGCCTCAGAAGTGGGATGGCTGCTTACGGAAAAACCAAAAACATATTGATAAACCTTGATTGTCACATCCTCTTAGGGAAAATGAAAAAAAAAACGTGAAGGAGTAAATAACGACACAAATTGTGAGAAAGAAAAAAAAGAAAAATAATAGAAATGTAGTAAGACTGAAGCTATAGAAGTGTAATTGTGGTGCACTAAAGATTGACCACTAAGAAAATGATACAGCCAAGGAATCTCTCAGTAATGCAGAGCTACAGATACAGGGATACTGTATCAATTATCCTAGAAAGCTTTGGAATTGTTTAGTTTTGACACTGCATTTTTCATGTGTTTTACTATCACAATCATTTTGCATTCTACATATTCAAAATGCTCATGCAACAGATTAAAATACACGTAAGCTTATTTAGCACTATTTAATTTGTCTCCCACGTTGAAATTAGTGAAGGACCCATCGATATTGGGATACTGTGAAGTAGTGGTTGGCTTATACATAACATTGCCATATGGTGAACTGAATCCCCATATTTGTTTGCTGGGATAGGTAATTTTAAGTTTAAGTAGCCTTATAAAATTTAATACTAACATGGGCTATTTGCCGATACGGGCTATTTACTAACATGGGCTATTTGCTGATACGGACTATTTACTGACATGGGCTATTTACCGATACGTACTATTTACTAACATGGGCTATTTGCCGATACATTACTATTCACTAACATGGGCTATTTGCCGATACATACTATTCACTAACATGGGCTATTTGCAGATACGGCTATTTACTAACATGTGCGATTTGCCGATACGGACTATTCACTAACATGGGCTATTTGCCGATACGGACTATTCACTAACATGGGCTATTTGCAGATATGGGCTATTTAAAACATGGGCTATTTGCCAATACGGACTATTTACTAACATGGGCTATTTGCAGATACGGCTATTTACTAACATGGGCTATTTGCCAATACGGACTATTTACTAACATGGGCTATTTGCCGATACGCACTATTCACTAACATGGGCTATAGTATGTTGAATTGCTTGATAGTGATAAATAAATAAAAATATTGCACGTACAGTTTTCTGGAGCTTATATTCAGCTCCAGATATATGCACCTGGATGGTAGAATCCCCTTTTAAGGATATGATGATGTACTGGTGTACTCTCAGAGGCTTCTTTGGGGGTCAGAGTGTTCTGGTGTCAGTGCCACAAACTGGTATCCTCCGGTATATTGTGTTTTTATTTCTCCTCCTATACACTGAGGATAACGGTTTGTGGCACTGACATTTTTGCCGATACAGACTATTTACTAACATGGGCTATTTGCCGATACGGCTATTTACTAACATGGGCTATTTGCCGATACGGACTATTTACTAACATGGGCTATTTGCCGATACGGCTATTTACTAACATGGGCTATTTGCCGATACAGACTATTTACTAACATGGGCTATTTGCCGATACGGACTATTTACTAACATGGGCTATTTGCCGATACGGCTATTTACTAACATGGGCTATTTGCCGATACGGACTATTTACTAACATGGGCTATTTGCCGATACGGACTATTTACTAACATGGGCTATTTGCCGATACGGACTATTTACTAACATGGGCTATTTGCCGATACGGACTATTTACTAACATGGGCGATTTGCCGATACGGACTATTTACTAACATGGGCTATTTGCCGATACGGACTATTTACTAACATGGGCGATTTGCCGATACGGGCTATTTACTAACATGGGCGATTTGCCGATACGGACTATTTACTAACATGGGCGATTTGCCGATACGGGCTATTTACGAATATGGGAATTCAAAGTGAATTCCAAATTCCAGGCTGAAAGTGGCAGGCCGCAAACATTCCCCATGCCAGCCATGATTGCAGTTCGGGTATTATGTTAGCGGACAATGTGAACCTCGCTGAGATTCCCTCAATAACTCGCATTGTGGCCGAGCTATTCACTAAACTCCGAATTGCTGCGAAGTGAAATCCAAATGACAAAATTTAAAAATTCTAAAAAAAAAGGAAAAATTAGAATATTGGGAATTCCCCTAAACCAGGCTTCCCCAAACTCCAGATGTTGCTGAACTACAACTCCCATGATTCTCAGCCTAGCTATTTAATTCATAGAATCATGGGAGTTGTAGTTCAGCAACACCTGGGGGGCCGGAGTTTGGGAAGCCCGGCCTACATGTTATCGCACTCCTGTGTCCAGCTTAGTAAATAGGCGCAGTGAGCGCGATCTCTCCCCCCTGAGTGCACACTGACAGGATCCCACTCTCACCCTGTGTGGACTCCATGCTGGAACATTCACTTCCGTATATAATCCCTGACAGCAGAGTTGACCAATCACCGACAGTCATAACAGTTACGTAGCATGTCCTTCCGTCCAATAACAAACCGCTATTTCAAGGGGCGGTACCGTTAGTGGCCAATCAGAGTCCATTTTCGTGACGTCACGCCCCTGCAATACAAGGCAATGATTTCTCTGCACCGAGAACGGCCGCGTCCCGCCAATCAGAATGAGCGGGTGAACGCCCGGCCACGCCTTGACCTTTGATGGGCGTGGATGCCGGCCAGTTAAAACGAAGCGTTTGCCGATTGGCGTGTCTTTTCGCCCAATCGGCATGGTGAGGCGGGGCTTGCCGCTCGTCAGAGGGCAGAGTCTGGTTCAGGGGTTATTGTTGACGATTGCGGCTGCGGGCAGAGCAGGTAGGTACCGGGTGGGTGTGAGGGGATCCGGGGAGCGGGCCCGGCCTGGAGCGGGGGACCCTGGGCTGCTTAGGGGCGAGGCCGTGTGGGCTGGCCGGACACCCCCTCCCTCCCCCGGGGCCCTATGGAGGGGCCACCACCCCCTTCCCCCGGGGCCCTATGGAGGGGCTACATGGAGACCACCTCCCACCCCGGGGCCCTATGGAGGGGCTACATGGAGACCACCTCCCACCCCGGGGCCCTATGGAGGGGCTACATGGAGACCACCTCCCACCCTGGGGCCCTATGGAGGGGCCACCCCCCTCCCCTCCCACCCTGGGGCCCTATGGAGGGGCCACCCCCCTCCCCTCCCACCCTGGGGCCCTATGGAGGGGCCACCCCTTCCCCCGGGGCCCTATGGGATTGGGGCATTGCCAACAGGTGGTGGGGGGGGTCATAACACTGGATTGGGGCATTGCCAACAGGTGGTGGTGGTGGGGGTCATAACACTGGATTGGGGCATTGCCAACAGGTGGTGGTGGTGGTGGGGGTCATAACACTGGATTGGGGCATTGCCAACAGGTGGTGGGGGGGGTCATAACACTGGATTGGGGCATTGCCAACAGGTGGTGGTGGTGGGGGTCATAACACTGGATTGGGGCATTGCCAACAGGTGGTGGTGGTGGTGGGGGTCATAACACTGGATTGGGGCATTGCCAACAGGTGGTGGGGGGGGTCATAACACTGGATTGGGGCATTGCCAACAGGTGGTGGTGGGGTGGGGGTCATAACACTGGATTGGGGCATTGCCTACAGGTGGTGGTGGTGGTGGGGGTCATAACACTGGATTGGGGCATTGCCTACAGGTGGTGGGTTATAACACAGGGTAAAGGGATTGTGGTGTTGCCAACAGGTGGGGGATAATAACCAAGGATAGGGTGTAGCACAGTCATTCTGATCCCCCAAACTGCATCCCATGCTATTTCTCTTGGTCTCCAGTTATGATAGTCAGGCCACATGCAACTGCACACACATTATTTTTACTGTCGCCTTGCCTTTAGCATTACTGTTGAGAATGGTATAATTAAGGTGTAGTATGAAATAAAATGATTCGTCAAAACATTGTTTGTAAGTAACTTTAAAACTGAAGATTTGGTCACCAAGTTAATGCCATGTACCTAATGTTAATAATCGCTGGTCTAGCACAAATCGTGCTTTAGATTCTTTATATTTAAGGCCAGTTATTTCTTATTCTTAGCTGTGGATTTACCTTTCAATCTGTGGCGTTTTCAGTATTTTCTCCTTTAGGGGGACGACTTTTCCGGACAGCTATGGAGGTTATGTGAAAAGAAGAAATTCTGAGGCAAGGTTTTAAAAGTGCAGCAATTGGCAGGGGCATTCAGTTTGTTTCCAAGGTAACTTCTCCACTTTTAAAATGTTCCCTAGAATTACTTCTTATCCATGACCCTTTTGTATTTCAAAGTATCCCCTCTTTCACACCTGTGTTGAAAAAAAAAAAAAAAACAGAAATCGGTATGAGACAATATTATTTCTTACAAAGTGTGTTAAGTCTAAACATTTATTTTTTTGTAGCCTTGTATTTCATCACAAAAAATGGCGCGCCGTCCACGCAACAGCCGAGCATGGCGTTTTGTGCTAAGTGGAGTGCGTAGAGACCAGGATGCCAGGCCACCTGTTTTACCAGCAGGGGAAGAGTCTTGGGGTTATGATTCTGATGGACAGGTGAGTGGTGAATAAGAGTGTTAAAACATGTCATCAAAATGTAGATTGTGGTAAATTGCAAAGAAAACTGTTGTGTATTGTATATATGTAGTTTAAAAGGACACTGTTGCAATGAATCCACTGCAGCACAATGTGGTTACCTAGAGTATTCTAGAGTGATTGGCTGAAAGCAGGTTATGGTACTCTAAGCTTATCAATATTGGCGGTAATTCTGGAACAGTCAGTCGAGCTGAAGATAGGGTGGTCTCCTGGTGAGATGGAAAGACCTTGTTTTTGGCAAACCACATCCAAATATTTTTTGCGTAAAACCTGGGAGTGGTGCTATTCTAGGTAGCGTAGCTACACTAGGCTGTAACTGTTATACAGTGAGTTTAAAACGAAGACAAACATTACCCTGAAAAACATAATCCAGTTATATTGACTGATATTTCAGCAACAGCCCTTTGAGACATTGTGTGCCCTAATTGTTGCTGGCTAGACATGTTTAAACAAGATACAGTGGAACCTCGGAACTCGAACTTAATCTGTTCCAGAAGACTGTTCGAGAACCGAATCAACATTTCCCATAGGAATTAATGTAAAATTGATTAATCTGTTCCAGACCCCCCAAAATTACAGCATTTTATATGGGCAGACATGGAATACAGCATTTAACGGTGTTGCAGTTCCAAAGATATAAAAGTGATAAATGATTATTTTAGCAATGTATGCTATGGAGTCATAAAGCCACAGTGTGGGATATAATCTTTTGTACTGATAGCCACATTTTTATATTTACTTTACATATTGCTGTTTATAGTTGTCCCCTGGTAACTCCCTACCGTACTCCAGACCTGTGACTCTATTAGTAGTACAAAAAGAGATGGCTCTTGCAAACGCACCCTTTTCTGACTTGAAAATGAGACGTGGCTCTTTGTTGTATGTTTGGGTACCGAAGATTGTTCACGTACCGAGCCTTTTTTTTTTTTTATTTTTTTATTTTTTTTTAAACTCAACATTTTTGTTCGCCTTTCGAATTATACAAGAACGTGACCATGCGAGTTCCGAGGTTCCACTGTAGTTAGATAAGACTTGAAAGGCTTTATTGGGGACTCTGTGATCTAGACACATGTAATCAGAAGTGCGAACTTTATGAAAGTTGATGTACTGCTAAGCAAATACTTATATTAATGTTTAAGTATTACACAGTAGCATCAACCCAAGCGTCTGCAATGCAAAATAAAATGTAGCAAAAAAAAGCCTTGCTTACTACCACCACACGGTGGTACCTCGGTTTACAAACGCCTCAGTTAACATTTTCGGTTTACAAATGTTGAAAATGCCTCGGTTTACGATTTATTTATATTTTCGCAATACGAAGCAAGTTTCCCCAGGATGCATTGCGCCTGCGAGGTTTATAGCGCTGCCCTGTGCATGCTGGAGTCTGTGGGTAGCACGTGGCGTTGCGTGTGGAGATGTTGGAGTGGTTTTTGCAGCGGTTTTGGGATTTTTTTTTAAACTTGTTTGGTGCATTTCTCAAGCGGTGGAAAGGTGGGGAGCTGAGCTTTGTCGTTTGCATGCCTTTTACTGTGTGTTTTGCATTGTGGGTTGGTTCCCATGCTAGTTCATTTTGACTTTTTTTTTAATTTTTTTTTTGACCTCTGGAACATATTAATTGGGTTTTTCAGTGCACGTTTCGGTTTACAAACTTTTTTTTTGCAGTAAGAAAGGTCATTTTAAATTTGTAAACAGAGGTACCACTGTAGATGCAAAACTTTTCCAAGGCTCAGACAGACTGTGAATGGTGGCCTCTCTAACTCTGCTGCAGTTTGGATTTGATGTAAATAGTCCATAGTAAATAACCAGTCTGAATCTTTTAAATCCTGTGGGGTTTTTTATTTTTTTATTTTTATTTTTATAAATGTAAAGACTTTATTCTTGACTTTTGTAATCTTTAATATTTGTCACTAGATGAAGGCTTCATACTTAAACTAATCGGAAAAGTTGTTATGCTAACCGCTATATAAAATAGTTTTGTTATATACAATTAGAAGTGCAAAGATGACAATGAAAATATTGCAAGGTGAACTATGTCCGTTTTATAGTTTAATCACCCATGTTTGGAGAGCAACATAAAGGTGCTCCTTGTATATAGATTAGCATAAGAACAATTGGATTCATGTTGTTCTGAACTTTGTATGTTTATTTTAGAGAAAAAAAAACTGCTGGTCTCTGCAGACACAAGTTCAATTAACTTGGATTAATGGAACTCATTTACTAAAAATGTCAAAATTACGCGAATACATGCTGAATAACCTCTGGACTATGATATACCTAACATGGAAAACTGTATTTCTTCAAAAACTTTTTATTAAGAGAAATATATATATATATATATATATATATATATATATATATTTTTTTTTTTACATCATCCACCCATCTGTGCTGTATCTCTTGTAGACCGATCACAGCTGCAGTTGAGCATCCAGGGTGTGGAGGTCTCGGCCCATATGAAGAAATATACTGGCCATTTTGTACACACAAAGACCTTAGAAATGCAGCTTCCTATACATGTTTCCAGATAGGAAAATAAAATCCACAAGGTTCCTTACAGATAATCTAAAGCATACTCATGCGTACTCTGTGACAAAGTTTAATGCTTTCAACGCGAGCGCATCAGATCCTGTTGCATGAGGAAAACCTATAAAAACGAAATTCTTTCCTTTCCCAATATTTGTCAGGCACAAAAAAAATCTAATTGTTTGTGTATCCATATGTGATGCTGATAGTCTTGGATTTCCCCCCCCCCCCCAACAGAACATAGTAGTGAATTAGTTAAAAGTCAATAGCAATGTTGTCTAACCAACAGATGTAAAGATTTTAAACTAGTCTCTCTTCACAGCACAGTAACAGTGATTCAGACAGTGATATACTCCAGCTGCCTCCATCCATACCCAGTGCTGTACCGGTAACTGGAGAGTCTTATTGTGGATGCGACAGTCAAAATGATGCATACTGCTCCAGCTTACTCACTTTTCACCAAATGAAAAGCTGCCAGTGTGGAGAGGAGGATGAAGGTAAGCGCCCAACATGTCTACATATTGTGTCCAAAAGGCTTGATAACCCTTCTTATCTTTTCCTTATTTCTGACTTTTGCTTGCAGATTTTGATTGGGTGTGGGATGACTGCAGTAAATCCACAGCCACACTCTTGAGCTGCGATAACCGCAAAGTAAGCTTCCACATGGAGTACAGCTGCGGAACAGCTGCCATACGCGGAAACAAAGTGCTGTCGGATGGTCAACACTTTTGGGAGATCAAGATGACTTCTCCAGTCTATGGCACTGACATGGTATGGGAATGTCTGACATCCTCATTCATTGCACCAGTTCACGTCACCCTGAACAAACATTACGTGTGAAACTACTGCTGTTCTTGCAGAGATGCACCAGATGCGGGTTAGAATCTGTGGTGGCTTGGGTGTAGGGGCACTTTTGAAAAGTGTCCCGTTTGAGTGTAGACCTCAGACATGCTCAGTCTTATTCTAGAATTTAGTCAAGAGGTAATAAATTAAAGCTAGCTTAACAGAGTGTGTTTTTCTTTTACCAGCAGGTAACAGAGCCTTTCATATGACTATTCAAAGGTTGAGTTCAATCCTCGCTTGGTGCTTTTCCATTTTCTCCCACTAATTCATTTTGCTAAATTTAACATCCATTATAGTCTATTGTAATTGGCCTTATATGTATTAATATTGTAAAATGCCTTGAATGAAATTTTTAGTTTTTGAAAACTGAACAATAGCACAATCTGCTGGCACTAAAATCAACTAGTGATGTCTGAAATTGGTTCTAGCTGCAGAGTGCAGACTGATCACGTCTAAGGCTTGTATTCAGACTTGCTATGTCCCACCTGGTGGACATATTGAGTTGTTTGGTGGTTTGTTTTTTTTGGTTTGTTTTTTGGGGTGGTGGGGTGTTTGCAGCATTGTAAATAAGATGGTTCCTAAATGATCTGCACCTATTGTATAGAGATGCACATTACAATCTAAGTAGGTAGATTGTATATTGGCGTTTGTTTGCCAAAAGGTGTTTCATCAATACCAGCAGCACTATTAAAGCATGTCTGCCAAGATTTCAAGGCTTCCTTTTTAGCTTTCATTTGGAATAATGTATAAATGTATACTTGGTTAAAAAAATAAAAATTTAAGTGTGAGATGTGAAGAATATTTCACATTTCATTAATTTAAAACCTTTTATCATCCTATTCAGTCATCTGAAAAATGAGGAACCTATGAGCACATAATGTTACTAGTGAGAATCCTGTAAGGTCACTCTGTTCATTCCTCTTCCTTTTTGGTTTGCGGTCAATGAAGCGGGAATTAACTTGGTAGCGGAGGCTTTCCCACCTTGCAGTTGAGTTGTATGACTGTATTATGGGAACCTGTTTCCATGGTTTAATTATTTTACCGCATTGGGGATAAGCAAAGACTTAACAGCTCCATTAATGTCTTTAACGATGGCTGACAATGCTGGCTGTAGCCTCTGACGCACTTTTTTTTTTTTTTTTTTTTCTCAGATGGTCGGCATTGGGACTTTGGATGTGAACCTGGATAAATACCGTCACACCTTTTGTAGCCTCTTAGGTAAAGATGCAGAGAGCTGGGGGCTGTCTTACACAGGTAGGTGTAGTATTACATAATCTCAATAGTTAATTTCCTTTCCTCTGCCTACAACCGAGACCAAACCTAGGCAGCCATTAGGAAAGTGCAGCCAGTATTTTATTTAAGGGGCCTGTCTAAGCCTTAAAGCCTGCATGGGGTCCTGTATAGAAAATCTGTCTAGTTGAAGGGCTATGTTTCGATCTCCCCTAACCAGGCAGCATTTTGGAATTCCTGTACATGCCCATTTGGGGGATGTAATAACTGCCTCCTTTCTCCTCGTGTGGTAGTACTAAGATGATGAGCTAGGACTGGCAGTTTGAGCTGTTACCCCACATATTAAAATTATATCCCTGAATGTTATGTTTTTGCAAGAATTTATCCAGTTGCTGTTTAAACCTCTATACAGAGCCTGATAAAACCACCTCTTCAGACAGAGAATTCAACATACTGTTCCTATTGTTAAATGCCCTTTCCTGTGCCTTAGACTAAATCTCCTCCTCCTCTTTTTTTTTTTTTTTATAAATACGTGACTGTCCTAAATATAGTCTTGTTTATGAATAGATTTGTATTGACTCTGAATAGATTTGTATAATGCTTCATATCTCCTCGGAAGTGATCATTTTTTTTTTTTTTTTTTTCTAAACTAAGGAGATTTGATTTTGCTAAAGGAACACTACAGGGCAGGAGTAGGCAACCTATGGCATGTGTGCCATGCAAGGCACCTAAAGGCTGCCAGAGCCAAACAGGCTCTGGCCTATCAGGAGTCGCCCTGCAACTGGAGTGCCTGTCGGCATTGTGGTGCTGCATTGAAGGGGGCTTGTTGGGTGACCCGTGCTCTTTGGGGTCACTCAATGGCAGTATATTCCTGGGGCCCGGTCAGCACTCGAAGAGCGCGACTGGGCCCAGAGCTGGGAGGAAGCAGTTACTTCCTCCCAGCTAACAAAGCGCACCCGCGGGAGGAGATTGCTGGGGAGGATAGGAGGGAGCCAGAGCTCAATTAAATAAATAGGACCGGCGTGCTAAGAGACATCACAATCCTATTTCGGCACAGTGCTGCTGAACGGTTGCCTACAATCCAGTATTCCTGACCATATAGTGTTTAAACCACTTAGGTGACTTGCCCCCCTTAAAAGGTAAAAACTTTCATTATTTTCAGCGCCGCACGATCTACTTCCTTGGCTGACATCACAACTGATCTAAATTTTCAACAGAAAAAGCATCTGATTAGGTGAGATCAAGATCTGGCCAATCAGAATCTCCTCATAAAGATGCATTGAATTAATGCTTCTCTACGGGGAAAGTTCAGTGTCTCCATGCAGAGAGTGGAGATGCTGAATGTCAGTGCTGCACTGACCCAGGAAGCACCTCTAGAGGCCTTCAGAGGAGTGGCCACTAGAGGTGTCCTAGATACTAATGTACTTAAAGGCAGTATTAACCTCAAAAAGCCTGCAGGGACAGACTAGACACCAGAACAACTACATTAAGCTGCAGTTGTTCTGGTGACTAGTGTCCCTTGTCTATGTTGCACATAGAAGGCTTATCAATAAACTGCAATCTTTGTTTGGATTCCAATATTGTTGAATGGGTAGGGCAGTGGCTGAGTGACAGGCAACAGAGGGTTGTAGTTAATGGAATATATTCGAAGCTTGGACTTGTCACCAGTGGGGTACCTCAGGGATCTGTACTTGGACCCATTCTCTTTAATATTTTTATTAGTGATATTGCAGAAGGTCTTGATGGTAAGGTATGTCTTTTTGCTGATGATACTAAGATATGTAACAGGGTTGATGTTCCAGGAGGGATAAGCCAAATGGCAAATGATTTAGGTAAACTAGAAAAATGGTCAGAATTGTGGCAACTGACATTTAATGTGGATAAGTGCAAGATAATGCATCTTGGCGTAAAAACCCAAGGGCAGAGTACAGAATATTTGATAGAGTCCTAACCTCAACATATGAGGAAAGGGATTTAGGGGTGATTATTTCTGATGACTTAAAGGTAGGCAGACAATGTAATAGAGCAGCAGGAAATGCTAGCAGAATGCTTGGTTGTATAGGGAGAGGTATTAGCAGTAGAAAGAGGGAAGTGCTCATGCCATTGTACAGAACACTGGTGAGACCTCACTTGGAGTATTGTACACAGTACTGGAGACCGTATCTTCAGAAGGATATTGATACCTTAGAGAGGGTTCAGAGAAGGGCTACTAAACTGGTTCATGGATTGCGGGATAAAACTTACCAGGAAAGGTTAAAGGATCTTAACATGTATAGCTTGGAGGAAAGACGAGACAGGGGGGATATGATAGAAACATTTAAATATATAAAGGGAATCAACACAGTAAAGGAGGAGACTATATTTAAAAGAAGAAAAACTACCACAACAAGAGAACATAGTCTTAAATTAGAGGGACAAAGGTTTAAAAATATCAGGAAGTATTACTTTACTGAGAGGGTAGTGGAGGCATGGAATAGCCTTCCAGCTGAAGTGGTAGAGGTTAACACAGTAAAGGAGTTTAAATGACCACTCTAGGCACCCAGACAACTTCAGCTTAATGAAGTGGTCTGGGTGCCAGGTTCTTCTAGGGTTAACCCATTTTTTTATAAACATAGCAGTTTCAGAGAAACTGCTATGTTTATGAATGGGTTAAGCCTTCCCCTATTTCCTCTAGTGGCTGTCTCATTGACAGCCACTAGAGGCGCTTGCGTGCTTCTCACTGTGATTTTCACAGTGAGAGCACGCAAGTGTCCATAGGAAAGCATTGTAAGCTCTTGCCGCGCGTGCGCATTCAGCCCAGGAGGAGGATCGGAGGAGGCAGAGAGCTCCCCGCCCAGCGCTGGAAAAAGGTAAGTTTTAACCCCTTTCCCCTTTCCAGAGCCGGGCGGGAGGGGGTCCCTGAGGGTGGGGGCACCCTCAGGGCACTATAGTGCCAGGAAAACGAGTATGTTTTCGTGGCACTATAGTGGTCCTTTAAGCATGCGTGGGATAGGCATAAGGCTATCCTAACTATAAGATAAGGCCAGGGACTAATGAAAGTATTTAGAAAATTGGGCAGATTAGATGGGCCGAATGGTTCTTATCTGCCGTCACATTCTATGTTTCTATGTTAACCTTTCATCACAACTAAAATTCCTCTGCAGCAAAGAAATATCCTGCTTACATTGTATTACTTTAGTTTTTTGTCATCTGCAAATACTGAAATTTTACTTTCAGTGCCAATTTTAAGATCTAAAAAATAAGTGGTCCTACAACAGAACCCTGAGGGACACCACTTACCATTTTTGCCGTGCTTGAAAATTTTGCATTAGTGATAGCTCTGTACTTTTAAGGCAGTGGTTCTACCCAGTGTGTTGTAAGGACAAACTTAAAAGATTGTTTTAGGCAGCATTGGATGCTGAATGTAAATATGCTGACAAACATGTCTTCTAACCACTTTTCTTTTAGGGTTACTCCAGCACAAGGGTGACAAGAACAGCTTCTCAACACGTTTTGGCCAAGGTTCAATAATTGGGGTTCATCTGGATACGTGGCATGGAGTCCTTACTTTCTACAAAAATAGGAAGTGCATTGGTAAGCATTGACTTTTTCTGTGTTTAGGTGGCTGACTTTACAGCCCGTTATGCCATAAAACCACTCCGGCAGAACTGAGTGGTAAACATCCGGTACACGTGGTCATACAGGATCTGGCTGGGATATCCTAGATCTGTCACTTGCCTGGGATATGTTAATGGGATACTCCTGGCTTGAGATGATTCCTCCTGTTTAAAGTATCGTGTAGATAACACGTTTCGAAAGAAATAATGCAAAAGAATCTTCACAAATAAAATCCATGTTCCTTTGTGCAAATCTAAGGAGTCCCTCTGATGTGCATGGCATCAGAGCTCTTGTTAAATGTTGCCTCTTTCGTATGATGGCAAGTAAGCAGGTGCCCATATGAACATCAATGCATTATGGGATTTTTAACTGCAGTCTTTTTTCCTTATGAAACTAATAAATTCTGTAATTTTAGTAAACTTCAAAAAAACTACTTCCAACTTGTATTTACATGTAGTGTGTGTGGGTTTGATTTTCCCCTTATTTCTGCTTCCTTACCCCAGACCAGTCATGTTCTCCCTAATAACCTGCGCTGGTAAAACTAGGTGAATTTAAGTTGGAAAGAATTAGACTGTCCAACTCCAAAACCCAGCACAGGGAGAAATGTAGGGAAAGGTGGTAAAGCTAAGTGAATCTTGCCTTTGGTATCTTGCATAAAAAGTTTTTTAGCTTCACTTTTCTCTGTTGGATCTTGTTCTACTTGTTAAAAGGTTCAGTAATCTGCATCTCCTCTAGACAAATTTTTTATTTATGACTGGACATTCTTCGGCTAATAATGGCATTCGCCCACTCACATACAATGTTATTGGTTAATGCAATTACGGGTGGGGTATTCTGAGCTACTGATGGAAGTAGTTTTCAGGCACCTATACCTTTAAAATTTACGGGTGTTTATTCTTTTGATAATTGTCTAATGGAGATCTTATGTGGTGTGGGGAGATGTTTACTTTTTTTTTTTTTTCTCTTCCAGGCGTTGCTGCTACTCAGTTGAGGAACAAGAAGCTATTCCCAATGGTGTGCTCCACAGCAGCGAAGAGTAGTATGAAAGTGATCCGGTCGTGCTGCTGCCGCACCTCTCTGCAATACTTGTGCTGTGCCCGTTTGCGCCAACTTCTTCCTGATTGTGTTGACTCTTTGGAAGCCCTGCCTCTGCCCCCAGGTCTCAAACAAGTCCTGGGCAACAAGCTAGGATGGGTTCTTCAGATGGGGACCAGCCAGCAATACAAAGATGACACCCAGGCTACCACGTCCTGCGGGAGTGATTCGGACAGCAACTGCCCACCAAGGCCAGAGGACTGTCAACGCAAACGTTGCCGCAGGATTTAAGGAATCTTGATGGAGTTAGAGGTTCTAATCACAGTGCCTCTTTCTCCACCTGGCTGTACCATCACACAATTAACTTTTTGGAACGACACATGGGGAAAAAAAAGGTATTTCCTTATGTGTAACAAACCAAGAAGCCGATCAGGATATTAAGGACAGAAGCAAGACGACGATAAGGGTTTTCATGCCATTGTTTCCCTATAACTGAAAATGACGGTTCTAAAAAAAAGACGATGGAAATTACCGGAGTATGTTTCTGACTTGGGATTAAAACAAACCCGATCGCTTTACAAAGGACAGACGTTTTAACACTTGCCATGGAAACCACCGTACATTAATGTCTTAAAGGGAAATAACAGAAAATATAAAAACTGCACCTGTAGGAAAGCACACTTTGTAACAATTTTTTTACAGGTTTCCATACCAACTCACTGTTTAAACTGTGTGATTGTCTCCATCTCCCCTTTTCCAGAGCGAGAGCTGGTTGTTTAGCCCACTTGCTAAAATAATGTAAATTAAGTGTGTCTAACATTGTGCTCCAACTGGGGGCTGATCCTGCCACCTGCCAGATGTCATGATATGAAAATGACATTTGAAGGGGTGCATTCATAGGTGCTTGCACTCCCTGTACATGCATTGCAGTTTGCCATGTATATGGTGGAGAACTTTTAGATAGGGCTCTGTGTGAAGTGTTTTTATTTTTTGTCTTGAGAGAAAGCATACATGTCATCTGTTTATCATACGATTTGAGTTTGCTAGCAGTTTTGTTTTAATTATACTTTGGCTGACATGTTTTGATTCAGGTTTTATTATACAGAAGCCTTTTTGGTATTGTTACAAAATGTCCTTATATACTGGTGCAGTTTGTTTACTTTTAACCTTTTTGGTTTTTCTTTTTTTCCTCCCGAGAGCTTTATTTCACCACTTTGTTTAGTGTTGGCTGACCTTTGGTACTTCACCTGTTATTGACGATTACTTGGAGACTCAGACAACTTGGCCACAACAGCTGTAATGCCAAAGCTCAGCTCCCCCAGAGATTGGCAAGCCAGCGTTTACTCTGCTCAGACGAACCATTCTCTTAATGATTTAACAACCTCTCATGCTGAGCTGAATCAGAACTCAGTCTGAGCGTTCTAAGCTGTTGCTGCTGCAGGTAAACCATGCATTCTGCTATAAAAAAAACTTGTTGATTGTTGATTTTAGTCAGGAATTGTGGGAAGTGACAAGGAAACTGCATATTTAAAGCCAAAGTAGCCAAACTGAAAAAAAATCTCCAATTCTACTACTCTGGCCTATTTAATTAGCAGTTGCCTTTTTTGGTCAGATTAGTTTAACTGGAAATTGTAAACCATAGTCTGTGATCCCCATTTTTCATAGACTGCTTGCTGGTTCCCAAGAAAACTAAACTATGCATTGAGTTTAGAACAGGCCAGTCTGTCTTCTCTTTTAATGACACCATGTAACTGTGTACAAGGCTTAGTGCCCAGTCTTATGTCGTTAATTTGTACATGGAGGAACTTTATGTATAGTTTAAAATATATAAAGAGTGTGTGGATACGGTATGGATGCAAGTGCATACACACAATGCTTGGAAAAGAAGAAATCATATGTCATAGAGTCAGATCCTGGGTGTGATGTGCTTAGTGACCACTTTGGTCAGACTGGACACTCCATGTACCATAAAATACTTCACAGCAAAACAGTGCTCGAGCGCGTTAGCAGCAGAATTTCTTACAAGATTGTTTACTAAACAATAGATCGGAATTCACGTAAGACTTGCACATCAGCCGTCCAGCAGAACTGTAGAAATTACATTGAACCGAATTTACAGACAGACTGCTGGGTCTGTAAAATGACGTGTGTGTGTTTTGTTTTGTTTCTGGGTTTGTCATTCAGTTGCATCCAGATCGTCTGAAACTTGGTCTAAATTTAGTGTAATTCACAACTGTATTCCAAAATCCGGACCTTGGTAAGTCTCTAATATGAGTTTTGCGGTCCTTATATCAATAAATAATCCTGAATTATTTTTGATCATTTGGACTAAGGGCATTCAGGCTTTAGTGATTAGCCATGTGCGGTTTGTTTTGTAACAGTTGGATACTTTCTGAAGCTGTGGAAAAGGGATAGATTTTATGGATTTCTGTTAAATGCTGTAAAAGATATCACATGTTCATCAAAGTGACTTGTTTTGTATGCAAGGAAAAGAACATCTATAACCTGCAATAAAAGGGACGCTGTTGTGGAACACACGTCTGTGGGTTTTTTATTGTCAAGGAAACTCAATGCAAACAGTTTGCCAGTTCAGAATATTCCAGCACAAAATGGTACCAATGGATGTAGTTTAGAATTGCTGGATCCATCTGCTAGCTATGACCTCCTGATGCAATTTGTTTTTGCTTAGCACATGTCTTTAACTCTGACCTGTGTTTCTTCAAGTGGTCAGTATGTAACTAGGACTGATTTCACATTGCCATTTATATTCCAGAGAGATGCATCTTGGGAACTATAGGAAAAATGCTTTTACTGACCCACACCCAGTTCAGCAATCATGTGATATACAAACACAGCTTTGAGACTGAATAGTTATAGATCATTGTTCTTTGTCTTTGATGTGGCTCTATGGTGACACATTTAATGTGTTCAGCTTGTTCTAGCATACACTGACAGTGGAACTGTCAGAGAAACAAACTCTCTGCTTGCTGAAGGCAATCCTCTTCAAATAAGTTTATACATTTATTCAATAAACATAACAAAAAATGCAATTTATGTTGTAATAAAATTCTAGAATCACCCAAATTGTATTTGTAGGGGTGAGGGGGAATATGTCCACTTTTCCTTTGAGGCCTACCATAAAGTCATTCAGTCACTGATTCCAAAACTGTCACCTGTTTACTTGGTCGGCTTAGTGGAAAACTATAGTGATAGGAAAACTTTTGTTTATTTTTTTTATTTCCTAGCACTAGAGCTCCCTTAAGTGCACCCATTCCCTTCCCCCTGTGCTGAAGGGGTTAAACACCCTTATCACTTATCTGATTCCAGTGCATATGTCCCTTGATCTTGGTTCAGGCATTGGGTAGACATAACACACTTGTGGTGCTATCAAAAACTGCAATAATTACAATTCCAGGGTTAAGGGGCCTGGGACACTGGACCCAGACCACTTAAATGACCTGAAGTGGCATGGGTGCTTATAGTGTACCTTTAAATGAGAAATTACTTAAAATTTTATACTGTGTGGTTATTGCACAACCATTATTTCTTTTGAGACTTAACTCCCCCTGATCCACAGATGTGTATATAAACAATAAACCAGCTTTTATTAAAGGGACACTATTGTCAACAAATATTTTTAGCACATTGAAGTGGTTTTGGTGTAAAAATCATGCAAATGACGTTTCACTGCTCAATTTTCTGCTGTTCAGGAGTTAAATCACTTTTGTTTCTGTTTATGCAGACCTAGCCACACCTCACCTGGCTTTGACTAAAACAGCCTGCATGAAAACAAAATGGTTTCATTTTCAATCAGATGTAACTTACCTTAAACTTTTAACTCCTGCTCTGTAATTTGAACTTTAATTACATACAATATGCTCCTGCATGGTGTAGTATTCTAAATTAAACCGTATTTGCAGCAAAGGAAGTGTAAATATTAGATGACTCATTACAAGAAGTGTTTAGGAAGGCTGTGTAAGTCACATGGAGGGAGGTGTGGCTAAGGCTGCATAAACAAAGTGATTTAACGCCTAAATGGCAGAGCATTGAGCAGTGAGACTGCAGGGGCATGATCTATAAACTGCTTAATTAAGCTAAAGTTGTTTTGGTGACTATAGTGTCCCTTTAAATATCAGTATTCTGGGTGACATTGGGGGTACTGAATCACCCTTTGTCTCACTTCCTCTTGGATTATAAACTCATGCATTTAAAAATCAGGCCTGAAACTAGTGACAAGGATATTTTCAAAAGCGTGACTTTCTGGATGTTCAAAGTGAATATCTATGCCAAGATAGCTGAAGTTATAGGGACACTGTAATCACCAGAACAACGTAATGTGGTTCTGGTGTGTATAGCCTAACCCTTCAGTCTTAGCACTGGAAACACTGCCTTGTGTTTACATTGCTCCCTAGGAACACATCTAGGTACTGCCACTCAGACGGCCACTATTTCAGTGCTTTATTGTGTGCAGCATCTACATTCAGCAATTTAACGCTCTGCAAGGAGATGCTAAAAGCCCCTGTAGAGATACATTGATTCAGTGCAGCTGAGGAGATGCTGATTGGCGCAGCATGTCATTTTGCCAAGCAATAGCCTCACAATGCTTTCCAAGGGAAAGTATTTCATTGGCTGATATTGGCAAGACCAGGGCGCAATGGAGAAAAAGGTATGTAAAATAACTTTTTTTTTTTATATTCTATTCTGAGGGGGCTGGACACCTAAATAGGTAGTCCAACACTATAGTGTCAGGTTTTGTATTACAGGTAGTCCTCATTTTACAACTTAGCTGTTTAACGATGACTCAGACTTAGGACCAGGCATTTAAGGAATTCCCCACGTTAGAGAGCTAGTCTATGTTCAAGGAAACTTCCCTGACAGACCTGCAGTGTAGCGCATCCTCCCTTACGACTAAGTCGTAAGAACGGAACCTGGTCAGTAAGTGAGGAGAACCTGTACTAACGCTATAGTGTTCCTTTAAATATTGGATTTGGAGATTATTTTTTTCTGGTTTAGCTGTTTTTGCTAAAACTGTTAGTGTGAATACTTTACAACTCACACTATATGAAATAACCTTAAAGGGGAAACTCCAGTGCCAGGAAAACAATCCGTTTTCCAGGCACTGCAGGTCCCCTCTCCATCCCACCCCCCAATCCCCGGTTGCTGAAGGGGTGAATATCCCTTCAGTAACTTACCAGAGGCAGCGACTATGTCCCACGTCGCTGCTTCTTCTCCCTGTGATTTCGTCGGCCGGTGGGCGAGACTGATCCTGCCCACCGGCCGGGGAGATCTAATGTGCATGCGCAGCCTGAGGACGTCCAGTGACTCTAGCACAGGTTTCCTGTGCTAGGGACACGGAAGTGCCCTCTAGTGGCTGTGGAGTTAACTCTGCAAGGTAATTATTGCAGTTTATAAAAAAAAAAAAAAAAAGTTAAGAGTAGTGGGAGTTGGCACCCAGACCACTCCAATGGGCAGAAGTGGTCTGGGTGCCTGTAGTCTCCCTTAAGTGCAGAGCCATGTTTTTAGTCCAGGCTGCCAAAGCATCATGAGAGATGTAGTTGCCACCTACCGGTACCTGGGAATCTTTTACTGCCCATGATCTAGGAAGGTATAGATTTCAGACTTTTTTTTTTTTTTTAATCGTTAAAGGATCACTATAGGGTTAGGAACACAAACATGTACTCCTGACCATATAGTGTTAAAACCACCAACTATTCCCCCTCCCACCGGCCCCATCTTACCTCCCTAAATATAGTGAAATCTTACTTGTATTAGTCTGCAGCTGCTGCCTTTGCCCCTGTCTGCCACAGACCTGCCTGTTGTCGGCTGACATCAGAAGTGGTGGTCTGAGCCATTCACAATGCTTCCCCGTAGGATTGGCTGAGACTGACAAAGGGGCAGAGCCAGCATGATTCAAACACAGCCCTGGCCAATCAGCATCTCCGCATAGAGATGAATTAAATCAATTAATCTCTATGAGGAAAGTTCAGTGTCTGCATGCAGAGGAAGGAGATACGGACTGTTTGTGACCCAGGAAGGATCTCTAACAGCCATCTAAGGAGTGGCCAGTGAAGTTATCACTAGGCTGTAATGTAAACACTGCATTTTCTCTGAATAGACAGTGTTTACAGCCAAAAGCCTGAAGGTAATGATTCTACTCACCAGAACAAATTCAATAAGCTGTAGTTGTTCTAGTGACTATAGTGTCCCTTTAAGGGTCATATTCAGGCTATTTAATAAAAGCAAAGAAAGCTTGATATAAAAATCATACCAAGAAAGTCTGGAGGCTGTGTTAATCAAAGAACTTGCATAAGTAATTTACTTATGCTGAAGTTTATTTTTTTTTTTTTGCTTTGCAAGATTGTTTTAAAGGGGAACTGTCCCTTGACTTATGAAGATTTATTTAAAAATAAATAATAAATAGGGGTTCTGACTATTTCCTGCTTATTAAACTTGTTTTTTGTGTAGCATTTGCAATAACGTTTCAATTCTTCACATTCATGTTTATGCAAATACATGTTTCAAAAGCTAAAGCCAGATCATAAACCTTCATTGTCACTTTATCTCTAAACTAAAATAATGATCTTTAATAAAACCACTTTCGGTAGTGGAGCTTCATTTCACAAGCTCCTGAAGAGCTATGGAAGACCATTGGTTCCCACTGGATCATCCTCAGCCTTCTATTCTATGTTCTGTATTCTCAGAGATGCACAAGATTATACCATGACGGGTAGGTGTCAAGTGTTTCACTAGTTCTGGAGAGGAAATGCAAATCGCAAAGTTGTCAGTTACTCTAGTCGGGTAAAGCACGGTATGGCTATCATGGTTTGGGGCGTAAACTATATATTAAAATGTAAGAAATCTATCCGCAAGATACTGCAATATTGAATAGAACTTTCTGTGTGACTGGTTTCAGAACTTGGGATCATCTACTTGAATAGTGTCCTAATTATCAAAACTGTCAGTCGCATTTAACAGCACCTTGTTAAAACCATGGCTTACATCCCTCCTGCAGTCTACCAAGCAGCGTTCTATGCCGGTTATCAGGTCAGAATAATTAACATCCAGGTGTCCCCATGCAAGTATGTATCATCCCAAGCCATCCTATCTCTACTGCAGTCTGGGCCTGCTCCCAACCTAGAGAAGAGGTCAAAGATAAAAACTGAACAGTTCTGGGAGAGTGGGAACAAGGACTTTTTTCATCTGACAATGTGACCAGCATGGAGGGCAGAGGGAACCAAGCCATATATACATAAGTATAATTAATACAAGTCTTAGTATTCTATTGTGTTCAAGGCTTAAATGTATTTATGTTTATACTTGTGACAAACTAACCGTAGCCTACTTTAACAACCAATATTTTCACATACTTGTCTGTGTGTTTTTGTCCACAATCCCTAAAGAATAACCTTGTAAAAGGGTCATAATTATTTAACAATAAGATACAACACATTATAGAAATATAAACAATGTATGAGGTATAAGTCTTGGTTTAATATATACTTGAGCCATAAATGAACATTTCAAGTTAAATACAGATAAGAAATGCATTTTAATCTAAGCTGAATTGAGTTTATTAATGGAACACAAACATGTATTCCTGACCATATAGTGTTAAGAACACCAACTAGTCACCGCTTAATATAGTAAAATCGTACCTTCATTCCAGTCAGCTAGCTCTGCCCCGATCTGCTTCCTTGGCTGACCTCATCAGCAGTTGTGACCAAAGCCAATCAAAATGCTTTCCGATAGGTAAGCATTGAATTGGTTGAGCTTGTCAAGGAGGCAGATCATGGGCAGAGCCAGCACAAGCCAAACACAGCCCTGGCCAATCAACATCGCAACATAGAGATGAATTGAAGTTCAGTGTCTGCATGCAAAGGTTGGAGACACTCAATGTAATTGATGCACACTGTGCAGCACTGCCCCAGGAAGCACCTCAAGTAGCCATATGAGGACTGGGCCGTGAAGGTATTCCTCAACTGTAATATAAACACTGCATTTTCTCTCAAAAGACAGTGTTTACTGCAAAAAGCCTGAAAAGAACGGACTATACACACCATAAAAAATACAATAAGCTGTCGAGTCCTTTAAGCATTTTAAAATGATCTTAAACAGCAGTCTAGTTATGAAGCAGCTGTCTACTTGTCTAAATGCGATTCCACCCCCCAAAACTTGGCCCATTAGTCCCTGAAGGATGTCTTGCCCAGTTAGGACTATCCCATAACATTCCTCTAGTACTTCTATACTTCTATACGAAGGACTATTTCCTACATCCCTGCCTTTCATCTAGAAAAACTAAAGAATCAAAGCCATGAGCTTAGACGATTATGTAGTTAGCACAGAATACACACGATGAATAAGTCCTTTCACCACAAAACTCATGGCAATCTTGGCACCTCATCTATCATAAACAAAGATAACAAGAAGAGTGAGAAAATGGTTATTACAGTAGTAGATACAAATGTCCAGGAACACAATAGTGTCTTCGAAAAAAACATGAAAGTGAAAATGTTTCTGCTTATTTGTTCCAACTAAAGACTGCCTTTTGGAAGAGACCATCTGGTGTGCCTGGACATTTGTATCTATTTCCATTGGACATTTTGAGGAACTTGGCCTCTCTGTCTGGAGTTCCTTGGTGGAAGTATTTACCCTTGCTTAGTTTGTGCATATTAGTCTCTTCTATTGCAAAATGGTATTATAGAATAATTTAATAAACAAATGATGAAAAGAAAAATCTGGGAAGTGGCCTGTTTTAAAAAAATATACACAAGACAAGGTCAGTGAAATCAAAACAATCTTCTGGTCTTAAAAATTAGACTCCTACAGCACTGACCAAACCCTAAATAGTCTCTGCTGCAAGCCCACAGGGGCCCTGGCACACTCACTACGGGTAAATATCTACTCACACGTGGCAAGTGGAAATTTTCAGCCCTGCTGTATTTGAAATGTGTTAACAGAGGCTTTACGAAACCCAAATTGACAATTGCCACATCTCTTTTCATGACAATAGAGTTTTGTTAACAAAAAGCATCTCCAGGGGTCCAGTTTGATACATTATTGAGCCCAGTGGACATGGATCTTGAATGGTCATTTCTTTTAAGGATTTAGTGTGAAAATAAAAATTCACTTTGAGGGTCTAATTGACCCCCAGAAGTGGTGGGAGGACTACATCTCCCATCATGCTCTGCTGAGACAATTTGTAGATGTAATTCACTGCATTTGGAATGCAAACAATTACATCTGCTTGATCGAATGGCCCTGAAGATTATATCTCTGAAGGAAACTGTTCACCAAAGCATCCCTTTTTACACATCCAATTATTCATCTCCACGGCCACTTTTGGTGCATAAGTGCCACATTCCAGGTAGAGCTGTCACCACTTGCAGCTTAAAGTCAGATGTTCATATCAGACCTGAATGCTCTCCAACCACATCTGCGCTAGGAATTCAAGTCCAGCACCATATCAGGATTGAGTGATGTCATGAAGAGCCAAATTCGGCGAGACAAATCAGGCCCTATGCGTCTTTCTTTTCCTGGGGCTTGGTCGACCCCAAAAGCAATCTCTGCACCCTCAACATCATCTGTGGCCACTGCGTTATGATCCTGAGGAACTCGGAGGTTGGAAAGCAGTGTTATTTTCTCACGCTCTGTGCCACATTTATCATAGGCCTGGAGGAGAGGAGACAGGAGAAAAAGCAGGTGGAGGAAAGAAAGAAAACTGGACAAACAAATGAAGTCGAAATGCACAAGGAGAAAATAAAATTGAGATTCTTCATTGGTTTTGGCAAATAGACAAAACTTTTATATCATTTCAAAATCTCTTTGATTGTAAGCTCTTGGACCATCTTGCCGAGTACTTTGTGTAAAAGTGCTATATATCCTATAAAGTCACATTATCTGTTCCTTTTCCACTGGTAGGTTGTCTTATTTTATAGGATCTGTAATCCCTTAGTTGTGCCTAATCACTGGGTTTCTTTTGGGGTCCTATAACAGAGCTGTTGTAAGGTACTTTCATTCCCCTTTTCTGGGGACAAAGTCATAAATCAAAAAACGCCATACTAGTTCAGGTTCTCTTCAATAATGTTGGGTTAACCCGCTTTACTCCTTTGCATATTACTTACGTCAGCAGAGACACTTCTCTTCCTCAATAATGGTTCCATAACTATACAGATTTCTGTAGGGACCCCTGTAATATTAAGTGATAGCGACATCCTACACTTGCATTGTTCTGCGTCATATCAATGTGCAGCCAGAGAGCATTTTATGGGCCTCACCTTCATAAGCAGCTGGGGAGAGGGATAGGCATCTGTCACAGCTGCGGCCATTGCAGGACTTACTCTATTGAGCTGTTGGATTTGTCTCTTCCAGGCGAGAGGCAATCCATTGAGGGCCCCTCGAGGGCCCCACCCTTTCCATGTGCCTGCCGAGGTGCAGAATGAGAAGCTCTGGGATTCCCAGTGCTTCCTGAGTAGAGACAGAGAGGAGTCTGAGTAATATGCTCCAACTGACTGAACCCCAGCTGTTACATGCATATAGGTTGTTACACTCACCGGGAAGGTCTTTGTGCCAAGCTTTTGGTCACAGCGCACACGTGCTGTCCTAAATCTCTCCACGTGTCCACGAACAGCACCTCTGTTTTTAAAGATAGCTGCAGAAAGACAAGGGCCTAGACCCCCCAAACAAGGACAATGGTAAGCAAAGGAGATTAATCAGATCTGCAGCCAACACAGAGTTCTAGGAAGAATGATCAGTGAGGATTGCACATTTAAAACCTGAAATGTAGACATAAATGCCATTGCACACCCATAATGCATTGCTTTAATACTACAAAGTATGGCGAACAGACCCGGTCAGTCACAGAGTCATATTCTTTAGAAAATGGATGGAAGTGGAACTGTGAGGAAGCGAAAGGTGCATTCTCAAAGTTTACCTCATTTATCTTATTTCTTGTCACAGAGCCCTCATCAATATCACAGTCCTTCTGCTGCAACGAGTGTCTTTCCATCTGACGAGAAAGTTTATGACACCTACAGACAGACATAGTGTCGCCTTTTATTACAATAAAATGTGTTTATTCAAAAAAACAGTGAATTGCAGAGAAATGTAGGTGGATATTTTATTCCAATATATATTTGGGCAAATGTTACAATTCAGCGGAGGAATCACTATCCACTGTTTAGTGTACAAACCTATCCTTCCTACATATACAATTACAAAAAAATAAATAAAAATAAACAGTTATCAAATTCCGTTAAACACAGTTAAAAATTGGACACGGTAGTTTTTGTTAAAAACCCACCATTGATATTCTTTAAATCCAATAACAATCAAGGTGATTTGCTTTTGATGGAGTTGTTTTGATATCCCAAAAAGAGATCCCAAGACTTCAAAACTCTGATCCCCAATGCTGGAGTACTTTGAGGACTAGAATTGATAAATAAATGGTTAAAGTATATTAGTATGAACAACCCAATATATACACACACACACAATACTTAAATCGGCAATAGTAAAGGGTTTTAAAGGGAATCCAGATGATTTGCAGATTAATTTATCTACTGTGTTAACCTAAGATCTTGAAATTCCAATGATTAACAAATATATTAAAATATAAAAATTATTCAATTATAGTAAAGAACACATTAATAGCCTATATCCAGTACTATTGTCTAGTAGCACAGAAGTTCTGCAAATGCTTCACCCGGTTTGCTATATCCGCTAACCTCTCCTGAAGAGCTTTGAAGATCTAGAACAGTAAATAAGTCTGTTCATGTTTTCCCAATAACAAGAAGAAAAAAAAACCACAAAAACCAAACACAATGCTACATGCACTTTAAACTTTACATCTAAATAGATAAAACCTAAATAAAGACACATACACCAAGTGTTTCTGGACTTAGTTCGCACTACCCTCAGTCAAAAACAAATTTCAAAATTCTCAGAATGTGCTTTTTTTTTTTACCTCTTATTAAAACTCACTGCAAAGCTCACTTTGGTGAATAATAAAATAAAAATAAATAAAAATCACATGATGAAATTTGAGTAAGCATCCCTGATTTAGTTAGTCACATCTCTGCTATTCAAGTTTTAAATGCTTCTATTCAGATTTTAATTCAGTGTTTAGTGAATGAAGTCAATATCCGAGATCTATAAAATCAGCCACCTACTAAATTCCCTCCTCATCCCACCTACTTGGGTACTACCTGAGCAAATACGGAGACACTCCTCAAAAAGTCACCTGGCTGCACCACAATCAAAATGCAGTCCTCTTCTCCCACACTCAACTCCAGGCCCTCCTGAAAGTGAAATGAAGAAAGACTTTGTATGTATCTCCCAAAATACCAAACTGAGAAAAGGACACTTTTTCTTCATGGTTTGTAGCAGTGGATATGGCCGGTGGATGGCACGGTTTCTGGATGTTTCAGAATTCTAGCACTATGTTTTAAAAAAGATATACATGGCTAATTTGGAGCAATGTCAAAGAATCTTTTACTTACGCAAACTAATTCTAAAAACACGTACTGTAATTTAGAAATCTTCTGAGATTTGTCAGATTGCTTTGGGGCTCTATGATCTAATCATACACAACAAACATTTGGAGCTCATAGAAAATGAGTGGTAACCCCGGTAGAAAAGAAGGATATTTGGGAGACATGTTTTTATATTGTTGGATTTTACTTGCAGATAGGGAAACACTTAAAACACATTACCCACTTACAACACATGTCCAGTCTGAAGGCATCTCTCTTCTCCATGTGAAACTCTGGGGTACAGAATGTGGTTCTATTGAGTATGCATACCCAGAGGATCTCAGGACTTCCAAAACATCCTCTGACCCGGTGTCTTCAAGAAGACCTGGAAAAAGAGTTCATTCTGTTTGAAAATGGCAAGGACTTTCAATAATGGTGCGTGTCTGTGTAAATAGATAGACAGTCAGAGTTAGGCTAAAGACAGCATTCCCTGGTTCTCAGACAATCCATGTTTTATCCAACACACTCATCCAATGAATGAGTTTGAAATGTGGATGAAATTTATATTAATGTGGAACTGGAAGTTGAGAAATAGAAGTGCAGGGTGTGTCAGCAGTGGGTGCCAATGGAAACGGATGGACCAAAAACTGTGGGTTTGCATCCTAATTGCACTGGTGGCAGGCAGCATTTACAAAGCTTAGGCTGCTCTTTTAATAAGGTTTTAATAGATAGGAAGTAAAAATGCGGTTTTGGCATGGATATTCCCCATTCCTTGACAATTCTTAATGTAGTGAAGACAAACGTGACTAAACGAAGGCTATGTACTGACCTGCATCCACCTGAACAATCATGTACTTCACACACTGATCTGGTCTCAGAAGCTTCAAAGCTGCAGCGGTATGTTTTCGCCTCTCCTTCTCCAACCTCTCAAGATCCTTTTTCCTTGCTTTCTCTTGCTTTTTTGCCTCTCTAGCCTTTTTCTTTTCCTCTGCTTCTACCTTTTCAGCTTCCAATTCTTCTGAAGTCTTCTTTTTTCTTGTCCTTTTGACTGGACTAGGTGTGGTACCACCTGGAAGGGGTAAAGCCAAGGCTGGACCACTAGACTCAACAAAAGACACTGGTTCCTGAGCTTCTTCTTCAACACCACTTAACATTACTTTTGGTACATTTGTGTCTATCTGAAGAACAGGGCACGCATGGTGCTCTCTTGGGTCTTCTCCGTGATCTTCCTCATTTTCGGATTCAGAGAGCTCCCAAGTGATGGGTCTTTTGACAAGTTTGCTGGGAGATGCAGCAGAACCAATGCTTGTGAGATTGTTCTGCCCCTCTTCCATACTTAACCCACTTTACACCAATATTCAAGAACAAAAACTCTCTCAGGCTATTCACCTTTTGTAAAATATAACATTCATAACCTTTATATAGGTCACAGAGGACTTTCGTGTTTTATTATTTCATCAATAGGATAAAAAAAAATAAAAAAAATTAAAGAATCTATCAAGCATGAAACCCCTAAATACCAAAAACAAAAATTAATTATTCTAAAGCATAATATTACAACAGCAACCAAAAGGTGACAACTTCCAACATATTTATGAAACGGAAGCAATACCAAACGTAACCTTTTACATGATTATAGTGAAACATAGATTCAATGATCACAATTCCATTGTTACAAATAAACGCTCTTGATACATCAGATCGCTAAATTTTTTTGTATTCATTCAAATTTCCACAATATAAACCTCCCTGGCCACCATTAAACAAAGAAAAAAAAATAGAGAACTAAAATAAATAATTACTACCATTTTTGGAATATCAGCTCCCCCCCTTTAAATGGAATGGACCCACTTTTAAATAATGAATCTCCATTTCCTGTGGGCAGGTGTGTAATTAATATCCCAAATTCTAGGAGCCCAAATAACAGCCAGGTCCCTCCAGGCTGCCCAGTCTGGGCACAGAATGCTCCTTCCTGCCATAGAAACCCATCTTTAAGGGACATTGAGTCCTGAAACCTCCTATCTCTATGAATTAGATGGAGCAGTAACCATTAACTTGCTCAGTTCTCTCCCCATGGTGTCTGCTTCCTGTAAGACCCTTTAAACCCAGCACAAACTTTAACACACAGAACCGGAAATGACGCGCTCTCCATCAAACTCCTGCCCGCGCAATGCCCGCGGCCGCCATCTTTGTTATGGGCAATATTATCACAGCTTGCACGATTGCTCTGATTGAGAGCACATGGACAAAAATGTTCAAATACATTCAACTGGTACGTTAATCCGACTCCTTTAGTATGATGTGTATCCTCAGGGCAAGCTGAGGGAGGAATGTAAATGGTTGTTAATAAAGTTTGTTTGAATAAAAAAAAAACGCGGATGCGTTCCTAGTTGCTAGGCACTGGGATCACGTGTGAGCTCGCTGACAGGACTCTGACGTCATCCGCGTGCGCCGTTGTGTGTCTGTAGCTAGGTGACCTCGCTAAGCTCGGGGACCATGGCCAGGAGAAAGAACCTGCGGCCCATCGCCGAGATGGCCAGGAAGATCCGGGCTTACCGGGAGCTGAAGGACCGGCCCCGGGACAGCCAGCGCTATGCCCTGGACTACCAGGTGTGTGTCCAGCCCAATGCCGCCATTAAAGGGGCCGGGCAACGTGTCCATCCGGCCTGGGCACACTGGGCTATGCACTAAAAGGAGAAATCACAGCGGATCCCAAGGATTAAAGGACCACTATAGGCACCCAGACACCTGCAGCTTAAAGGACCACTATAGGCCCCCAGACACCTGCAGCTTAAAGGACCACTATAGGCCCCCAGACACCTGCAGCTTAAAGGACCACTATAGGCCCCCAGACACCTGCAGCTTAAAGGACCACTATAGGCCCCCAGACACCTGCAGCTTAAAGGACCACTATAGGCACACAGACACCTGCAGCTTAAAGGACCACTATAGGCACCCAGACACGTTCAACTCAATGAAGTGGTCTGGGTGCCAGGTCCCTCTAGGATTAACCCTGCCTGCTGTAAACATAACAGTTTCAGAGAAACTGCTATGTTTATAAATAGGTTAATCCAGCCTCTAAAGCCTCTAGTGGCTGTCTCATTGACAGCCGCTAGAGGGCTTCCGCGCTTCTCACTGTGATTTTCACAGTGAGAAGACGCCAGCGTCCATAGGAAAGCATTGAGAATGCTTTCCTGTGGACTAGCTGAATGGGCGCGTGGCTCTTGCCTTGCATTCAGCCAGGGACGTCAGAAGAGGGAGGAGAGTCCCAAGCAAAAATGTAGGAATTTAACCCCTTCCTCCTCCTAGAGCCCGGCGGGAGGGGGACCCAAAGACCCTATAGAGCCAGGAAAACAAGTATGTTTTCATGGCACTATAGTGGTCCTTTAAGGTCAAAATAGCCAAACTGGAACAAAATGTGCGAGTCAGCTCTGCTCTCATTTCGATTACTCTGGCCTTACATAGGAAATTCACTTTGAATTCTCACTCTAATAAATAGCCCTCAAAGACCTGACTAAGGCCCTACACGGGTAGTTAAAAACATGGCCAGGTCCACTAAATGGTGGAGTAAATGTCTTGCTGGTGTTACAAGTTCATTTACTTTATGTCAGCATTCTGAGGATCACACCCCACACTCTGTAATAAAAACTCAGAGAAGGGGCAGCAGTCACAATCTAAGGATAAGAGCAAACAGAATGTACAGAAATGCCACAATCTAACTGACAGGTAGAATAGCAGATACAAGTAAACTATGAAAATGGGACATCAAAATGTTATGAAGACAGCTATATAACGTCCGAAACCAAATGTGACAGATGTATTAAAGAAAACAACAAGAAAAACACATCTAACATGAAATAAAAACATCTAGTGCACCAAGAATCCTAAAAAAATGTTCACAAAGTTTAGAAACTAACCGTTCTGTACAAAATTTGAATGGAAAAAAAATAAAAATAAGTTCAAGCAAACAGAGTACCTGACCTCGGGGGTCCACACCGCAAATGCAGACAGCCTCAACCTTTCATTGGCCACCAATTCAGAGAACTTTGGGATTAAACTGTTGGAAACTATTTTAACCCAACAAAGTAAAGCAGCGTTCAGGACCTCCAGACACGATAAAAACTTAATTGAGATTAAGTTCTTATGGTACCCGGAGCGGTCCTTTAATGTCAAGTTATCAATGTTTAGGTACACACAGACCAGAAATTATTAATGAAGTCTACGTATTAGTGAATATACCTAGTCTGTGTACCTAACTAGACAGTGATACCAGATCTGCGTGTAGCCAGACATTAATTCTGGGTTCTGTTGACCTCCTCGGTATAAACTGTGTAAAACTGTGGTGTCTGTGCACTTGGACTTAATTCCAGGTACGTGTATTCCACATAGACATTGATGGATCTAAGCACACACAGACAGCAGTTATGCACATAGATTTATACACATTCATTACAGGTTATTTACCTGATCAAAATCAAGCACACGTTCATGCTGATTTAGTTTCAGAAATAAGGAATGCTAAGCAAGTCAATCTAATAACTGTTCCTTACACACTAGACCATGACTCGGCCATTTACTGGTAAGCGCTTGCCAGTGCTGGCTTGGGAGGACGTGAAGAATGAAAACCGCCTTTTCACATTGCTTGCCGGTCACAGGATGTTTGGGGTGGGAAGAATGGTGACCAGAAAGTCCTGGCTTGAGACGTACGTAGAACCCTGTTACTGGACAATCACAAAGGTCAAAGTAGATTACACAGCTGAGGTAAGAGAAGTGTGTTTGAGAAGCTTGTAATTGAACTTGGATTTCAAGACAGTCACATATATTTCTTACCATACCACTTTCTGAAACATCTCAGACGGTGTTAAAGTGGCACTGCTACATAAAGATTTGTTTGTATTTTACTTTAAAACATCAGTCTATATAGCTTTTCATCTAACCAATCTATCGTACGTTTAGCTGGAATTACCTGTAAAAGATCTATCATTGTTGTATTCTTGGAATTGTATCCTGATTTTCAAATCTTCATTGACAATTACTGATGTAGAAATAAAACTAGAGAGCTCGTGTCATGTCAGCTAGCCAGTCAGAAACCATAATTTACAACTTGTCACTGTGCAGGAAGCAGGAAATGGTTGTTTGAGGATTGTGGCATTGCTGGAAACCCTTTGTGATTTTGACAGAGCACTTTCATTTTGATCTTTAAAGTATTAATTTTATTAAAAACACTGTCGTGATATTTTCTGGCTTAGCATCATGGAGTTCAGGCATCCACAGATGGCTTCTGTCTCTTTTGGTATTTCACTGCACAGCTTGATTTTCTTCTCCAGCAGGGTCACCAGCACAAACTTTTTAAAATAACCCTCATAATAGTACATATAGGACTTACAGAGGTAATGCACTAAAGTGGCTACAAGAGATGTGATCACCAGAGATAGTCACTTCCCAGCATTTTATGGCCACCCATATCTTGCAAGTCTGCAGTGTCTGGATTCTGCCTTTTCCTGTAGTTTGCAAACTGATATGTTGTTTTTTAATTGGCTTGGAAGACAACGAAGGTCATTCTCTAAACTGGGAATCATGGTGTATTAGAAATGTTGGCAAAAAAATAGCCAAGTTAGAGAAAAAAAACCCACTAAACTGAACTACATTTCCAGCACAAACATTTTACCTTGAACGTTGCATTTCATGTGCCATATTCCCAAAGACCTCTGTTAAGTGTGGAAACCAAACTGTGGTCTTGACTACATTTATATTAAAGGGACACTATAGTCACCCAGACCACTTCAGCTCAAGGTTTTAACCTTTCAGATGCAAACATAGCAGTTTCAGAGAAACTGCTATGTTTACATTTGGGGTTAATCCAGCCTCTAGTGGCTGTCTTCTGGACAGCCACTAGAGGCACATCTGCGACGCTGGATGCGAATTTCGCATCCATCGCGCAGAGCGTCCATAGGAAAGCAATGAGAAATGCTTTCCTATGGACATTTTGAATGTGTGCGCGGTACTTTCCGCGCATGCGCATTTGACTCCACTGACGTCGGATGGGGGAGCTGACGGCGGGGGAGGAGAGGTCACCAGTGCCGAGGGAGCCCGGCGCTGGAATAAGGTAAGCTGCTGAAGGGGTTTTAACCCCTTCAGCGCCACGGGAGGGGGACCCTAAGTGTGGGGGCACCTTCAGGGCACTATAATGTCAGGAAAACCGCTTTGTTTTCTTGACACTATAGTGATCCTTTAACACCATTATTCAAGCAGTAATTGCCATTCTATTTCTACAGTATTTGCTACTTTGATATTCTTGTTCACTAACTTAACATTAAAATGATATATTTTAATTTCTTTACAGAATATGGATCATGGAAAGGCATGGGGATTCTTAACATTTCGAGGTAGGAAACCTTTAAAAAAACACTAGCACTACCATAACCAGTACAGCCCGCTGTAGTGGTTATGGTGCCTAGTATGCCCTGATATCTTCCCAGGTTAAGTAATCATCAAATCATTTGAGAATGTATATTATTGCAGGACTAAGACTGCCTTTAGTGACTGTCAATCAGAAAACCACTAGAGGCACTTCCTGCTTGCTAGGCCACTTTTGGTCGTGTTACAGAGGGGATCGGGTGACGGGTGGGGTGTATTCCTTGCACTGTAGGATCCCTTTAACAGTTTGAATGCCAGCAGACTGTGTAAAGGCTGCCTTTAACTATTCTAATGACTGTAAATGACGCTTGCTAGGCACATCATTATTGTTTAAGCTTTATTAAAAGATGGACATACATTGTGGTGAAACTTTTCTGGTAACGGTGTACAGGGGAGGAAGGGAAACTGTTTCGAAAAATGTGATGCAGTTTAATAATCCTTGTGTGTCGGCACCCAGGCTGACGCAGCAATGGGAACAAACTACTGGAGCTGCAGAATTAGAAGATTATTTGAAATACAAAAAACACTATTTCGTTTAAATCTACTCTTATTTTCACACAGGCAAACCTGAGACTGAAGTAAAGGAAATACCCAAAGTCATGTATCATGACTGGCGTCTTGTGCCACGTCACGAAGAGAACAACTTCAAGATGTTCACCCCTGTGGCTGAGCCAGAACCTGTCCGCTATGTTCCATATCCTCCTCTCCTACGAGCCATGATTCTAGCCCAGTTGCAGAAAGCAGGGAAGCCTTTAACGGAACCCATGCTTGACCTCCAGCGAAATCGCTTCTTTGGCAAAGACTACTTTGAGAAAGAGAGACAAGCGAAGGAAGGAACTGCGGTCTAACGTGGTCGACTGGACTCATTTCAGCCATGGGATCCATGGCCAGGAGCAACATAAGAATTTAAACTGCCATATATTTCGGAACCTATGTATCAAACAAAAGACTATCTCAACTGTTTATTATCAGTATCTATCGTAAATCTGAATATAATGGATTTAAACCCCCTCATATCCAGCAAGATACATCATGTATTGTGAAACTTCAAATATAATTATTTTCATTATAAGGTTTTTTTCCTTTACTGACTTTGTGCCACATACAGGGCAAAATAACAGAATTGGTTAAATTAATTTCAGCTCATTCAATTTGGAAAGGTTTTCCCACTAGACTATTGCAAGTCATGTCCGGTCCCTCTTAGTGGATAAACCTATATAAATCTTCAGAGCAGTGATTCCTGACACAGTCCTCGACGCAGACTAGTGATCTAGGTTTTGGGAATACCCCTATAGGAAGAGAACATAATGTGTAAACTCAATACTGTTGTTTGTGGATAGATAGGGAACCACTGGCTTGGAGAAAGGCCAGGCAGCTGCGGCCTTTAGCTATTCTTAGCATCATGGTTTCTGGCTGAGGGTGATCGGAGATATAGATCTACAAGATAAACTATATACCTGATGTTTGGTTCCAGTACTGGAGAGCGGTTAGAAATGGGAACGTTTCTTGCTAATGATTGTCTTTCTTTTTTTTTTTTTTGGTTAATCAGTGGCTAATGATTGTCTTTCCAGTTAAGTTAATATTTTATACGTTGTACCTAAAGGACATCCATTTTGATAAAACACTTGGTGTCAGACTAAGAAACAAGTTTGCGTAAAATATTTTCTTTTGTTGCTTACATAACTATACTGAGGGCTGTCTTCAGCAACTCAGTTCTTTCAGAACTGCATAACCTGTTATCCTTAGCCAGCCTTCTACAAACATCTCCATTTACTGCTCCATCCTGAACATCATTTATTGCAAACCCAGTCTTCATATATAGAAACAATTCATGTTTTTAGGCTAGTTAGTATAAATTATCTTCAAATGTTGGTCATATGAAGCACATGCAATAAAACAAACAGTAAAGATAGTTTTATGGACAATCAGTCTTTTATCCAACCGAGTTCTAGCTGCAACCTTTCAATTTGGATTCCGTTTAAGTTGTTGTGTTTCATCTAACCTAAAACATGATCTTGGCAAGTTCCAGACTCGAGTATCGGGTATTTATGCTATGATCTTGGCAAGTTCCAGACTCGAGTATCGGGTATTTATGCTATGATCTTGGCAAGTTCCAGACTCGAGTATCGGGTATTTATACTATGATCTTGGCAAGTTCCAGACTCGAGTATCAGGTATTTATGCTATGATCTTGGCAAGTTCCAGACTCGAGTATCGGGTATTTATGCTATGATCTTGGCAAGTTCCAGACTCGAGTATCGGGTATTTATGCTATGATCTTGGCAAGTTCCAGACTCGAGTATCGGGTATTTATGCTATGATCTTGGCAAGTTCCAGACTCGAGTATCGGGTATTTATGCTATGATCTTGGCAAGTTCCAGACTCGAGTATCGGGTATTTATGCTATGATCTTGGCAAGTTCCAGACTCGAGTATCGGGTATTTATACTATGATCTTGGCAAGTTCCAGACTCGAGTATCGGGTATTTATACTATGATCTTGGCAAATTCCAGACTCGAGTATCGGGTATTTATACTATGATCGTGGCAAGTTCCAGACTCGAGTATCGGGTATTTATACTATGATCGTGGCAAGTTCCAGACTCGAGTATCGGGTATTTATACTATGATCGTGGCAAGTTCCAGACTCGAGTATCGGGTATTTATACTATGATCTTGGCAAGTTCCAGACTCGAGTATCGGGTATTTATACTATGATCTTGGCAGGTTCCAGACTCGAGTATCGGGTATTTATACTATAATCTTGGCAAGTTCCAGACTCGAGTATCGGGTATTTATACTATGATCATGGCAAGTTCCAGACTCGAGTATCAGGTATTTATACTATAATCTTGGCAAGTTCCAGACTCGAGTATCAGGTATTTATACTGTGATATTTTCTAAAGTTTACACAGCAGCTCATATACAGTAGATGGCAGTTCCATGATGTCATGGCTGCCCCCTTTGTGCAAAATGCCAAACACTATATAATTCATGATCAACAGTTGAAGTAAATAATTATTTGTTTGCTGGGCAAACTTACCAACGCAAACATGGAATTTGGATTAATTGGGTTTATTCACTGTAAATACCAAATTGTTCTATATTAACATTTGGGGAGAAACGGTAGGATTTGTAAAGGACAATGTGAAACAATGTTTTTACTGTAAAATAGCGGAGTTGCAGAATTTTTCATGCTCATCTATTTTGGGCTAAATTTCTGATTTATCCTGTGAATTCCCTTGTGGCATTCTTTGCAGTTCATGTGAATAAGCACTGCCTTTTTCAGTTGCATTAACACAATCCTAGAAGGCTTATAGTGTTAAATGTGTGTAATCCCCAGATCTCCTTTACTAGAACACTGGTATTATCCCAGCAGAGAGGCTGCCATAAGTGCTTTTCATTCATTACCACTTTTCATGTCAAAATGAAATCCTTTGACCTGTTTTAAATAGAAAATCACATTAAGTGGATACAAGCGTGTGCGACCCACACTGTACTTCTTAAGAAAAACTGCCTCTTGCTGTTTCAACAGACCAATGATTTTCCCGGACCTTCTGATCCCTGAGTATGTCTGCTCAGTCAGACAGTGTTGGGAGGAATTAGGGAAAGTGCAGAGTGTGAGCATGATTAAACACATTTACAATGCACTTTTGATGAGTTTCAGGGTATTTAAATAAGCACTCCCGGCACCATAATAATTTAATCAGAATGAAGTTGTTATGGTGCGAGGAGGTCCTCGGACATGGTTTTACATCAAGTGGTTAAACTGTTAATGAATGGTTTAATCCCAAAGTGTTGAATTTGAGGCATGATCACTCTGCCCATGACCATCTGCCGCAATCAGAGGCTTTAATCATTCGTCATAAATGTGTGTGAATGTATGTTTATGAATGTGTTTGTGTATATATCAGTGTATGTGTGTGTATATGAATGCAAGTATGAGATGCGTTGAGTGCACAGTGAGTCACAAAAATAATTCTACAGGGGTGTGAGTCAATGCATTTCTACGAGGAGTTGCTGATTGGCTTTTTCTATGGGAAAGCATTGGATTGTCTGAGATCATGAAGAACTGGCGTGGTAGCATAGAAAAGGTTCTTAAAATCACCTTTTAATTCCATAGAGAGGGGGGTCCGAGTCATAATCATGTATTCCAGCACTATAGTGTTCCTTTAAAGACACATTACTGGGAGTATTATCACTGTGGAGCTCTGTTATACACTCAGACACATTACTGGGAGTATTATTACTGTGGAGCTCTGTTATACACTCAGACACATTACTGGGAGTATTATTGCTTTGGAGCTCAGTTATACACTCAGACACATTACTGGGAGTATTATTGCTGTGGAGCTCTGTAATACACTCAGAACCCCCAACAATATGGAGCTCATAGAAAAGAGGGACATTAGGACAGAAAAGAAGGACAGGAATTTGGGCCCAAAATATGAACACTTTGGGGGGTATGCGTACCTAGATTGTAAGCTCTTTCAAGTAGGGTACTACTCATCAACCTATTGTTTCTGTAATGATTTGTAATTGTCTCATTTATCATTAACCCCCCCCCCCCTTTATAATCTTGTAAAGCAATGTGAAGTATATAAATGCCAATACAAATAATAACTGTACCCCTGAGCCTGCTTACAGGTCTGTATGTGGTTTCTGACTCACCCAACATATTTATAGACTGTCCATAGATCCCCCATTATTGCAGGGATACTCTTACTATTGCTTTTATATACATACTCTCTCTCTCTCTCCCTCATTCCTATTAGTCCTATTATACATCAAGAAGTCCTCCAAACATGAATGCAACTCCCATCACAGGCTGACGGCCATGAGACTTGTAGTGCCCATGTATGGCCCGGTTTTGGCACTCCTGGGACCCGCATCCCACGCCTGTCCTCCCAGTAATGCAGACTATGCGGCACTGCGCATGCGGTTCCTTTAAGAGGCGGCGTGCGCGCTCCCGCTCCTCCTCGTTGTTCTCGCCATGATCTGCCTGGTGCTCACCATCTTCGCTCACATCTTCCCGACAGGTGAGACCCCGCAGGGTACCATGGGAGCGGGCTCAGAGGGACCCCCGCAACAGGGAAACACGGGGTGCAACACTGAGGGGACCCCCACTCATACAGTGAGCATTTAAAGGGATACACACCCAGTCTCCGGGGCGGGGAGTGTCTGCCTCTCGGTATTCAGCCGGGGGGACTATGGAAATAGAGCAAATAACCTGCAGGATATTGGGGTACACGCTGGGGGGGATAGCACCTAAATGGCATTTACTCATACTCCGCCTGGTCGATATGCTGGAGCCCCTCACTCATTCTCAGTATTTCTATATAGTGGGACCCTCACTCATTCTCAGTATTTCTATATAGTGGGACCCTCACTCATTCTCAGTATTTCTATATAGTGGGACCCTCACTCATTCTCAGTATTTCTATATAGTGGGACCCTCACTCATTCTCAGTATTTCTATATAGTGGGACCCTCACTCATTCTCAGTATTTCTATATAGTGGGACCCTCACTCGTTCTCAGTATTTCTATATAGTGGGACCCTCACTCGTTCTCAGTATTTCTATATAGTGGGACCCTCACTCATTCTCAGTATTTCTATATAGTGGGACCCTCACTCATTCTCAGTATTTCTATATAGTGGGACTCTCACTCATTCTCAGTATTTGTTTATAGTGGGACCCTCACTCATTCTCAGTATCTATTTATAGTGGGACCCTCACTCATTCTCAGTTTTAATTTATAGTGGGTCCCTCACTCATTCTCAGTATCAATTTATAGTGGGACCCTCACTCATTCTCAGTATCAATTTATAGTGGGTCCCACACTCATTCTCAGTATCAATTTATAGTGGGACCCTCACTCATTCTCAGTATTTCTATATAGTGGGACCCTCACTCATTCTCAGTATTTCTATATAGTGGGACCCTCACTCATTCTCAGTATTTCTATATAGTGGGACCCTCACTCATTCTCAGTATTTCTATATAGTGGGACCCTCACTCATTCTCAGTATTTCTATATAGTGGGACCCTCACTCATTCTCAGTATTTCTATATAGTGGGACTCTCACTCATTCTCAGTATCTATTTATAGTGGGACCCTCACTCATTCTCAGTATCTATAGTGGGTCCCTCACTCATTCTCAGTATCTATTTATAGTGGGACCCTCACTCATTCTCAGTATCTATTTATAGTGGGACCCTCACTCATTCTCAGTATTTATTTGTAGTGAGACCCCTCACTCATGCTCACCTTGTTTAGCTTTCCTGGAGTCCCTCACAGATATTTTACATTCCCCCTAACTCATTCTCTGCTTCTGTGAGGTATCCAGGTCCCCTAACTCATTCCCATCTTGGTATCATTGTATCCAATACATTTTCCCAGCTTGGTCAGTCAGCCAGAGATAAGGGGCCCACAGGCAACCCTGACCTTCGCTACTTCCAATCCATCTGAAATGAACCAGATGGCATAGGATGACCGAGGCCTAGTCAGTCAGTCTTGCTGCTTGGCCTGAAATCCAATTCTGATATGTTCCTACATCGGCTGCAATATCTTCCCAGAATATTGGTCACTATTCGGAGATAGATAGCCCAGCTCCATATTAACGGCCATACATTGTCACTGTCCATATCTGTGACAGTGTCGTGTATTTGTAAAGTGTGCATTATGTTACAATGCTTTTTCAAAATCTACTTACACACCCTGCATCTACTGTCACCCTCTCTTTCCAGCATGGACCGGGATAAATGAGCGCACTTTCCTGGCCATAAAGCCTGATGGGTGCCAGCGGCGCCTCGTTGGCGAGATCATCCGACGCTTTGAGCGGAAGGGGTTCCACTTGGTTGCGATGAAGATGATGCAGGTTGGTGTACATGTAACAGATCACAAACACTGACCCTTAATTCACTAATGTCATGTTTACTAATAACAGGTGGTTTTATGATGCTATAACTTGACGGGGAACTGTCACTTGTGTGCTAGTTACGCCAATAAAACATTAAAAATAACAAGTGACTGTCCCCACTTAAGGAGGACCCCCTTGGTATCAGAACTGCAACCCTGAATCTTCTAACATGCTTCCCCAAACTCCGGCCCTCCAGATGTTGCAGAACTTCAACTCCCATGATTCTATGAATGAAATAGGCTGAGAATCATGGGAGTTGTAGTTCAGCAACATCTGGAGGGCCCGAGTTTGGGGAAGCCTGTTCTAGAACCTCATGCAAGAAATCCTCAAAAACAATGTTACGATAAATGTTTTCTGGAAAAAATGTAAATATCTCTGGCACCGTATCATCACTCCCTTGTCATATTTCCAAAGACAACTCTCCTGAGTGGTTTGTCCTTCACGTGCATGGGATGCAAAGTAAGACAATTTTCAGGAGTTTCGAACTTACTTGGAATAAAATGTCGAAACCCTTGTGTAAGTAAATGGAAGTTTTAATCACACGGTCAGAGTCTAGGACTGTGATGGCTGCCATTGGTTTCCATGACGATCTGCAGCAGAATCATTATGGTATAATATCAGGTTTATCGACTGAAGTGTGAATTCACATTCAATTTCCAACAGTGTTTTTGATTAACCCTGATATACACATTTGCTCGAGGTCTGTTTGGCTGACTGTATGAATGGGACAAAAATAGATGGTGTCATGTAATGCATTGCTGGGCCCCTTAAATACTAATTCTGACACTGCGGATGCCATGCAGTGTAAGAGAATAGCTTAAAATGCAGATTATATAGCATTGCAACTAAAACCGAAACATCTGCCTGCTCAATTAGCCTATCTGGTCATTTATATCTAAACTCTTCTTTTTTTGCAATCAAGTGAACAGGGCAGACCTACAAGAAGCATTGAGTAAATACACCATTTGCAACTTCCCTGAATTTGTAGCAGAAAAATAACTTGTTTATACAAGGAAAGCAAAACTATATTTGTAATGCTTCAACCTATACCACAGCGCAGTACAACATCAAATAACTTTCTTACAAGTTTATATTGATATGCTGTTCGTCCTCCAACTTAAATCGTACCAGTGTAGCTGCATATTTCTACTGCATTGTGTAAAATAATGTGGTTGTTTTTTTGTTAATTTTTTTAAATCTTTTTTTTTGGGGGGGAGGGTGGGATAAATTTCTTAAAGGAACACTATAGGGTCAGGAAACACAAACATGTATTCCTGACCGTATAGTGTTAAAACCACCATCTGGCCCTGTCTTGCCTCCCTAAATATAGTGAAATCTTACTTGTATTAAAGTCTGCAGCTGCTGCCTTTGCCCCTGTCTGCCACAGACCTGCCTGTTGTCTGCTGACATCGTCAGAAGTGGTGGTCTGAGCCAATCACAATGTTTCCCCATAGGATTGGCTGAGACTGTCAAAGAGGCAGATCAGGGGCAGAGCCAGCATGATTCAATCAACATCTCCTCATAGAGATGAATTGAATCAATGCATCTCAATTTGGAAAGTTCAGTGTATGCAGAGAGAGGGTGGAGACACTGAATGGCAGTGCTTCTTACTTTGCAGCACTGCCCAAAGAAGCAACTTTAGCAGCCATCTCAGGAGTGGCAGGTGGAGTTATCCCTAGGTTGTAATGTAAACACTGCAGTTTCTCTGGAAAGACAGTGTTTACAGCAAAAAGCCTGAAGGTAATGATTCTACTCACCAGAACAAATGCAATAAGCTGTAGTTGTTCTGGTGACTGTAGTGTCCCTTTAAATTGGAAGAAATTCATGGGTACTTCACTTTAAATTTCCAAGTGTTTTTAACCAGATTGTTAATCACCTGGATGTACAGTAGGGACATTTTTAAACACCCATAAGGCATGAGAAATTTAGATTAATCTGCGGTTGAGTGTTCCTGGACAAGCTGTTGCTTTGTCCCTTTAGCTGAAGTAGAAATCTCTTTTAAGTTTTATTTTATTTATTTATTACTGCTTTTTATAAAGCGCCAACAGATTCCGCAGCGCTGTACAATTAGTGGAGAACGTACAATATACAGATTGTGTTCCATTTGTTGTTGTGTCTGTGCAGGCCACCTGACTGTTTTAGTGGCGGCTATCTACACAATATTTTTGGCTTTGTGTACTGATATAGCTGTCTGTTTACAGGCTTCCGAGACACTGTTGAAGGAACATTATTTAGCTCTGCGGGACAAACCGTTCTATGGCCGCCTGGTGAAGTATATGAGTTCTGGACCGGTTGTTGCTATGGTAAGTAACTGCAGCATTTACTATGACAGTCATCCATAGGGACACAATAATAATAATAATAAGCGGTACAGGATGTTATTATTATTATTTATTATTATTATTATTAGAATTTTATACATGTGGTTTTATTATTATATAGCACTCACATATTCCGCAGCGCTTTTCAATTCTTGAATGGAAATTATTGATTATAGCAAATATTAACTGAGACAAAAGCTGAAGACGACGCAGCTCAAACATGCTTACAATGTATAAGGAAGGAGTAAAGATGACGAGAGAAATAACAGCGTGTCAGAGGGGAGGCGTGTCAGAGGGACTGATAGATAAGACGCCTGTGTCGAAATATCCTAGTAACAGGGATGATTGGAATGAGGAAGAGTGAGCTGGGTAATTTTAATAAGAGGAGTGTCACTCAGGTAAATGGTATTATTTCCTAAAGAGGTTTGTGTTTTTAGTGATCTGTTAACGGGCTGGAGGCTGGGGGATAGTCTGATGGCATGTTGTAAGGAGTTCCATTACAACAGGCCAACCTTGACAAATACTGCACATGAGAGTTGGCAGGTCGGGAACAAGCAGATGTGATTGTGTTTAAAGTTAGGCCCTCCAGGATAAGATGCATGCCGAAATAAAAAAATAAAGTTTACTCCTGCCTATAAAAGTCCACTAGATGGTGCTACTGCAGGTCAGAATGGTCAGTAACTTCTCTACCCAAGTATTGCATCATACAAAACACATGATTGCTAAACCGGCTGTATTAAAGGGATTCTATAGTGTTAGGAATACAAACACTATAGTGCCCTCTGGTGCCCCCTCCCTGGTAAGGCAGAGCATTTTAAAAATGTATTTAATTTTAGTCTATGCTACATTTTAAGAATAGAACGGTTTTACAAATGTTGCTATTTATGCAGCACATTACATGGTTTGTTACAATTTTTGTGATAATTTATTCCACAGGTTTGGCAGGGTTTGAATGTGGTGAAGACTGCCCGTGTTATGTTAGGGGAGACTAATCCTGCAGATTCCTTACCAGGAACTATCAGAGGGGATTTCTGTGTGGACATCAGCAGGTAAGAAACACATTTTATTATTATTATTATTATTATTATTATGTTATTTTTATAGCGCCAACAAATTCCGCAGCGCTTTACAGTGGGTGAACGAACAAACATGTAGTTAAAGGGAAACTCTGTTAAATCCCAAAATGCGTTGTGGTTTTGTTTTTGCGATTTAGGTAAATGTATAGAACTCGAGCTAAATATACGCATTTACTAAAATTTGCTTTAACAGGTTCTGGTGCTTATGAAAATCCACCACTTCGGCAATAACTTAATTTTTATAGTTGATCAATCAATGAGGAAAAAAATATAGAATAATAAAAAATGTAAAAATTTTTTATATATATAAAAAAAAAAAATTACAAATCATATATTATTAGGGCTCTATTAGATCAAGTGCTGTGGAGCCGTTTTAACTCCCTCAGCCATGATCAGAGAGGGTTTTCCTATGTCTGCATGTCCCAAACCCTCCCCTTTAATTGCAAGATTTAAACTAAAAGCTGTGATTATAGCTGTTGCAAAAAAAAAAAAAATTCCAGATCTTTAATTCTGGTTTCAGTTCACTATAATTTGTACAATTTAATATTTAAGCAATTTCATGAATACAGAGTCCCTAAAATTGTTAGGAATAATTTTGTCTGAGTTTTCAATATTGGCAGCCTCTAATAAAAAACCCTCTTGGTGAGTTAAAGGAACGCTCCGACAACCATAACCACTACAGCGTGCTGTTTTAGAGCAGTTTGACTTTTTCTTTGGGGTCTGCCAGGTGCCACTCCTTGCATCCACTACCATCGGCCCGGCCGTGTTGTCTCTCCTGAGCTGGGCCCTGGAAAGCAGAGCTTAACTCATTGGCTGAGCGTGTCTAATGATCAGTCAGTTAGTTAAGCCTTGTACTGTAGGAAGTTTCTACCTATAAACTTTCAGCAGAGAGTGGTGCTCTGAAACTATTTTCAGATCTGTATTTCACCTTTTCTTAATTTGATACGAATAGGACAGACGATGGAGTGCTTTACACACGACACACTTTACAGCATTATTTCCTCTGTCTTCATGTCCAGGAAAGCCTTGTGAAAAATACTCTTAGCATTAATGTTACTTCTTAAATATTTCATGTTTATTTCTTATTATAAAGATGGTACATTTTCCTGTAAAAATAAATAAATAATGACTTTGTTACGTGTCTAGCTTACAGGTATAAAGAAATCTAACTATATTCAGGTTCACGTTCCCCTTATACCTTATCACCTGATTTATAACTGATCCCTGTTTCTCTTTCCTCCAGAAACGTGATCCACGGCAGCGACTCGTTTGAGAGTGCCCAGCGTGAAATCTCTCTGTGGTTCCAGCCGGAGGAGTTAGTCTGCTGGCAAGGCGCCTCTGAAAGCTGGATCTACGAGTAAATGAAGCACTCTTGGGAACATTTTAAGGAAGGGGTTGGGGGTAGGGCTTTCTAGAAAAGGGCATCATTATGGTAGAGCTGTTTGTTTAAACTGCAGCAAATTTTGAGGCTATTAGTTGTGGGCTTGAGAAGGCAGTCTTTGGCTGTAAATTATGTGGGGGTTCAAAAAAAATAAATTATTCCGTCCTACAAAAGCATTAATTTACTGTATCCAAAGCCAGACCTCCTGTGGCAGTGATGGACATCCATGACACTAAATTCTGGCTAAGCATTATGGGAAGTGTAGTTCAGACATATTTGCAAGGTTAACCGTCATAGGTTTGTGCTAATTAGCATCACTGTACCTCTGTTTACCAATTAGCACTTTTTTAATTCAAATACAGGGGGCAGTGGTACCTGTTCTAGATCACATGAATGATTTATGTAATTTGCAGATTGGAATGTTCTCACTCTAAAGATGTAAGTATAGTGATGTATTTATGGCAATATTGTTTCTCAGGCAGCGAGCGCTTTATTCCCTCCTCATAAGAAAGCATTGACTCAATGCATTAATGCTTTCCTATGGGGATTCCACTGCCGCTGGATGTTCGCATGCAGAGCGTGAGGACGTCCAGCATCATTTAGGCAACATATAGTTCGGTAAAATCCACGAGAGGCTGTCTTAGTGCTGCAATGTAAATGTAGTTTCTCTAACACCGCAATGATTTACATTGCAGGACTAAGTGTGACAGGGACACTGCTCCCGGACCACATCAATGAGCTGCAGTGCCTGTAGTGTCCCTTTAACCCGTTCTGTCAAGGGGGATTTCATGCGCGCCATCTTTAAATGCTGAGTTATATACATGAATGGCAAAACATTTGCATCAGGGTTTCATGTAAGTCTTACGAGAAAATGGAGAGAGAGCTTGAAAGAGTTAATAATTTAGTGCACTAACTTAACCAGAAAAAAATGGAAGAACCACTAATTTTATTTTATATATTTTTTTTTTTTTTCTAAGCCTCAGGGTTAGATGGATCTAGTTACAGTTCAATAAATCATGAGATCCGTGATTGTATACGCTCCTCTGTATCTAACGAGGCATCAAACATCTTGGAAGTGAAGAGAACTGCAAGTTAAAGACCAAGGTAGCCAAACTGGAAGAAATTCTCCCAATTTTACAGTTTCCTTGTCAGTTCTCTTCCTGGTTTACGATAAAGCTGGAATATTGCAAGTTGTAGGGAAACATTCTCCAACTAGCTCGGCTAGTATGGCCTTAATATAAGTTGTCTAATGCAGTATTATCTATATACATTTATAGTATGTGTCTGTGCAAAGCTGGAAAGGTATTGAGATTTGCCAACTGAGGTCAGGAGAACAGAGTTACTGACAGACTGAGGAGTTTATCTAGTAAACAGCGAGTTTTACTTTTAAGAATTTCTTCTAAAAACATTGGATGACATGTTAACGCAAACACCCACAGAGAATATGAATGTAACACCCAGCTTTGCACGTTCTAGCTTCAGATCTGACATGCATTTAGTAGTTAATGGGATAAAAAACAGGAATTTGTTACCTGGGCAGCGAAGAAAATAACTTTTGTATTTTTTATTTTTCTTTTGTAATAAAAATAATTGCGGAGTAACTCTTTCCATGCTTGATTTTTCTGTCGGTGACTGTATGGATCTGTGTAAATGGCTTATGAATGCGTATGTGTGCCTTTTTATTTTCACAGGCACATCTTGGATTTCAGATCTTGTAGCTTCATTGCACTATAAATATATATAGATCTTTGTATTTATGAAGATGGAGATTTGTGACACAGTGTATGTGGGGCTCCTAATATCAAGGCAATACTCAGACATGTCCTGACTTTCCAAGGTTAGAAGTTACACTATTCTCTTTATGATGTGCAGGTACGGGCTGGGGAGATTTTCTCTGCATATCCCTAAAGGGAGAGGGGCTGAATTAAGGACATGATTGTAACTCCTGCCAATCTTGGGCAGTCTGGGGTATATATCTGGTGCTGCCCTAAGTTTATAAAATCATAGTATTGATGGCACCTCCTGATTGTAGCATTTAATCCATTTTACAACTGTTTGACTTCTTACATGGGGTCTGCTGGACAGAGCTCCCAACCTCCACTGCAGCCTATGTGAGAGACAGAAGCTGTCTCTGAGCTAAGCCCGACAGCGAATGATTCAGCTAATCTTCACAGAACGATCCGCTAATGCTGTCAGTGAATGATATGGCCCCTCACTTCAGGGTCCTTAGCTCAAGAGAGGTAACGCTAGCTCCTTCACAGGAGCTTCCAGTTCTCTTTGCTACTGAGAGAAGGTGGGGAGTGGTGCCTGTCATACCCTAGGTAAGATGGGAAACCATTCTAAAACTGTTCACAACGTGGGGTGTGACAGAGCATGCCTGGCACCATAACCACTGTAAAAGCACTCCAAAAACCTTAAGCACTTTAGCTTGCTGAAGTGTTTTATGTATAAAGAATGTGTGTGCTCTTTTTGTTTTTGTAGATTTCAAAATAAATTGGCACTTTTCCTAACCTTGTTACACCCTCTGGCTGTCAATTAGATAACTGGTCATGTTATTTCCTGGTTTGGTTCGCTCAGTGGATCAAAACTCAAGAGGCAGCAATTGCCTAGAGCACCAGTCTTGCAAAGACTTCATTGAGCTGCCTTGGGAAGTCTGTGATTGGACAGCTGGGGTTTGAAGGGAAGAGATTGTGAAGGCTTCAGACAAGAGATCTAGAGCTTTTGCAAGCCTTTTTTTTTTTAAATGTATTTTTGTTAGTGCAAATGAGTACAAACGTGCTTGCAGCGCCACAATAGTGAGTGCGAGCAATTCAGAAGCAATCTTTGGCATAGCTAAGACTTTGTACATTTTTAGTTAAAATAGATAAACTTTGTCTTGAGTGTGTTTGTGGTATTGAGTTGTGTGATTGTTAATCTGGAGAGGCGTTAACTATGGGTCAGGCAGTTCTTTGCGGAGCCATTGTATTACTATGTGAGTTATGGTTGTTGAGTGTGAGTGAGCTTGCCCTCCTTAGGTGTTGACGGGGGGGGGAGGGAGGGGAGAGCTGGCCGGTGTGGGGCCGGACACCTGCCTTGTAGCGCCCTATCTCTAGGCTTTAGAGGTCTAGGGGTGTTTAAGAGGCCTCTCGTATGTGTGGTGTGTTTGTTCATATGGAAAGTAACTGTGAGTAACCTAAAACAAGTTCTGGTTTAACTTTTTGGCAAACAGATTTACACTCTCCTGGGACTTCAGGTCCCTGTCTGTACGGCTGGGTTGGCAGTGGGTTCGAACGGGTCCACTCGGGATGGGTTCCAGCTGCGGGCATTTGTCTGTCCGCCATCTGTCGGTGCCTGCATTGTCAAGCCTAGTGCCGTGAGGAGGGTCGGGGCGTCTATCGACGAGTCTATGTACTGTCCCTTCATGGTTCACTACCAGTGTCCTGGGGGACATTCAGCAGTATTTGATGCCAGCAGTTCTCAACTGGCTTGTGAGAGGTTGGAGGGAGCTCCGCCACTGCAGGGTGGATCTCGTGAGGTCCTGATAGGTGAGGCTAGCGCCTTCAAAGATGAGTGACGTCTTGCCCCGCAGTGCCGACCAGACGGCTATTTTGTCATAGGAGTGAGAGAATCGCACTATGGTGTCTTGTTTAGCCGTTGCTGGAGCTCTGCTGGATTTAGGTAGGCAATATGTCCCGTCTAGAGTGACTTTTTTTTTTTTGGCTTGTGCAGCCGGTAGGATGGTGGCGACCAGTCGTCTCACATAATGGGGGAGTTCGTCTGGAGTTACCAAGTCTGGAATGCCCCTTATCGTAAGGTGGTTTCTTCTGGACCTATCATCCAGTGCGGCTTGGTGCAGGGAAAGGGCTTGTTGCATGATTTTTATGTGTTGGATGGTTTCTTGTACTGTGTTCATACCTTGTTTCAGGTCGGCAATATCCCCTTCTGCTGTTTGCACTTTGTCACTGACTTTCTGCATATCTGCCTGTATGGCTGCTACGTTTGCTGCTAGGAGGCGTTTGATTTCTTCCACCAGGTTGTGGAAGTCCCTTTGAGTGACCGTAGCTGAGCCATCCCCTGCAGACATTGTGGTAAGTCTGTTTTGTGGCAGGACATGCTGTGAGTGTGGTGGTGTTGGTGGAGTGCCCTCCGGCGTTTCCTCAGCTTTGCTTGTCCTGGCCGGGCGCCATTTTAGATGGTGGCTGCTGTTGAAGCATTGTCTCTATGTTCCTTGCCCCGGCGGGTGCTGTATCTTGTTGTGCCGGCTTCCCTACGGTTATGCCCGGCGGGGTGTAGGCGCCAAACAGAGCCTTCAGGTCCAGGCTTTGAGCGGTACAGTAGGCCCCGGTTTTTCTTTTTTTCCTGGGCGTTTTGGCCGCTTGAAAGAACGGCATATGGCATGTTGGGGTTGCGGTCTCGGTGTATTCGGGTGAGTTGCCCGTGTGTGAGGCTGGCTCAGCTTGTTTTAGGTGGTTTTTCTGAGGAAAAGTTGCGGAGCTAGTGCAGATGGCAACCGCTCCGGTCCGAGCTCAGGCTACGTCCCCCTTGCAAGCTGGTTTTATACATACCTTCAACGCAAAAAATGCAAGTGTGTTTTGTTGGGGGTGTATCTACTAAATAGCGATTTATATTTGGCTAATGGTGTGTTCAGACAGAGATCAGGAAGTTAAAGAGTTGCATTAATTTGCACTTACTCCCTCCCCCCCCTTTTTTTTTTTCTTTTTTTTTTTTCCTTTCACAAAAGCAGAAGCTCAGAAGTGCATTTGCCTCTCTATGTACACCAGCTCGTCAAACCGCTTTCATACAATAGATCACGCCCTGCTACTGTAGTGAGTTAAACAGACCTTTCACTTTCTTTTTGTTCTGCTGATTTTAATCATGGCTTCGGTTGACTCACTAGGAGAGTTGGATTGTTCCATCTGTCTGACCACCTACACCGATCCAGTAATGCTAAGCTGTGGTCATAACTTCTGCAGTGCCTGTATAATATTATTATTATGATATTTATAGAGCGCCGTCAAATTCCGCAGCGCTTTACAATGGGTGGACGAACAGACATGTAGTTGTAACCAGACAGGTTGGACACACAGGAACAGAGGGGTTGAGGGCCCTGCTCAATGAGCTTACATGCTAGGAGTGGGGTAAAATGACACAAAAAGGTAAGGATAGTATTAGACTATTAGTATATTACGTGTACTGGATAACAATGAGAGTTCTGAGGTTTATACCTGCTCTGAATGCAGACAGACACACCAGGAGCGTCCTCCGCTAATGAGAAACTGGAAGTTGTGCAGCATAGTGCAACGCTTTATAATGCATGGGTAAGAATAGTAAGTTGCACCGACCAGTGTCAAGCAAGTGTCGCATTCACAAATGCAAAATCCGTTGTGGATTCTTTAATAGTCTATGATGTCTTAAAAACTCTACGTGGAGAATTGCCTCACAGTTCCAAGCAGGTCCCAGAATCTGTACTGTTTGAAGGCTGTTTGCTGTCATACCAGGGGTGCACTGGCCATTTGCTCTGTTTGTACATTGACCTGTCCAGAGCTGAACTGATGTGAGTCATGGATAGAAAGCACAGTATTTTGTTAGAGGTCCGTTGCATCCCTTTTCTGTTTCAACTTCTGCATTTAGAACACCAAGCAAGAGATAAAGGTGACATGGTTTTAGCCATAAAGAGCGGAGCATGAGCCTAGATGAATTAAAGCAGCACTGACTCTAAGAAATTCAAATTTATACAAAAATCTCATATTACATAGTTCTGACTGTGTTGGGATTTTATTCAAATGATCAGTGATCGGATAAAAGACAAAGTAAGGACTGACAAAGCGTGTCAAGTTTTGTCAGTTTTTACAGCGTCGCTAGCAAGAGCGATGGAAATTGGGCTTTGCTCGCCCGAAAGTGACAGAGCCACTTTCTGTTTAATTTGCCACATCAAGGCAAAACTCTCAGGTGGGTCCTACACTAACCTTTCACATTGCTTTCTTGAGCTTCTGGCAAAGATATCTCTGAGACAGAATGGGGTATTTTTTTTTATATATATACCCCACCATCATGCTTATTTTACCCACCTGAGAGGGTGGCAGGTGGGCCAAAGTCTCTCATGGCCATTGGAGAAACTAAATTACCTCAATTTGTTTAAATATACATGGGGATTTGAGAAGAGCGCAGGTACGTTTTTCTTTGGTTTTTACTGTATGTATTGGGGCTGATGTGTACTATGGTCGTTGCTACCACCCAGGAGTGATAGGAGTTTGAGCGCAGGACTTGTTTTTTTTTTTTTGTATTTATATTCACTTTTGTATCACAGTTATGTTACAATGCTGCCGCCCATCCCATGTGTCCCTAGTAGGGGTTAATAAGCATGTAGGGGTGTATATAAAAAAAAAATAATAATACCCCTCTCTGTCTCTTTAGAGATGTCTTTGCCAGAAGCTCAAGGAAGCAAGGTGAAAGGTTAGTGTAGGACCCACCTCAGAGCTATGCCTTGACATAGCAGGTGGGCTAAAGTCTCTCATGGCCATTGTAGAAACTACATAACCTCCATTTGTTTAAATAAGCATAGGGGGTTGGGAAGAGCGCAGGTAACACTTTTTTTTTTTCCTTTGGTTTTTACAGACTGAATTTTTGTCTGTCTATACACATGATGAATATTGTCATGATGTTGTATTGGATGCATTTTCCAATTTCTATATCACTGTATGATGCTGTGAAAATTACTGAACTAAAATTCACATTAACAAAATCCTATAGTTTTCACTTTTTATTTTAAAATGCAAAGGGTCTATCACACACAAAACATGTACAACATGGTCAGTCATATGAGTCAGACATATATATATACAACATTTAATAGTCAAGCTGATTTATAGCGGAGTTGAAGAGTTTATTTTTTAAATCAGAACTTTTTTTTTTTAACTGTATTTCACAATTCTGTGTTTAGTGTATTGTCATGCATGTGTGGAAATACAATACATAATGGTGGTCTTTGGACGATGCAAGGAGAACTCTTATAACTAGATTTTATCACATGCGGGCAATAAAGGCAGCTAATTCCAATCACACGGAAGGGTGGGCTGTTATTTACCATTCTTTGATTTGTTGTGTGTTGTTCTTAAATCATGACAGGGCTGGCCCACAAAATATCAATGGCCCCCTAACTCTTCAAAACCCAATCTAGCCTCCCCACTTTGGGACAAACCCAGTCTCTCTCTCCTTTATTCCCATACCCTCCTAATAATTCTTTATCCCCATCTCCAAATCTAAACACCCCTGCTCTTAAATCTGACACAAACTGTGTTTCCACATACCCTGGTGGTCCAGTGCACCCTCTGCTGGCTGGGCTCTACATGAACCCTAGCCAGCACATCAGGCTCAAAACCTAGTGAGGAAATAAAATGTCTTATCCCCTCTTGCTTCTCAATAAGCCACCTCACACACAAAGTTTGCAGATAAATGCTGCTGACACGTTTCACATATTGACGCTCTTTTGGACATCTAAACGCAATATCCAATGCCGTCTCTGTGTAGTTCATTCTTTCTTAATGTCTTTCAAAGCGGGAGCAGACAGATTGCTTCGCTGTTTCCCAATTCAGCATGGAAAGTATGCGTTTAGTCAGGTTTAAAGGGGAACGGTCACTTTACAGGATTTTAATACTGTATTTACTTATCAATATACTTAACTATTACGTATTTGTGAGGTGTGAAAAATAAAATGTTATGTAGAATTTCACATTTCCTTGTCCTGCAACTGGGTGTTTACATCTTAGCTCACTGACAATCATTGTTATAAGTTTTGTCTGCCACATTTTTATTCATTTTTGAGATTTCTGCTCCTTTTTTCCCTAATAATTTTATTATACATTGGCAAAATATGACTAATATTACTATGAAAAGATAAGTCACACTTGCAGGGGAAAAGTTACACTTGCAATCTGAAGAATTTTTCAACCCTTATACAAAATGCAAGATTGCCAAAGCCGTCTTGTCACAGAAAACCGCCACTCTGACACGGGTTGGCAAATTGTCAGAAACACAAGGGACGCTCTAGCGAATCTTTTATATAAAGTGTCAGCGCTACTATTTAAAACCACAAAAAAGAGGAGCAGGACAAACCTTTTGGGAAGAATCAAACAGGAAAAATGCGGAGCAGTTGAGAATAAATATTGGCGCAAACAAAATTTTGGTGTGAAAATAGTCACAACACTTTTATACATATCCCGCAATGTTTCTATTCCTCCTATTAATTCATAACGTGTGTTGCGACTTTGCCTGAAATCTAGTCTGAGCTAGATCATGACTCCGTACTAAAAACATTGTAGAAACAAGATTTCTGGAGTTTCTATGCCCAGGAAGGACTTCTCATAGTCCAGCTTGTGATATGAAGGTGATACATGACAATAACAGTAATTTATGTATTTTGACTGTGGGGAGTTTTATTGTATTTGGTCTCAACTAGTTTGTTTTTTTTGGTACCTAGCTATATGCTCTCACAGAGACTTGAATTTACAGACCAAAGTGGGCGCCATAGCTAGTTTCTGGTCACTGGATTATGATGTCATTTGTTAAAGCTTTAAAATACATTTTAAAGAAAACAGAGTATGAAAAAAGGCTAGCACAAGTTATATATGATTTTTAATGTTGTATTCTGTGGTGTACATTCCGCCGACGTAATGGTTTCTCTTTAACCCCTTAAGGACCAAACTTCTGGAATAAAAGGGAATCATGACATGTCACACGTCATGTGTCTTTAAGGGGTTAAATAGGTTCTGCATGCTTAGAAAGAGTTTGTTAAATGTTTCTGTTGCCTCTGTTCAAAAGCATGTTAAAACATACTTTATGTTTATTTATTTTTATCTTTATTACCCAAAAAACCTTCGGGCAACTCACTGAAGGATTTTTTAAATCAACCATAGTTTTCAATAGGTGGAATGTTTGGTGGGTAATAGCACTGTATACTGAAACTCCTGGGGTCGGTTTATTCACAAACATTTTTGCAATTTACAGAGCTCCCAGTTTAGTCCCGCCATTTTTTTCCACCATATTTTCGGCCAACCTGCAATTTGCCATCTCCGACACAGCACAGATCACGCGACTGTAAGCCAAGAATAACGCTCAGCCATTTGTAATACATTTATTACATACATAACAATTACATATTGTTCATGTCACAAGGGGGAGAGAGAAAGCAGAGGTTTTTATTCACACAGCTGTTTTTACATAATGCCACCATTAAGACCAGAAGACAAACGACACACACTGCGGAGTTTACAGGCGTTAAAGAGACACGTTGGGTACACCCCTTGTGACACATACAGGGAACCTTTACACTGCTCTAGGTTGGATGATCTTAAACCAAGCAGATTACACCTTGATGGCTGCAAAGAATGTGCTTTTGTATTAACCCCTGATCTCCCAGGGTCCCGCAGCAAACTGAGCCATAGGCTGCTCTGGCAGTGCAGGGGTTAAGGGGATTTCATGCAATAAAATAATCTAGGAAAAAAATAGCGCTTCTAGATTAGATTGAGTCTTTCCCAGCAGCATTACCCCTGGTATTAGTACAATTAGAATTAAATGCGTCGACGAGCTTATAATGTAGATTTTTCTTACCGAAAATGGTGTTAATGCATAGAATTTTTCACGCATCCATAGTTGGTACATTTTAAAATGTTTCTTATAGCTTAATCAGCTTGGAAAGCTCATGCGTAGAACAAAAAAATCTCGTTTGTATTTATCATATTAATAAAAATGTCAGAAAGGTGTCTTGGTTTCCGCAGTGAGCCATTATTAACCCTTTCCCTGCTAAAAGCCAGCAATCTATTTAGTGCACAGCAGGCCCACCAGTCAACAAAGATAATTACAGGATATTACATTGGCTGTATACAGTAGAGCAATACAATTTGGGATATGAAATCCTGTCCTAGACAAAGCAAATATGCTAATTAAAAAATTGGCAATACTGTCAGAATATGGCAAATATTATTTCACTGTATCCCGTTTAGATGGGATATTGAAAATTGATAAACTGGGGCGATAATGATTGCTATAAGACAGGTGCAAATTAATTGTATTTCTTACAGGATTGGTGCGTTAATCTCTTAAGGCTAAGGTGCCTCTGCAATAATTGTCGTTTTGTAAATGTTGATCTGTGGCAGAACTTAATTATGACCTATATAATATACGGTTGAGTTTTTGTTTTGTTTTTTTAATCACAGTGCAGCCATGTTTGTGGGGCTCTCTCAAGCCACCAATAATGGCCCCCCCTGGGCAAAACCAAGCTCATCTATAAGGCACACATTGCCCTTGCCTAACGTTCTGCTTTTAGGGTGCAGTGATGGGCAAACAGGTGTGTATTAACAATCAAGATCCACACGTTCTGCCAACTGCTTTTGGCAATTCATATTTTTTGACTTTTTTTTTTTTACCAACTTTCACAATCAGCAATTTAATTATTTTTATTTTTTTGTCAAGGGTTCAAAGGGAACCAGCAGTATTTTTCCCCATTGGGGTACCAGGACATAGATCGGTTAAAGTCTTAATATCATGCAACTAGTTATGATGTGATCAGATATTCCTTATAAGTATTCTCACTTTAAGTGGGAGCACAAGTAAACATCTTGCAGGTCAGCAATGATTTACAAAGCAGACCCACAAAGTATATTTAACACAAGTATCCCCTGTAGAAGATGTTATCTGGTTCCCCGACATAGGAGTAAATTTTACTTTAAACTTTTTTTTATCATTATAACTCAAGGGAAAATGGCAATTGCTTTATGGTTGATGCTGACTTGGTATGTTCAAAGGATAAGCCTTACCGATTATTGTTAAATAAGGCAAGGTAAGATAACATTATATCCTTCAAAACATCATAACTCCTTCCAATGAACCGAAGGCTAAGGCCGATGGCAAAACAGAGGGGTCCACCATTGACCACTGTATGGTATACTTTTGTGAAAGGAAGCAAAGATTACACCAATATAACTTTCCAAAACCTTTCAGATTGTCACATCCAATTGCACTGAAGGTGTTAGATTGCTCAAGTTTTGGTGGGTCCTCTGACACAGACAATCACAAGAGTCGTCTTAATGTAACAGATTCTCTGGATCTTCTCATTCTTGTGGGTTTACCAAGCTTCAAAGCTTAGGGAGATGCAATAAAGGCAGACTGTAACAGGGAGAAATTTGATCAGTGTGAGCCATGAACCTCCACCGATTAGGGTCAAAGTCTGAGTTTGGTTTTTCCAGCAGAAGGAGGGATGCAGGAGGCGTTATGGCATTCTGGGTCGAGGAATAAGAGGAAGGCTGGTCTCATTCTGGAACGTACGACACCTGCCATACAATAATGTGGCTTCTTTCTGCTTTAGAGAGCATGGGTTTGGTTTGGTTCCCATCATCAGTTGGATGTTCTTCTGTTTCGTCATCTTCTCCATCACCTAAGAAAAGGAAAGAACATTCTCCATTATACCTAAAATCAGTCCTCATCCCAAAACAAAAGTATTTCCCTCAAAGAGTGTGCACTTACCAATGCGGAAATCAATATATCCCTCTCCTCCACTTAATACCAGGACATTCTTGAGTTGTTGTTGTACTTCGGTTTCTGCAGATGGGGTACCTGGGTTTTCAGATGGGCTGTCTAGAACGCTGCCATTCAATGTTGCAAGAACATTTCCTGAGATTGAAAGAAACTAACCAGTTTGAAGACAGAATGGATAAAAAAATCCACTTTGAATCAGAAACATAACATAGTATCGCTGGCTACAGCTTGTCATAGGAGAACCCACCCAGACTGGATAGGTCCACATTTTGCACAATTACCTGGTACAGATACAAAGAACTTGACGGCATCGCGGTGTCCATGGAAACACAGCTGGGCCTGTGCCATCGAGCAGTAAGGAATGAAACTACCGGCAGATTTATCGCTGTTGTCGTCACTATACACGTGAATGACACCTCCTGGTCTCGAACCTTCCCCAGACGTGGGAGACGTTTTGTTGGCTGGAGATATGGACATGGGATTAGTTTCACAGAAGTATCCCAATGTTTATTCAGTAAACATCGCTATCTGGATGAACTTCAGAGTAATCTTAAATTATAGCTCGAAATCAGTGGTTTTAGACTGGTTTCTCTTTACAGAAATCCCCTTTAGATTAAATCTAGCAATGCTTCAATCTTCAGGTGTTTTCGTAGACTTGACACATTGCTCCCCAGAACATTTCAGTTTAGGCAGAGGGTCATTTTGGATTTCGTTATTCGACTAATTTGCTAAAATTCTATATATCTTGCTCACTTTTGGCAGTCTGATCCAGACTTTTGCCCACATTAAGTGACTTGGACATTAAGATGATATTTGATCCATCAAAGGCATTCCCAACCTCTGCTCAATTTATGGTCGGCTACTGTTACACAAATGTGCAAAACAATAACAGGACAGACTCAGTGTTATCAAGCACACAACTTCACTCCATCGTTAGAGCTGTCTCTAGAAAAATGGTACTGTATGCACGGATGCATGCGCGTTCATGACACCATACATCAGCGGTTCCTGACACAGTTCTCCGTTTTGAACCAATAGTTCAGAATTTCGGTATTTCACAACTCTGATACTAAGGGGCCTTGAGAACAGGCTGAAAACCACTGAAATGGAATGTTAGAAGTAATCTGCAGATCTCCTGCTGTTCTCAATGCATGTCTTACCCTGGTGGAAAGTATATATAAACTGTTTGTCTAAACATCTAATCAGAACAATTTCACAGGTCATGTATGATAAAAACTATACCAAAACCCATCACCACTGCATGACTATGATTTTAAAAGAAAAGAGACTAGATCGGCCCTCAGGGTTTGTGACAGAGTTGACAACCCACATTTAACCAATAGGAACTCACCAAAGGAAAAATATTGCCTTGCCGGAGATAATGTTACGTAAATGTGGCGCGGTAAAAAACATATATGTATATCCACGGTATGGATTTGGGTTCTTTTGGGTGGGAAACAAATCCAACTCCAATATAGTGACAGCTTGGCTATTTTCCCAAAAAAATAACTGGTTTTTCAATTCAGTATTTAGTGGATAAACCCCCAGATACAGAATTAAATATGCTATATTAACACAGTTACACAAAAATACTTAATCTCATAAACCGATTAATGGCTGCTTTGTCGTACATCTTGGTTACATGTTCCACTAGCTAAAATTTGTGAATAGTAAATGCAATCATTAATGAATGAGCTGGGATATGTTTTATAGAAAACTGCTGACTTCTCAATTGGCTAACAACAAACTGCTTTGGAAGTATTAATATTTAATGCTACAGTAATATGGACACGGCTTTTTATTATGTCCAGCCAGCGAACAAAGACTACAAAGGCTGGAAAGCGGAATGTTAGCTATCATTGTACAATTCTATGACTGTGGAACATCTATACACACTTACTGGTAAATCAAATTCAGGATTAGAACATTCCATGAAGGCTGTACATGCAATCCACGAATTCATAATTCATAAGTACGGGGATTATATCAACACACAGAATGGAAGGTACAAAGTTTTAGGAACCACGTGTGTTGCAAATCTCAAAGTCCATTTCTAAGTTCGAGAGTAGGAACTTTATGGAAAGGGTAGTTTTATTCTCCCATACCTGAACAGTATCTAGTCTCTTTCCTTTAAGATGAGTTTGTATGTTAAAGAAACGGCCAAAACACAACTTAAATGGTTGTCTGATGCATTAGTGAAGCACTGGGAAAAGACGTGACCTTAATAAGAAATGCAGATCATCTTTGTAACAGACATATCAAGGTTTTAATGTAATTAAAAAAACAGGCTAGAAACCAGAATTCAAGTCTGCTTAAAGGGACACTCTAAACAAAAAAAGACAACTTTAGCTTAATGAAGTGGTTTAGGTGTATAGACCTGGTTCCTAAACCAGGCCGTCCTACTCGCTCAATTCTCTGCCCCCTTTTTTTTTATGCACAGCTAGTCACACGTTCCCTGCATGTGACCTACACAGTCTCCCTACACACTGACTGCAAAGAGAGATCAAATGTTTAAACTTCTTTTATTGCACAGTCTGTTTAATTTAGAATTTCGTACTACTCTGCTAATTGTCTGCGTGTGTTATTAAAGTTAAATTAACAGGGCAGGATATAAGAATGTCTAAAGTTAACACACTGTGCTGTCACATCTGATTTAAAATGAAACAATTTTTTCATGGAAGCTGTGAGAGTGACAGACAGGAAAGGTGTGGTTCGGGCTGCATAAACAGTAACAAAAATGATTTAAGTCCTAAATTTCAGAGAATTAAGAAGTGAGACTGCTGGGGAATGATCTCTACACCAAAATGGCTTTATTAAGTTAAAGTTGTTTTTGATATTTAGAGTGTCCCTTTAAACATTTCTTGCGTTACATTTATTTGTACAGGGTCAAATGTGGTTGATGCTCTGCATGGTGTAGGATTCCTGGTAGTCACGTATATGCTATTGTATGACTTTTAACGTGTTTGGCAGAGCTTCTAAAAGGTAGTTGTTTTAAGGAAACCTGGAGTGAATCCATCGATATAATAGAAGTAAACTATATAACTATATACAAGTGTTCTCTTTTATTAATTATGAATTATGAGCATAGAAAAAGGTCGTATGGAAGGATGGGATGAGGTGAGACTTATGGAAAGATAAAAGGTCCCAGACTTACCCCTCAGGCCCAGCAGCTGGCCCCGGTGTAGGACTACCGCTAGCAGAGGTGGAAGGGGTGGGGAAAGTCAAAGGGAAAGGAGGAAGAGAGGGAACAGCCAGGGACGGTAGGATAAGCATGGAGAACACAAAAGAAGAATAAATTATTGCAAGGATTTTCAGGAAATAATTTTTGAAATTTGGGATTTCACTTTAACTCGCTTAATAAAATTCTAAATCCTCATACAGAATTTAACAAATGTAAATGACCATACATTATACACATAACTCGAGTATTCTGTTTACAACTGTGACAAGAAAAAAAATGGAAATATTGATAAAGCTACTGAAATCAAACACACTCCATAATTTGCAGAACAGACACCTTCCAACGTTGACTCATTAGATGAAGTGCAGGTTTTAAAGCCTAACAGAAAGAGATTAATCAAAACATTTAGAAGATCCATGAACATGACGTATCTCCACTACTTACTTTCTGTAAGTGGGATCGAGATGACGACTCCATTGCCAGTGCCCACCCAGAGACGATTGCCAGCAATCAGAAGTGCCGTAATACGGACAAATGAGAAACCCAGCTTGCCCGTGCCTGGAAAACATCACATTGTTAGCTAGCGCTACTGGCTCTGCGGGGATACACCACAACCTTTATACTGAGGGAATATGTTAAGCTCAAGACATAGGACAGATTGTCTTTAATGGAAATCATTAAAAAGCATTAAAGTTATCTGCCAAGCAAAAATCACATGTTTATTTAACCCCTTAAGGACACATGACATGTCATGATTCCCTTTTATTCCAGAAGTTTGGTCCTTAAGTGGTTAAAGGGTTACTTCATTTGTTTGAAGTGGTCATGGTGGCTGAAGTCGGTATGAGCAGCATTTCGCATTGAATGCTGCACATATGGAGTTTAACCCCACCTGTTGCCAGAGGTGTAACTACTGCACTGATAGCGTCATTGAGGTGACATCCGCAGGCTGTTGTGACCAGCTATTTTGCCATAAAATGTTAAATTCTTTGTTTCCAGCTAGTCCTGGTTTAGTGTATGGCCCTCTTTGTTTTTAAAATTGACATCAATGTATTTACCATAAAGATAAAAACTACAAATATGGCGTTCAATTTAAGGGAAGAAGTAGAATGTTTGGCATCTAATTTTGTGACATTATACATAAATACATACAGTATAGCGGCAAATATTTAAAAGCACGCACCTAACATTTTGCTAACATAAGGTTCAATATCTACATCCTGAAGGTGCTGGTGAGTGTGTGCGTGGTACAGCCGTAACGTTGAGTCAAGCCGTATGGATACCCATACACCATCTCCGATCCATGCCAGCTGCCGTACCTGGCTCTCTCTGCGAGGATGAGCATCGAATGATTTCTGCAGAGAAGGACAAAGACTTAAAAATGGTTTCTGAAATCTCAGTAAAAGCCAAAGACAACCAATGATATCAAATAACTCCACGTTAACTTAGACACAAATTCCAAAGGTTGTGTACCTACAGCTTGGTTAGGTAGGTTCCAGACAGATGATTTTGACTTTAGTTAATGCTGTTAGTAATACGATTTCACCACAAAACATGGATGTAAGAACATTCTTTAACAATATGGAAGGAACATATTGCACGATATCACCAACTAAGAGAGGGGAAGGAAAACCACAGAACCTCTTTCCACATTTTGGCTCAATCGGGAGTTCATTGGATTTCCCACCTCGGTTTAAATAGGTTGGGTGACGTACCTCTATTTGCATGGTTTTGGGCTGAATCACATGTATTTTGTTCTTGTACCCACACCAGACTCGATCATACACTACAGCCATGCAACGGATGGAGTGGTGCGTGTGTCCTAGATCCATCAGATGGTAGTTACTGAGATCCCACTGTCGGTCTAAAAGAAAGGAAACCAAGAGGGAATGTTAGTGAAATTAAGTCTTATCAGCTGCTTGGTGACACATACATCTTTGTTAATCAATTTAGGTTTATTGTTCTTGTTACTAAAGATACAAAGGGACAGAATTTATAAGAATCTTACTTACATAAAAGAAGTTCCGATATATATAGTATTAGTTCTAGAATTGGGGAAATCACCATGGAATCCAATGATATCAGGACCATTCTACTGGATTCCTAGGTGCCTTTGCTACTTATAGAATATTGCTATCAGCAGCAACATTCTATAGGTTTCCAAGGTGATTGCTCTATTTGTAGAACATCAATATGAACATTCTACACGTTTCCAAGGTGATTGCTCTATTTGTAGAACATCAATATGAACATTCTACACGTTTCCAAGGTGATTGCTCTATTTGTAGAACATCAATATGAACATTCTACACGTTTCCAAGGTGATTGCTCTATTTGTAGAACAGCAATATGAACATTCTATTCGTTTCCAAGGCGATTGCTCTATTTATAGAACATTAATATAAACATTCTGTTACTGCTTTACTTATAAAACATTGTTATTGCCATCAATAGGAACATTCTACTGGTTTCTAAGGTGACTACTTCACTTCAATACGAAGGTTCTACTGGTTTCCAAGGTGACTGTTCTACTTATAGAACTTTAGCCAACGTGCCCCTTTTATTATAATGCTCATTTAACGCTGTAAAACTTAGTGACTGAACTATCAAACCAGCTGTTATATTCTGTATCCCTACTAGCTGAGCATTTATACAACAGGAGGACTGTTACAAAATGAAACACAATTACCTTCTCCCCGATGGAATATAGCAAGGGTTCCATCCGCAAGAGCCACGAGAACCCGTCCTTTTACATGTCTAAGAGTCAAAGAGTCAAGACATCATTAGATAGGGCAGCTTTACAAATCTGCCACATGATACCGGCACAAGATACATCCGGCACACGTATCGTAACCGTTACATACTATGATATCTATGTGAAGACATATATTTGGCTCTCTGGTAATTTAAGGTGCGATTGTCTGGGTGCCTCAGAGCTTCCCTCCCCAATGCAGCATTGAGATAACTAATCAACAAAGCTCTTTAAGGATCTTTCCTTTATTAATGGATTGATTCCCTCCCTGCAGCATGCAAATTCAATGTACTGTCGAGAAGCACCCTTCTTACAACACTTAATGATACATAGAAGTGAAATATTTTCAGAAAAGCAACGTGGATCAGGGAACCAAAAAGTAAATAGACAGTATGCATTTAGTACTATTTTAAAGAAGTAAAATTAGATTTTTCTTATATTTCCTTTCCAGTTTGTCTGCTCTTTTTTTTTTTTTTTACAGACTCTTAGATTTTTACTTTAAATAATCCATTCTGGGATCACCTCTTTGTCATACGTATTTTTATGCCAGTTCCCCATCACAAAACATGTCATGGCTGGATGTATGGCTGTATATGGGCCACTAATATAAAGAAAAAACGTTCCGATTTGATACGTACACAAGACTTAGCACGGAATCTTTTAGTTTAATGGAATGCAGACACTTTTTCCAGTTGGAAACCGCAGAGTGTACGTACAGCCTGTAACGAAAACCATGTATTAATATCAAGTGATCTCATGTTGCTGATACTTGGGACTGTCATGGCGACATTGACATATTTATAGACAGGTCCTGTGTTTCCAGTTCAAAGGTTAAAATGTACAGGCACTTAGTGGTGAGACATAGATCATACCAGCCGTTCTGGGCTCCTAGCCACATTGTGGGAGCAGCACTGGTTCCTGAGACGTTCTCTGTGTTTTGCTCACTTTCTTGTTGCGTTGTTGTCACCTCTGCTTTCAAAAGGCCATTTTCACTGGAATAACAGATAGAACGTATTAATATCTGCACACCAACTGCTGGCTATGCACCTCCTCCTACAACATCATCATTTGTATGTTTTTTTACCATCTCTTTATTCAGAACAGGATCATTGTGACAATTTAGAAAGATTGACAGTCTTCTGAACATAACATTTGTATCATACTACAATATATTGCAATGTAACATAAAAGACATGCTTTTCAACATATACAGGATTTGCACTATTAACGTGTTCTGATTATTAAAACTAATCTTAGCTTGTTGGTGATTCTATAAGACAAGTTTAAAGTCCTGCATATCCTCGTACCTGCATAGACGGCCATTGGCCACAGGAGCTGGGTCTGTGAAGACATGTTCGGTCAGGAGTCCAGGCCGCACCTGGGCAGGCTCTGCTTCATTGGCTGAAGATTCTGGAACCTCGAGTGCTTCTGTGGCTTCCTCTGCAGACTGGTGGTGGTTCAGTTTACCGTTGCTGACTGTAGAAACTTCTCCTGGTTTTAACAATAGATGCTATTATTAGATGCTATTATTACCCAACTTAGTAATGCACGTCTAATTGACCTTGGAAGGATAAAATTCAAAGTTGACCCAACTTGGAACTAAATGTGTGACTCTCAGATACTATAGTTGGAGTTTTACCCACTGAGCAATTTCTTTCACATATTGGTGTTTTTACTGTGGGTTTGCCATTTTTCCACTGCACTTTTTTAATACAACTGTGCCTGTCTATTTTTCTCTGCTTCTACTTATTATCCACACTAGTGCTGGCAGAACTGATATCTGCCTTGCTCATGATGCTGACGGAGTGATAAATCATCTGATGAAGAGTGCAGATAGTGTGAGACATCATCTGTTGAACATCCAGTGTGCAAGCATGGTCACAACTTAGCACAGCTGCACACTGTAACACAAACACAATCTTGAGAAAGCTGACGAGGCCACACAGGATTGTGCTAACCTTCCCAGCAATGCCTGAGGCAGGATGGGAGGAATTTGCGAGCTGATAAGGCCTATGCGCAGATTAAAACCTGGCTGGGTAAAACGCGTCTGTATCTTTTTATTGTTTAGTTGTACAGTTTTATTAATCATTTGTGATAACATGTGACCTTGAAATATCCAATGTGTACAGAAAACATTTTAACAAAATGAGATTTAATTTGTGTAATGCAGTTGTACAAAGTTCATAACAGGTGGCAGAGCTCCTGTATAGGGGCGCTCCACCATAATGCAGCTATTTGTAGTGGTTATGGTGCTATGACTCTACAGGCTAACCTATAAGGCATCTTATGGGTGATGGAGGTTATAGTTCTTTCAGTGTCTCTTTGACTACTTGCCTTGCCCCTTGTCCAGAATAGGTGTATCTCCTCGGGATGAGCAATTGCTCCGTGGTACATTGCATCTTGTGGCACATCCCACGAGGGTAATTCCTGCTAAAACTCCATCCGTATCCCCAGTGTCTTCTGGATTCACATCCCCCTCCAGGAATATCTCACCAGGTGGATAATCACCATCGCTGGCAGCTGTAATAATATAAATCCCACATTAATGATGCTGAGAAAAACAACACTGATCCGAGACAGGTTCGGCTTTTAATAATACAATATATTGCAAATAATATAAATCAGTTTATTTTATTTTTTTAAAGATTTGCCTCCCTTGGTTAATAGTGGATTCAAATAGAGCAGTAAATTATGTATAATTTAATTTTTAAAATAGTGTGAGAGAGCCAATCAGACCCCAGCTTGTATGAAAGGGTGAATCTAACTGGATTAGTGTATGTCTGCTCCAACAACGTTTACTTTTTACAACCCAGAATTAGCTTTTTTTTAGGCTTCTGAAACCACAATACCGTCTAGTAAACAACCCATGAAGCTCTTAGAGCTCCAGATAAGACTCAGTACATCAATGGCATGTGGGTAACAAGGCCTAAACTGTACCAGACGTACCAAATACTGGATTGTTCTGCGCATGTTACAGTTGAGGCGATTATAATCATATCACGTAATCTACTTAAAGAGGAATTATGAAGAAGAAAACATATTCAATTAACAATGTGAAGCAAAGACCCAAACATCTTTATAGCGAGGTACCACAGACCCCAAAAAGACAGTGTTTGTTGGAGCACACTTTGATAGTATTGCGGCACATCACAGCAAATTTTCTATAAGCCCCAGAATCTAAGGGGAGAAGAGGAGGGTCGGAAGCTGTGCAGCACCTGTTTCCTTTTTACAAGTGTGAATTAGTAAAAAATCTCAGATTTTAAACTAAAAGAGACACATTGGAAAAAATTCTTGTTTGGGAAACTCTGCTAGGATTCCTGTTCAGCTGTTTTATCGTACGATGTGAAATTCACTGAGAATTCCTGACAATGCTGACTTTAGTAAATAACATAGTGTATATTGGAAATGTGGTCATGAAGAGGATATATTTGTGGCTATCCACATACCAGGAATACTGGAGATGCACAGGACATGTGCGTTGCAGACAGTAAACTGGTCCACCAAGGTGCCAGGCTGGTTGGCATCGATGATCACCACCTTGCTGGTAGACAGGGTGCTGGTGAGGATCCACACACGGCTGGAAGTGGCATCAAATTCATGCAACTCTTTACTCTGCAATGAGATGTATTAGACTGACAGTGAAGACATGTCCATTTGTACTCAGTGCTCCAGCTCCCCACACCTCCTATAACCCACACTACCTGCTCCAGCTCCCCACACCTCCTATAACCCACACTACCTGCTCCAGCTCCCACACCTCCTATAACCCACACTACCTGCTCCAGCTCCCACACCTCCTATAACCCACACTACCTGCTCCAGCTCCCCACACCTCCTATAACCCACACTACCTGCTCCAGCTCCCACACCTCCTATAACCCACACTACCTGCTCCAGCTCCCACACCTCCTATAACCCACACTACCTGCTCCAGCTCCCCACACCTCCTATAACCCACACTACCTGCTCCAGCTCCCACACCTCCTATAACCCACACTACCTGCTCCAGCTCCCACACCTCCTATAACCCACACTACCTGCTCCAGCTCCCCACACCTCCTATAACCCACACTACCTGCTCCAGCTCCCACACCTCCTATAACCCACACCACCTGCTCCAGCTCCCCACACCTCCTATAACCCACACTACCTCCTCCAGCTCCCCACACATCCTATAACCCGCACCTTTGGTGACACTAAATCATAGATCCTGATTCAATAAAAATGTACGTAATGGCACCTTCCATACACTCATGCCATTGTCTACAAGCCTTGGGAATTGTGGTTGTAAAACTTGCCATCCCATTTAGATCTGCCCTTTCACCATTCCTTTGTACCTTAGGAAATCATCAGCATTCTGCTTCCAATACTCATATCTAGGATAGGCATGAGTTCATGAGTCTTATTCCCAATTAAAATAACACTTTACACCCACCTTTTTCTTCTCTGGGGATGCGTGCGTGCTCTTGCTTTCCCCTTCCACTTCTCGATCGCAAGTCAAAGGATCGCGTCCTGATATTGGTTTGGTTCCGTTCAAGCATTCTTCCTCAGATGGCTTCCAGCCTGTCAAGTCTACTCCAGCAGCACACCACAGCTGGGAGAAAGATCACAGTAAGCACTACAACTTCAGCAAAAAGAATGAATTACATGCTTAGAGATCCACCTTTCACCACCATTAGCAGCACAACACAGGCCTATTAACAGTTTGAAATGGTTACATGGAATTTTTAAGATCTATGATGTGGTTGACGTGTGGTAATATTACTCAGAGGCAATGGTTTGGCGGCCACCAACTAATTACTGTACAGTTCTAAAATACAAAATGTTGCCGGAGGCAAAAATGAAGCTCCTGAATATTGTGAACAGTTAATGAATGATAATAAAACAAGGCCTTCTTATTTAAATTGGTACCATAACTACTAAAGGGTATTGCAGTGATCATTGTGCAAGGAGTTTTGGATGTCATCCTTCCTGTTTCTGTCAAACCATTTTCAAATAGTTTGACCAAAATCAAAGTTCCCCCAGTACACTAACCGCATCACCATTGCTGCTGCTATGTTCACTAAATTCACTTCCTCATTATCTGCTCATGTTTGGATGGCCATTAAAGTTTGAGATCATGGGGGGTTGCATAGACCAGACATTTTACATTTTCTCATGGACTTAGGTTATTATTAAGCATACAGTAAAGAAATATTGTTTTTTGTACTATTACCTTCATGGTGGGATCCTTCTCTACCAAGGGCCTGCAATATACCGGGACGGGCACGTTCTTCATACGGTTGTCCTCTTGACCTCCATTTGGACTTAGCTGCCATAGTTAAGGAAATTGAAAATTTACTGGTATGAGGTTGGTAAAGTCTTCTCTGTGAAATAGTCACAAAAATATCCAATGAACTGGTATTCCTGCTTGTAGTACGATGTTTGGAAAGGATTGCAACTGGAAAACTCATCATTCTCTCTGAGGCCATCAGAATGATCAGTTTTAGGATAAAGTGCAGAATGGGGTTCATAGACAACCTGTACAATGGCTAATGTAACACGTGTATAGGACACTGAGATATCGGAAAGAATACACCAGGGTTAGCCAACCTTCATCACTCCAGATGTTGTGGTCTACATCTCCAATAATAATGTTGGCAAAGCATCATGGTAGATGTGGTCCATAACATCTAGAGAAGCCTACTCCTGGACAACACTGTTGTTTTTCTCTTTCAGAAAATTAATTTACAGCAATTGCTAACCTTGAATACTGCTGGGTGATCCGTGTGGCTATACCACTGCTCATGAAATTGTTATATAATACAATGATTAATGAACTATTTAAGGTTTATTCATTAAATGACGAGTGGTGGAGAGCTGACAAAGAATTGCAGGTTTTAGGTCCAAATTAGTGAAATGGAAACACTCACAAACTCATTTTTTTACCACTTTGGCTGTATTGGTCTAAAATCTGCAATTCTCTTATCCATTCTCCAAAATTTTCAGGTTAAAGAAGAAATCTATTAATACATCTGTAGGCAGCACTATTGTCCATGACAATGAATTAAAAAATGTGCCTTTATCCCCACAGATGTCCATCTAAGTGGTGGTCACTATTAGTGAACGTGGACATAAGTGGTGTGCAGCCATTAAATGGAAGTGCTGACCACGGAAACCTGTTTGTATTTTTTTTAGCCGCAAACGTCCAAAGGCTGTTGGCATTAACAATGCCTGATGGCTGTTTTTTACTTTTTGAAAAATAACGCTTTGAAGAAGAATCGTGGGCAACAAAACCCGTGTAGGATTTTATCACTAACCTGCTTGTATTTAGCAGGGAGGCTCCAGCCACAGGCTTGGAGGCGCCCATCATCATTGCGCACATGCTCCCGCACTTGGCGGTACTGCTCACGTTTTTGTTCCCGTCGAGCAGTAGACGTACAGTCACTGAGGAGAGAAGCCACAGTGTTACTTCTCAATCTATGTGGAGAGAAGAAAAGAGAGAGAGGGTGCAGAGCGTCAAGGGAGAGAGCCAAAAGCAAAGCAGCAAGGATTAGTGGCGGTAAGTGAGCGGCAAGCGGAGGGGACCGAGTGCAGGAGGAAATAAAAATCAAAGCATCGTCCAATCAGCCTTTAGAATTGCTCAGGCATATGTGAAGGTGTTTTCTTTGATAAACATAATGTCACTTTTGTCACCATTAGAAGTAACACCAAAAACGTATTTTACGCAGAATGATATTCATTCACTAAACAGAGAGCTCTAGAGAATTGACAACAAATGTCAACTTTAGACCAAAATAGTCAAATTGGAAAAACTGGTTCAATCTAGCCAGGATGGAAAATGTGTTTCCTGCTCAGATACTTTGGTCTACATTTTCCAGCACTTTTGTCAATTCCCTAAACTTACTATTTACGGAACAACCCCATGTTTTGAGCTCATTACAACCATTGGCTTCCTTAACCCCTTAAGGACACATGACATGTGTGACATGTCATGATTCCCTTTTATTCCAGAAGTTTGGTCCTTAAGGGGTTAATGGAGACTAGAATGGAAGCTTTAATGTAATAATTAAATGAGATATTCTAGTATTGCTTGCTGATATTTTTTCCTTTCTTTGTGGCTTACCCAAAAATGTACATCTTATCCATAAAACGTTAAAGGTCTCCATGTACCATGCCACCTAATACCCAATGATGTGAGTAGTTAATGGTTAGTAGCGGTAAATTACGAAACACACTACTGCATTTAGAACTTACTCGTCGGGGAAGAACTCGATGGTGCGGCCTCCAGAGGAGATCTGGCACATTGTGTGACTGCGGCGCTGGCTGAATCCTGCAGGAGTGGGAGACTTGTAGTGAATGTTGACTGAGGGGTAAGACCTCTTAGCAGGAGGTGGGCTGGATGAGGAACTGAACAGTCTGCTGAAACTGCAAAGCAGAGACAAAATAAATATGAGTTCTCTAGACATTTATTCTGGGTGTCAGAAGATGACCTGTAAAATGAATTCACAGTGTGTTAAAGTGGAACTGTACAGCGTATGAAGTGACATTTCTTTAGACCATCCTTTTCCCGTAAATGTGAGCAGGTCAAGCATTAGCAGAGCAATGCTGTACGAGTGCCTTTGATGGTGCTATGCACTCATCCTGCACTGAATGGATTTAATAAATGTATAAGTCATGCCAGGGCAGTGCCAGGACTGTCAGGAATGCCATATCATTAAGAAAAGAAAGGTGAATGGAATTTAAAAAAATATATACACAAAAAATAAACAGAACACTCAGAACACCTACAATTGCCAAATGGTTGACTTCTTCTTCTCTTGGACAGACGGGTGTTCCCGGGATGCTCTGCAATAAAAAAGATTATTGGAAACCAATAAATAAATATATTGGTAATTTAATGGATTTTCTTACAGACCTAATTGGATACATTTTATCATCGCCATAAACACAGATCACTGATGGGATTTCATGTTAAAACCAGTCATGATCTATTGCTTTATGAAATTAATTTTATCCTTTGTATACAGCGACAGATTTTAGATGCAGCAGACTGACGCATTCAGTTCAGACACACCAATAAAACACACCAATAAAATAAAAAATATTTTTACAACAATCTTCTTTTTCACTCTTTTGGGATGACATGAACCACATACTTTTAAAGAAACACTCTAAGCACCATAACCATTCCAGAACACTACACTTAATTCTTTACCACAAGCTACACAATGTATAACAGTTGCGTGTGCTTTGGGTGTCAATTTAATAAATCCTTATCATTCCTGGATCATGGGCCAGAGAAAGGGCAAAGTGACACATTTGTTTTCACCTGATCATTTCCGTCCATCGAACAGCCTCCTGTAGCTCCATGAGTCTTTCCTTATACTGGTTTCTTTCCATCAGAACACGAGCCATCTCCACTCGGGTGAACCTTCTGCGCTGCGCTATGGGGATGTTATCCTGCAGAGGTGAGGAGCTCTTTGGTCCGGGAAAATGAAAGAGTAAAGAGAAAAAATATTCTATTAAACAGAATTAGAATCTTCCCAGGAACCCTCTTCTTCCATGCTCCCATATTCCCATATTTGTGGTTCCACCATACACCATGACACACCTTTTATCCTATGTCAGCAAAAAGGATCACGTATACACCATTTATAAGATCTAGGCACATTTAAGGGCTGAAGAAAAGGAGACTTCCTCTACCCATGAAGATTGGGTGGTATTTGGACGGATAGAGTTGTGTACGGGCTGGCACTATCAAAGTGAAGCTACACAAATACTCAGTGCTCAAACAACGGGGCAACGCACAAACCATTCACCATGTATTAAAACTATACATCCCTAGAATAGGCCAAGACGTTCTAGTTCTTCACTAAACCCCAGAATAAATTTATAGTATATACAGCATACATCCTTAGGATAATTCGTGAAGCTCTAGGATAATAAAAATAATGTACACTACATTCTACAATATCGGCATCCAACATGGACATATTACCATTCAGCTGTCAGTGTGTTTAATCAACAGACACATGTCTATATCCATTCTATTAAAATTTATCATCACCATAACCATTCAAAATTGAATTTAAACTGGAAGGGGAAGGATGTATGAAAGTCCATAATAGAATTGCAAGGGAGATTATATTCACCTCTTCTACCTCCTCTTTGGGTTCTTGTAGGGCCACAATAGCTTCTGATTTTACCCTTTAAAAGAAGAAGAGTTATCAAAAACACCAGATCCCTGGTAGCAGTTACATTTACACACCCAAACTAAATGACATCATGAGGAACTGTTTGTTTACAGGAAGCACAAAGCTTCTCCAACTGGGTATGTTCTATACAGTTTTATAAGAATATAGTATCAGAATAACATCAGAGAAAGGGAAATAAGGTAATGGTTTTCCAAAGCAGCCACTGTAAGCCTTGTTCTACACAAAAACTTCAATACACGAACCACCAAAACGTGATGACTACATACCGTTTAAGTTCTTCCTCCAGCTCTTTAACGCGGGTCTCAATTTTCAACTTGGCCTGTTTGGTCGCCTCCAGCTCCCCTTTTAGTACCTCATGCTCCCCATTGAGCTGGTCCACCTTTGCTATTAAATCATTCTTAACCACATTCAAAGCATTCCTATCAAAAGTAAAATGCAATAACATTTGAGAGGAATATATCATATACATTATTCAGTGAGGACTAACATACAGTATTCAGTATGTGACACTCAGTCAACAGAGTCTAGGCTATAGTGCCATATTAATCATCATGGACATAAATTATAGCAAAAGGTATATAGTTCCATAGTTTGGTGTTCTGAAAACGGAACCTTGTGGGCTTCTAATGGAAGAGAATATTATCACGTACTGGATGGATAGCATCTAACGTCCATTAAAAATATGTCACAGCAAGTTCTAAATGCCATTAATAACTTCCTTATTAAAAACACACATCCAAGTAAACTTCATTTAAAATACAGTGGTATATTGAATAGTCCCTTACTTGGTCTCCAGTAACTGGGAGTTTTCCAACAGGAGATTGCCCACCTCTTTTCCCATTCCTAAAAACGGTAAAGGTGTAGTAAATATTAGTTGTTTCCTGTTGAAAGGTTGCAACGGAGACTAGAGCCAGTATATCAGTAGCAATCGATTAGCCTACACACCCCTAAGGTAGAACAAATTGCGTGACTGTGGTATGGGGGTGACAATTCAGAAAAAGAGTATAATGCCACAACACCCCAATAATAGCAAAACAAAACCCAGAGAGATAAAAGATGTTATTACGAGGCAACATTTTGGATGGTTTAATATCATTCTTTAAAGAGTCAATATTTTTTTTGCTATTGATTCATTGTTGCCACATTAACGAAAACTCAGAGTCACAATTAAGAAAAAGTCAGCAACACAGACTTGCTGCCACACAGTGTGTTAACACGAGTGGCAAAAAACTCTTCCAGAAATTAGTGTTTCAGTGGCTGCCATTACTGGAGAGATTTCAAGAGACCAATATGAGGCCATCTTGTTTTGTGAAGGGGCTTTTTATTGGCTTCGAGATGTGTGACGGATGTTGACATTTTGTACTTGGGGTCTATATTTGATTCTAGTAAATGCGGTTTGTTTGTTTTTATTGGCAATGGGCTAAATTAATTGCTTCAGGTGCATCGTTTTTATGTTTTCTTGTGCATACAGCTCTCAGAGATGCCAAGTTGAGATGGGTGAGTTGATCCTTCAAATTACGTTTTAGTTGGGACGTAATGTTATGTTGCTGCACCACTGACGTCAAGTCAAGGTGAGTCAAAACAGACCATAATACTTCTCAATTTTTGAACTATGGAATTTTATAGAAAAACAATCTAGAAGCCAAAATAAAACACCCACTTCACTACCTAAATCAATATCCTGAAATCTCTGTGGTTTTTCACATCTCGTATATAAAAAGGGATAAAACGTCCCCACTCAGCAGCAATGAAAATGAGATTGAATAGCCTCTCTTACAAGCAGAATATAAAGCAACATATAGAAAGCTTGAAATACAGATACACAGGCACGGGCCTTACCAAAGAAATCATCCCGCACTGTCAGAGCAGCCCACATAAGGAGAGAGAGGGAAGCAGTAGAGAGGGAAAGGAAAAAAAGAGCAGCTGTTAGGAAAAGTTGGATACCAGCCATTATAGCTATTATGTCCATGCAACGGAACCCTTGAAGTGCACGTACGTCTAGAATTCTATTACGCATGTTCCACCACTGACCAACCAAACAGGCTGAAGACACTGTGTGAGTCCTTATGGGAGTCCACCTACTCTAGTCTGATAACAGAAACACGTTTCATGCTTTTTTCAAGTTGATCGGTCATGTTATTATTTTGAAGGTTTTTTTGTATTACAAATTATTTATAAAAACTATTTGACTATGTGTTCACTCAGAAGGCTTATTAACTTTCAGTGCTTAAATCCTACTCAGTTTTGTCACAAGTCAGTTAACTTGACTGCTGGTTGACATCAGCTATCCAGCAGGGGAAGTCAGTAGACATTCAATCAGTACTACCAGAAAGTGAAGACTATACATTTAAGGGTTTAAGGGTTCTTACATTTAAAATAATAAGTTAAAACAAGAGAATAAAAAATGTTAGGATCAGATATGATTGTAATCCTAAAGAAAAATAAAGCTATACTAGTCCTACGTGTTTTACAATATAATATAAAATGTTAGTCCTATTAAATGTCAGATCTAGATTGCTTAGCACACTCATTTTATATATTTACCTATATATTTTATATATTTTTACATACACCACTAGAAAAATTTGCATTTTTTTTTTTTTTTAAATTAAAGGTTTTATAGATAAATGGCCATAATACATTACAAATCAGTACACCAACTATAATAATCTTCCCCCAAACCATTAAACTGGCCAACAGTGGATGAAATGTAGTCTCCTAGTATGAGTTTCACAGCCAATGCAAAACAAACTGGAGTGAAACGCGTCAGCACTAGCACAGTTGCTTAAACAGATCCCAGCAAAAGAGAGTGAGTAAAAAGATTAAAAAGTTGAAACGCACCAGCTGTAGACCAGAGGGAAGGGGGGAAGAATGCCATTCGCTTGGGAATCAGGCAGAAGAATAGGAGAGGGGGAGGACTAAATTAGGAAAGGTCCAATGGAAAGACAGTAGAAATACACACCTGAAAATTCTCCTACAAGGCCCGTCCGTCGATGAAGAGGGTGACATGAGGGTAGTGTAAGGAGAGAGGGAGAACAGAGGGAAAGAGTGGGTCAGTCAGTGGTTTGAAACATAAAATAAATTATAGAACTATCTAATACAAAAGAGTAGAGATGCCCAAACCTGTCTCTCCAGCGGTAGTGCCACTACAATACCCATAATGCTGGCAAACGAAAGAAAATGATTTATGGGAATATTAGCTCAATAACTGCTGGAGAGTAATGTTTGGGCACCCCTTAAATTAAGCATTTGTTATGTAAGTACTATGAAACTGCCTAGCAGCGACCCTGCCTGGTCGGTATTGTACATTTTGACAAGTGATGGTTAAAATCCACGAGCCATTAAAAATCAAATAGGAAATTGACCAATATAAACAAAGTTTTGCTCATTTCAGTGAAGGATGTAAACCTGAGATATGCAGTCATTGTTTGTTATTAAAATTAAATTAAAAAGAACAACAAGCTGCCTTGAAATGCCTGATAAAACAATATGTCTGGGCTTAGTCAATGACAGACTGCCATCCTGTGGATTTAGTGTATATGTAGAGGTCCATCATTTTTTAACAAACTCCCTTAAATATCATTCGGTCAATGCCACTTGATATGCATATTTACATCCCATGATCTTATTATAAGATCAACCTTTTCCAAGCTGCAGCGCAGAATCAAACATGGTCGAACGGCAGCCAAGCACTGTCAGGTCACATGGTCAGTGCTACCACACATAATACAAGTGGCGCCACCAAGCACAGCATCTCTATTGAGCGGTGGAGACAGAGTAGCAGAAAGCTATAAAATGGATTCTTTTCATGCTGCTGACGTGAAATAGATAGGGGCGTTTTTGAGATTTTTGTTTCTGCAAAAAAATGACTATTTCACACAAAAAAATTGTGTAATAATGGCATAATATTTGTACAAATCTTGTGTGATTTTACATTTAACTAGCCCAAAAGAAAAATGTTTGACACTCTACCATTGAAATCTTAGTCTACTGATAATACTGACTCACTGTTGGAAGACATATTTAAAACCCACAATGCTTTGTTATGACAATTCTTATTATCAGGAAATGAAGACAATTACAGTCATGGTCAGAACTGTGATGCTCTTAAAGTACACGTTATGTTTGTCATGACCCTCAGTCAACCATATTGCAGGTTGAGAATCATGGCAGACATAACACACAACAACCTGAATACCAATTATTACCATTGATGTAGTAGAGCCTAGATCAGGCATAGGCAACCTTCGGCACGGCAGATGTTTTGGACTACACCTCCCATGATGCTTTGCCAGCATTGTGTGTGCTAAAGCATTATGGGGGATGTAGTCCACAACATCTGGAGTGCCGAAGGTTGAATATCCCTGGCCTAGATTGTACCCGAGACCCGGTGACACATTCAAAGAAACATGATTAACACTCAGTTGGCCTATACTAAGTACGTTTTCAGTGCAGGTTTGTTAGTTATTTAACCATCTGGCTCTGACTGAATCAAAGGAAAATGACTTCAAAAAAACAGCATAGTTAACTAAAAATATCTATGTAGTCTGTAAATTAAAATCAAGATAGAAGCATCCATTTTGATTTTACATTAGATATTACTATGGGTGTGTTTATGCTTATAATATTATTTAGAATGAAGAAAATAACTATATATGTTATATGCATATATTTAAATTGCATTTTACCAAACAATACTATCACAATGTGAGACATTTTTATGTGTGGCAATATAATTCCAGAAAGCTGAGTTGTGGCCTGCTAGATAAACAAAATGGCTGCCCTTTGCTAGATTTTATTTGCATACATGGGGAGATTGATCAGACCAATTAAGCAAACATTATTCAAACAGTAAAGATTAAACATGTCTAAATTATTTTGTTGGTACATTGCAAAATATGCAAAATTGTCAAGGCTTACTAGGTTATATGTGAGATTGTATTATTTCCACATTTTTTACTACATTGTGTAGGGAAATGACCCTTGTATTGCACATTTTACGTGATCATATTGGATAAAATCTCTAAATCACAATCCAGAACATGCAAAATGAGAACAGTGCAGAAGGACACAGCTGGCCAGGTAAAAATGATGCCACCCCCCCAAAAAAAAAACATTGCTCTGCTGAAACCACTGAATCAATGCAGCCAATAAATATTTATTGTTTTATATCCAAAAAGCCTAAAATACAAAAGAAAACAATCAAACCAAATGCAGATAATGGTGATACAGCCTACAGGGGCAATTCACGACTGCAATTTAGATGAAAAGGTTAACGCGTTTCACACCAGACAGGGTGCTTACTCATGAGCATATGTGGTGCAAAACCACACTGGGTCTGAGGATGTTTATTGAGAAATTTTGGCTACATTGATTCTGTGGTTTCAGACAAGCTATTTTTATTGTCCACTGATGTTTGGAGCTATGACTTGTCGGCAAACTACAACAAAGTATGGGGGTTAAACATTACATGAATACTGTGGATATTTTCTTTATTTGTGCAAAAACTATGACCATCCCGCAAAGAATTACTGTCCTGCACTCAACACCATCTGGCCTGGGACATGTGCCTCATTTGCTCCACCCAAACATTTGCCCATAACAAAATGATGGAGCTGGGCTGAAGTGTATTCAAATTCAAAGCATTTTAAACATTTGTCATATTTGTTCCATTCATTATGCCTTTTTATTAATCGCTCAATGCGTCACATTTTCCATTTAAAAACCACAATGCTCACTGATAGAGTCTCCGGGCTCAATTGCCATTAATAATAACATCTTATCTAATACATATATGTCAGCCACAGTTATATTCATGGATGTTTATTATGTTTTGTTCATATGCTTTGCTTTGTTGTTTTCGTTAACCACTTTGACGTCCTTAAGTAGCCAGGGGCCCACTTACTACGCCTCACTACATTACGAGAGCAGTTCGGCACTTCTTAATACTCAGTCCTACGTACTCCGGGCAGGACTCAACAACCACCCCTTGTAAACCCCTTAGTTTAGGGGTCGACACGCGACTTTATCTAGATATGACATAGCTAGATTACATACCCTCTACTCGCCCCATAGAAAGCGTCATGGATTTACCCTCACCTCTTAAGCTAGCTAGCCATAACACACATAGGAGACCACAGCCAGAGGAATGATAACAACCTCCTAACCCTCAAATATAACAGTGCCTAAGGAAACTCAGATGGAAGTAGAGGGTGTAGTACACTTATTAACTATGGTGTGATTAAACCTTGTGATAGAGAGAATGCAGATAACCACACCATGTGGTCTACCAATAGCATAGACGGATGTGACCTTTTAAAATAAAAATGGTGCAGGATGTTAATGTTCTTGGAATGTATGCTACGGTCTCACCTCCTGATCGAATTTCCTCGTTATACCATGTATAACCTGTAACCTACCACCTGCACTACCAAAATAAAGAATTATAAAAAAACAAAACACAGTGCTTACCAAGAAGATCTGCCCCTTCGTCAACATCACCGATTACCGCCGACCCAGCTGTGGACAACTCGTGATACAAAGAATCTGTGTTGATCCCAAAAGCTTTGTTCACGATCCCTTGAGTTGGACTGTCCGAAAAAGTACATATCACTTATTAGAACACTATTGTAGTATAGAAAACAATGTGACAAATGTACTCCTTGTCTCTACAAAGACCCCTCTACAGGTCTCCCAGCTAAACCTGTTTATTTTTCAATAATTTGCCTATCACGGCTGATTTTCTAATATACTTTTGGTCCTCTTCAACAACTATCTGGCCAGGTGGGACCTTGTCTGCTTCCATAAGTGGCATACTCTGTGGTTCTAAAGCCAGGCCCTGGACATCTCAACTCACACAATTAACCAAGTTTGTAACAGAGTTTTTATAGCAATGTTCCATTCAGTTTCAGTCTATTTAACAAGCCTTTTCAAGTTTATGTGGCCATTCTACCTAGTCTCTGGCTCTTCCAACCTTGGCCCCTTCCATGACACTATAAGAAGAGGAGATTTCCAGGTTCCTAGTCCATCGATATTTATAGGTCATGTAGGGTAATCATACGGGGGGAAACAAAGTAGAATCAAGTAATGAGGACTGATAAACTACCTAGAAAAAACATTTACAGTCCACTGCACACAGACCATTGTTATTGAGGTTATCTTTGAAAAGGCTTGATCCCCATATAGTCCACAAAACCCCCCCAAAAAAACCTAGAACAAAAAAATCAAATCATAATTTGGTGACAAATGCTATAGTGTTTCCTGTGTGTTTTGCTTGTTCACCTGTTTCCTGTGCGTTCCAATCGGGAATCTGGACACATGTCTAACTCTGGGGTGGAATCGACAATTTCTTGGACATCGGACCACTCATCACTGCTTCCCATTCCTGTGGGAGAGACACCAAGTGAGGTCTGCTACCATTTGTACTTTGGAAACAAAGTTGTTGAAATTCTTAATGAGTCTGAAAAGAAACTTAGTTATTCACTAAAGTGTAAACTATTAGGAATTCAACACGAATTTCACATCTTAGGCCAATATAGCCAAAATTAATGCATATCTGACTTGGGGATTTTTCTAATTTGACTTTTTTTAGCTTAGCATTTTAAATTCACGCTAAATTTACTACTTTTCACCCTTTAGTATTTACACAGTAAATACACCTGAAAGAGATGAATAGTGGATAGGTCAGTTATATAACTATATACACCAGGTTTTGTTTTAGTTTCTAAACATGTTTTTGATAAACAGATTCAAAATTTCTATGCATGTACTCCATTTCCCTAGAATCATAAAGAAAATAAGAAAACCAAATCCTATAAAATTATAAAATGTGAACTTTTAATCATTGTAGAACTTATAGAATGTATCTGGATTTCCAATTTGCGACACAAGGAGATTTTATTTAATGGGACACTGTAGGCACCCAGACCACTTTAACTAATTGAAGTGGTCTGGGTGCAGTGTCCCTTTGATCCGGTATCTGACGCTGGACGTCCTCACACTCTGCATGAGGACACCCAGTGTCAGTTATTCCCCATAGGAAAACATTGATTCAATGCTTTCCTGTGGGGAGGTCTAAAGCGCGGCACAACATTTGCCGCTCGTTGCAGGACATGGGTGGGGGCGGACCAATGGCGGACCTGGGAGAGGGGCGAGGAGGGGTAAAGCGAGAATAGGGTCAGAAATACAGCTGTGTATTTAATGAAGGACTACAACTTCCTTGACACTTAGCTATTTATTTTGCCACCTACTCATCCAGTATTCCACAGCAGCTAGGATGTTTCAGCTTCATAGGTAGGGAATGAGACAAAAAGAGATTTAAAAAAAATGTGATCCGCAGTTAGCTACAGATCACAAAATCATTGTCTTCTCAATGGAATCTGCAATTCCTAAATTCAATCTTGTTACATTTCTACATTGTCTCTTCTTTTTTAATGTAAGGGAAATATATAGGTCTTACCTATGCTGACATTCCTCATCTCTTGGTTCACCTGGACCTCCATGTTATGGCTGTTCCTTTTGTCCCTCGACCTCTTTGTCTTACCGGTCATTCCATAGTCCTGGAGAGGCTGTAGGCTTTCGTGCAGTGGGGTGACAGCCGCTGATGGGACGGATGAGGTGGGGGTGTTAGATTTCGTTCCAGTCGTGCTTGGGGTGGCTGCCACCGAGGACTGACCAGACTCTGACATTTCATCCTGCTAGCACGAGATTAGAAAACCGTTGTCTTAAACTAAGTCTCTTGATGTGATATAAAAAAGACCTTCAAGTATGTAAACTAGATCTCAATTCTAGATCTTACCTGTACCAGACAGATAAGAATTAGAGTGTAAGCCATGGGATGTCTGGAAGATAACTGTGGTGCTACTTAGGTGATCATTCTAGAGGTGACATCAGTCAAAATTTCTTAAAAACATGATAGGGGTCTTGCCAGACATAATATGGGACCTTAAAGTATTGCAGCTCATTGTCAATCTTCTCCTTCTCTTGTTTCCGACTGTACCCCAACCTACTTCTACCAGAAATCTTTTCTGGGTAGCTTCACCAATTATCACCACTTTCCCCATTAAGAGCTGAACTTTTTATTAAGAGCTGGACTTTTTATTAAGAGCTGAACTTTTTATTTTAGGTAAAGGAACAGATCTCCACGTATGTATTTGCCCTATGTATATTATTGCCCTCTTTCCCAAAAATAATAAGCTGGTAGCTCCCCAAGTATGCTTATAAAGTCCTTCATACAGTTTGTACGGAACATTTAGAAGTCTTCTTCTAACTGTTTCAGTGATCACCTGCTCCTTTTAGAGTTTCACATGAGAAGAACAAATTTGACAATTACTTTGGGGTCACGAATTAATTCAAAATTAAAGGGCTTGTATTTCTCTTTAAAAACACCTGTTCTATACATCTGGCGCTGAATTTTTCCCCCCACAACATATTTCAGTCTCTGCCATGGAATATGAATTCATCAGGAAGGAAGGGCTATGTGCGTGGTGGGAGATCGTGTTCTAAAAACCAGAGAAGGTTAATGTAAGTGTAAATATGTTGTTAAAAAATATTTTGCAGTTGCCGACTGCTAATACAACACCAAGACAGTGATTTATACTCTATTCTTTACTGACAAAAATAAGTATTTTCTCATTTTTTAATACTATGTACATTTTGCCATAAAATGTGTATTGAATTCACACTCACCTGATGCAGAGGACAAGTTACCTGCCCAAAGATTAACCAAAACTAAGCATACTTCTATGCTTAAATATCCCGTCCATTTTATATTATAAACTAGCTGCCATTTGAGAGACACTGAACAAATGCGGTGAGTGGAATGTAGTTGGAATTGTTTCGAAATGGCTTTTTAGAGGAGGAATCTCGGTAAATAATATTATGTACAATGGGGAGGGTGTGCCTATCCCAATTTGGTTTTAATGAATGTCTAGTGAAAGAATGACAAAATGGTTAATCTCTTGTCAGGTTTAGGTGAATCAGGCAGCATCGTGGTCTATAGTTTGTACAGAACAGGTTCATGTCATCATGGAGCATTGTTACTCTGCAATGTATAAAGAAAACTTTTAATGTCAAGTACCGCTGTTGCTCTGTAATATTACGAGTATACAAAGGGTTTGAATGTAAAGGAGCGTTAACAAACACTGTTGCTCTGTAACGTGTGGCAAAAACATTGGATAATAAGTAACATCGTTACTCTGTAATGTGTATAGAAACAACCAAAGCACTTTAGCTTGCTGAACTGCTTTATGTGTGAAGCGTGTGTCCTCTTTTTTCATTTTACAAAAAGTGTATATTTTGATAGAAATTGGCACTTTTATAAATTAACCTTGTTAAACCCACTGGCTGGCAATCATACAACTGGCAGCGATTGCCCAGAGCACCTGAGGCTTCTCATTGAGCTGCATTGGGAAGTCTGTGATTGGGCAGCCACAGAAAGTCTGGGCGGGGTTAGAAGGGGAGGGCTTACAAAGTCTGCAGAAAAGAGATCTGAAGTTTTTGCAAGCTATTATATATATCCCCAATGAAAAAATATATAATTAAATGCATGCATGTTTTCATTGTTTATATATCTACTAAACAGTGTTGTTGTTTTCTTGTTTTAAAAAAAAAATGTATTTGGGCAGTGGCACGTCCCTTTAAAGAGCATTATTACTCTGTAATGTGTATAGAAAGAGTTTGGATGTTAAAGAGTATTGTTACTCAGTAACTTTGTAATGATATGACACGAGTGAGATGGATCTGGTTGATGGAGACACGTGGAGGGAACTCTGCTCCCATGACTGTCAGAGCCAACCTTGTAGCTGAAGCTGGACTTTAGCTGGCTGAGGTCACTCAGGTGCCAGTGGTCCGAGCTTGGGGTGATTTTTCCACCCATCTGCCCACGTACCATTCCGTCAGCCAGTGGAAAGACGTTTAGTGAGGTCGGGCGTTCCTTTCGGCTGCAAAATAAAAAAAGTTGAAAAGAGGTATATCAGTGATAGGAATCCAGCAAAGCAGATGGCCAACATTACAACTCTTATTCAAGCGGTCATTGCAATATAAACCTCATCATCCTAAGGCAGAAAAAGACTGGCAACGCATGATAATAATGACATGATGTCAATTCTGGCCCATTTAGGGACAACCTTGGCAGATATTATGTTGATGGGAATCATACTTTTGAGCACTTCAAATGACTTCAATTTTATCATAATAAGGAAGGAAAAATATTTTTTATAACCTATATGGGCAATAAGATTTGAACATTTTTTTTATAATGCACATATTATCTAATATAGACCTAAACACCATGTTTTGCAAAAAAAAAAAAAAAAAAAAAGAGTAACCAGACCTTCTGCAAGCATCTTCAAATTTGATTTAAAAAACAAAAAAAAGCCTATAAGAAATAATTTCCTCTACTGTAGGTGAAATTTCCTATCATCACGTCTTGGTGGATGACCTCTTTGTACAGTTCTGCTAGAGAAGAAATATTGAATGATGGCAGCTTAGACGCCGAGGCTGGACGCACAAGGTCTTGGAAAATATAACTCTTAACTGTTGTCTGGCCAGGGAAAGGCCAGCTATTGACATAGGAATATCCACTTTAACTTGAAATGCCAATTATCTTTACTTTGTTACGGTGCTAGAATGTGTTTTAGCTTAATTGGTAGGAGATTTGAATAGGTAAACGGTTGTTTCTGCTAAGCACTTTATTAGTGGAGAAGGAGGGTGTTCGAGGAGTTAACATCAAGTGATCATGCAGACCTCTAAGTCAGACATCCAGGATGTGCAAACACAGGCAGACAGTGGAAACTTAGAGTAGACAGCAGTACAAGGGACTGGATGCTTATTACACATAAGATCTTATGAAAGGATCGAGGGTGTAAAAACCAATATGGACAGAGTATCTCCCCTTACGGGTTATTCACTAAGACCAGAAAATATCTCTAATTCAGTTGTACTTTCACTTTGGCCACATCGACATTAAATGTGAAATTTACTTTTAATTCTCACATTATTGAACAACCCTGTATTTATTTTCAACTCTTAGTAAATTGCTAAATCAGATTATAAAATAATTACATAAATTCAAAATGAACAAAAAAGAAAATATTTTTTTTTTTTAAAGTGCTTTTACACACTATGGTTTAACCACTAAACCAGGAAATGTGAAGAACAGGCAAAGGAATTGCAAATTTTAAATCAATTTATTTGAAATGAAAATAATTGAACTGGAATAATTTGTGAATTTAGCTATTTTTCCGGCTTGGTTAATTTGGTCTAAAATGAGCCATTCTTCACAATTCTTTTATTAGCAAATAAACCGCCAGCATGTTTTACTCTGTTTTCTGGATGGTAAAATGTATGTGGAGTATGTGAATATACTTGTTACATACATCTGTATTCCTAACGCTACAGTATTAATGTCCCTACTTATTTTTAGGCCCCCACCACCTACAAATTTAAAAACCAAATCAAATAAAAATAAATGTTCTACTCACCTTCTCTCAAGTGCCAGCCCCCTCATAGCATGTCTCCAGGATGAGTGTCCAATCCAATGCTCTTCATAGAGGAGCACTGGGGACCGCGATGCACCTAAGATTCTGCTACAGAGAATCATTGCATGCAATGATTCTCTATGGAAAGCCCTGTTGGCTCTCATACCCAGAGGGCTTGGAGGTTTGGTTCGAAGCCGCGATGCACCTAAGATTCTGCTACAGAGAATCATGCAATGATTCTCTATGGAAAGCCCTGTTGGCTCTCATACCCAGAGGGCTTGGAGGTTTGGATCGAAGCCGCGATGCACCTAAGATTCTGCTACAGAGAATCATGCAATGATTCTCTATGGAAAGCCCTGTTGGCTCTCATACCCAGAGGGCTTGGAGGTTTGGTTCGAAGCCGCGATGCACCTAAGATTCTGCTACAGAGAATCATGCAATGATTCTCTATGGAAACCCCTGTTGGCTCTCATACCCAGAAGGCTTGGAGGTTTGGTTTGAAGCTGCACTACCAAGCCTTCTAATTACTATAATACTTAGCTCTGGGTTCCCTAAGGAGGGGGGATAAACTGTAGGCACTAAAACAACTTCATCTAGATAAAGCTGTTATAGTGAATACAGTGTTCCTTTAATTGAGTAACAGTTACCAACCATATTTTTGTTTATAATGCTGATAAACAAATAACGTTAACAGAAAAGAAAGGACAAGGTCTAATCTTAGAGTCAAGGTAACAAATAGATAAGTGCATTGGGTAAGTATATTCTCCCCCAGCTTACACCATGCAAGCGTACATGTCACTTGGGGTATTTTGGGGTAAAAACAAGCAAATTCCACAAATGACAGGGGAAAAATCTGGGGAAAGACAGGAAGTGAGTCATAACTGTGGACAGGGGAGTGTCTGAGAAGTTAATAGGCGTAGCATGCAGGGTTTAGGGGTGGCATCGGGGAGCAGCCAAAAGTGGGGATTTTTTAAGAGTGATCTTCTACTTCCATTTTGGGCTCAAGCCCAAATGTTTTATGGTGCTTTAATAATTAATTAGCAAAACATCAAAAGTACACATGCTGCTCTGAATAGCAAGTGTCTCACACACCCAGAACATTTAGCTAAACCAACATCTAAAGTGCGTCTAGTGCTATAGACACCCACCAAAAATAGCCGTCTTAGGTATTTGACTTTTATACTTAATACCACTATTTGTGGTGGGTGTCAATAGCACTAGGCGCTCTTTATTTGTTGGTTTATCTATGTTTTTAAAAGCTAGCATTGTCCCTGAATAACCTAAAGAAATTTTCCCCTTTCTGCCTAAAATTGGCAGCTTCTTTGTCAATCATTGGAAGCTGTCCCAGAAAACAGAATAGTTCTACGTAGTACAGGCCTTTGGTAACTACTAGTTTTATTGACAGTGCAAACGGGATTTACCTCTTCCTCCAGGACTGGCGGTGGCTGGAGTTACATGTCACAGACAAGACACCCAAAAACACAGCGGTCACAGCACAAGAAGCAAGACAAGAAAAACAGCTGTTAGATGCAATGGTTCATGCATACAACAAGTGTGCAAAAGGATGGGCAAGCGCAGTGGCGTGAGGTGTGTTCTTCAACATGCATGGACGCCAAACTTATAGCTTCGGAAGAACTCACACGCTAAACAAATACTGTGAAAACAGATATTAAATATATATATGTAGGTAGACCTCCAGTGGGAAGCTTGCCCTCTCAGTGCCAATGGACACAGACTCCCTAACCTGCCTGACAAGAAGGTTAACAGGGATATAGCGTGACCAAATTCTGCTTAACGTTTTTTAGTATTTTAGCCAAATAATGAGGAAGTGAAGCTTCCACTTTATGATGTCCTCAGCTGAGGGGGTGCTCTATCTGCACCTCAGCTCTCTCTCCAGAGAGAAAAGCACGAGCCTTCCATATTGCGTGTAGGGAGGGCAGATTACTGTTTTTTATCTTTCAAAACTAATACGTTTTTCTCTGGTCGTGTCTAAGAGTCCTCTCTGCCGTTAACCTTTCCTTTACCTAATAGGATATCATGAAATATTTAATATTTCTGTTAATGGAGAGCTAGATTTTATCAATATTTTAACAACCATATCAGCCCCCTTTATTAAGGCACGCTTGTAAATCTGGTAATTTGTTAAGAGTTGCTAGAAAAAGACTAAATATGTTCACCTAAAGTATATCTTATTATAAAATGTTGCTACACTTGTCTAAATTTTTTGAAATACTCATGACTCATAGTGGCAATGCAAGCCGTATATTAATCCTAGCACAGTAATGGTTAATGTTGTAACTACAGATGTTTGTGAAATGCCAGTAGGTCAGCAAAGTATCATGGGAAAAAAATGCCTCAAATCATTTGCAAGGGGTCAAGGTGGGCCCATCATTTAAAGTAGGGATGCGTAGTTACAGCGTTACATGGAGGTGGAAGAGAATTCGAATCGCTCATATCATGCATTTCCGTTTTACAATATATTTGCACACATCGATGCCAAATCTCTCGACTCCTTGTCAAAATTGAAGCCACACTTCCATCAATCCCAACATTAATGATATTGGCAGGATAACTTCAGCTAAACATTTTAAAGGTTAATCAATTTTAAATTATTTTGATTAGTTTAACAATTCTGCACCTTCTGCCAGTGACGCCAACATCTGATTGGCTGTTTCCTGCCACCTGCTGAAGTTTGGACCTTTCAATATGTTCCACATACGTTTGGATCATCTGTGAGACAAAACAATGTGTTATCAAAAAGAAGCAATCAATCTTATTGTTCCTTTAACCCCTTAAGGACACATGACATGTGTGACATGTCATGATTCCCTTTTATTCCAGAAGTTTGGTCCTAAGGGGTTAAGCAATAATTTCTTACCTACTTTCAGTGCATAATATGTTTACGCCAATTTGTCTTAGCTTAATACAAAAACAAGTAATGCATAACATCTTCAAGGCTCTGCTGTGTCATCCTGACTTACGCCATTTTGTCCTAGGATAATGGAAATTCCCTAAGTCAGGGAATTTCCCATGACGTGTGCACCCTTACGTTTTGGTTATGGCATTGTATCTTTTCCAAGTTAACAGATGTCCTAAACTGAACATCTAAGATATAAATATGTGTACTTTTTAAATATTAGCACACAGGGGAGAGATTTGGAGACAGAAATGCTGCTCTGTCTTATAATGACTGAGAGAGACTGACATGTTGACATGTTCAGGAGGGTATGTTATTCTATTTTAATGATATTGCAAGCATATGCTTTAATCTTATAAACTCTGCTATAAATTATTGTAATGGATTTTATATGTCTATATTTATGTTTTTATTTAATAAAATATCTAAAAAGACAAAACTTTATTGCTTCCAAGACAATCCTTATTTTATATTGTATTCTCAATTATTTATATGTATTTTAGATAGAGGATCTCTTACTAACTATATAATATTTTAGCTAAGATATCTGTGTGGTTAGCCGTGCTAAGTTCTATGCTTTAAGACGTTATAGTGGTAAATAAGGGAACCGGCTGCAGTTACAAAGGGTTGGCCTTGTGTCTTCCTCCAAGTTATTATTGCGTCTTAGAGATGTACCTCAGTATGTCGCTGATGCAAAGCGTTATATTCTTTCTTCATATCTGACTCACGTTCTTCTAACCTCGAAACTGAGAAAAAGTACAAGCACATTGAATTTTAGGGTGCTAATACACAAAAGGAAACATGAAGATTTCAGGTTGCTACATTTAAGGTCTTCTCCTTTACTTGATACCATATGCTCCCCAACAAATTCCAAGATTCACAATGTAGGTCCTCCCAGTGTCCAAACTACAACTCACAATGTTGACATACACAGTCCAGTCCCTCCCAATTCCAAGACCCAAACAACAGTTCCTCACAATGCTCACACCCCAGCACCTCACAATTCCAAGACCCACATCCATCTCTACACAATGCTAAGAGCAGCACTTCCACTCCTCACAAGGCTCACACCTCCGCCCAGATCCATCTGTGCACAATGAAAAAGACTTACAAACCTGCTCCTCACAATGCCAAGAGCAGCAAGGCAGCTCCTCACATGGCCAAGAATAGTGACACAGCTCCTCACAACATCAAGAGTAGCTAGACAGCTCCTCACAATGCTCGCTTTCCAGCTCCTCACAATCCCAAACCCACATCCATCTCTACACAATGCCAAGAGTAGTACTTCCACTCCATATAAGGCTCACACCCCAGCCCACATCCATCTGTGTACAATGGCAAGACTTACAACCCTGCTCCTCACAATGCCAAGAGCAGCAAGACAGCTCCTCACATGGCCAAGAGAAGTGACACAGCTCCTCACAACATAAAGAGCAGCAATACATTCCCAATGTCATGATTCACACCCACGCTCTGCATAAAGCTAAGACCCACAACCCAGGTATGCACAATGCCAAGACCCAACCCAACACCAAATAGTGTCAAGATTTAATCTATTAGACTTTATTAACTTTCCATGTTGCTCTACTGCCACAACCAACAGCCCCACATTCAATGCTGCACACAATGGTACCACTATTGGACATTTCATGGAACATACTTTGGTCAGCATAGTTTTTGGTCTTTAGCTCCAGTTGCCGTGACTGAAATTCAAGGCTTTCCACTTGGTTCTGGAGATCTTTTTTGTCTTGCTCCAGAGCATCTTCAAACTCAATGAATTTCTGGGGAAAAGTAGAAAAAAAAATTATGAAAGAATAATATACAGTATATAAAAACATTAATTTGGCTGTTTAGTGATGAATCTCAAACGCAGGTTTTAATTCCAAAATTAGTTATCTTAAAATATATCTAGATTGACAATGATATGCCTGCAGGCAGGATCCAATTTGCACAGGTTTTCAGACTTACACATTTCTATAGTCCAAGGAAAATGGTTAACTCCTGTAACCAGACGCGAGGAATATGTTGCTTCCGCAATATAGTTCAGAAAGTACTAGGAAGGACAGGAAACATAGGCATGAACAGAAAGATGTATTATTGATCCTAAGATTGGCTTGGCTTAACGGAACATCCACTGATGTAATGATTGACTGTATCTAGATAAACAAGCCTAGGTTAGGATTCCAGAGCTTAGAACTAGCCACGGTCAGAATCACAAAATTCCCTGTAAATGTAAAACTAGTGGAGTTCAGGGTCATAGGGAGATACCACTGGGTACCTTTAGACTGAGCCTGTGGTGGCACACAGATGCCACGGGGGATGCACTGTGAGAGCCCCAAGTTGTGTTACACAAAGTCCCACAGTATAGCCTTACAAAATATATCCAACTGAATACAGAATTAAGAGTTCTTTATAGAGGATCTGTTACCTTTATATGTCTTACTCCAATAAATGCTGCTGAAGTGAAATGCAGTGGAGGTTAATATAAAACGGACACTTACCTGGGTCCCTCCGGTGTCTCCAGTATGGCCTCCGTTTCTGAGATGGGAAGGTTCTAACATAATTCAATGGCTGAGAGCAGAGAACCCCTGGCACCATAACCACTACAATAGGCTGCAATTGTTATGGTGCCTAGAATGTCCAAAATATTGTGATATGTTCATGGTAACTGTCTCTTGGAGTTCATATACTCAAATATGACCACATGTTATGAATGCATTCTATTTGTTTTGTTAATGGCTTATTACCCATCCAAGGGCAAGCCCTTAAGTCCGATGTGTGCACACCACTAAATGTAGCTAGTCATTTCCAATTTACAGATACACTGCTAATTTAACAAATAGAAAATAAATAAATATGCTTGCAAATGAGACTATTTAAAAACACCACTGTTTGTATTTGGCTTTTGTAAAGTGAAATGTCCAAAAAGGTTCTGGTTTCTTCAACAGAACTACCTTCTTAAGAAAAGTCATAAGAAATTCAAGGGATAATTGTGATCATTGTGATGCTAGCTAGACAAGTAACACGTACTATTACAGAGGCTGTTTAAGGTATTTCAAGTATCATTCCTCTGGGTCTCTACAATGAATGAGATTAACCCATTTTAGCCTAATCCTCTGCTCTGGCAGATAAAACATGCCCTCATCTAAGCCTCATGTTCTTACATAACTTATTGTCTTGATGAAAGTTCTAAATTTGAACTGAAACATTGACTATTGGATTTATGTTGAAATAAGAAAACTATTTTTTTCTAAAGTAATAGGTTGTTGTCTCATCTTTTATTGAGGCTATCTCTGCAGGGCCACCTTCCAAAATCAATTAGACCCACTTGGGGCTAGACTTGTTTCACAATGCAAACTGCAGCTCGGCTGAATTTAGGGTGACTGGGTGTTTGAATTCAGAGCCAAAATATACAAAAATATATATTACGCACTAACTGAACCATGCAACGGGGGGGGGACAGGCGGAGGGATTGCAGGGTATTCTGGGTACGCCTGTGGTGCCAAAAAAAGGAAATGTTTGTTGGGAAAAAAATCTGATTAATATAATTATTAGTTGGGAGACAGTCTCTAAATGTTGACGGTATACACAGAGCAATAGAGAGGAAACAGAATTAGTAAACTAAATTTATATATTATGACTGTCCAATGCCTGGACTGCTCTATTGTAATGACACTCAAAGGCCACTATATTTAACTCTTTGGAAAACTAATAAAAACTTAAAAAAGAAAAATAGTTTAGATTTAGATATTATATCCTATTGTACACCGCTATGGAATTTTCTAGCGCTTTATAAATAAAATAATAAAAATAATATTATATTTCATTAATATATCACACAAACATATCGATTTCTTTCACTGCGCCTCACTGCGCCTAGTGTTTTTCCTTCTGTTGGTTACTTAATCTCACTTGATCTGTGAACCAGCTGGCGGAAAGCGCTCCTATCAGTGTTCTGCCAAATATAGACATTATTGGCACATTTTCCCACATTTTTGGATGAGCTGAACAAACATCTAGGTGTCCCGAAAATTTTTCTATCTTCAGAAAAATGATTCGTCAGAAAATCAATTTCTCGCATCTAATAGGGGCTCAGTGGAAGTTGTGAGAAATGTCCCTCGATAAATGATTTTATGTCAATAGCCTGGTCTGGCCAATATATTGCAGGGCTTAATGTAATACATTGTATTTACTGTAATACAGTACCGCAAAGCTCTGCCCTACTAATGAGAAACACCACACTAATAATTGTTTTTTTTTTTTTAAATAACTCAGGCCTTGATTTAATATTTTTAGATACGCATTTAAAATGATTAAACATTTGCTAGAAACAAAAAATCTAATTATTTATTTGCAGAAGTCAATTTGTATATTAAATTGAGGTTGGAAAAAAATTTAAGTTTAGTAAATAAACCCATGTGCCGCCTACCTGCTTACATGTATCCTTAGGAGTCCATTCATTATATACCGAATTGTAGTGAGCTAAATTTTTTTTGCTTAAAGGGACACTATTGGCACCAAATTAATTTTTTTACCGGAATGATACAATTTTGGTGCATAGATCATGCCCCTGCAATCTCACTGCTCACTTCTCTGCCATTTATAAGTTAAATCACTTTGCTTATAGAGCCCTAGTCACACCTCCCTGCATGTGACTTGTACAGCCTTCCTAAACACTTCCTGTAAAGAGAGATCTAATGTTTAAACTTCCTTTATTGCACATTCTATTGGATTTAGAATGGCTTGTCTCTTGCTCTGTTAATAGCCTTCTAGACCCTGCAGGAGCCTCATGAAACCTGTTTTAAAATGCAACAATTTTTTTCACGCAGGCTTTATCAGTCAGAGCCAGGGTAGGTGTGGCTAGGGCGGCATAACCAGAAACAAAGTGATTTAACTCCTAAATGGCAGATATTTAAGAAGTGAGACTGCAGGAGCAGGATCAAGACATCAATGCAGCTTCATTAATCTCAGGTTCTTTTGATTCCTATAGTGTCCCTTTCAATTTTGCTCTCAGGATTATCATTCAAAAGGGACATTTTGCACAGGATGGCAATAAGCCAGGCACAGCCCACATTGTCAGCAGCGTGAATGAGGACATTCTGGCCAGCAAGTGGAAATTCACCAATGCAGAATCAAATCTCCCGAAATATTACAGGTGGACGTTTTAAAAGTTTTTTGTTACAGCATATATTTAGTAATGATATTGAATAAAATAATTAAAAAAATAAAAATATAAAAATGCTTGCAATATAGACCTAGAACCCTTGAGTAACAGAGGAAGCCTTAAAATTGCAGAGTGTGGTAACATGAACCAGTGTATAAATAATTAACACAGAGAGTAGGAGTTATAGCTTTTCCCCCCAGGCCTTTTATTTAGAGCAGGGACATGTATGATATTACAAAACGTTCCACTGTGTGATGCTATAAACATTTTTACAGCTAAATAGTTTTTTATTTTTTTTAAATGTTGAATATTTATTTAACAGGAAATCTTCCCTAAAGACACATACTTTGCAGTACCCTAGAAAAACTGTGAAAAAAGAACTTCACAACTTTAAAGACATAGGCTCTATTATAGCCATTTAGAACACAGACAACAAATATACCATTTAAAGAGACCTACGACTCGCGTGAAATCATAGTACCATACCTCCCAGCATTTCAAATGGACAAAGAGGGACACTTTGATTTTTAGGGGTGTGAGTGGAGGTGTGGCCAGGGGTGGGGTTGTTCTAAAAAAAAAAAAGTGCTATCTATTAACAATTTATAGAACTAAAATGTAATAAAGAACACAAACAATGTGTCTTATTTACACAGACTGATTTCTAAACACAGTTATTGCAGTTTAAATACACATTACTGGGAGTATTATTGCTGTGGAGCTCTGTTATACACTCAGACACATTACTGGGAGTATTATTGCTTTGGAGTTCTGTTATACACTCAGACACATTACTGGGAGTATTATTGCTGTGGAGCTCTGTTATACACTCAGACACATTACTGGGAGTATTATTGCTGTGGGGCTCTGTTATACACTCAGACACATTACTGGGAGTATTATTGCTGTGGAGCTCTGTTATACACTCAGACACATTACTGGGAGTATTATTGCTGTGGAGCTCTGTTATACACTCAGACACATTACTGGGGTATTATTGAGGTTCTGTTATACACTCAGCCACATTACTGGGAGTATTATTGCTGTGGAGCTCTGTTATACACTCAGACACATTACTGGGAGTATTACTGCTGTGGAGCTCTGTTATACACTCAGACACATTACTGGGAGTATTATTGCTGTGGGGCTCTGTTATACACTCAGACACATTACTGGGAGTATTATTGCTGTGGAGCTCTGTTATACACTCAGACACATTACTGGGAGTATTATTGCTGTGGAGCTCTGTTATACACTCAGACACATTACTGGGAGTATTATTGCTGTGGAGCTCTGTTATACACTCAGACACATTACTGGGAGTATTATTCTGTGGAGCTCTGTTATACACTCAGACACATTACTGGGAGTATTATTGCTGTGGAGCTCTGTTATACACTCAGACACATTACTGGGAGTATTATTGCTGTGGAGCTCTGTTATACACTCAGACACATTACTGGGAGTATTATTGCTGTGGAGCTCTGTTATACACTCAGAAACATTACTGGGAGTATTATTGTTATGGAGCTCTGTTATACACTCAGACACATTACTGGGAGTATTATTGTTATGGAGCTCTGTTATACACTCAGACACATTGCTGGGAGTATTATTGCTGTGGAGCTCTGTTATACACTCAGACACATTACTGGGAGTATTGTTACTGTGGAGCTCTGTTATACACTCAGACACATTACTGGGAGTATTGTTACTGTGGAGCTCTGTTATACACTCAGACACATTACTGGGAGTATTATTACTGTGGAGCTCTGTTGTACACTCAGACACATTACTGGGAGTATTATTGCTGTGGAGCTCTGTTGTACACTCAGACACATTACTGGGAGTATTATTGCTGTGGAGCTCTGTTATACACTCAGACACATTACTGGGAGTATTATTGCTGTGGAGCTCTGTTATACACTCAGACACAACAAGAATATGAAACTCTTAGAAAATAGGGACATTTGGAATGTATGTTTTGGGCATCTAAAACTTCATAGTAGTTTCAATTACTTAGGGGTATTAATTAGATCCATTAGATGTTTGGGGGGGTGGGAAGGCTTATATCAAATGATTTATCATGCACTTTTTATTGCACTGCAATAATATATTCCAAGGTGCAATGCAAACTATCTCTGTCAATATAGGTGGCCATATCCCCACAATGCCAGCGTGAATATCTCCATATCACCTCTATCTTTGTGCTTCTATCCTTGTTGCACTACAATACTTATCACTCCTAGGCAGCCAAGCGCTGTATCCTTTGACCCAACACCTGAAATAAGATTACTGACCATTTAACAGCAGCAAAAGGATGTGAGAATTTAAAAGTCCCAACACACCTTTCTGGGCACCTGTTCTAAAGGAGGATTTTATGGCATTGGAAAAAATGCAGAGGCGGGCTACAAAATTAATAAAAGGAATGGTACATTTTAGTCAGTCTCGTTTAAAGAAATGTTAACAAATTTTAAACCTCTTTAGTTTAGAAAAACAGAGCCTTGGGTCAGACATGATAGCATTATACAAGTATATTTAGTTCCAATACAAACCAATTGTCTGAAAAGCTATTCATGAACAGTGCTATACGTAGGACACAAGGTCACACATTTAGACAGGGAGATTTAGTCTAAGGCAAAGGAAAGATTTTTGACAGTAAGAATAGAGAACTATCTGCCTGAAGAGGTGGTTTTATCAGAGTCTGCACAGATGTTTAAACAGCAACTGGACAAATTCTTGTAAAAACATAATATTCAGGGATATCATTTTTAATTCGTGGGATAATATCATCTTGATCCACAGAGAGATCTGACTGCCATTCTGGGATCAAGCAGGATTTTTCCCCTAGTTTTTTGCAAAATTGGAAAGCGCTTGAAAGTGTTTTTTTGTTTGTTTTTTTTTGCCTTCCTTTGGAAGTGCAAAAACAGATGTGAGAAAGGCTGAACTTAATGGACGCATGTCTTTTTTCAGCCTATGTAACTATGTAAGGCCTAATTACTGCAAGATGGGGGAGCACTGTTACAGATAATGGATTCGCTGAGAGTGAACAGAGCAAACAAGAGTCAGCTGTATTCATGTGTTGGCTAGCATGTCTCTGGTACTCTCCAATTACACCCTGTCCATCCCTCGAAATCAGATCAATGATGTCACCTCGCAAAATATAGAATAAGAGAAACTGCTATGTTTATAAATGGGTTAATCCAGCCTCTAGTGGCTGTCTCAGCCGCTAGAGGACTTCCGCGCTTCTCACTGTGATTTTCATAGTGATAAGATGCCAGCGTACATAGGAAAGCATTGTGCATGCTTTTCTATGGACTGGCTGAATGCGTGCGCGGCTCCAGCCGAAGAGGAGGAGAGCTCCCCGCCCGGTGCTGGAGAAAGAGGTAAGTTTAACCCCTTCCTCTCCATCCAGCCCGGGGGGAGGGGGACCCTGAGGGTGGGGGCACCCTCGGGGCACTATAGTGCCAGAAAAACAAGTATGTTTTCCTGGCACTATAGTGGTCCTTTAATGAGGCAGGGGGGCACCAGCTGGCTTTATCAGTGATATAAGGTTAATGTATGATGGCTGGACTATAGGTTGCTATCAATAACAATGATATCATTACTAGTTAAAAGGAAACAGTCATGTCTCCAGAAATTATACCATTGAATAAAACATTGACAATCACCACTTGTGTTCATCTTTTTTCCTGTCATGGTCTGCTTCATTTTAAATGTACATTAAATATTTAGCAAATTTCATAATTAAAATACGAGAAACAAAAATATTTCTGATACTACTGATTTCTAAACACATTTATTGTAGTTTAAAGACATATTACTGGGAGTACTATTGATGTTAAGCTCTGTTACACTCAGATACACCATCAACATGGAGCTCATACAAAACGGGGGACAGAGGGATTTAGGCAGAAAATAGGGACTGTCCATCCTAAAAAGGGACACTTGGGAGGTATGGTGTATGCATGTCATGCAACAAAGTGGGTCACTATAAAAAGCCCTATACAAAGCTTGCTGGTTTTAAAACATAAAACATGTGCATCACTTTAGCAGGACTACTTAGCAAGGTCTCTGCATTATTTATCACTGCAAACCAGTCATGGAGGCAATGTACTCAAACGCTCAATAGTGACTCAAAGACATCTTTACAAATCTAATCAATGAGAGTAAACAGACCTTAGACATGCATTTAAAATGGAAAATGCATATCAGAAGTAGACTGATATACGGGTTTAAATGTCAAAGAGCGAGTGAGAGAGGTGTGTGTGTGTGTGTGTGTGTGTGTGTGTATGTGTGTGTGTGTGTATGTATGTGTGTGTGTGTGTTATTTCTACCATATGCTCTGCTGAAAATCCCAAGGAGAAAATAAACTATGTTTATAAAACACACTATAATCCTATACCTGTATATTGAGCATGAGAAATGTGATATAATGTGAATAATGTTCTTAATATCAGGGTGTAAATAAATAGAGGTTGTGGGAGATGCATAATCTCTCTCACTCAGGAACTCCTATCTATTACAGCAAGACAGTTCCAAGATATGATTTGTAATAAGGTATGTAAAAGTAAGAGCAGGTAAGGCAGATCAGTGCTGGAAGGGTCATAGATCTCCTGTGATGTCATATCGCTGAGCCCTGTGATGTCATATCGCTGAGCCCTGTGATGTCAGATCACTGAAACCTGTGATGTCATATCACTGAGCCCTTTTATATATATAGATTGTTAAATAATACAAACAAGCGCTATAATGCATGGAATCTTTTATTTAAAATAATAACCATAATAAATGATGAACGTTTTCCTATAAAGACATCTAGGAACTGTCCACTGTTGCAGAGGGACGACACTGACCGAGTACCTCCGTCTCTCAATTATGTTTACTTTTAGAAAAAACATACTTCCATCATTAGGCAGAGAAAATCGTAATTATCAGTTACAATTAGAATTACTTGTTCTGGATGAAAACCAGAAATACATTCATAATTAACCGGAGGAAACCAAGCAAAATCGCACATCTACTTTGGGCCTTCTTAGACAAATGGCTGCCAGTTCTTGTATTTTTAAAAATTATCTATTATGTAATCAACCCATCTAAATTGCGTCATAAATCTAATGGACGCCATCAGACAATATGCTCTGGTATATGTACATCAGGACAGCTCTGGTATATGTACATCAGGACCCTCGCATACCAAGCTTGGAACCTTTTGCTACAAAAGCATATGACGGTAAAAGGACATGCAACTGGACTGAAGTCAAACGCACACTCCAAGCACCATTACCACTACAGCCTGTTGTTTTATCAAACTTTTTTTGCACACTGCACACAATCTTCACAATCCTTTCTGTGTGGTTGATTTGCAGCTAATCTTTTCTGCACCGGTAAATCGACAAAGATAACTTGCGTTGGTTATTAGTGGACGTCAACTGTGTCACGATACAGAAACTTGGGAGAAGCTTTTCTGTTGCTATGACAATAGCAATCCTGTGCTTGTGTCACGTGATTATGTATTTCTTCGATTATAGCAGACCCATGGAAAAAACACAAATTTGTCAGGCTGAAAAAGTAATTTCTGCACACAATCTGGGAATTCATAAGTTACAGAGGTGATGCTCTGAGTGCTGTGGCAGTAGTAGGTATATTTATAAAAAGATCCATGATCCATTTGGGCACATAGTGTTACGGATCATCATTTGACTAGGGTTTGTAGATAAAGCAAATAAATTCTCTAAAACAAGGAAAATCAGCAAGTGGTTTGCACAAACTTGATTCCTTAACGGAAAATGTATTTGCATCAATTTAAATCTGGGTTTAAAAATAGAATAAGTTTTCTGGTGTTTCTTTGGGTGTCTGAATTGATTATTCACTAATTACCTCACTGGCGCAGAAATAGGTTTTCCTTAAAATGAATCTAACTGGAAACACTACAATTTCCTATACAAAACCATTAGTTTATATGAACAAAGCTACACGTATAGTGAATGTAGGTGTCCAGGAGGTAAGTGAGTGATATTCTGTAGCTGTCAGAATGTTTCCATGTAAGGCATGATACGTTAGAGCAGGGGTTCCCAATTCATTTTTCCCGTGGAACCCTTTGACATAGTGTATCAACATCGTGACACCAACCATCCCCCCTCTCCAAAAACAAGCTATTTCGCGCCGTTGTGTTAACCTTTCAATTAGCAAGATTTGCACATTTGTGTTTTTACTATACATACACCCTAATAAACAGATTGCAGTACTGTACTTAGGAGCAGGTGTGTTTTTGTGTGTAGAGTTGGTGTTTGTATGTCATTTTATCGTTTTAATATAAGGATGTGATTGTATGGAATGTTAGCATTTGCGGGCAGAGGTGTATTTTATTTGGATGTAGTGTTGGATTTTAAATGTGGATGTACATTTGTGTGTAGTATTTTTATGTTTGTGTTTGCTGGAGTGTTTGTTGTGATCATGTTTGATTGCTGGGATGTCTGTACATGTACTGTCACATACATACTTACACATTAACAAACAGAAACACTCCGACACATACACAATCATATACACACATTGACACAGATACACACATCTTGACACACACTGTGTATCTGTGTGTGTATGTATCTGTATGTCAGTATGTGTATCTGTGTGCCTGTTTGTATCTGCCAGTGTGTGTCTCAAGTTGTGTATATCTGTTTGTATGTGCCGGTGTGTATCTGTTTGCATGTGCTGGTGTGTGTATTTGTGTCTCAGTGTGAATTTGTGTGTGTGTATGTATCTGACACACAGATACACACACTGGCACACAGATACACACACTGACAGAAACACTGACACACAGATACATATACTGACAGATACACATACCTTGGCACACAGATACACACACTGGCACAATGATACACACATTGGCAAATATATACACACACACACACACACACACTGACACACACATTGACACACATACCTTGACACACAGATACACAAACACACACAGATTCACACACATAGGCAGATACACACACTAACACAGGTACACACACAAACACACACAGATTCACACACATTGGCAGATACACACACCGATACAGGTACATACACAAATACACACAGATTCACACACATTGGGCAATACACACACTGACACAGGTATACACACACACACACACACGTAGACACCTACACGCACAGATTCACACACTGACACAGGTATACACACATATACACACAGATTCACACACACTGACACAGGTACACACACACATATATGTTTAAATTTGCTGTTCACTTACATTTTTTCTGCAGGAGGATCTTCAGTGCTGCTGGCTGAGGTTGGTGTGCTGCTCAGTCCCCGCTGCTCCCTCTCTCCCTCCAAGCGGCACGCTCTGTCTGGGAGGAAGTGCTGCCTCTTCCTCCCAGCATCCAATACTACAGGGGTCCGGTCGCGGTCTTAGATGACCGCGGCGCCAGACTGGACCCCTGTTTAGTGACACCCATTGGGTGGCCCTTAATGCTTGGGCCACCCAACGGGCAGATCGCTGCGGAACCCCAATTTTGTTCTCACGGAACCTACACCAATTGGGAAACGCTGCGTTAGAGTATGCAGGCCATGTCAGAGATTTACCGGAGGCCCAGCCTTCTACTGAGAGGAAGGCCGAGATTCAAGAGTAATGCAAACATAATAAATAATAGCAAGACTGAGGAGAGTCCTTTCACTGCATAAAGAGGAGGACATATTGCAAGATGGTGGAGATTGGAGCCGGATTTTGTTAGTAGAGCTCTCAGAATGTACAAATACACACCACCCAAGTGTCCCTATTTAGCAGGGACTGTCCCTATTTTGGGCCCTTATCTCCCTCTTTTTTAGAAGCTCCATATTGTTGGTGTGTTTTAGTGTATAACAGAGCTCCACAGCCATAATACTCCCAGTAATGTGTCTGAGTGTATAACAGAGTTCCACAGCAATAATACTCCCAGTAATGTGTCTGAGTGTATAACAGAGCTCCATAGCAATAATACTCCCAGTAATGTGTCTGAGTGTATAACAGAGCTCCACAGCAATAATACTCCCAGTAATGTGTCTGAGTGTATAACAGAGCTCCACAGTAATAATACTCCCAGTAATGTATCTGAGTGTATAACAGAGCTCCACAGTAATAATACTCCCAGTAATGTGTCTGAGTGTATAACAGAGGTCCACAGCAATAATACTCCCAGTAATGTGTCTGAGTGTTTAACAGAGCTCCACAGCCATAATACTCCCAGTAATGTGTCTGAGTGTATAACAGAGCCCCACAGCAATAATACTCCCAGTAATGTGTGTGAGTGTATAACAGAGCCCCACAGCAATAATACTCCCAGTAATGTGTCTTTAACCCCTGTGTGACATGTCATGATTCCCTTTTATTCCAGAAGTTTGGTCCTTAAGGGGTTAAACTGCAATAAATGTGTTTAAAAACCAGTCTGAGTAAATAAGACACATTGCTCTTGTTCTAAATGACATTTTAGTTACATAAATTATTAATAAGTCACCTAAAGTGTCCCAGAACAGCCCCACCCCGTAGCCAGGCCCACACTCATATCCCTTATATTAAAGGGCCCCTCATTGTCCATTTGAAATGTTGGGAAATGTGCCAAACACGTCCTTTTACATGCGTTTAGAATTCTCCCATTTGATCCTGCGATTTCAAGTCTGGATGTTTGTTTTTTCCCACTGGGTTATATATTTAAATATTAATTGACTGGGAAATAAATAATATGTAAATATCTGGCAGTGTTTCTGCATATCGAGTCTTCCTGTTGATATATACGTTTGTGGGTTTTGCGCTGAGTAAAGATCTGTTTACAGAGTCTTAGACAATCAAAAGAGTTATTTAAACAGGCCCTCAGAAAAACAGCTGGCCTGTCACCTGTGTGCGTGGTTTTGTTTTTGTTTTGTATATATTATGTAATTGGGGAATTATGGGTAAAATAAGTTAGTACCAATCTCCAGTGAACCAATTTACTCTCAGTTTTGTTTGCCAGGAAATATATTATTGCACAGGGTTATTTATTAAAGTGTGAAATATGAGGAGTTCATGTGAATAAAAAGTGAATTTCAAACAATAGCCCAAAATAGCCAAATTGGATAAAAGCCTCAACGTCCATTCCTTCACTTCACTTATTATTTTGGCGTCAAAATGAATTCACTTTGAATTCTCAACAGTACATAATCCTTGCTATGTGAATTGTATTGTGACAAATGATTGAGAATATTAAAGTGAACTCAGTGAGATCTAATCGTATTAGCATACATTGAACATACCGAGACTGTAATATGCATCAAACAATAAGTGGCAGGAAACATAAGCCATCAAAGTTTATGAAATTACTGGTAGCTCTCACTAGAGGAAAATCCAAAATGGCTGTTGGTACCTCAAGTCAACGACTTGTGCAAGAAGTGACAGCTCACCTTTAAGCCAAACATCATCCCTTCTGGCTCGCACAAGCCATTTATTTCTTAGAAGCAGACACGGTCTGGTAACCAGTAGAATGGTGTTGAAACTATTTGTCTTTTGTTTAAGTAATGACTTCATTGACAAAGTCACAGAACACATATTGCCCCTCACATATACAAACACCAAGATTAGGATGGAACTCAGGATCAATTCTGTCGATTACTACATTTGCTTTCAGATTGTTCAGCTGTCATGTCCATTTGCAATTCACCTATTTATCAAAGTTGCATCAAATTACATTTCCATTGCTATCCTGACATTGAAAAACCACTGGTTAATCACTATTTTAACACAATGTTTACACTCAAATCTACACCATGCGATGTCATCTCAAGATTGTGGAAGTAAACTTTATCTGTGGTAGAAGGATTCTGGAAATCTGAATCATATCTGGAAAGGACCATGAAAACATATTTTTTTTAATACAAATTCTAGTGTTTTCCTTTAATTATAAAGATCATATTTAAAAAGATAACGTAACATTTAATGCAAACTTATATGTTCCTATCGTGCACAGAATTCTAATCCTAATCTCTGATTTAGATATACAGCAATCACCAAAAACATTGGGAGCTCAATTCTCCTCAAGTGGGCAACTTCAATTTAGTAAATATTAGAGTTTACATAAAGCAACCTCCTAAATTCTCTAAAACTATGATGACCAATTTACGCTGCGACCTTTGGTATTTACACTTCTGGACCTTCAATCCTTACATGCTGAGTTCAACTGAGGCACTCTGATGATGGACATGACACCATACATGTGGAAGTGTACAGAGTTTCCCAGAGTTGGGAGAAGTACATTGCCCATTGATGGTCTTTTTCTGACAATTAGGTTCACAAGTTAAGTTTGGGGAAGCCTGGAGAAACAGACTTGATTATTGAACTCAAGTTAAGAGTGTCCTTCGTTGGTTTTACCTATGTTGGGCATCATTAAAAGTGAATGTTAATCTTTAACAATATAACTTATAGCAAAGTCATTCAGTAAGTCTGGCTCACTAGTGTACACCAGGACTTCAGCTGAAAGATACTATAAAGCAAACATTATCAAATGGACATTAGAAGTTCTTTCAACATCAGTAATGTATGATGTTTGGCATGCACCCTATGTTTCAATAATTACTTTCAACATGAATGGAATGAAACACTTGACAATCTGTGCATATAGCCTTGAACAAGAACCAACAAAATCCCTGTTTATCCATTTAAATTCCCACTACAGGAAGTGTTCATAACACACAGCTCCAAAGAAGCCAATTTTTTAGTTTGCAACTGAATCCTCATCTTAGCAAAACTCAACAACCTGGGCCCTAATAAGGGAAAAAAAGTCCCGTTCCATGCATTCATGTTATTCAAAAGTCCATTCGTTTAAAAAAAAAGAAAAAAGAAACCTTAAAGTCTAGACCTGAATGGTCTTCAAGCACCAGTTTCATACAGTATCATTGTGAAGCCATTAGTTTCTGAGATACTAGCGAACCAAGGAAGAATGTGGCCTAAAATAGTGTAATCTTAAATGGATTATAAAATTTGGGTCAATATAAAATGAAAATGTTTTCATGTAGACACCATTATTGTTATTATTGCCATTTATATAGCGACAACAGATTCCGTAGCACTCATCAACAATAGGACAAACTGATTAAGAAGTGATATGTTTTTCATTGAAATTACATTAATACCTATTTTTACACACGCCTCATTTGTTGATTAAGAAGGTACCTACCTCCTCTGCTTGTTTCCGAAGGGCTTTTTCCCGCTCGTACTGGGTCAGCAACTGCTCGTTGTCCTCCTTCAGAAGCTCAAGCTCCACTTCATGCTCCTGGTTCTCTGTCAAGACTGCGTCAAGGTTTTCCAGAACATTGACCACCAATGGCATGAGTTCCTTTACCACCTCCTCGTCGTAACATCGTATCAGACGCTCAAACTCACGGTAGATGCTGTTAGCCAGTCCAGACACCCGCTCCGACATAACTGACCCAGAGCAATAGTCATCTTGGTACACCACCCCATCGTCAATTTGTATCTCCATCATCTTGGCGGCTGGGAAACGACCCTCAAACAAGAGTGGGGTAATAATACAGATGGAGGAATCAGGGGAAACCCCCTTCAGGTGCCTTTAATTTCAGGGGGGGAAATAAAAATACATTTTAATTAAAATATCTAATAATTAAAAAAAAATTTTTATGGATGAATCAAATGCATGAAAACAAGGCAACTTCTCTCAAGATCTTATTTAGAATTTATATTAAGATGTCCAACTGCTTCCAAATGCCCTGCATAGGTTAATAGAACATTCTGAACAATTTGTCCTGTTTATTCTCCTTTGACTATCAGTTCCTCGTTCCAATGGCCTAGTGAAGTGTATACATTTACAATAACTACTACCTATGCACATTGATAAAGCAATGACTAATCTTAGTTCTACCCTATGAAAATGGAAAATATTTTTTTTCCAACCAGTAAATTACAATCAGTTTCCAGTCTGAGTAATTAAGCGATTGATTGGTATAAGACGGTGATTCGATACTCCTAACTATATGTATAAATGTACATTATTTACAGTGGACTGTACATTAGGATCCAGGCCTACTGTCACAGTGTGACACTATCTCCGTGCTAATGCATCATCGTTACCTATTTAAACACAGAGGAATGCTTTATATAAGGAGGCAATTGCAAGGCCCAAGACTTTAAACAAAAAAAAACAATAATTATCATTATGATTATTTAGCTTCTAGTAATGTATACATCATTGCAGCTAGCATAAGAGCTGCCTCTCTGATCATCTAACAGAAGCAGTTATAGAAACAGATAATTATTAAATATGTTATTCTGCAATTTCTCCTACAGTCATCACAGGGTCACTATATACCTTTACTGTATGTAATGTCTCTGTAAATATGTGTCTGTACAGAATGTATGCATCACACACTGACAGGGTTTATATATTTCTGTCTCAATGGTTGGATTGTATCAGAGATAAGGATTGTAGCATGCATCCTAAACCTGACCAGGGTTTAACCAGTATACAAACATATAGATGTCTTCCATCTGATACTGGATGCATGCACCTGATTCCTCCCTCCCCCACCCTGGAAGAACACCCTGTACCCACTGAGAGATGCTGTTAAATTTAGGATTTAAGGAACACACCTGCATCAGTCCTGTTGATGAGAATCCTTTTGATGATGCTCTGCTCCCCCTGCTTAGCTGTTACAGGAACCCCTCCATGTCATTATAGAGGTGATGGTGGCTGGACCCTCCCAGCTCTGCTGTGAGTATACTGAGAGCCAGCCTCACCCCTCCCTCCCTTCACCAGCAGAGGCTGCTGATCTGACGTCAGGCTCCCTGCATTGTGGGTAGAGAATACAGCTGATTCACTCTCAGCATCTCCTGCAATGCCATCGGATACATTGTTTACTATTGGCTGCCTGCTTACCTAGTGTATCAGACACCCCACACACAGTGTATGTAGATAGAGACATATATAGGCCAGTGAGGTGATCTGTAGCTGGCTGGGGAGATGCAATACTATTATTATAGCTATAAATGGCTCTAGCAGGTGGACCATGGTATTCCTGTTAAATTACTATTGCCTTTTAATGGAGATTTATATTACAGAACTCATGGAGGTTTTGTGATTCTGAGGGCCCAATAGGGTGTGCTGGGATGTAATGTGTAATGGAGGGCAGAGGGAATACAACATTATTTATGTGAGAGATTTGGAAAAGTGTCAGAAGTGATGCAAGCTTGTAAAAGGGGATCAATCACCATGGAAACCGATATAATGTAGGTTCCTGCTGATTCCATTGATTAAAAAAAAAAGTTCAACCTGTTCAGTGCTAGTAACGTGTTAGATATAGCCGAATGGCAAGGGCTTGGTCCAACTGGGGACTACAAGGGGATAAAGCTGTAATGGGATTATGTCCCCTTGCCTGGAAAATGAGGAATATTTTTAGGTTTACTGAAGCTCCCATTATGATTAACCAGCGAGGAGCTGCATTAACCTCGGTACAGGCAGCCACTGTTTCCTTCTACTCCCATTAACTTCATCCAGACAATGATTTGCACAATTAGCAGGCAAAGAATAAAAAAATAAAAAGGAATTAATAAAAATAAATAACAACCAGAATTTCAGGAGGATGCCAGGATAACTGTCTTCCACCCCGTCGTCTGCCCTTACTCTATGTAAAGGGAGCAAAGGGTTTAAAATGATGCCATCGCCCCAGGGACTTCATAGTATGTGACTCAGGGGGTATGGGCGCTCTACTATAGGAGGGCGCATGTAGTGGGACTTCCTAGTATGTGACTCAGGGCGTAAGGGCGCTCTACTATAGGAGGGCGCATGTAGTGGGACTTCATAGTATGTTACTCAGGGGGTATGGACGCTCTACTATAGGAGGGCGCATGTAGTGGGACTTCATAGTATGTTACTCAGGGGGTATGGACGCTCTACTATAGGAGGGCCGATGTAGTGGGACTTCATTGTAGGTGACTCAGGGGTTATGGGCATTCTACTATAGGAGGGCGCATGTAGTGGGACTTCATAGTATGTTACTCAGGGGGTATGGACGCTCTACTATAGGAGGGCCGATGTAGTGGGACTTCATTGTAGGTGACTCAGGGGTTATGGGCATTCTACTATAGGAGGGCGCATGTAGTGGGACTTCACAATATGTTATTCAGGGGCTATTAGCAATCTGCCACAGGAGGGTGTGCATGTAGTGGGACTTCATAGTATGTGACTCAGGGGGGTATGGGCGCACTATTATAGGAGAGCGCATGTAGTGGGACTTCATAGTATGAGACTCAGGGGGGTATAGGTAATCTACCACAGGAGGGTGCGCATGTAGTGGGACTTCATAGTATGTGACTCAGGGGTTATGGGCGTGCTACATTAGGAGGGCACGCATGTAGCAGCCTACGAGCTCACTCACCCTGTTATATTAACTTGCAAGTGGGCCTCGATTTAATTACTTTGGATTCATTTTTGAAACGATCACAGTCTGTTAGAAAAACGTAACTAGCAAGTGTAACTAACTTGTCTTGCCTTCACACATCTCTCATGTTGGTGAAATGGGCTTAATGGTTATAGCTTGTAGTGGCGTTTGCTTGGTTTTTTTGGCATTGTTATCTAATGTCACAATCCAAGTATAGGGGGTGTCTACTGTCTGACGTGGAATGGATGGAATGTTGGAATTGTAATTAGTGGACTAGCCTTGGGCTTTAAGTGTCAGTGCCAGATTGAACTATGTCTGAGGTATTACATACAACAAGCAGATATAATGCAGTATATAATACCATCCCGTTGATACAGGGGTTTTCAAAAAAAGCCAAAAAGAATATATATAGCTGTATAGTTAGGTATTTGGAAGATGATTATTACAGCGAATGGAAATTCATGTTTTTCTGAACCTTACAATACCGGTTCACATAAAACAGCCTAATGGACCCCCAACCAACAGGAAGAACAGGAATTCTCGGGTCACCAAAATTTAGGCAGTATACAACTAATTATTGCTGTAACGTCCGGCGCTGTAAGTAGTTGCAGGTGGTTCTGTGTATACAGGGCATTGCTGGTAGTTGGTGAGGGACTTACTCTGGAGATCTGGTGAGAGGACACATGCAGTGATGTAAGTTTTCTAACATTGTATATCTGCAGTAACACACACACACAATGATACATTATAACTACAGTAATGCTGTATCTATCACACACACAATTATACATTAAAACTACAGTAATGCTGTATCTATCACACACAATGATACATTATAACTACAGTAATGCTGTATCTATAACACACACAATGATACATTATAACTACAGTAATGCTGTATATATCACACACACAACGATACATTATAACTACAGTAATGCTGTATCTATCACACAGACACAATGATAGATTAAAACTATAGTAATACTGTATATATCACACACACAACGATACATTATAACTGCAGTAATACTGTATCTTTTACCCACACAAAGACACATTATAGCTATACTAATGCTGTATTTATCACACTCCTTGTTACTTTGTATTTGTTTGTGCAGTATCATTGCTGTTTATCCTCGTGTATAAATGTGGTATTTTGACTGACTCAATGATTGTATTCCTGGCACTGTGTGATTGACTCAGTGATTGTATCCCTGGCACTGTGTGACTGACTCAGTGATTGTATTCCTGTCACTGTGTGACTGACTCAGTGATTGTATTCTTGGCACTGTATGACTGACTCAATGATTGCATTCCTGTCACTGTGTGGCTGACTAAGTGATTGTATTCCTGGCACGGTGTGACTGACTCAATGATTGTATTCCTGGCAATGTGTGACTGACTCAATGATTGTATTCCTGTCACTGTGTGACTGACTCAGTGATTGTATTCCTGGCACGGTGTGACTGACTCAATGATTGTATTCCTGGCACTGTGTGATTGACTCAGTGATTGTATTCCTGGCACTGTGTGACTGACTCAGTGATTGTATTCCTGTCACTGTGTGACTGACTCACTGTGTGACTGACTCAATGATTGTATTCTTGGCACTGTATGACTGACTCAATGATTGCATTCCTGTCACTGTGTGACTGACTAAGTGATTGTATTCCTGGCACGGTGTGACTGACTCAATGATTGTATTCCTGGCAATGTGTGACTGACTCAATGATTGTATTCCTGTCACTGTGTGACTGACTCAGTGATTGTATTCCTGGCACGGTGTGACTGACTCAATGATTGTATTCCTGGCACTGTGTGATTGACTCAGTGATTGTATCCCTGGCACTGTGTGACTGACTCAGTGATTGTATTCCTGTCACTGTGTGACTGACTCAGTGATTGTATTCTTGGCACTGTATGACTGACTCAATGATTGCATTCCTGTCACTATGTGACTGACTAAGTGATTGTACTCCTGGCACGGTGTGACTGACTCAATGATTGTATTCCTGGCAATGTGTGACTGACTCAATGATTGTATTCCTGTCACTGTGTGACTGACTCAGTGATTGTATTCCTGTCACTGTGTGACTGACTCAGTGATTGTATTCCTGTCACTGTGTGACTGACTCAATGATTGTATTCCTGGCACGGTGTGACTGACTCAATGATTGTATTCCTGGCACTGTGTGACTGACTGAATGATTGTATTCCTGGCACTGTGTGACTGACTCAGTGATTGTATTCCTGGCACTGTGTGATTGACTCAGTGATTGTATCCCTGTCACTGTGTGACTGACTCAATAACTGTATTCCTAGAACTGACAATTAAATCATCGGGTGTTCAGGAAACGAATTTAATGCTCATGTAATATAACATAATTTCTGTATCTTTACAGACACACATACACAGAAAAGGAGCAATGGCAGTCACCGCTGAAAAGGGTAGATGTATTTTTGTATTTCATTCTTTTTTGTGCTTTTCTTGTTTGCCTTTTTTATTTATGTTTTATTTTTCTATTATCATGTGGTATAAACCGTCATGGGGCTAAATAGAGTGCGGGGGGCATAAGGGCTGAGGTGGGTACATGCATGTCTAAGGGCTGTAGTGGGTGTAGGGGGGTCAGAAAGGCTGAGGTGGGTGTAAGGGGGGGGCACAAGGACTGAAGTGGGTGCAGTGATGGATGGAGGCTGTAGAGTGTGTAGGAAGGCATAGGGGCTGTAGTGGGTGCAGGGAGGGCAGTGGCAGTTGAGGGTGGACATGGGAGTTTTAGTAGGTGCAGGGTGGAATAAAAGCTGAGGTGGGTGCAGGAAGAGATAGGTGCTGTGGTAGGTGTAAAGGGGGCACAGGGACTGTTGAAAATATTTAGAAGAAGCATATTTGCTGAGTTTCTCCCAGGCTGCTTTTTATCTTCTTAGTGATGTCACTTCCCATCCCCGGACTCCACTTCTCCACCTCTCACAGAGCTCAGCACAGGGAGATCATAAAGGAGACCTGGCACAGAGAGAGCAGGGGGGGGGGCAGGTCTCACTCAGTAAGGGGGGGGGGGGTCATTTATAGTGCGAGAGTTTGCAAGGGCCCAAACCAATGGCTGGAATGTGCATGGTATTTGGCTTTCTCACTAGGATCTCTGGTCTTCTCAGCCAGAGTGTTGCAGTCCAGCCAGTCTCCTTCCCTTGATCCATAACCGATGGTCAGTCCGCTCCTATGTAGAGCTACGTAATTTTGCTTCCTACCCAGCAATACGACAAATAAATACATTTTCGACCATGCATGTGTTAACGAATGTTTCTTCTTCTTTCTTCAGCCTATTATCGTTTTTTGGTTCTTTTCTTCAACTGCCTGCTCACGTTTGGCTCTTATTTCTGTTTTGATATCCCGAGTGTGCTTCGGGATCAGTTTCAGGGGGTGAGTATGCAGAGTTTGTCTCTCAGCAAGACAGCACTATCTGCTTAAAACTGTGGAGACAAATTAATTATTTTGCATTTCCTTATTATGAATCTTCGATTAGGGCAGCTACCCAGGAGACGAATGGATTCCCTTCGTGGAAGCACTCCCGAATGGGGAGCGGGCACAATGCACGAAAATACAGAGAAACACATGTAATAGAAAGAGGAGATCCACAAACAGGCAGCGGTTCCGCCACAGATATGTTTATACAAAAGTGAACACTCATGAAATATGGAGGGAGAATAGATAATGTCTATTGTGTATAATAGGAACAGGCTATAGACTAACTATCCAAGGACCTTTCATCAATAATGTAATTGTTAGGAATTTAAATTGAATTTCAGATTTTAAACCAAAATAACCAATTTGGAAAATATTTTCCAGGTCACTTATGTCTTCAGCATGTACTAATATTTTCTAGTATAATATGTCTGACAACCTATTTTGCCCTTAATATTGACATTTTATGGTCATTTTACCCTGGGATTTGAAAATCAACTTTGAATTCTGAACAACTCACACTTTTTTTCCCCATCTTGAACACACTGCCTGCTGCTTCTCACTAACATTTTAGTTTGCACATGACAGCAGGTGTTCCCCACCTACACTTTACTTTTCCAAATTATTCCCAAAGCTTTTTTTATGGCAGTCATCTAACTGGTAACATCTCTTCCCGGTGTTTTTGATTATAGAAAGGAAGAGGTTTGACTGATTTTAAGGAAGGACAAAGCAATCCTAACATAGACCAGCAAAAATTTTAGCGTGTTCTTTAATATTTGTTCAGTTTTGTCAATGAAGACTGATTTGCCTTTGATGTTTATCATATCTATAGAGCTTGACCTGTCAAAACGGGCCTTCCACTAACCACAGTGGGGGCTGCGTGGAGGGTCTTGGGATGAGCCCTGAAGAGTATAATTTGCTTTATTCCATCTACATGTGGACGTAAGTATTGACAAAGATATCGAGCAATTCACAACTCATGGTTGAACTAAATTCAACTAGTGGGAACTACAACCTTCCCCAAAACAACTATAGCTTTAGTGTTACTCCGTCTGGTCTAAAATTTAAAATTCGCTTCGAATTTCCAGCAATACAATTTTAGGTAAAAAGCTTGCAGTTTCTACCATCACTTGTTAAAAGAGTTTTTTTGTAAGGGTGGAATTGTACATTACTTTTTTCATTCCCTTATTTGCATTTTTATTATTGAGGTTGTGCTTTTCAACATAGTTTGAGAGAAATCTCAACAAATCCTTCCTGGTAAAATATTTTATAAATAAATAAATATTGCTTTTCATGCATTTGTTTCGCTTTAACAGAACGTTTCCTGTTTGTGGTTGAATGAGGTTATTGTGAGTTGTATCCCAAGGATAACGATGCATTTATTTGTCTACTTTGTTGAAATTAATGATGGGTAGGTAACAGTTTTTAATTTCTTTCAACAGCAATGCCCTAGTGGTAATAGTTGCTGGCTTCCTCATTGATAAATTCGGAAACCGATGTAAGTTAATTGAAGCTGTTTTATATTAATAATTTTGTATTTAGTTATTCTGAAACCTTCATTCCTTTAACATTCATAAAAATGTGTCCACACCACTCATTGTGAACATTTGGTAGCTTGCTCAGTAATGTGTAATGTCTACTGATAGTCCGTAGATTCCAACCATTTAACCCACATTAACATTTTATTATTAAGAGTCTCTTGCTACAGGATACACATAGTACAAATGGAAGGAAACATAAGTGCCTAAAATATACTTTCAGCAATTGTATATTCTGTTTCTAATACTATTTTTGTTTTTCTCTTTTTTTAGTTGGACTGTTCCTTTTTTCACTTTTGACTGTTCTGGGCTCGGCCATTTTTGCACTTGGTTCCCACTTCAAAGGAACGCCATACCTGCTACCTCTAATGCTAACTGGGCGGCTGTTGTTGGGTTCTGGAAATGGTTCACTAACAAGTAAGTCATCTGACTTTGGCAAAAATAATGGGGGTTTAGTTACAGTATATGATCATACATTGCGTAAGCCTGCCACAACATCAATGTACCCCATTCTGGGCAGGTCCTACTCTAGCATGCCTGCTCTTATGAGATTTATCCACTTACATACAAGATCCAGCCCACGCACGCATTTAAAAAAATTATATATTTAGTTTTGTAAGTAACAACGGAATAGGTAGTAATCATAAATAAATGAGTAAGAGAAATGTTAGTTAAGAAAATAGCTCTAAAACTGGAACAGAAGGGTCACCAATCCTTTTATGAGATAAACAAAACAATATCACTATATTACTAAAATGAAAGTGTCCGGGAGCTCAATAGACTTCATGGGAGAATAAAGGTAACAATAAAAATAAAAATATATCAATAAGAAATATAAGCATAAAAATGAAAATAAATAATATAGAAGTCCAGGTCCAAATAAGTCCAAAGGAGGGGCGGGGCCGGGCCGCCGGGCCGAGTGGACGCCATTAACATGAGCTCCTGCACTAAGCGGATAAAAAAGGCACTAAAACACTCACCCCAGACTGCCTAACTATGCTATACTCTGCCAGATTCAAACAGAGAACGGCACCAGCTTACCCCCGATACCTGCACGATGCCCACCGCAAGCCAGGCAAGCAGAGAGGGCCGGGACCGGCCTACACGAGGCAGAGCGCCAGAATACCGGCGGCCATTACAGGCAGCACGGCGCTGCGGAGCAGAGAACAGAGGCATCCCGCTATAGACACCTAGACAGGGGGAGATACGCGGCCCGGGGCACGGCCCTGCCCCCCCCCCTTTTTTTAGCCGGCGGGGGATATCCCGGCTTCCAGGTGGAGGCACGGGTCGCAGCGGGAGTCCCCGTGCGGTCCGGATGCCGACCGCCTGCACTGGCACCGGCTGCAAGACACTCAGCCAGCCAGCAACATTGGAGGTACCCGCGGAGGGGCTGAAACACTCACCCGAGGAGGCACCCAGATCGGTCCAAAGGAGACAGAACACAGAGGACTAAACAAGGGAGACTGACTGAGGCACCTCGTACAGGCCCTGGCGGTGCCGGGCGCCGGACAGACCCCCCACGCTGAGCTCCCGACCACTAGTGGAGCGGGCATCTGAGCCTCTGGGTCTGTGGGGTCCCCGGAGAGCTTTTGTCCCTGATGCCGCGAGCCCGGTGGGGCAGGACCAACGCTGCCCTCCCGACGGACCGGTGGTGGGGATAGCCACCAGCTCCAAATATGTGGCCGGCACCGGGTGAGACAGCAGAGTGCGCGCTCGAAGTGGACTCACGTGTAGCTGGGGAGGTGCAGGGAGCAGACGACCCGCGGATTTTGTGGTTGGGTCCAAAGGACGGTTCATGCTCCTGAGTGCCCACAGTGCAGCGGAGGGCCCAGCTGGCGGGCGGGGGCCGGCTGGGGGAGGACGAAAGGAGGCCTGGCGACCCAGGGACAATATGATGGAGACGCAGTGAGAGACTCCTCACAGACGGCCATGCAGGCCGACATGATGATTCAGCAAGGCATAAAAGTTACCTCATCAAGATGTGCTTTCTTACCTCCATATATGATGTTTATGTTGTTTTATGTCCCGTATATGTTAGCGCCCGTTAAGACATGGGACGCAAGCACTTAATGTCATGTTATTTTTATGAACCAAATCGCTAGTATAAATTAATCTGCAGTAGGATACAACATGGGGAGCAGCCGCACCTAGGAGGACTCGCCCTTTATGTTTTTAATACATTATCCCGCTGAAGTTAGGCGTTAATACTATACCCGCTCACTGTTTAAAGATATACATTAATAACTTGAACCAAGTAATTATTTACGCACGGGCCACATGTCGCTCTTAATAATATTGTAATAATTATAAACGGAATAACGGGGGCGTAATGGCTGACCGCATCATAATAGGCGGTATACTACCAGGCCCACACTACACTTAGAAAACACAACGCCCTTTGAGCTACATAAAGTTCGGTGCTTACTTAATAGCAGACTAGTACTAAATCATGCCCACTTATTAAATACACAGCGCTCTACTCGCAATACTAACACTTATTACAAAAGTTGGTAGTCCTTACATTGATAACCAGAAACTTCACGAAACATTTCCTGCCGCACATGAACAGTGCGCAGTATTGGAGCTCACATACTGGACACAAAAACAATTATACCATATCACGGCCTGTAAGTTAGTGCTACATATATTAACAACATATTAAATATCTGTGATTTATTTCTGGTTACACGTTTTAGACTCCGTTAGGTCCTTATAGCCTGACCGTTCTGTTAATGCTATAATTTTGCAAGGAATCTTTAAGTGCATAGTACCCGACTTTACAGTGATGACTTAAGTTTCAGATATCTACTTATTCAAGTTTTTCCATAACAAATGCATTATTTACGCTATCTCCCCTGCGTGGGAAAACTGCTTGTTATATCGACCTTAATAAAAACAGATTTAAAACAAATAAGTCCAAAGAGAAATTATATATATATATAATAAATGTCACTTCCCTTGCTTGTGAAGACAGCACAGGGTAGTGGGACCCAAATGCCAAAATAGTATACTTTCTTAAGAAAAATGCATTATAGCTTCAATATATGTAAAGTCCTACTACCCTGTGCTGTCTTCACAAGCAGGGGAAGTGACACTTTTGCTATATATATATATATTAGAGATTTCTCTTTGGACTTATTTGGACCTGGAATTCTATGTTATTTATTTTCTATTTTTCTAAATTTTAATTTTATGCTTATATTTTGTATTGATATACTGTATATTAATATTGATCTATTTTTATTTTTATTGTTACCTTTATTCTCTAATGAGGTCTATTTAGCTCCTGGACACTTTCATTATAGTAATATATTATGATATTGTTTTGTTTATTACATTTTGTAAGCTTTAAAGTTGGTGTTTAGTGACTGAGTGAGTGCGCTGGATCTTCTATGTTGTATTAATTGGCCCACAGCAGCACCCTTATAATGTAGCATGTTTAGGTGAGTGCAGCCCTCTTGATTTCATAGGTAAGTCAACTGGACTGCAAGAGGTATGTTGCAGATGGCCTTTATGCAAAAGTTTGAATTAGTTTTTTCCTGGCCAATCCATGTCAGCCTCACCTATGGGTTAATCTCCTCCCTTTCAGTCTTTTTTCCTGTCCTCCAGCTGTTATGCAGCACAACAATTTTGTAATTCACAGTGCACCTGCTATTGGTTTTCCACTATGGCACCCCTGGGGAGTTCCGCCTTCCTCCCCAGGAAAGAACCCAGATACAGCCCAAGCTGTTCACGACTCCCAGGATTAGAATTACTATGTTAGTAAATAGTAATTTGAAGAATTTGGACCTTATCGATTATTTATGTGCTATTGTTTATTGCTATAGCTCTGTGTGAGGTGATAAGGAAACCTAGTGTACCTATTAGTTCCTGGGCTCCAATTTGGGTGTTCCCAGATGGCTGACATGATCTGTTTTTACTTATAAGTGGCTTTTTTAAATTTTTCAGCCTTTACAGTCTTCTCCTGTGCCCCCCGAGGTCTCCTAACCTATTTCTTATGGTTTTTTGAGTGTTTTGTGGCACCAAAATTGCTGCCCTGCTGCTCTTGCGATCGGCAAAATCCAAGATGGCCAACTGTCTTCCTTCAGTTCATATCGTGCGTACGCAAATGGCCTTAAAGGGCTAGTTAGGTATTTAAGGAAGTCCACAGGAATTCTCTTAAGGTGATAATTCTGGTTTATTCGATTTCTTTTGTGATTCCTTCTGATCATAAGTGTTGGATTTAACAATTTTTTTTCTTCATAAAGGTAGGATTTTTCTCTCAGTTTGTTTCTGTTTTTTTTCTGTTGTTGTTTACATTTGGTAACTTCTTTTTGGTAATGGTAGTTAATGGAAATGTTTCTTTGTAGCCCTTTTACCATGGCTTCCTCTTCCTTTGCCTCAAGGAGCAGATATAGAAGGGTATGGTGAGCTTTTTCATTGTCTTATGAAATAGTGCCTTATGACCACACCTATGTATAGGTGGCCCTTTTATTATATAAAATATTGGTGATGCACATATGTAAATATGTATTAATTGCAGCCAACAAAGTTCAACAAAATAAAAAATCCAAGAAATGCCATGGCTGCCCACCTGCTGCTATTGAGGGGAAAAACGTCTGCAGAGATTATTTTCACATTTTATCAAGTAAAGGAGCCTCTACATCGGCTGACACCATAAATCTTAACGTGGATGAGGTGATTTCTAAGGCTGTGGCTGCAGGTTAAAGAGGCGACTTGTAAGAGAGTATGGGTTATACATATAATCTAGACGGAAAATCCTGAACATATAAACCTGGAAGATATTATACCAGAGTGCCATATTGGAAAGGACAACAGAGTCAATACTTTCTCGAATTCAAAGAAAATATTCTATCCATTATGGCGGAGTCTACAGTGTATCAAGAAAAAGAAAAACCTATGAAACAATGCCTGGAGAAACTCCTTAAACAGGTTATTTGTCATGTTCCTTCAAAATAAATATTTAAAGTAATTTCCAGGCTACTGGGAAAAGTTTCAGTTGCACTCTTAGTCAAATTCATGAGGCCCACAGATTGTATGAGTCTTCTGGGAACACTGTCCTCAATATGTGGATTAGTGAGAAGGGTACACTGGAATCTCAGAACAACAGAGAGGAATTTTTTTTAGATCAGTTCATTCAAGAAAACCAAAAATGGGATCGAAAAATTTGGATAACAGATGAAGTAAGAATTTCTCTTCAATGGTGGATGAACGAGCAAACTATCATAAGAGACTTCCCACTAGAACATCCAGAGTGGGAACTTCTGACCATGGACACCAGCAGGAGATTTTGAGGAGTTCAATACAAGCATTATCTAGCCCAGGAAAGTTGGTCTATGAGATGTTGCAATTTCCATTCCAATATTCTGGAATTGAGGGTAGTATACAAAACCCTACTAGATTTTAAGCACCTTGTGCAAAACAGATGGGTGAAGGTACAAGTGAACAACATAACCGCCATGGCCTACATCAATCACCAAGGAGATACGAAAAGCAAGAAACGCATACAATTATATTCTGGGCACAATGGAATATGGAAGGGCTATCTGCTATTTACCTACCAGGACAACTAAACGATGTTACAGATGATCTGAGCAGATATTATGTACATCCAGGTGAATGGAAGCAGAGTTTGGATACTTTGCAAAAAATATACGACTTATGGGGCGTACCGGATATAGATCTAATGGCAAGCTTCAGAAACAAACAGCCCCCCTTGTTCTTCTCCAGAAGATTCGACCCAAACAAAAGGTCAGGATGCCCTAACATAAAAATTTAATTTTCAGCTGGGCTATGTATTCTCTACTCTTTCACTAAGACAGAGAACACTCAAGAAGATCTGGAAAGAGAAGGTAGAGGTAAAAATAATTTTTCTACATTGGCCAAGGAGACCTTTGTTTCTGCAACTTCTGAGCCTGTCAGAAGGAGAACAGTGGGATCTGCCAATAAAAATGAATCTGCTGCTGCTCTATTACATTCTGTGCCTACCTTTAAGTAATCAGAAATAATCACCCCTAAATCCCTTTCCTCAGATGTTGAGGTTAGGACTCTATCAAATATTCTGTACTCTGCCCGTGAGTATTTACGTCCAAGATGTATCTAAAAAATGTTTTGTCCCCCTTTTTTTTACTGAGTTTGTTTTTTTCTATTCTGTGTGTGATTTGGAAGCTATTATAACTTGCTTAGCCTCTTTCTGCCTGATCTTATAAATTTGTCTATCTTCCTCACTCTGGGTTTTTTTATAATTACTAAATGCTAACTGTTTTTTACTATTTTGTCCACATCTGCGGAGTACCACAGTGGTTTCTTGAATTTTTTGCTTTTACTGACACGCCTAATGCAATTTTCTGTTGCCTTCAGCAGTGCAACTTTTAAATAATCCCATTTCTCCTGGACTCCATTTAAACTGCTCTAATCTGATAATGACTCCTTTACACATTTTCTAATTTTTAAAAAGTCTGTTTTTCTAAAGTCTAAAACTTTTTTTGTGTGTGGTGTGACTCAGTCATTGTTCTTATATTAAACCACACTGACTGATGATCACTGGATCCTAAACTTTCACCTACAGTAATTTCTGATACCAAATCTCCATTTGTTAACACTAAATCTAGTATGGCCTCTTTACGAGTTGGCTCCTCAACGATTTGTTTTAGAAACAATCCCAGTAGGGAGTTTAGAATATGTGTGCTCCTGGCACAAGCAGCTATTTTGGTTTTCCAGTTCAAATCAGGACAATTAAAGTCAACCATGATGATAACTTCCCCCTTCATTTTCATGTTAGCTATTTCCTAAACTGGTAGATTATCTAACTCTTCTATTTGTCATGGGGGCCTATAAATCACACCTACACGAGTTACTGTGTGATTACCAAATTCTAATGTAACCCAAACTGACTCTATGTTCGCCTCAGTAACTTTTATTAGGCTAGATTTTATGCTATCCTTCACATACAAGGCCACCCCTCCCCCTTTCTTGCATTCCCTGTCTTTTCTATATAAAGAGTACCCTGGTATTGCTATGTCCCAGTCATTTTTCTCATTATACCATGTCTCAGTAACAGCGACTAACTCTACATTATCAGTTGCCATTATTGCCACAAGTTCATGGATCTTATTCCCTAAACTGCGAGCATTTGTAGACATGACTCTAAGCTTATCATTTTTTAACACACTTGCTACAGGCACCTTCTGTCCTTGTGTTGGGGGGAAGTTGGATTGATGTTTTATCACCCTTTTGACCCCTCCTAGTTTAAATACATCCTAGCAAAACCTCTAAACTGCTCACTGAGAACATTTGCAAATCATCTTTTTTTGCACAGGTTATTTCCATTCCAAACAGAGTTACAATGGCAAATGAAGCCAAATCCTTGCTCCCGACACCATTCACCAAGCCACAAGTTAAAGTCCCTAATACGCATGCGCCTGTCGTTATGAGTGTTATTCACAGGCAGAACTTCAGAGAATGACAGTGTAGAAGCAACCTGCAGTATATCTTTGGCATAAACACAAAAAACTTCTTTTACTTCTGAAACCTCATTGCAAGCCAAGTCATTTGTCCCTAAGTGGACAAGTACATCCAATTCCCCTTCCTGCTTTGCTCGCTTAACAATATTACAAATACGTCTCCTGTCTCTGGGAGCAGTAGCTCCGGGAAGACATCTCACAAGACCATTATTGTCCAGCTCCACACCAATAACAACTGCTTTCTGTTAGGCCTCACCATAGTCTCCAAGCCTGTCTCCATAATACCACTACGTGCTGTGCCTGAAAATGTCTCCACAACACTCGATGCCTGAGCCTGTCTCCACAACACCACTACCCTCAGTGCCTGAGCCTGTCTCAACAACAACACTACACTCAGAACTATTACAATAGAACATCTGTTTACTCAATTTATTGGCAATATAAGGCGTTCTCAGATTGGTTCCTGAATTTACTCCGAAAGTTCTTTCAAAATTCCATCTGAACAAAGAAATGATACTGCTTTCTCTCTTTGAAGAAGAATCCCTTTGGCACACTTTGGATGTTGTCACGGCCTCTACCGGGGTTGTCTAGGCCTCTTGGGCGTTTTTGGTGGATACTTTTATGTAGGTAATTTGTAGGGCTGTCATCTGGTCTTCCTCCAACACTTTTGTGAGGCACTACTGCCTAGGCGTTTCTGTCTCATCTTTCGGGAGAAGAATTCTTGACTCTGTCATTAACATATGATTAAACTCTGATTAGCATTGATATTGTGTATTGTTGTTTTATTGTCCCCTCCTCCCCTATAATTAAACTTGGGAAGTCCCATAGGTGATGCTTACATGGATTTGCCAGGAAACCAGAACATGTTTACCATACTTACAGCTTTCTTTCCCTGACTCATATCCATGTCTGCATCAACAACCCCTCCATTTTTTTTGGACCTACTTGATTACGAGACTGCTAGATCTGTGGAGGTGGCTTCATTATATAACATCATATTAATTTTAGATTCCTGTCATATCAGCTGAAAGGAAAGAGCTTAACCCATAGGTGATAGGTGATATGGATGTTAGCCAGGAAAAGAAAATTACGTATTAAAAGTATGGTAACAAATTTCTGATTTAATTCCCATTGCTGTGTTGGTTTGTTCACAATTTTCCATCTCTCCTCTTTAGTTGTTAAGAACAGAGTTACAGCCTTTTGGTTCAAAAGAAAAGAACTAGCTATGGCGTTTGGTCTGAATCTCACTTTCCCGCGGCTTGGCAGTGTCTTGAATTTCTTCTTCACTCAACAGTTTGAGAGTCACTATGGCATCCCGTGGACTCTCTGGGGAGGTAAGTCTCCAAGGTCTTTAGTCATCCAAGAGGATTCTTTTTCATGAATGTTGGAACACTGAGAAAAATGAATCCCTGGCTCTGCAATCAAATCTAAAACAGAAACCAGCGATAGCCTGGTCAGCAATTTCTTTTCGAAATATATTATCATGCCCCCCTAGGCACACTGGCCTGTCTTGAGCCAATCCGATGGAGTCAAACCAGCAAAGTTTAAAACGGGCTCGGGCCCCAGGATGATTAAAGAAACAGACTGGTTGGTTGCAATTGCAGTATCAATATACAAAAACATAGAAAATGAGAAAAGAACTACTTCTAAGGCATAAACTCATTAAAGTTTGTTGTAGTGACTGTAAGGTAATACAGAATGAGTGGGTTGCGTTGAAAGACTTAAGGTTGAATGAGTGTGTGTAAAAGTATGGATTGGTCTCTTCATTTGATTGTGAAGTTACTTTTGATCAATGATTGGAATATTAATGTGTTTCATTTCATGGCACTGGCTATCTTCAAACTTTATTAGCTTCCCACTGTAGGCTTGAACCTCTTGCGTAAAAACATGTTCGTGACCTTACAGGATTTCTTTTCTTGTTTTAGGAACCATCCTTTGCGTGCTGGGCTTTCTGGCAGCTATCACAGTTAGTATACTGGATAACGTCGGCATGAAGCAATTGGGATTGGATGGAGCCAAGAAGGAAGAATCCAAGAAAGTGGTAAGCTGGTTGCAATACACTGGACAGAATCCTGGTTTCACCATGCAATGACATATCAGGCTATTACGACTACATACAATCTAACTTTGAACTTCTGCTGGCATTATGAGGATCTGCATCTCTCAAAATGCCAGCAGATTCCTAGGAAATAGAAATACAGTTATGTTACCATTTCTGTATTCATGTTAGTTCATTACCTGTGTGCACCAAAATGTGTATTTGCCCTTGTAAGCTAACTTTTTTTTAATACAATTTTAAGTGTTGAAAGATGAAAGATACCATATAATTTTAAAAATGTTACAAACGCCCCATGTTTGTTTGTTTTTGCAAAGGATGAAAGCAAACACAAAGAAAAATACTGTACGTTTCCCTAACTTTATTTGGACGGCATTCCATAAACTAAATTTTCCAGCAAACTATGCATGTACTTGTCAAAAATGCTTTGTGTAATTATGTGATTAATTAAATTGTTGGAATATAAACAACAGACTCTCTGTTCTTTAGCTAATTTGTACAGAGCTTAGAGTAATATTGTGAATACACCTTTCTATATGATATCATGACTTAATTCCTAACTGCTGCTTTTCTGTCGCTGTAGCGAATGCAGGATGTGCGACACTTACCATTACGCTATTGGCTGCTGGTCCTTTCCATCATGTTCTTCTACAATAGCGTATTCCCATTTGTGGCAGATGCCAGGTAAATACTTGTCATATTTCATATAATAATATTCTGCATATATTATAAATCTTAAAGAAACACCATAGGGTCAGGAATACAAACATGTATTCCTGACCCTCTATTGTTAAACTAACTATTTAGCCCCCTGGCCCTGTCTTGCCCCCCTTAACTACAGGAAACATTTCCCAGAGGAACGCATTGGATAGGCTGTAATTGTCAATTCTGATTATCTCAGCCGAGGAGATGGGGCGGGGGTGGAGCAAACTGCCGCACTGGCCAATCAGCATCTCCTCATTGAATCAATGCATTTCTATGGAGAAAGTTCTTTGAATAGGCAGTGTTTACATGAAAATGCCTGCAGGGACTGACTACACTCACCGGAACAACTACATTAAGCTGTAATTGTTCTGGTGACTATAGCGTCTCTTTAAATATAAAACAGTAGATACTGTGCAAACAAAATTACTGAAAAAAATTGACTGGCAGGTAGGGGTACGGTTTTAGACTGGGGTCATAAGTTATTAATGAGAGTTAGGGTTAAAAAATTAGAACTATAGAGGGATAGGGTTGTGGTTATGCTCAAAGTGTCAGTTTCAAAATAATAGTCTCAGATTTCAGACATATCAATTTTGCACCATGCCTAACTGGACTTACTTTTTAAAATCTAATATAATCAGCAGCAGCAATCTTGGAAAAGTTGAACCTGATGAATTTGAGTCTATAGCCAACTCTGTTACTGTGTTCTCCTTTAGTAAGTTCATCCAGGATAAATACGAGGGCTATGACCAGAGGACAGCAGCCTATGTCGCTGGGGCAGTTTATGACATCGCTTTGGTTCTGTCAGCGGCTGCTGGATTGTTAATTGTGAGTAACGTCAAAAACAAACAAAATGCTGCTATGACTATCCCACTTGTAAACTAATGTAGGATTTAGTTTGAATGTCAAACTTGCCGTACGGGAATGCATGGGCAAAATACATTGCTTTTGTCTGACAATATGGACTATAAAGACCAAACTGAGTATAGTGCAATTTAGAAACAAACTATTGCAAGCAGAATTCATCCTGCTCAAATTGTACACAAGCTGGATATAGGAAATGTATACAGATCTCTGCTTACTGGAGAAAATCTATAAAGAGTTACTCCAAGCACCATGGTCATTTCAGTGATGCCTGGAGTCTGTATGTGCAGCGTTTTTACAACGTTCCCCCAATTTCTTTATAATTGGGGGAATTATTTCAGAAAGGGATACTCTAACAAAAGCCAGTGTTTTATGAAAATACTGGTTCTTGGTTGGATTAACCCCTTAGTCTCTTTGTAGATTTTATATTACGATAACTGTGGAATATCTGCTTCTATAATATCTCCATTGTTTTCCCCCCAGGACTACGTAGGAATGAGGGGGGTGCTGGCTGTCCTTTGTGCTGTTCTGACACTTCCAGTCTTTGCTCTTCTGGCTTTTACCTTTGTTCCACCACTGGTATCCACGTTGTGGCTTGGCGTTACATATTCCTTTGCTGTGGTAAAGTATATAGATGTTTCTGTAGCCTAAACTCTGTTCTCTGTGGATGTGTCCTTGAACACTACCGTTACAAAGCAACCTTTGCATTTATTCTGTTTTACAGGTAAGTATGTGGCCTTCAATACCCCTCGTGGCCCCACAACCTACCCTGGGAACGGCCATGGGGTTCGCCAACTCCGTGCATATGATTGGAATTGGTCTGTGTAAACTAGTTGTTGGCAAAATCCTTGGTACGGAATCCAGGTAATTCTAAAATATATGAAGCCGCAGCTTATTGTAGTAATTATGGTGAATGCTGGAGGTTGTTTAGACCAGTGCACACATCCTTCCATTGCCATAACTACAATACTTTTTTGTTGTGCTTTTAGTGTTTGTTTAAAAGGTCACTTTAAACACTATCACTGTGATGGAGGATTGCATTCATTCTCAACTCAGACTGGCTTAGAACTGAAGCAATTTGTAAATATCAAACCACTCAATGCCAGCCTCTTAGGCACCCAGGTGTCAAGTTATACATTCACATCTTGGGCTGACCTCTCACGTCCCTAGAGAGAGAGCTGAATGGTGCACATAGTTTTCTCAATAAACAGTGCGTCTCCATATATATAAATATATTATTAGAGGTGATTTTTACACTATAATTTTCCTTTTAACTAGACACATTTAATGAGACCTCTTATGTTTTTCTCTAAACAGTGAAGCCAGGATCCCACAGTGGCGTTGGCAGCAGATGATGATATTCATGCTGGCAAATACCATAGCGTGTATAGCAACCTCTGTCGCCCTGAATATAGTGGACAAGAAACAGGTAATTGGGGAGGGGAACATGGCCTGGGCTGTGCCTGCCGGGACATAGATAAAGAATGTTCAATGCAGTCAGATTCTGTTACTGTTGCAAATAAGACTGGGCTACTGTAAGTAAATTGAGAGATAGACAACTTCTCAAGAAAAGGGAAAATTAATCCCCACCCAAAACAAAAAATCAAACTGAGTGTAAGGGAGAAACAGATCAGCCCTGTCTAGCATCACACGGATGGATATGATACTAAACTGAAAATGTAATTATTTTATTTTAATATTGTGCACCTAGCGTATAAGCTGTTCAATCCATCTGGGAGGAAAGTAAAGCTGGTGTAATATTTAACCCTTAAAGGAGACGATGCTGGGAAATATTTTCTTTATTGCTTAGTCTGGGTTGCATGTGAATGTCTTATCTCAATGGTTTTAACAGAAACTGTTTGCCTTTTACTTGATCACAGGGTGGAATACTAAACAAGATGACAAAACGGGCAGATTCCAAGGATGAATCAGATTGCATCCCAATCTTAAACATGAAGAATGGCAAATATCAGGGCTAGCGGCTACGATCCTTTGACAGACTGGGTAACTGCACAGCAAGTTTGTTTCAGCTACTGGAGTCAAGCGCTAACAGCTGGTGATGCGTTGCAGCTGGCAAATGCACTCTTCTGAGACAGATTGACACTACTCATGATGGGATGCAAATTGTGTAACAAACACAGCTCTCAATATTCGCTCTGAATTGATTACTTTGGTTTTACACGTTACAGTATTTTTTACTATATTTTTACGTCACATACGTAAAAGCTGCTCAAACAGTGTTTAATATTTCATGTGGCAGTTCTTAAACGGCAGTATGAGTTCTCGATTTTAATCCTCTAAATGACTTAAAGGGAAGAGACTGTACCTACGTTTCCCATGCACAGTCGAGGGTATAGTTACACTTTGTTTAAATGCGTTTATCAGTTTAAGCTAGCTAACCTATACAAAGGGAAGCATCCTTTTTGTTCACTAGGGGTCCACAACGGAATTTTTTCTGAAATTATTGAAGTTTATCTTGATTCATATTTTCTTTCTGTTCAATAATTCCTTCTACCACCAACAAAGGTCATCAGTATTTGGAAGTATTGTGCCCCTGCGTATGCCAATCTACATTTTGGGTGGTGGGAGTAAAATGTTGGTTTTCTGAGTCTATGATAATGTATGGAAACACCAGAGTACTTTGGAAACGTTACATAGACGATGTTCTGGTCATCTGGAAAGGTACCAAGGAGCTTTTTTTCCGAATTTGTGGATCATCTTAATTGTAATTATCCGAATTTGAAATTCACACAGGAAATAGGGGACGCTATTCTAAATTTCCTGGATTGTACTCTCTCTATTAATGCCGCTAAAACTATTGAGACCACACTGTTTCGAAAACCCACCGGCACTGACAACATGCTGCGGCGGGATAGTTACCATCCCTTGTGTCAGCTCTCTTACACTTACCTTGGAGGTCCACTGATCTGCCCACGCCGGGATTCGGCGGACCGCCACCAGGTCCAGACTGGCCCACCGGGATACTGGGAAATTTCCTGGTGGGACGGGGCACTTGGGGCCGCACAGTGTAGAATTACCCCCCCTCCCAACCAGTAAACACACTCATGTCTGGGGCTTGATAAGCTGAGGAGTGAAGGTCCCCTCTCAGCTCTAGATTGGCACTGTACTTTATCCACTTACGAGCAGCAAGCACTCCAAATTGAACTTTCAATGCTGCTTGCGACTGAGACATAAGGAGCAGGGGAGGGAGGTAGTCCTGGTGCCTGTCTGACAGCCTTCACACACGGGAAGTATGTGGCCCGGTAATCAGGCACAGCAGGGCAGCCCACGCGGGTCTTTTGAGTTTTGCTTCCTGTGTGCAAACTGCTGTCAGGCTGGGAGAGGAGTTAGCAGGGGACCAGACAAAGCTGCAGGCAGGCTGCTGGGAATGAGCTTCCCTGTATTTTATCTTTCATTGGCTTGCTATCAGATCAGGACCTTTAACCCACAATGTACAATTTACCTCTGTGCTTCGGTTTCCCCCTTCTGCTGGATGGACGTTTTCAGCCAGTAGCTGAGCACAGATCAAGGAGCAATGTGGGCTCAGTGAGCAGTGACACCCAGGTATTTTATGTTCATGTTTACTGATTCTTAGGGTTTGTGTATATTTAAGTGTGTAATTGTGTGTGGGAGGTGTTTATGAAGGTATTATGTGTGTCAGTATGGATCCATTTATGTGTCAGTATGGATTAGTGTGTGTGTCAGCATGGATCAATGTTTGTATCAGCATGGATTAATGTATATATCAGCGTGGATCAATGTATGTATCAGCGTGGATCAATGTATGTATCAGCGTGGATTAATGTATGTATCAGCATGGATCAATGTATGTATCAGCATGGATTAATGTATGTATCAGCGGGGATCAATGTATGTATCAGCGGGGATCAATGTATGTATCAGCATGGATCAATGTATTTATCAGCATGGATCAATGTATGTATCAGCATGGATTAATGTATGTATCAGCATGGATCAATGTATGTATCAGCATGGATCAATGTATGTATCAGCGTGGATTAATGTATGTATCAGCGTGGATCAATGTATGTATCAGCGTGGTTCAATGTATGTATTAGCATGGATTAATGTATGTATCAGCCTGGATCAATGTATGTATCAGCATGGATCAATGTATGTATCAGAGTGGATCAATGTATGTATCAGCGTGGATTAATGTATGTATCAGTGTGGATCAATGTATGTATCAGCCTGGATCAATGAATGTATCAGCCTGGTTCAATGTATGTATCAGCGTGGATCAATGTATGTATCAGCGTGGATTAATGTATGTATCAGCGTGGATCAATGTATGTATCAGCATGGATTAATGTATGTATCAGCGTGGATCAATGTATGTATCAGCCTGGATCAATGTATATATCAGCCTGGATCAATGTATGTATCAGCCTGGATCAATGTATGTATCAGCGTGGATCAATGTATGTTTCAGCGTGGATTAATGTATGTATCAGCATGGATCAATGTATGTATCAGCATGGATCAATGTATGTTTCAGCGTGGATTAATGTATGTTTCAGCGTGGATTAATGTATGTATCAGCATGGATCAATGTATGTATCAGCGTGGATCAATGTATGTATCAGCGTGGATCAATGTATGTATCAGCGTGGATTAATGTATGTATCAGCGTGGATCAATGTATGTATCAGCGTCGTTCAATGTATGTATCAGTATGGATTATTGTGTGTGTGTGTGTTGATAATGTGTTGATAAACAATGCAATGTAACACAAAAAGTTATAAGAATCAGAGAACTTCACAAGGCATGATCAGTCTAGAGAATGAGCATGGATAAGTGTGCCAACAGATGTACACAGGCTGATTCCAGAGTTAAGAATAGCAAAAGACTAGAGATCTATGTTTGTTTGTTTGTTTTACTGAATTGTTAGTCTGTATTGTTTTTTCGCTGTTTTTATTAGTGTTATAGGAAAGTTTTTTTTATAGGTCAATTAATTAAAATAAATATTTACATCAAGGTTGCAAACATAGCAGGATGAAATACACTAATGTAGCAGTTAGGAACATGCAATGTATGTTATATTGGGTGTACATGATTATACAGTAACTCCAATCATTTTACAGAAGGGAAACAATGGATGTGTGACGAAAGTCACCTCGTCACTGGTTTTTGGAGGAGCCTGTTTGCCAACCTCCTACCCTGTGATTATGGCCTGTGACAAACTGAACCTCGTCAAGGGTTCTTGGAGGGGCCTGCTTGCCAGCCTCTTGCCTCAGGACTATGGGCCCTGCAATACACCTTGCCCAATGCACTTTAAAAGACTCTGTTCCTGTGAAGTATGTACTTTTGTACTCCAGACAGAGAGACCGACCGGTAGCCCTAATTCTCTGGAACTGTTTTGGGCATGGGACCATCTGCACGGTGGGTCATAAAGAGACTTCCAGGAATTTCCTGAACCCCTGCTCTGATCTGGGTGATTTTTAGATGTGTTGTTCACCAAGATCAGGGCTATCAGGGGATGTGACTTTATGGGGATATGTTATGTTTTGGGGTACTTATTGGACTTTGTATACATTTGTTTTTTTCTGCCTGGATATAATTGAGTTACTTATAGGACTTTACTCAATTATCTCCCAAGCAGAGGGGAGGGATTGTGTCCTGTACATGGGAGTGTCACAGACTGTATGTTTGTTCTGATTGCTTTGTGTCCTTTGTGTTTCTGTCCCCCATCAGGTCCAGGGTGTGTTCCTCTGGCCTGCAGAATTGTATAAAAGCCAACCTGAACCATTAAATCTCAGATCATCTTGCACCTTCATGAAGTGTTGGCTCATGTTTGGGGGATTGGGGAACTACACTCTGGGGATTGCTATAATCACTATACTCCCCTGAGTATAATCACTAAGCTCAGTTCCTGCTTCGCTCTTGACACTAAGAGAGGCCTACCCACTGGAAGCTGGATCCTGGTCTTTGGGTCCAGTGTGGGTGGAGGACGGCAAGATCCCAACCAAGCTGTGGCGGTTCGTGGGGTTTGCGGTGGTTATGGTGTTCCAGTGCAGTGCTTATGGTACTCGCCAGTACTAGGAAGCAGCGATTGACGGAGGTACCTGGTCGGGGTGCCAGGCGGTCTGTCACATTGGTGGCAGCGGGACGGCTTCCTAGTAAGGAGAAGCATCCTGGAGACATCGGTATCGGATGAATTCTAATTGAGGGCAACGCTAGTATTCGTACAGCGCCCCTGTCTACAAAGGAACTGATGAAGAAGATGAAGCACGCTAGTCCTAGGGAAGCACTCACGTATGAGGAGGAGTTCCTTCGGAAGATGCGATGGCGACTGTCCTTTTTAGGCCCAGAGGTTCCCGTATGGATTGTCAGGGTACTCAAGGCTCATGTGACCCAGCAACTGCAGTGCCAAGCGTAGTGGTCAAGCGAGCAGGCACGGTGGGGGAGATGCACGCTCCTACAGCCAAAACCATCACAGGGAGAAGAGATTGTCGGTATCTTATCCCAGCAGCAGCAAGCAGCCCCAGCGGCAGTGTGTTGTAAACGGAGAAAAAACAACCGGGCTCTTTTCCCAGCGGCAGCCAACATCACAGGGAGAGGAGATTGTCGGTCCCTCGTCCCTGCAGCAACCAGCATCACTGGGAGCAGAGATGGTCGCTCCCACTACCCAGCACCCTGCAGCATTACCGGGAGTCGAGACAGTTGGTCTGACTCCCCAGCGGCAGAGTGTGCTATTGGGAGAAGAGACAGTCAGCCTCTCTCCCCAGCGGCAGGGGGAGTTACAGGGAGAGGGGATTGTCGGTCCCTCATCCCAGCAGCAGCAAGCAACATTGGGGGTGGAAACGGTCGGTCTCCCTACCCAGCACCAGGCAGCGTTACCAGGAGATGAGACAATCAGTCTGACTCCCCAGCAGCAGCTTTACCGTTAGAGGAGACAACCGGTTCCTCTCCCGAGCGGCAGTGTGCATCACAGAGAGAGGAGCATATCGTCCTCTCTCCCCAGCAACAGCTAGGGACACCTTGGGAGGAGACAGTCGGTCCCCCTTCCCAACCACAGGGAAAGATACAGGTAGTGGAGATGGTCGGTCCAACTCATCAGCAACTGGGGCTGTCGTCCCGAGACATGCCCCCTGACATATTCCCAGCAGAAGCGCTGGCACCTGGGCAGAGCGCAATTTGCCTCTGCCCACCAAGTACCTACAACTCCATGCCCGGGAGTACAAAGGAGACCATTTATTTAGATGAAAGAAGAGAAGAAAGATGAAAAAATTGGAGCCAAGGTGTTACACCTCTCCTAATGGAGGATAACCCCTGTGTGAATAACCAAAAAAGAAAAGAAGGATGTGGAGGGTAACTCTAACTAGTAAATGATCTAAAGAAATATATCTAAAAACAAATATTTATTAGGTCATTTTAAAAGTCCAAATCGGACAAAAAACACACAGCACACAACACTCTATATACAAATGATATAAGTGGAGACAGTGAAAATAAAAGAACACACATATATAAATGAATGTTCAATTTGTACCGACCAAAGTGGCTACAGTCAATATGATAATTTATCCCAGTTTATGGATATGGGTAGCTCAATAATGTCTATATTTTAATGGCCATGGGTAAGGCAAATAGGTTTTTTCGATAGTTAGTGAAGTTAGCTATGATGCGGATACAGCTGATATGAAACTGTTATGGGAAGCTCTGCAGCTTTCTGACTTTGGGCGTCCCCAAAGGTAATCCCAGATGTAACTCAGTTGATACAATAAAAGCTGTTTCTATTCTAGAGATACACAAAGTATTTAATATGGAAACTTTGCTGATTTTTATAAAGGTGCTGCACTGTTGTTAGCGGTAAACTGTTCGATGACGATTAAACCTTAAAGGTAAAGATTACTGGTAGAATGTGAAGTAAATGTTCCACTCTTCATGTTGTCCCTCAGAGTCCTAAATATTTTAAGTAGCTCTCAGTCTAACAGTGCTGGGATAACCCAGATGTGGTACCCAGGCTGCAGCAGTTAACTCTTTCAGCTCTGTGCTTGATAAAGCAAGATTGATGAACTGAGTTTAGCACACAGATAGTCCCAGTTCACGCTTATACTGTTGTACTTAATATAAGTCAGAATGGCTTGATATAGCAAATGGCACTCGCCAAGGCTGTCCACTCTCTCCACTTCTTTATATCTTAGTGGCTGAACCATTGGCTTATGAAATACGTTCAAATGTAAATATAAGAGGTTTCCAAAGGAAGGACAAAGAGTTCAAGATTAGTCAATATGCAGACGACATATTGTTAACCTTGACTAATCCAGTCTCCTCAGTGCCAGTAGTAATGGAAAAAATAGAGCAGCACAGTCTTCTTACAAACTATAAACTTAATATCCAAAAAAATGGTGGTATTAGCTTTGTACATGGAAGAAGCTGATTTTCATTTCCTAAACAAACACTATACTTTTAAAAGGGAAAAGAAGGGCTTTATCTATCTTGGTATAAATATATTATATGATCCTGTGAATATAAAGAGAGCTAATTTAATCCCATTAATAAAAGAAATTACTCATCTTTTAAAACAATGGAGTACACTAGAGATTTCTTGGTGGGGCAGAGTTATTTATATAAAAGCTTATATTTTTCCTAAGATAATATACAGTTGCAAGAAAAAGTATGTGAACCTTTTGGAATGATATGGATTTCTGCACAAATTGGTCATAAAATGTGATCTGATCATCATCTAAGTCACAACAATAGACAATCACAGTCTGCTTAAACTAATAACACACAAAGAATGAAATGTTGCCATGTTTTTATTGAACACACCATGTAAACATTCACATTGCAGGTGGAAAAAGTATGTGAACCCCTAGACCAGTGATGGCGAACCTATGGCACGCATGCCACAGGTGGCACACCAGGCCCTCTCTGTTGGCACGCGGCCATAGGTCGCCGGGAGAGGGGGCCGCTGGCTGTCTGGAGAGTAGGCACCTGCCTGCCCGAAACGGCAGGCGCCTACTCTGCTTCCGGGTCGGGAGGCAGGGGAAGGCTCTAGGAAGCAGCTCTCCTATCCTCCTGTGAGCAAGCTGTGTGGAGCGTTGCCGCGCGTTACCATGGCAACGCTCCACACAGCCTCGCATGAGAGCTGCTTCCTACAATACTTACCACCACCAGACCACCAGGGATGGCTGTGTGTCCCCTCCTTCACCAAAGGTAAGAGGAAGGGATACAGAATTAATATAACACTTTTTTTTTTATGCATCTTTACCCCTAACCCCCTACACAGCACCCCTACCCCCCTGCCCCTACACAGCACCCCTACCCCCACAGCACCCCTATCCCCACACAGCACAGCACCCCTAACACCTACCCCCACACAGCACAGCACCCCTAACCCCTACCCTGCACACACACAGCACCCCTACCCACCACACACACAGCACCCCCACACACAATACCCCCCCACACACACAGCACGCCTCAGACACACACACAGCACTCCACACCCTTACACACAAACACATACACTGCACCCCTCAATGCAGTATGTATATGTGTATTCAGCAGTCTGTGTGTGTGTATGTATTTAGCAGACTGTGTGTACTCAGCAGTCTGTCTGTGTGTGTGTGTGTGTGTGTGTGTGTGTGTATTCAGCAGTCTGTGTGTGTGCATATTCAGCAGTCTCTGTGTGTGTGTACTCAGCAGTGTGTGTGTATTCAGCAGTCTGTGTGTGTGCGTGTGTATGTATTCAGCAGTCTGTGTGTATGTACTCAGCAGTCTGTGTGTATGTACTCAGCAGTCTGTGTGTGTGTACTCAGCAGTCTGTGTGTGTGTACTCAGCAGTCTGTGAGTGTGTGTACTCAGCAGTCTGTGAGTGTGTGTGTGTACTAAGCAGTGTATGTATTCAGCAGTCTGTGTAATGTGTGTGTGTGTGTGTGTGTGTGTGTGTATTCAGCAGTCTGTCTGTATGTGTATTTAGCGGACGGTGTGTGTATGTATTGCATTTGTTGGAGATACTAATAAATATAAGCTTAATGTTATCTATTTATTTCATTATTTAAAATTTGTATCATTGAACTCTCTGTTGTGTTCTTTTTTTAAAACAAAAGTTGTTAATTAGTTCGGACAACTGTACGAGTAGTTTTTTTCTAAACTTAAACCTCAGTATTAAGGTTTAATTGCCATGTTGGCACTTTGAGAAAAAAAAAGTTGGCATGTATTGCGGTTTGGGCACTCGGGCTTTAAAAAGGTTCGCCATCACTGCCCTAGACTAATGACATCTCCAAGAGCTAATTGGAGTGAGATGTCAGCCAACTGGAGTCCAATCAATGAGATGAGATTGGAGGTGTTGGTTACAGCTGCCCTGCCCTATAAAAAACATACACCAGTTCTGGGTTTGCTTTTCACAAGAAGCA